GCAAACCCAAGTTCTGCCAGTAAGTTTCGCAGCCATATTGCTTGACGTGTCGCGTGCGCGAGTGCTGTATACTCAGCTTCTGTCGAGGATGTTGCCGTTGTTGTTTGTTTCTTCGAACTCCATGCTACGGCTCCACCTCCCAAGTAAAAGACATGACCCGAGACTGATTTTCGGTCATGATCTGATGCATAATCCGCGTCCGTATATCCTCCTATTATATTTCCGTTCGGCGCGTCCGAATCGCGTCGCGTGTACGTGACGTGCAAGTCACGTGTTCCTGCGAGGTACCGTAGAACGCGTTTTGCCGCTGTCCAATGGACAGGTCGTGGGCACGCTGTGTATTTGCTCAGCATCTGTACAGCGTAGGAAATATCTGGCCTTGTTCCCACTGCTGCGTACATCAGCGATCCCACCATCGACGCGTAACCTCCCGCCAAACGGTCGTCCACCTCCTCGTTCTCGTCCTCTGCCGTGAACGCCACATTCAGATCGAGCGGCATCCCTACAGCGTTGGCGTTCTCAAGCTGGTATCGCTTGAGAATGCTCTCGATGTAGTGCTGTTGCGAGATTTGGATTTTTCCCGCTTCCCTATCTCGCTCGATTTCAATCCCAACAATTTTCTGCGGCTCACCAAGGTCCGTGACTTCGAAGAGGTCCTGCAGGTCGCGCTTGAGCTCCTCCATGAGCTTCGGAGAGTTGGTGAATAACAGTAAGTCATCCACCCATACCGTGATAATCTGAACTTCTCCTTCCTTTCGCTCCCGCAGGTATACACATGGATCTGCCTCCAGCCGCTTATACCCGAGCTCCGTCAGCTCGCGATGCAGCTTGCGGTTCCATTCGCGCCCGGACTGCTTTAGTCCGTAGAGCGTCTTGCGGAGTCGACAAACGCGTCCACTTCCGTCATCGAAGCCTTCCGGCTGTCGCATGTAGATCTCCTCTTGGAGGTCTCCATTCAGGTAAGCTCCCTTAACATCCATCTGGCCTATTTCCCAGTTATTAACTACTGCTAATGCTAGGATGGCCCTGATGGACTCAAGACGAACTACAGGGGCAAAGGTTTCAAGGAAATCCATCCCTGGGATCTGTGAGTACCCCTGTGCCACCAATCTGGCTTTGTACTTGACAACCTGACCCTCCTTGTTGGTTTTCCTCTGGAAGACCCACTTGCAGCCCACAGCATTTCGATCTTTTGGTAAGTCTTGTAGCTCCCAGGTCCCCATGCCCTGCAACTGATCATATTCCGCTTTTACAGCCTTTTCCCATTCTGGCCATTCCGGAGAGGCTTGGGCCTCCGCGAGGCTTCGCGGCTCATCTCCTGCACTCGCCGTTCTGTCGCCCGATGCCAGTGCTGTCGCATACAGCGCCTGCGCGATCTCTTCAAATTCTTCGGGCGTCACGGCGACTTTTGCACTCTCACCAGGTGCATTCTCTTTCGGCACTCCCGGCGGCTCGCGCGACTTCGCGGGCTGCGCGCGGGGGTTATCCATCCTTCGATAGTCGTGGTCCTGCGTAGCGCGGGTCGTACGATGAAGAGGGATCTTCGGGGGTGCAGGCAAGAATGTCGGTCGCTCTCGCATGCTCTCCTGTATCTCGGGAGGTAAGTCTTCCTCTGTAATGTAGTTTCCATCGTGTTTCTTGTTAGACTGATCAGCTTTGACAGGTACTGATGCTGGTTTTGATGCAGATGTGGGAGGCTGCTGCTTGACAGCTCCCCCTGACTCCCCCTCGAGCGGCAGCCTGTCACTGTCATCAGGCTGATGTACAGGAACATTGCTTGCTGGGTTCGGGGCATCCGCGAATACAAAATTTCGCGAGACTCGGATCGAGCGCGCACCCACATCGTAGTAGCGCACGGCCTTCGGGCCATCAGCAAAACCTACAAAGGTGTGTTTCTTCGACTTTGGCTCGAGTTTCGAAAGATTCTGGCCTTCCGTCAGAATCCAGACATCTGACCCAAATTCTCGTAGGTGCGCGACATTGGGCTTCTTGCCCGTCCACGCCTCTTCCGGAGTTTTCCCGCGCAGTGCTTTCGTCGGCGCTCGATTTCGCAGGTATGCTGCGTATGCAACAGCTTCCGCCCAGAGGAAGTTTGGAAGCTTCCTCGCAATCAACATTGCGCGAGCAAGCTCCAATAGCGTGCGATTAAATCGCTCAGCTACACCATTCTGCGAAGGTGAGTATGGTGCTGTTGTTTGCAGCTCAATTCCTTTCTCACGGCACCACCCTTTCAGGTTTTTATTGATGTACTCGGACCCATTGTCAACACGCACGATCTTCGGCAGGTGCCCGAAGCGTCGTTCAATAAAGGTGAGGTATTCTTTCAATTTTTCAAAAGCCTCACTTTTATGTTTCATGAACAGGACTTGGCACCTCCGCGTGCAGTCGTCCGTGAACGATATGTAGTAACGCGATCCGGCGATCGATACTACATGTGCGGGGCCCCAGACGTCACTATGCGTCAACTCGCCTGGCATCTGGGAGCGGTCCTCCGCCTCCTTCAGGTATGCACGACGCGCCTGCTTAGCTTGTACGCAGGCTTCGCACTGTGTCAGTGGCATCGAGTTTTCATCAACGGTGAGTCCCTCCACCAAGTTTTCCTTGTAGAGCTTCTCTAACCCTGTGAATCCCAGGTGTCCATATCTCCGGTGCCACGACTCCCACGAGTCGCTATCGTCGCGCGCAATGTTCGCGCGCTCTTCACTCGGCATAGCAGCCTTGGCCCGCATGTTGAGCAAGTACAATCGGCCGACTTTTCGGCCTTGCGTGATGATGTGGCCGCTGCTTTCTTGCAGCATTATTCCTCCGGCACCGCCATCAAAGTGTCCACCCGCTTCATCCAGGCGGCTCAGCGACACCAAATTATTTGTCGCTTTCGGTGCGTACAGGACATCTTTCAAGCAAAAAGTACATGTGTTGCCTCTGATCCTGCTATTGACTTCCACAGTGCCACGCCCGAGAGCGCGCACACTCTGGTCTCCGATCCCGGCAATCGAAGAGGCCTCAAGCGGCACATAGTCTGTCATCGCGTCACGAAGGTTTGTAACATGTGATGTCGTTCCAGAGTCAGCTAGCCAGTCATAACGCGAGAACTGACTACTAAATTGTTGCCCAGCACAGGTCGCCTCGTCTGTGCGGAATGCGACATCTCGCAGCACGTCATTTGTTGACTGTGCCTGGTTCGTGTGCGCCTGCGCACGGCCTTCTTTTTTACTTCGCGGTCCCTGACCCGCCTTGCCGCCGCCTTTCGACCAACACTCATGTTGAGTGTGTCCACGCTTGTGGCAATTCCAGCACTCCGCGTCGGACTTCCTGTCCGTTCCGCCCTGTGCGGTATTCTTCGGCTGGGTCCACCGCCCGCGTGCTGCCAGCGCAGACTCGTCGGCACCGCCTTTCTCTCGCCGGCGCCGGTATTCTTCGAGCAAGATGGCTATCAATTCATGCGATGTCGGCAACTTGTCCTTCTGGCTTGTTGCACCCAGGTACGCAGATGTGAACTGGTCCCAAGACTCCGGTAACGATGTGATCAGGATCGTTCGAAATTCGTCATCCGACACCTTGCTACCCATCATGTGTAGCTGCTCCTGTGTCCGGCGGAGCTCCGTGATATGCGCTGCGATATCGCTGCCTTCCGTGGCAACTGTGCGATAGAATTTCCTTCGGTATGCCATTATCCCCAGTTGTCCACTCGCCTCCTTTACTAACTTCAATTGGTTCCACATCTCCGCAGCCGTTGTAGCGTCCGCAATGTGTATCATCTGCGAGTCGCTCAACAGCAGCTCGATAACGGTCTGGGCTTTTTGATCGCCCTCAACCCATTTCGTGATCACCGCCGTTTCTCCTGCCGTTGGTGTTGTTGCATTTGCCGGCTTCGGCTTCTCCGATGTTCCATCGACATATTTCAAGACACCGCGCTCCCTCAAGATCGCCATAGTACGGCGCTTCCATGGGAGCCAGTTGTCATCGCGAAGTTGCTCGATTCGGAACAAGGACGACAGGCTGTCACGAGATTCGGTAGTACTCGACATTGTAACTACCGATAGTCAGAGTGTGTAACAAGTAAGTAGAAGCTGGTAAAGTATAAGCTATAAGCTAGCGGGGCTCATAACCTATTAGCGCAGCTCGTATGAATTCCTCCGAGTGAGTGATTTGGGGAAGAGATATTATTACTGGGACCTGCAAGAGGTCCCTCCTTATATACTACACCAGTAGACTAGTCCAGAACATGCCACATAGTTCTAGTAGCTACTGTATCCTTCGATGCTGAATAAGATATCGGGGAATATCGCCCGACTACCTGGATGCTCCGGATTGCCTAATAAGGTCATCCCGAAGCCTCCAACAGGTAAATTAGAGGGAAATCGAAAGAAAACATATGCTACTTGTCCTGAACCACATGGAACACTCTAATGGCATCTCCGGTCCAGCATGAAGGTAGGGGTCTTGAAGGGGAAGGTTAAATGATAAAGGGATTGGGATTTGCAAAACAGGAGGGCGTGACTGTTGTGCAACACTGATAAGTCGGCGTGATGAACCAGTGAGTTGGCGCAACATCCAGAGAGGCAGCACGACATCGAAAAAGTATAGACTTAGAAGGAAATCAGCCAGGGCGCATAGGACCAGACCAAAGGACAACAGATAAGTGGTATCCGACAGCAGGGAGACATAAGAGTGGCATATAAGTGACAAAAGAATGTCAAATCTCGGAGAGAAGTCGCGAGAAAATGAGCGAAGTCGAACGAAGTCGCAAAAGTTCGCATAAGGTTGTGAAAGGGTCAAATTGTAACGGGTCAGTTCTGACGACCGTTACTCATTATGGACTGCTTACTACTTACATAAGCAAGTTGCTTTATATCCCCTACACTCACCATCTAGCTGTACACACTCAGTCTTAGCTTAGTTTTGGCTATACATTGAGTCCACTGCAGCCCTGGTGAGCCTGAGGATTTAGGCTCCTTACACTTTTTTTGCAGTCTCAGAACTACTGCTGAAGTTCTGCTATGACTGGATACTACTGGCTGGATGGGCAGGAGCACTCACTGTGCCCTGCACGTCATACCTACCTGGCAACGCCTCTCAGGACCTCTGAAGTCACGGTCATCATCAGTGACATAGGCCGTGTTGCCAACACACTGCAAGGATGGGTTGAGGTGAACAACCTCACTCATTGGCTCACAATCACCGACTGGCTGGTTGAGCGACACCTCCACCTCGCCACCCTTCACAAGCGCTATGCTTGCGAAGATGACCTTACCACCATCAAGCGTGCTCACCGCCGCCTCGATGCCCTTGCAGAATGCTGGGGAGCCGACGTCGCCCATGCAATGTTCGACGTGGCACGGACGCATCACCACGTGACACGTGACCGCATCAAATGCGACACCTCTACTCCTACCGCGCTCCCCACTTCCCCCTCTCTCGCGTCCGATATCCTTGCCAGGCCCGAGCTCCCGCACCACCTCAAGACCATCGTGCCGAGTCAGGACCGAAAAAACTGGCCCCAAAAACTGGTAGGGGAGAGTGCGGGGGTAAAGGAGGCCGAGGAGAGGAGAAGGGAGGAGAGGAGGCCGGAGAAGAGGGTGAAGGAATGGCCGCAGCACTACCAGGAGCAGGAGCTGAGGAAGCAGAATGCGCGAGGTACGCCCGCCCTGCCATCTCCCACAGCGTCGCTGCCATGCACCCACATCACCGGGTGCCCAACGATGCCGATGGTGCCAATGCTCTCACGTGCAACACCACCGCATCGCAGCATACACACGCGCATGACAGTGGTGACACAGGATGCGGACGATGTGCCTGCCACGTCACCAGCGCCAGGGGCGCGCGACCGCGACAGTGCAGCGCCAACGCGCACGAGCACAGCGACGCAGCGCGGCTGCATGACCGCGCCCACAGTGGCCTCAGCGCAGGATGCAGACAATGTGCTGGCCACGTCACCAGCACGAAGGGTGCAAGCCCGCGACAGCCCGACGCCAATGTGCCTCGCTGTCCGGGCCACCAACCGCCCAACAGCGCAGGTGGCACCGAGCACACCGACGCACTGCGGCTGCGCAACGAAGCCCGCAGCGGCCGCGGTGCAGGATGCGGACGTCGCACCCGGCACACCGCCAGCACCGAGGGTGCACCACGCGGGCGCCGACACACGAATGCACCCAGCGCCGCCAACGCCTACAGCGTCGCCGACGCACTGCACCGTGCTGACAACGCCAGGGGTGCATACCCAGGATGATGTGCCCGCCACGCCGCCAACACCGAGGGCGCGCCATGCCAGCGCCACGACCCGGGAGCGCACCGCATCACCGATGCACCCCATTACCGCATCGCCGATGCACTGCACCACATCACCGGCGTGAGGGGAGTGCGTCCACGACAACGCGATCCCAGTGCGCCCAGAGGTGCACCCCGCTGTCCCCACTATGAGCCACCCGACGGCGCCCATGGACCTGAGCGCACTGCTTGCGCACCCCCCTTCCCCGTCGACCACACACCCTGCATCCAACGTCTACGACGGACCGCCACCACTCTCCTGCGCCATCGAGCAGCCAACCTCGACAGCGCCAGCGGACCACGATGCAGTGCCACGGCATCGCGCCCAGGACACCCCCGAGGCAGCAGCACCTGTGTACGACAGTGCACAGTTGCTGCCCCACCCACCCTTGTCGACCTTGTCGACTCCCCTATCATCCATCCCACCTCTGCAAATTCAATGCCCTGACTCTTAACTTTGCCACATCGACCGGCGCTGGCAGTGGGCCCGCCCACAGGACCCATGCCTCCCAAACCACTGTGTGTGGTCTCCTCAGACACCCCCGGTCGTTGTCTATGGAACTGTAACCTGAGGTGGATCCGACGGGTTTTCTGGAGTGGGAGGGAGTGTGCGCATCGCACATTTATTTTATGGTATACATTCTCTTTACTTCCCTTATACATAGTACACTTTACTTTACCATATCCCCATCTATTCCCCTTCTCTTCCTTTCTTTCCCCCTGGGTTGTTTCTGGTAGGGGAGGGTGTAACGGGTCGGTTCTGACGACCGTTACTCGTTATGGACTGCTTACTACTTACATAAGCAAGTTGCTTTATATCCCCTACACTCACCATCTAGCTGTACACACTCAGTCTTAGCTTAGTTTTGGCTATACATTGAGTCCACTGCAGCCCTGGTGAGCCTGAGGATTTAGGCTCCTTATACAGATGCATCTCGGAGGCTAAGAGATAGAGTAGTGAGGTCTGAGTGATCACTGAAAAATGTGTTTTCAGAGGCCAGGAGGTCTGGGAGCATATCAGCAGGTCAAGAAACTAAGCTTGAGGAAGCAGATTCTCAATTGGCTCAAGAAAGTACTGCTTACACTTACTCCTATACTCTCAGGCACTGCAGTCACCCCAAATACATTCCTGTTTAACAGAACGAGTTATCCATAGGGTCCTCTATCACTCAGGCATCAATCATGTTTAACATGGACATGGAGAGTAAGTCATTGCTGTGCCTTTTGAACTCTCTTCAACATACCCATTTGCTATTCCATCTCACTTAGAGGGCAGAGGAGACTTCCAGAAAGTCCTGCAATTTCTTCGGGAGATGGTCCTGCACAAGGCATGACAAGTAGTGGAGAGTCTGCAGGTCACCAAACACTCTAAGTGAGATTGGAGATACAAGAGAAGAAGCTGCTCAGAGTCGACATTGACATTGCTCGACAAGCCAAGGACTGGAGGTGCGCCAATGCCAAAATGCAGCTCGTGGTGTAAAGGCATTAAGAAGAGATGTAACTGGAATGAGAGGATAAATATTAGTGCAATGCATGTAATCTGATTCATGATTGCATCCTCACTGTAAGGAGACAAGTGAGATGTAATCCTGTGCTAATCTCCCGAGCTAGTCTGGACATATATCAGAGTCCATAGGTGCTCAAGTACCCTAGTGTCTGCCGCCTATCCTTGAAGCTGAAAATGTGATAAGACCACAACTGTGTCTTTATCTTACATAAAGGCTGACTGTGTGAAGACACCTTCTTTCTGGATGCATCGCCCATAAGTTAGTACAGTAAGACCTCCTGCTCTTTACCTAGTCCTCAGAAATGCCACATCTTAATATCTGGGGGTCAGGATGGGATGATCCCGCATCACACAGCCGGCAAGCCATTAGGTCCAATATAGAAATACCGGCTCTCGTATAAGAAGACAGTCTTTGTAGTTTTGCAATACAACTAGGCCAGATGTGGAAAGCCTGCAGTCTGAACAATTCAATGATACTGTCGCTTTACAGCTGATCTTGCATAGAAAGTTCAATGCTCATGAGAAATTAGTGAACGGGGTCACCAGCATGAAAGGAAATAATGACTCACCTTTCCAATAAGATTGATCAATGGTTAAATGCTGAATACCATGCATGTCTTATGCACCTCCTCACGAGGATGCCTCAGTGGCATCGTAGGTGCCTGTCAAGGAAAAGTGAGGTGTCATAATAATTGGAGGACAACTTGCAGCTGCATCTTCATCAAGCATCCCATATAAAGACCCGCTGTACATAGACACCCTCTTTCTGGATATGCATCTGTGCTTTTTTAGCCTTTCAGGGATCAGTAGACATCAACACCCTCGCCCATAATGCCTATACTGAACTTCCAACCCTCCCTTTGCTTAGTCCTAAGGAAAGCTGTGTAAATATCTGGTGGCAAGACAGGGACAGGGGTTACTCGGGCGGCAAGCCGTTAAAGCCAATAGAGAGATGCCAGTGCCTGTATAAGAAGCCGAGGAGTTACCGCGGGGTTTCACACTTTTTGGAGATTTCTCAATAGAATTATATCATAGTTGGCAAGTCTCCAGTCTGAACACAATATACTATAGGTTTTTGACCAATCCGGATGGGGGTGTAACTGCAAACAGCTTTGCAACAATCCGGGCAGGCAGGTGGGATGTGATGATGGACACACATCAGAAAAACCTTAACTTTACTTATGGGGACTTATCTGTCTTATTCAAGTAATTAACATGTTCAAATGTGTAAGCTGATCTCGATACTTGATCAGCTTGGCCGGTGGCTTAACTAGTGGCTTGACTGGCTTGAAATAGCTTGAAGCTTGATTTGTTGTTGCTTAATTAGCTTGAAGGTATGCAAATCACAACCGTACCGGTGTCAATAAGAACAACAAGCATATTAAGTACAGTAAGTACATGCAAAATGTGGCAATAACATCCATTGCAATATGAGTGAGAGAAAGTAGATAACAGGGCACAGAGAGAAATCAAAGAGAAAGAAGGCAGGCTCACACCATGCCAGCAGAACTTGTTAGATTTTGAACATCTGAGTCATATGACCACATGACGTATGTACAGAGTCGCACTCAGAGACACATTGCTTGACATGCTTGAGACCCTGAGATAAGTGTCAGCTTAGAGTGCTAAATTGCCTTATTCTGGCAGCTCAGCATCATAATTGCTTAGCACACTTATTGAAAGTATATTAAGTCCTGCCAAATAATCAGTCAAAAAAATATCGGACACTTTATTGACTTTTTAGGCTTGCCACCTTGGATAAGTGATCTAAGATAATTAAAGTGGATTATCGCACTTACCTGACAGTGAGAGATAAATACGATGGTGCACAGAGCAATGAGTGTGTTAGAAGATGGGAAGCAGAGAGAACGAGGTGAGGGAGAACAAGTCACAACTTCTCAAAGTGGCTGCCTCAAGGGAATTTTTCTGGCAGTTCCAGAAAATTTTCCTTGAGAGCACTCACTCATGTCTTTGTTCAGTCTCTCTGAGGCTGACCTGCAGATTCTCATTGACTTCATCCACTTTCAGGCTAATCTCCCTCTGCAAATTATCTCTATTCTATCTAAGCTTGACCTGACTGCCTCTCTGGAGCCTTTTAGTCATCCAGTGGCATATCTGTCTCCTTTGCTAATGCCAATGCTGATGCCCACTTGTGCTAGATCTCATTCTCAAATGATACATTAGGAAAACCCAACTTTTCCTTAGGGACTTATTTAGACTTTCGGGTCTGGCAACCCTTATTTCAGGTCAAACAAGTCTCAATAAGTCAAATTTCAGACACTCAGAGAATATGGCTTGGGCCCTTTTTGTCCTTATATCCTTAAATAAGGACCATAAGTCTATTTAAGTCATTTAAGTGCCCTCTTAAGAAAAAGTTTGGTTTTCCTGATGTAGGAAAGGGCAAGCTCTTTGCCAAACAATTCAATGGCAATACACTTCAGTTCACTTAGTGTCCTTGTTCTGCTTAACTCCTCTACTAACTTATGTTACTTACCAAGTATATACATTAGTCAACTTATTGGACTTGACATGCCTGCTCGATTGCCTTATCTGGTGGCTTAATGTCATAATTACTATTTCTACTTACTAATATAGACTAAGTAGAGCCAAAAAAGGTCTCAAAATATTATTTAAGGCTTGGTTCCCTTATCGGAGTTGACCCCTTAGATAAGATGCTTAAGTCAATCAAAGTAAATTTAAGGTCTTCCTGATGCCATGGGATATTGCAGACATCTGCCGGCCGTCAGGCCGACCAACCTGCAGCTATTTGCTGCCACAGGGGGGGGTTACAGGCTAATTGTGTTAGAGTTCCTGTGATTAGCATTAGAGCATTCCCTACATGTTCTGAATGTCCTCGCACCGCAGGCCCCAGAAAATCTGCCCGGAATGGCTCATGGTCACATCCGGACACCACCTGTGTGACACCGGACAGAGTGTCGGATTCCGGACAGGCCAAGGTCCTTGTGACCTGTGACCGTCTGGATTGGTCGAAAACCTACAGTAGATATTGATTGTCGTTTTCCAGCTGAACCTGGCATAGAAAAATCGGGATGTACACACACCGTATGATGCAGTACTTCCTGAAATTAGTCAACAGTGTTACCTGCAAAAAAGGGCATAATGATGTACGTACTTAAATTTCCGGTAGGAATGATCAAAGAATCGCAGAGATGATCATTATGTCCGATGCGCCTCCTTGCGAGGTCGCTTCAATGACACCGGATAGCTGCCCGTCGAGGAAAGGCTCGACGTCCGCCTGGCACAACTGCAACGAATGTCAGTCCCCGGCGCTCGAAAGAATAGCCCGGCCAATTATAAGTAGGGCTGCCTCAGGTCGTACGATGCATACACAACATGGGTGCCAACCAGTCTTCCAGTGGCGACCACGGCGCATTCTCCAACCCAGACAGCACTCTGCAGCCAGAGTCGGGTATGGCGCACACGCGATACGTTACGCGGAACGAACTGTCGTCGTTGTCACTAGCAGACGTCCTGACCCTAGGCGTCGCGCTCCGCGAGATGAGCGCATGCGACCAGATATTCAAGTCGTGGAATGACGACCTCGACAGGTAGTGTTCGCAGTGCTGTACTTCACATGCGATACTGACCGTTCCTCAGTGTTGGCTTTGGGAGAGAAACAGACCTTGAAATACGGGTCCGACACCAGATCAGCACCCTGCAGGACCGAGCGCAGATGGCACTCTCTGCTACGGAGAGAATCGTCGAAACACACGAATGTTTCAGCCAAATCATGGTGGAGCGGCTCCGACGAGCGGCAGAGTCAGGCGGCCGGCTGACTCCAGATTCCAAAGTCCTCGAGACGGCAAACTCCATCAAGGAGCATTCCGCGGAGGTGTCGCGACACGTTGGATCTATGTGCGAAACCCTTCGCCACGTCATGGACACCCTCGATGAGACGCAGAAGAGAACACCGAGCTTGAAGGATCAGATTTTGACGTGGTTGAGAAAGGTGCTCCAGGCACTCACGGTTATCCTCCAAGTGGCCGCAGTCGTCGCAAACATCTTTGTGCCGAATGGAATCTGGGCCAGTGGTGCCCTAGCTATTGGATCATTCGTTTCTTCTGTGGCAGAAAAGGTCATATCTGAGATGGACAACCGCGGTAGTAAGTCGTCGCTGCATCTCTTGGCTTATCTCGATGTACGTATTCCTTACACCACCCCCACCCAGTGATCAACGGAGACTTCCAGCAGATGCTGCGATTCTTCCGCGAAAAAATCCCGCAAGACGTACAACGCGCAGCGGACAGTCTGCAGGTCTTTGATGCGTGTCACCAAGCGCTCCGGCTGGAGTTGGAGATACAGGAGAGGGAGCTGCTGACAGTCGACGTCAATGTTGCTCGGCAAGCGGAGGAGGATTGGAAACGTACGAACACCCAATTGCAGCAAGTGGTGCGGAGGCGTTGACGAGGAACGTCGCAGCATCCGAATGTATCTGATGTCAGCATGATGATGTAGTCCCCGTGCTTATTCTCCAAACATTGTTGGAACGCGTACTGGGCCCCGCCGGCGAATTCAGCGTACGGGTACTTGTGTATGCAGTTTATGGTGCGTCGTAAAAACAGCACATACATCGCAAAGCACAGTTACTGGAACAAAGATGCGGCGTACTAAACAGGGCATCCATTGTAATCCTCTGGCCAGGGGCGGGGACAAGGCCGGCGATCTCTCGTTTGACCACGCCACTGAAATTCGGTCGCTCCCACAATGACCGTCCGATACCCACTTTTCCACCATCGAATGAGTTTTTGGGGCACCTGCGGGATACAACCATCACGACCGGCGCGGTACAAATCCGACATGCAACCGACCGCACCGGGCGAAGATCGGTAGAGATGACTACGAATCTCATAAGCAGACCGTCATCTCAAACAGCATGTCGGTGTACGTGCTTGAAAAGAAGAGACTGACCTCAGAGCCAGTACAGTATGCTATCGGCGCCTTTGCTCAACGATCGATCTGGCGGTGCAGAGATTGACCGTACAAGCCCCATTGTCCGTTTCGAGGACGCAACCTATGCTGATGACAATGTTTGGATGCCCAGACGCATCGCCGTATTCGTGGTATGTCTTAAGCCTTGACGTGATATCTTGATGCTCCTCCACCGTTGTCGCAACCCCACGCGGCCATCGGCCAGAGCACCAGCTATGCCCAGTCGAGCTATGGCTCGCAGGACGGAGAATTGAATCAGCATTATTCGCACGCGAACATCTGTGGCAAGCCATGCCCTCTCTATAGGCATGGATCGCACGTTTGAAGCCTATGCGGTACCTTCGAGTAGACGAATAGGACTAATGCTGTGGTGCACACCCTTGACATAGCTTTGATGAGCAGATGCGACCGGATATTCAGCGCGTGGAACCCGCATCTGGACATATAAGAATTTATCGTGCCACGGAAAGGCCCAGCTAATTCGCAGATCATAGTCCAAGCGGGGAGCAGACGGACCTAGTGAGGCGCGTCCGGTACCAAGTGAACATACTGCAGGGCAAGACCAAGATGGCGCTGCTCGCCACAGAGCGTATTGTCGAGGCGCATCGCCACTTCGCAGATATCATGGTGGACCGACAGCGATACGTACGCTTCGTAGCTCGGCGGCGAGCTCGAGGCTGAACCCAGGATAACCGAAACAGCCGCCTACATAAATCAGTACTCCGCCGAGGTGTCGAAACATGTCGCGCAGATGTGCGAGGACCTCGGCGAGCTGGTGACCACCCTAGACGAAGTGCAGCGAAAGCCACCGACGCTGAAGAAGCGCATCTTAAAGTGGTTGCGCAGAGCGCCGGACGCCAGACACGGATATCCTGAGGAACGAAGGTTGAAGCAAAGTGTCAGTCTGCCTTTGGGAGACTACGCCGGACGCACTCGCGATTATATCGAGCGGATCAGCCCTGGCTTTACTTCATCGCTCGCTCCTGGCCTTGGAACAGCTGCAAGTGCCGCGTTAAGCATTGCCTCATCCCTCTCGTCCAGCATCATCAATGATTACGAACTGTGAGTAGCCGGAAACCCTCCCCCGGAGTATATTGGGTTGACAAGAGGTTTAAAAAGACTTCAACGCTGTCGTTCAAACCCTCCGTTACAGTGTTGCAGAAAGTCTATGGACGTTCGACGCCCGCCACCAGGCGCTCCGAATCCGCCTAGAATGAAGCTTTTGAAGGGGAAATTGGTCAAGCTTACTCCCAACTAGCGTGCTCAGGAGGCGTAGAGATGCCCGAATGCCCAGCTACAGCTAGCTTCAGCGCGAAGATGACGAGCGGGGGAAATAACGTATTTGTGTGATAAGTTCCGTTTGTGTGGCACATCAGGATTATGGTTGTGAATAACAAAAATAACGTTGTTCACCATATTCCCGAACCTTTGTGCACAAACTTCAAGCTTTCATTGTTTCAACCTTCAGATCTTCAGTACTGCATGATACCTACTACAGCCAGACTTGCTGGACATGCATAATCATTGATATATTGTAATTGCAGTTGCTACTTCATGGCCGTTAGAGGCCCTCCATGATCATTCTGCAGCCGATACCCTCAGCTTACTCTTGATATTGATATGGAATACAATGGATGGAATGCCACCCGTCTTGTTTCAGCACAGATCATGGTCACCGAGCGTTCCTCGTTCAAAGCCTTCTCGTAAATCAGTGTGAGACTGAACCTTAAGTCCAACGTTCACGGAAACCTCGTGGCGTGAACCATATGAGCCATGGCATCCCCAGCTCAGCACACTGGAAGCAGAGCTGAGGCAGAAATAACCGAAGTTCAAACGATAGATAGGGAGCAGAGTTAGCAAACTTGTAGTCTGAACCAAAAAAAGGATATTGTCGCTCAGCGCTCAGCCTCAGCTGAGTCTAGCATAGAAAGTTCGAGATGCACACGGTGCACACGCACCATATGATGCAGAATTTCCGGAGATTAACCAACGAGCAAATGAATCGCCTCCTGGGTAGGAACGACCAAAAAATCATAGCGATGATCAACGCTGATCCATGTACGTACGCCCTACGCACCTCCCTCCGTGAGACAGTAGTTACAGTCATGGGAAGGTTCGATGTCCCGCTAGCACAGAGCAGGAGGTTATAAAGAAGGCTACCTCAGATAGTGCCACGCACAGACGACATGGCTGCAAACCAGTCTTCCAGCAGCGATCCTAGCGCAATCTCGGTCCATACGAACCGCTACCCGGAGCTCACTTCGCGAGTAGCGTTAGGTCTACCACGCACGCGTCAGGTAACGCGGGACGAGCTATCGTCGTGGTCCAGGGCAGACATCCGAACTCTGTGGGTCGCGCTGCGCGAGATGAACACGTGCGAGCACATTTTCAAGTCGTGGATCGAACATTTTGACAAGTAACGTTCGCTGCTGCTTTGCGCCCCGCACAGGACTGACTTTTGCGGGTATTCCTCAGCGTGGAGCTGGGGAGACAGACGCGTCACGAGATACGGATCCGACACCAGATTAACCAGCTCCATGCCCAGGCCCAGATCGCCCTGCTTGCAACGGAGAAAATCGTCGATGCGTACCAGCGCTTCAGCGAGATTATGGCGGAGCGGCTGCGACGAGCGGCAGAGTTAGACGGCCGGCTTACCCAGGATTCCAGAGTCGTCGACACAGCGAACTTCGTCGGCGAGTATTCCGCAGAGGTGTCACGTCATGTTGCGACCATGTGCGAGAACCTCCGCACGCTTGTGTCCACCCTCGAGGAGACGCACGACAGGAAACCGAACTTTATGGACAGGATTATCATGTGGCTGGAAAATGTCTTCGTTGCGCTATTCCAAGCCGCCGCGATGGCCGCGAGAAGCTACATGCCCAACGGAATCTTTGTTGGTGGTGCATTATCTATAGGATCCACTATATCCTCGGCGGCGGCGGCAATCACAGCTGACTTGGACAACCGGGGTCGTAAGTCATCGTCGCGTCTTTAGGCTCTTCTCCAATATATGTACTCATTTGCTACGATACTCCACGCAGAGAGCAGCGAAACCTTTCGGACAATTCTGCAACTCCTTCGAGAGAGGATCCCCCACGAGGCAAACCGCGTGGCGGAGAGTTTGCGGGTATTTGATGGGTGTCATCGGGCATTCCGGCTCGAGTTGGAGGTTCGAGAGAGGGAGCTCAGCATCGATGTCGACGTCGCTCAGCAAGCAGAAGAGGACTGGAGATGCACAACTGTCCAGTTACAACTAGTGAGACCATGTCGAGTAGAATGAGAGACGGTCCTGTAATTACGAGTATACATGTTAGTATGACGAACAAGAGGCAAAAGTGCCACACATTTTGTCCTCGTGGTTTTCCTACTTGGTTGATTTCCGTTCTTCAAGTTACCTCTTAAGGGGAAAAGAGGGTTATGTATTGCGTGATGCATTCACGCAGTTTTTTGATGGATGGATTATGCAGACAACCATTACACGGCGGGTCCTATTTCCACAACGCGAATTTTAGGGCAGGCGATCGGTCAGAGGCAAATTAGGGGGTGAGTTGTTAGCCTACGACACTTCTTCAGAGGGGTGTTGGTACTGAAGCCATTGTGAGGTAACAGGAGGAACCGCCGCGAGCGAGGCATGTTCTGCTGAGGTTTTAAATGCCTGAGAATCGTGGGTCCGAGAGTTCTTATGCAACAGTGGATATACATTTGCGCCAAAGCTGGACAGACATGGCAAAGGGAGGCGCGATGGACTGAGAGGACGCTAGGGTAGGCGCTCTGGCGAGGCTACACCTTTCCCCCCCTTCGAAACTGAGTCTGACCGTTCTGTCCCGAGCGCGTATAGAGAGGACAATGGGTCCGGGAAATTAGCTAATAACGGGAGAGAAAGAACGGCTAGGCGAGTTATCCTTCTGGGCGCTGTACACCCTGGTCACGATATGCACGTGCGCATGCTTCCCGCAACTGAAAGCCCAACTGTGGCGGATCAATGTGAGTGCGGAACGAGTGATCGGCCTTCTTCACGGATGCGTCATACTTGCCTGTCAGTTTCTGTCTCGACCGAGAACGCCTGTTGCCGCAGCAGAAGACTGCACTTTGAGTCGGCGGCATGCAGAATGAACCTTGAAGCAAGGACGACATCGCTGTCCTAACGAAGGGGGAATAGTCAGCAATTTCTCACTGACGCTCAACAGAGTTCGGCGAAGCCACCAGGTATCATGCAGATGCAACGTGTTTGACAAGACGCTAGGTTGGGTGCCTAAGTGGCTGCGACATAGTCACTACCAGCTAGATCTCTCTAGTCGCAATTGGGCCTCAAATCGTCACCAAGCGCCTCTGCAGTGACGGTGTTTAAGCTGCAGACAAAAGTCAAGGAACGCATACTCCTTCCTGACTTGACGACTGCTACGCTGTCTGTTCGTTGGACACCTATCCTGGGAACAGGTTTGCAAACATGTCTCCAAGTGAGCTCGAGGCCAATACGCATGACGTCCGCCGTCCAACTGGCGAGAGAACCTGTGACGAAAAAAAACCACAACGGACAGCATACGCGCATGTTACATTGTTCTTCGTGGATAGTTGCAAGAATGGCGCTCAAATAGCGTCACAGCACCAGGACGACGCCTGCAAAAAGGGATAGATGCGGAGACGTCTGCGTTTCATTGTGCATAGATAGAGAGTCCGTACATACATGCGTATGCGTCGTCTGCATCTTCATGACCTGTCCACGTAAAAAAAATCGAGCATTTTGGAATTCGCCACGGTGAAAGCATTTCGACGGGCCCAGAGACTTGCATCGAGCGTTTGTCATCCATTGTATCTTACTTTACGTGGCTTCTTCCGCAGCTTTCTTGTATTTGAGTGCCGTCTTAATAGATGTGCCCTTCCCCTCCTTGACGATGCGGCGCCCATGCGGTTGGGCCATCGCTTGACATAGTAGTCACAGTAGATGGAGCGGATTTTTGAAGGTGTGAGGGGTACGACAGGGTGAAAAGAGAAAGTCAGACGGCGCTGGAACGGGCAGGAGAGAACCTGCAGAGTGGTCGGGTATTGCCGGTGTGTGGGAATTTAGGGACATGAGGCTTGAGGAAGGCGTCAAACACCACACGCCTATTGATGAAATGTCGGCGGTTCCGTCAGACGGCTTCCGCATCTCTCTTCCCCACGACCACCGCCTACTACTCCTTTGACACTGGCGGCGACGACCAGACTGGTGGCGACAACAAACGCGACGAACGCTCTTTTTTTCTCCTTTTTCTATTCGACCTGGTCGCTCTATCGCAATGCCGCCCAAATCCTTGTCGGCGCTTTTCCTCGGGCTCGAGTTGGCGACCGACCAGCTGCGTGCATCGATTGTAGACGATAACCTGGAGCTCATAGGAGTTGAAGCTGTAGACTTTGATTCGGAGTTGCCGGAATATCAGTCAGTCCTCCTTGCCTTTTTTCTGTGGCGTTTGATAGTTCCATTACTTGGTGTATCATCCTGATTACTCATTGCGAGTGCACAGAACTCAGGGCGGTATCTTCACCACGCCCGGAGATGCATACACGACGCCCGTGGAAATGTGGATAAAGGCGTTCGGTGAGTCCTACATTGTTCGCGGGAGCAAATGTTGTTGTCACTGGGAACTTACTCGATCTGGATATCGTGGGATTTTCCCTTCCTAATTTCGACAGACCTGCTCCTAGAAAAGCTCAGCAAGAGTTATGACCTTACCCGTGTCAAGGCTATCGGCGGCGCAGCGCAGGTGAGTGTGCTCTCTTCTCATCTACACAGAGGGTCCAACAAGCGCTAGCACGCACTCGTTTGGTGGAAAGCCGGACAGATTCCGCAGTTGCCGAACCTCGACCCACGGCTCCCGGCGCACGTTCAGATACCTCCTACTGCTCTGTCCCTCCCGAATTCTCCTGTAGCGCAGGACACTTCGGCGCACACGCACGCGTTGGCGTTGGAGGCCGCGCTTGGCGGCCCGGACATTATGGCGGCGCGCGTCGGGACATGCGCGCACGCGTCCCTGCTCGCGGCGCAACTGCTTCGGGTACGGGAGGCATGGCCGGAAGTGTGGGCACGCACGGGCCGTGTGCAGGTGGCGAGCTCGTTTCTCGCTAGTCTGGTGTGCGGAGGGTTGGTCGGCATGGGCGAAGGGGAGGCTTGCGCGACGGGTATGTTTGTACATGGTGGCGCCGCGGCGGGGACTCAGAGTCATTGGGACGAGGGCGTGATGGAGATCATTGGCGGCAATAAAGAGGAGGGCAGGCGGATTTGGGCGTGGTTGGGCGACGTTGACGTATCAGGAGGGCGACGACGGATTGGGAACGTCTCGCGATATTTAGTGGACCGATACGGCTTTGACCCCGGTGCGTGTTGGCCACAGTGTATGAGACGTTTCTCATCGTCTCGTCCGCTGCAGAGGCTATCGTCACGCCTTTCACGTCGGACTACCTCTCGACTTATCTTTCTCTGTGTCCGTCGCCGTCCGATGCTGTGCTGTCTTTTGGACCTATGGACGTGATGCTTGCTCCCGCTGCACAATACCTTCCTACACGGCTATACAGCCTTTTCCCACATCCCGCACAAGATGCCAGCGAGAGAAGACGCTATGTTGTAATGCTCACGAGCAGGTATGTGTCTTGCAGTGCGCATTCGACCGCGACGCAGAAAAAAAGTCTGTACTGAAAAAAACCGGCTAGAAATGCCGATGTTCCACGCGCACTCGTGCGCGACATGTACACAAAAAGCTGGAGCGCATTCGATCGGCTATGTGCGATCGTTCCTCCCGGAGGGTCGATCGGGTAAGTCAGAACTTCGATCTTATATCTCAACGTGGACTGATCTCCTGCATAGGCTCGACGATAAGCTGTTCAGCTTCTGGCTTCTGCAGGGTGACAGCTTCCCGTTCTCACACGTCAAAGGCATCTTCAGGTTCGAGACAGGCGTTAAGGTCAGCGAGTTCCGCGATCTGCGTGCGAATCCGCGATGTCTCCTTGAGAGCCAGGTCCTCTCCTTCCGTGTGCGCTGGTCGAGGATAGTCTCCACAGGCGTCCTCGGTCCCAATGCGGGCCGCAGTCGTGGCTCGAGCACTACCCCCAGCCCCATTGCAGGCCAAACAAAACGCGCTCAGAACACCAGCAATTCCAATAATATGGGCCTCGCCTTTGACCCATATGACTATTCCCCACTTCCCTCCCGCATAATCGCGACCGGCGCAGCCGCTAATTTCCCATCAATCGCGAACCTCGTTGGCGACGTCTTTAACACGCCCGTGCTTGTCCCTACAACACAAATTGACGCGGCCCAGGTCGTCCCGCACAGAAATGCACCTCCTGCCGGCTTTCCTGCGCGAGCGTCTCTCGGTGGCGCGTACGTAGCGCGCTGGGTGTGGGGAAAGGAGAAGGGCACACCTGCCGGTACAGGGCGTGGAGGTTTTGAGGAGGAGGTGCGGCGGCTCCTTGCCAAACGGTGGGCTGCCACCGGCGGTGCACCCCTGCGGACAACAATCAACTCCACCGGATCGAGCAGCAAGGCGGGGAGCACCGCAGGGAGCGGCACGAGCACGCCATACGCGCACAGCACGCGCTCTGCGCTGGGCGCGACGATCCTCGTCGAGGAGGAAGAGGACGAGATCGAGGAAATGGAGAAGATGGGCAGCGGCGGCCTCGGCGCGTTCGGGCTTGGTTCCGGCTTCGGCGAGGGCGAGCTTACCAGCAGGATGCGAACGGTCACGAGTTCGACGGCGGGCACCGCGATGAGCGGGAGCACGCTGGGCGACGCGCCGTCGACCGCGTTTACCACTCCTGACCTCAGTGGCCTCAGTGGCCCCGCGCCCAGCGCGACGCCCGAGGTAGCTACTCCCACTGCACCCACGGCGCTCGTGCCTGTCTTTGCGATGCCCACCTCTGAGGCAGAGCTGCAGCTCGGGCTAGCGAAGGTCGCGGAGCCGGACGTAGACGCGTTCATGTCGTACGCGGCGATCGTGCCCGAGTACTGCCGACTCGAAGGAATGCTCATAAAAGCGATCGTCTGAGCGGTGCGATGGTTGCGTCGTGCGGACGCACTTGCCCTAGCTCTGTCATGCTTTCGACACACTGCCCATGTTCCATGTCCGTGTCCACGCCCTCGCCGCTTGTGAAATCCTTGATATCTGTAGTGCATTCGTCTGGAGGACTCATCCAAAAGTTACGCAGCTCACGCCCACGCCCACGCCCCCGTTGTTTTTCGTTACTTATACCAAGTGTTGGATCTCAGGTTGTGACTCTTCGTGGTACCCGAGCATTTTTGGTAGTATAGATAGCATCCAGTTTACTTATACCCTGTATCCACGGGACTGGGGAATGCGCACGCGCTCCTTATAATCTGTCTGCGAACCAATGTTTGAGTGTGCAGTCGTACTTACTTTCCTGGCTCGAGGAACAGTTGTCAATGCCAAAAAAAAACTATTGGGTCGGGAAACCATCCGCCGCACTGGTAGATGGCTTGCAGACCAGCTCGCGAAGAAATTTCAGATGGTTGGACGGACCACAGGCACACGTGACGAACTGTTTCCGCGAACTGCTACGAACGTTGGAATTTACTGTCAGTGACTCCGACTCACTGAGAACGGTTCTCTGGGCGACGTTTGGACTAGGAGGTCCTAGGAGGAACAAATCTAAAAGTAATTTAGAAGTCTCCAGGTCGGTGATCGAGCGTCTCGAGCTATCTCGACCATTCACAGCGAGTCAGCATGGACTCCACAGAGCATATACTTGAGGATATGTCCCTCACGCAATTGGCGGAGACCTTGCTTGCCAAGGTTCAGAGACAAGCTAGATTTTTGAGGTTCGTTTGCTTCTGATCTTCACAAACGGCTCACTTCATGTTGAATTTCCAGCATAAGCTCAGTGAGTAATCCAGAAACCACCCATCTTTGCGAAACTCAATAGGGAAACCTCTGCAGATAACACAATTGATCACAACCGTTGAATCTTCCACGGAAATCCTTCGCAATTCAATGTCTCTGATCAACAGGCTTCCTCCCGATGTTCTCAGTATCGTCTTCCATCTCGTTCCAGACACTCCTGGGGTATTGGAACATGAGGTCTGGCAAGGCTGGAATGATCCTGCGTGGTCTCCTCGCTATGTGAAACCTGGGCCATACGTCAAGTTGACCCATGTATGCCGCCTTTGGCGTGATCTTGCACTCAGTCTGCCTACCATTTGGGCCAACATCGTTGATTCCCCTTCCGTTAATGTACCCGTTGATGTTCTGGTACGACGGTCCCGAACAGCACCCTTGAACGTCTATTTGAAGGACTTCCCTGGAGAGCAAGTTAGGAAGCTCTTGTCTTCCCCACACAACAATCGCATCCGGACCATCTGGTGGGAGGCGGAGTTCGACGAGTCTACCGAAGAACTCGTTGCTAGTTTGTCTGCTCCCAGTGTTGAATCTGTCACGCTTATATGCCCTCGAGCAGTCGATCAATTTATGTCTTTTGAATCTATTCCGCTGTTGAACGGGCATATGCCTTGCATCAAGCAGTTGTGCCTGTCCAGCACGTGGTGGTTATCGACGAACAGCATGTCATCCCTCACACAGCTTCATATTGCCGTTTTTATGTGCACTGGGTTTTATTCTGAGGTCCTGTCTGTGCTTGACAAAACACCCAACCTCGTGGACCTGATATTGACCAACGTCTTGAGCATGTCCTACAGTGAACCTCCAATGATCTCACTCCCGAAGTTATGCAGGATCACGCTCAGCAGCAATGATGAATACCTAGACAACTTGCCCAACATACTATCATGTCTCTCCGTTGCAGATACCACGGCACTACGGACAAATATATTCTCCTTCTTCGAGCCCGGAGCCTTCGACCTCCCTGCAGTGCAGACTATCACAAAGGTCTGCATCAAACGATTTCAATACTCCTATGAGCTTATGGCCACAGGAGAGCTCTCCGGAACATGTATTGATACAGATTATCGCGACTTCGATGAACTGGCGAAGTATATGATTCGGGCGCTACCATTGGCTAGGGTTCGGGAGTTGTGGGTCATAGAAAGGTTTGAGACAGCACCGTCAGATGAAGGCCAAAAAGGCGAATATGACGAAGAAAGTGAAGAATATACTGAATACCACGAATGTGACAAAACAAATGTTGCCTCACTGCTGCCTCAGATGCCGATGCTAGAGGAGCTGGTGGTATTGGGGGAAAGGCTTCCGGCCATTATCAATGCGCTCCTGGAACCCAACGAGCCCTCGCAGACACCGCTCTCGCGCAGCGGTCTGACGGTGCGCATCATCATGCAGGACTCCAATGTGGATATCGCAGCCATCACAAGCCTTGTCGTGCGGCTGAAGGAGGTTGGCGTCAAATGTGTTGTCATTGGCTACCACCGTTTCTATACTGGCCCGCAGTTTGACAGTGCGTACCTGGCAAATGAGTTCCAGTCGGTGGAGTTCGCATATCACGAAACGTTTCCGCGCATGGATCTACCTCCCGTGTGTACGACCAGCACACATCTCCACTGGCCTTCGTGGTTGGAGTCATGGTCCGACCTCGATGCACCATCGCCCTAGGTCTAGTCTGTGTATATGGGTGAGAGAAGGTTTAGAGACATTCCCTGAGCATAGACATTGATAGTAGAGTTCGACGTAAGTTTTATTGCAAGCTTACCACATTAGCGGGAGGCTTACTTTTACTCTAAAGGTCCTACATCATGTGCCGTTGGGTTTTCTTACAATCCATTTCCACCTCGGGCCTCACCAAATAGAGTCTTTGATATATTGGAATCACTTTAGCGTTGGTTTTTGCGATGGTTGTGATGGTTGGACTTCCAAACCTGGCTACATCGAGCTTTCGGCGTGACAAAAAAAGGCTGGCAGGACAACACATAACATATATCATCCACCGAAGAGGTGTTTGGGTAGACATCGATATCAATCAATCCAACAGAGAAGCCTGAGACGTACAACACGGGAGTCCGACAGAGGCCCATGTATCTGCCTCTCGACATATTTTTTCGTGCATTTTTTTCCCCGTTGCATGCGTAGTCAACTAGTCACCGCTGGAATCCGCTAATTCCGGGTCGTCCACATGCCACTCCAGATCGAAACTATAGACTCGGACACGTACCGTCGGTAGTGATCTGACATCTGTGGTGGCTATGCTCCAGCTTAAAGTCTCTCTTCGGACACCTTGGCGATTAACCAACTCTCCCTCCGGCCTCTGGTAAGATCATATCGTTGTTTTGAATAGTGCTGAGTCTTTTGCGCAGTACCGGCCATGCGGCAATTCCGCATGGTTGACCAAAGGCCCGTTTTGAAGCGCGCACCGCGTCTCAAGAGTTTTCATGACATCTCGCGCTTCATAAACGGTGCGATTGACCTTCGGGCTCTCCGCTCAAATGACAAAACGCGGCGACTTGACCATCCGCCGTGCTCCCTTGGAAAATACCAACGTAAGACACGGTGTGGCATCCGTATCTAAAAGATACGCACCTGCGCGAGTTACGGCAACAATAATCAGTGAAATTCAACAAAGAGGCGATCTGGCTCTGCCGCAAGAGACGATTGAAACCCGGGAGGGCATCGTGGACATAGCCTATCTCTCGCATCCGGGAGCTTCGGGCCCGAGCCACAAGCACTGTGGAAAAAAATCCAGGGGAAATTGGCTGCAAGGAATTGGGAGAAACCGGAGGTCGCGACGATGGAATATCAGGTTCGTGATCACAATCACAATTTTCAATCGCGAGGTGCGTCCGTGAAGTAGAAACTTCGCTCGAACTACGCTGGTCACGTGCTGATAGTTCACATCAAAACAACTCCGAGGCAACATCTGGCTAGGAAGTTTGGACGAACCTTCATCTTGCCTTCATCTGTTGCTCATGTTTGCATGGTCCTCCATATCGTCAACGATCCTAAGTCCATGTCCGACCCAGACAGATTTTTCGCTTGCATTGGCGCCCTCTGAAGACGAAACGATCGAGCCACTGCGGCGGAGCTATCGAGGTGAATTGCAGAATGCCTATCTATGAGTCCCCTGCAGGCGTTTCGGACTGGCGTAAGCGGAACTCTGTGCACCTGTCAGCGCTGGACGAGAGATGAGATATGCCAACGTGACACAATACACTTCTTTTCTGCAGAGATGCTAACTGTGGCGCGTCCTAGTATGTATCTTCTTGTTGTTATTGCTGTCTCGAAGCTGATAAACCGACGGACAGCCTGAGAATTGTAGACGACAGGGAAGTCGTTTGGACTGAAGTCGGGGACGATACGCAAGCGAGGTCCAGCGGGACCAGCGGGATCCTCCTACCCCTCACATTCGAAGCGACGCCTCTCCGTCCCCGCTTCGAGTTCCTGCTTGCGTTGACTGAAGCAACTGAATTCGGCCTTAGCATGCAAAGGTCAAGAGTCTAATCAGTTCGCTTAGATAGATGCTCGCTTAGATCTCGCTTATCTCCCACGCATGTGAATGATCGCTAGTCACTTGATCATCCAATTCCTTATCTCAATTCGTTTCGCAGGTACGACCGAGTCTGGGCGGCTGCTTCGCGCATTTAAGCTGCAGCTTTTGCAGCGTTCAAAGTAAGTCGCGAGACGCCTGTTTGCTCCCTGCACACCAACCATACTGAAGCCCACCTTCTTGAAGTCATTTCGTGGATATTTCTGCCATGGCCTCCACAAATCTTGCTCCTAGCACCGCGACGACCGTCCAGGACACGATCTCTGCGAAACCGTCAACTTTTCAGCATCCGCTCGATCCTTTGACGCCTGATGAGGTACGAATGGTCGCTACTTTTCTGCACTTACCATATCGCTGATCAGCACCGGGAAACACAGATCATCGCTGTTTCTCTTAGTGTTCGCCGTTACGCCGCCGCGAAGACGCAGGTTAAGGCTTTGAGGTTCATCACAAATACTCTCGTGCCACCGCCGAAGAAGGTGGTGCTTGCGTATCTCGGGATTCCTCTAAATCCGGGAGAGAAGCCACAACCTCTCAGCGAGATTGTGCGGAAGGCGGAAGTCGACGTGAGCATCGATACCTTCTGCATCTCGATCGTACATTGATGCAACTGAACAACAGTTCATTGACGCTGTCACGGGGTACGTGTTGAATTCTGTTGATATCTCGTAATGCAGGAAGTGCTCAGTGCTCTCATAGCGATGCGTACAACTCTCTCATTGTGCTGAAGGACGCAGAGTGGGAAGTAGAGTCAATAGAAAAGCTTCCCGAAGGAGTGCAACCGCAGATCTCCGTGGAAGAGCTGCTGCTGTGCGAGAATATCATACGCGAGGATGCGCGCGTGCAGAAGCTCGCCGCCGATGTCGGTTCGTGTCCTTATCCGTGTGATCGGCGTCGCGCTCATACGTCGCGACGCGTGCAGGTATCAAGCCTGAGCAGCTGTTCGCGGATGGCTGGGCGATCGGCTACGACGACCGATTCCCCAAGAACCAGCGCATCCAGCAGGCGCTGTTGTTCGCCCGATCGTCCCAGCATGATAACCTGTATGCCCACCCCATAGTGAGTCATTTTAACCTCGCGCACATGTCCAGCTTGAATTTGCATTGGCTAACGTTCGATGCAGGACTTTATACCAGTGATAGACTCGATCTCAAAAAAAGTTATCCACATCGATTTCCCGCCGCGCTACCTTCCCAAGGCATCCCCGAACTCGATCTTCAAGAAGCATGGCATGGATGTCGAGCTCTCCTGTGCAGGCACTGCCCCTCCCCCGCTCACCGAGGATGCCGAGGCTGCCGCGGGCCGTGAGCGGATACCTCCCCCCAGTGCGCCGTGCAATTTCTTGCCCGACCTCATTGCGGAAGAGCCTGGCAAGGAGTTCAAGGTCCGCGACGATGTCAAGCCGCTCCACGTTGTGCAGCCCGAGGGTGTCAGCTTCAAGATGGACGGACACGTGCTGGAGTGGCAAAAGTGGAAGATGCACATTGGTAAGGACGACGTTTCACATTTTGTGTCTGCGTGCGCGACTGACCGATCCCTGCAGCCTTCCATCATCGCGAGGGCATCGCGTTGTCGACGATCACTTACAATGACGATGGGGAGGTGCGCCCTGTATTCTACCGGCTCTCACTTGCCGAGATGGTCGTGCCCTATGGTGCGCCTGACCACCCACACCCGCGGAAACATGCCTTCGATACGTAAGCGACCGCGTTATACTCCCTTGGAGCTGCCCCTGACTATTTTTTTCCAGCGGTGAATATGGTATGGGAACTATGGCCAACGAGCTCGCGCTTGGCTGCGATTGCCTCGGGCAGATCCACTATCTCGTACGTCCATACATTTCGTCAGGACAGAAGTAATGCCTTATGTGACACGCATAGCCTGGAACGTACGTCGCTCATGATGGTACGGCGGTCATCGTCAAGAACGTCATCTGCATTCATGAGGAGGACGCTGGACTGCTGTGGAAGCATACGGACTTCCGTGTCGGCGGTCGCTCGCATGCCGTCCGCAGCCGCAGACTGGTGGTCAGCATGATCTGCACGCTCGCCAATTATGGTGAGCACTCTGGTCCTCCTTATGCGCAGCCGTACATTGACCTGCGCACCAGAGTACATCTTCAACTACCTCTTCTACCAAGACGGCAACATCGAGCTCGAGGTGCGCCTGACAGGTATCCTGCAAGTCTATGTCACGCCAGACGACGAGCCGACCGCGTTCGGTGTGAAGCTCGCTAAGGGGATCAATGCGCACTTCCACCAGCACCTGTTCTCTGTTCGGGTGGACCCCATGGTCGACGGACTGCACAACACCGTGGTCGAGACGGACATCGTCCCGCTTCCGGACGCACCAACCGGCTCCGTGGCTAACCACGCGGGCAATGCGTTCATCACCCAGAGCAGCCCCGTCAAGGTGCAAAGCGAGGGCGGGCGCGAGATCGGGTTTGCCACGGATCGCCGCTGGGCGATCACGAACCCAAAGCGCGTGCACCCCGCGTCGGGTAAGAACGTGGCGTACACTGTCACCGGGCTCCGTGGCGCGACGGCTCCGATGATGGCGCGCGAGGACAGCTGGGTCGCGAAGCGTTCGATTTTCCCCAAGCGCCCGCTGTGGGTTGTAAAGGACAAGGAGGATGCGAGGGGATCGACGCGGATGTGGCCGTCGGGTAAGTATATGCCGCAGACCAGAGATGAGCCAGAGAACTCGTTGGCGAAGTGGGTGCAGGGCGAGGAAAGCCTTGTCGAAGAGGACCTCGTGCTGTTCCTCACCGTGGGTGCGTTCTTCTCTGCTCATGGTCGTGTGCGTGCGCCGCTTACTCTGACCCTGCGATTGCGCCAGGTATCACGCACATCCCGAGACCAGAGGATTGGCCCGTCATGCCCGTTGAGCACATCCGTTTACTCTTCAGGCCGACAAATTTCTTCACGGTGAATCCCGGTTTGGATGTACCCGGGGCAAATGACAAGCGCAGTGTGGCGGCGTTCTCCTCCGAAGGAAACGGTCAGAATGGTCATGCCTGCCATTGCTGATCGTGTTCGGGAGTATTGATCACCTGGAGCACTTAGCACTAGATGGCACGCGATGTGAAGCACTAAACCAAATGTAAGATCGTAGAGCACACGCATTGTACTCGCGCATGTACGTCTGTATCTCCAATAGAAGATTCAGATAGACGTTGGATAGAGTAGGACGTCTCGGACGATCTGATGGTGCGCGGACATTCATTCACATCTCGGAACCTTGAGATTCAGCATCGGTACTCGCAATTTCATGGGAAAACGCACGCGCGCCCGTCGTAGAGCGTGGATGTGGAGCGGACATTCTTTACTCACGACCACTCGACGAGGATTTTCGCGAGTCCCGACGGGCTGGTCGTTCCCCATCCAGATTGCTCTCCACGTAAAGTTGACAACTCCGAGTCGAGCGGTGTTTTTTATAAGTACAAACTCCTGACGCAGGATTGGACAGTGCGCGAACTGAGCTGAACTCGCAGTTTCTCCAGTCGCCGACGCTACAGCCGCGTCGCTACTCGCGACCAGACCTATACCAGAGGCCTCAGGTCTTGATCCTTCCGGAAGCTCGGAGGCACAAAAACACCTCTCAACGCCAAGAAGTGAAACTTGTGGTATCCTGTATCGTCGACTCCGCGAAGCTGACAGAAGCGAGAGTATGGCACACATAACCAAAGCTAGTAGCACTGTTGTAACGTCCACAACGCAGGATGAAGCCCACAGCTACTGTCGGCCGGAGCCGTGGCCTATGCAGCTGATCTCGAGGGACGGACGGGCCAAATGCGTCGGTCAGCGCGCGTCTTAGATCTGCTGGGGGCTTAGAGCGGTGCCGGAGAACCTCGACGACGGAGGAAGAACAGTCAGGAAAACGAAGAACAGGTGAGCGACGAGAATAGCATCACGCCATCAGCCACCAGCGATGCAAATCGAATATTGCCACCGCCCGCATTCACATTCGTGCCGTGCATTCAGCGAAGAAGCTCCGGGTGTAGTAGAACAGCTGACGGCGTTCTGACACGACTGGCTGACTGTTTGCAACGATAACACGAGAATGTGCTGTATGCCTCTGCTCGAGCTGGACTAGGCCATGAAATCCACCTAAACGGACAATTATGACTGTCGCAAACAATCATGATATCACGGTCGTGCAAGAAGCTCGATGGCCATCGACGCATGGAAGGCCCCAGTAAAATGAGAATTGAACTCACTGTGAATGTCCGTAGATGCAATGGTGACGACATTGAAACTCTAGGCTGGAGAAGGTTAACGCTTATGACTGATAACTCAGCAAGCACGATGGTACGATGATTGGACAATGAAGATGTGTCTGTGCGACATACACGAGCGAGTTGCCGGAGCTATGCCGCGGCTTCCCCGGATCGGTCACGAGAGTGTCCAGAGAGACTCGTCGGCGGAACCACCGGCCACCAAGACCAAGGCAAATGGCGAGGTCGGCAGATAGCTGCGGACTGGGAGAGACGTGCGAACCCACGAAGAGGCACATTAACACAGGCTGATTGCCGAATGGACCAGAGGGAAGCGTTTGAGGTCGAGCAGTGCACATCTCATGAATATGGAACTTCACATCGTCGTTCGCTAACCCAAGGTAATAGCCAAACAAAGAAGTATGATGTCTGCCTGCACCCAGTATTCCGTTCTAGGCAGCCCAATAGCTCTGGCGCGGCCTGCCTGGAGACTTCGAGCAGAGCGAGGAGGTAACTCGAGACACGGAAATAGCCTGAAGGGTTGTCAGATATATCAAGGGAGAGCAGATGCCAAGCATGATAAAACAACCACTCTTTACGGCACAAGCTGAACTCACTTGAGAAAATCCCACAGCGACTGATGGCGTAGGGAACACGTCTGTGCAGGTATGTGTGTATAAACGGAATGTCTGGACAGAAACAGTGGAAACACAAACCTTCTCCTCGTGCAATCGTGTGCTACGATATAGCTGATAAGCCTCGCCGCAAACCTGCGTACGCCACCCGGTAGATGATTCTTCCTCAGAAAGTAAGTTCCCCTGAGGGTGTTTTATCATCAGCCTGCAACGACCACACGTTCCTCTTCCCATCTGGACTGGCATCTTCCGTTATGGAAACAGACTCGCTCGTTTCCTCTTGGGAGACGGATGATCCACCAGCCCGGAGCGTTGGCCGCACACCCAGAGTGGCGCAGAGCGCTTTGTAACGAGACCGGATCTGGCGGAAGAGCTTCGGAATGTCCAGGTCAGAAGCCTCTCCTGCGGAAGGGTTCACTCGCGGGAACTGGGCGATCAGCTCGAGCAGGTGTCGGATATGGTGGGCTGTCCGGCTGCACATCGATGGCGAACAGGCCTGGTCAGGACGCAGCCCATGCGTGAAGAAGTAGAGCTTACTCGTCGCGCGCACCTCGATGTTGGTAAAGGGCCTGCCACATCGTCGCGAAACCCTCGTAAAATCCGAGTTCCTCCCACATCTCGAAACCTTTCTCCCTTCCCAGAGCTCTTCCTTCGATCGAACCGTGGATACGGCCATGGGCAAAGCCGTCCGTGAACCCATGTTCATAAAAGCTTGGGAAATGATATATGAACGCGAGACCCTCGCACGCCCAGGGAGAGGAAACCCAAACCTACGTTTGCTCGACGTTCACGAGAGCCTCCAAATCAAAGTCCATAGCGACCGCCGGCAGTTACTTACGCGGGTAGCTAGTGTATAACGTCCGAGACTGTCCTTGTTCAGGTCAGAACTTAGTCCAAGCGTGGACTGATCTTGAAGAGGTTGCGGTTTCTAGAAAGTGGTTTCTACAAAAAGATGGGACTGTAGGTTTGTGGAAAATGGCCCGCGGAGTCCGAACCTCAAAATGGAGTTTCAAACTTTCTCAGCGGCAAACGTCTGCAAACCATTGAGTTTACGTTCCAGCCAAAGTCCCGAAGACCTCTCCATACTCATGCATCATGTCCTAGATATGCTTTCATGGAATCCGAATCCGCCTGCGCGTTCCACGCCTTCGCCACCCGCCGCCGAAGCGCCAGAACGTGCCAACCGTTGAATTGACCGATCGAGACCTATCAATTATCGGACACGGATCAGTGCCACGCCACCGTGATGGTGCGCTGCGAAGTACAAGTAATCCGACAGCTATGTCTGTGTATAGTCAACGAGCGAGGGTATCCTATGTATACAATGCAGCAGAAGACGCGAAGCAGCGAACGAAGTAATATCGGTGCCAGCCCGGTAACGTCACACCTGAGAAAGAGACGCGTCAGGGAACACTCGAGCAATCGGAAAAGGAGCACCAACCAAACTCAATTCCAGAGTCCAGACTCTCCGTGACCAAAGTTTGATGTTCTTTTCAGGTTCCCCGGGACTTGCCAGATTCACCTCAATGCCGTCCCACCAGCACTTCCGCTGTGAACAAAGAATTAAGCGGCAGGCATGGACGAATCGAATCAACGATACGCACCGCCGGTTTCCTCCAGAACAAAAGTAGCTTCTGTGCTGTCGCCATCTGATTGTAGTCAATGGTGACTTGCCTCTCACCGGTGGGACCAGGAGGGTGGTGCTCTATCCCGGTCTTCAGCAGCACAAGCGCTATTGACGAGATGCAACATCGTGACGGTTCCATGGCACGATATCCCCACTCATCCTGCCGATCAAACCCACTGGACCAAGGATGAATCAGAGTCGACATGCGTTGACAAAATTACAGAACGCACCTCATGCACAACATATCAATCAAGTGTTGCTCCGCGATGTTGTTTTCCTTATTCACATTCCGTTGTAGTGCGGTAAAAATGTTGCGTTTGTGAAGGAGGAATTCGCCGCATTTCTTTTTCACATCGAGGAGCGCGTCATTGGCGATGCCGTTCGTATTTGTCAATGCTTTACCGTCCTTTGGCGGAATAGAAAAGTATTCCAGCTCCTCCCGCAAGACGATGATGGCCTGTTTGGTGAGGAGCGGGTTCTGCGATGGTGACGGCCCGAAATCGGACGTTGGGGAGCTTCCACCCTCGAGCAGCTGCTGTTGCGCTGCAAACAAGCCGGGTATAGTAGCGGTGCCATAAAATGCGTCCGAGGCATTGCGGAAGAACGTCAGCACGTAGGCGAAACATTCAGGGTCAAACTGGCTGCCAGGTATAAGCTGAGTATCGCACCATGTGTAGGTGATACATGTACGCACATCGACTCCGTACAGCTCCTCGTAGTCGTCATTGTCTCCACCATCTGATAAAGCTGCGCTCTGCCGGCTTAGAACAAGGCCATTTGGAAAGAGACAGAGGAGGACGGATTCCGGAAGATTCATTATAGTCTCTCGGTCAACGGAGAACCGCCTTCCGCGCAAATCAAGGAGCAACCTCGTTAAAAGGTGGGGCTGCAGGTTCGTCTGCACGGGTGTCTGCGACACCTGCGTGATTGGTGAGTTGGAGAGGGTCGCCATGGGTAGCAGCAAACGTCAGCTGGACAGAGGACCGAGGTGAGGAAGGGCAGACGACACACTGGACGCTCACCTCGGAGAATCCTCAGGAATAGCCCAAGAAGGGATAGTTCGGCTGACGTAATTTGGATACTTAGACTGGGAGAAACCTACTTTTCCGCGCTCCGCCTCTCTGGGTTTGAATCCAACAACATGATGTGCCGGACAGTCGACATGGGCTACAACATTATTGAGGTCTTCTCAGTCTGATCCCCAATGATGCAGCCTAATGCAGCACGGAACGCGTGGAGTTTATCTCTGGCCAACAGCATTCGACACCGTCGTTCCCCACTGGTCATCACTTCCCAGTCACGAACGATGAGCGTTATTCTGCGCCCACGGGCCAGGCCGCTGGGAAATAACAACAGAGAAGCTTAAGGATAGCTCTTCCAGCTTCTGCCAGTTGAGCTAGTTTCCCCCATAAGCAGGAGCATTAGACTAGTGCTGGACACCACGTAATGCTCGCCAGACGTGATCAAAATGACTGTGGGCCGATATCAGGCCGGGGAAGCGTTTCATTTTACAAAGAGGATGATCAAGCTGATTGCGAACCAACGTTCATCGAGGGGAGTGACTGCGCGGAAGCATTTGGCAACTGAGGACCGTTGGAATATTGTCTAGTCGTGTAAATGTATCTCCACGGCAGCTGCCATCAAGCTTTAACCGTTTTATTCGGTGCATTACAGCCCCTTCCTCGGGGGCGGCGGCCCATATCGTGAAGCATGGCTAGATATATTCGAAAGTCCGACCGCTGGACCCCTGGAATGGTATGAGCCTTTATGTACCTTATCACCTTTCTCACTTCTGACCCGCGCGACTCACTGCCCCGCTCCGCGCTCAGGACGTCGTTGAGCTCTCCGCCTGTCCTGCTCTGCGTCAGGATAGTCCATCTGCACTCGTCATGGCGGAGCAGCCGTCCGCGTCCTTCGCCAGGCCAAATATGCCTGGCGATCCGGTTTCCGTAATGGTATTAGTCGAAGATTCACTTACCATGCTCGCGAAATGGGACGCGATTCGTGACTTCTACCTGCCTACGCTCCTAGAGAGCTTGCGGATCGCAGACCTAACCGTTCCCGTGCGTTGTTCGCTTCATGCGCCGGTTATTCTGATCTCTCGCCGATACTGTGCAGATGCGCGTCTGGTGGTTTACGAATTCACCTGCGTTCGAAGTTCCACTCATGACAACTATCGGCGGGATGAGCCAGGTTGACCACATTCCAGATCTCCAGCTCGGCCACAATGCATGCGTCGGGATCTCAACCACCACTATCCGGCGTAGTATAGATGTTAGTCTCAACTTATTCCTCGTTGCAGCTACTCCCAATTTGTGTTTGCTCTGAGCATTCTTAAATCTAGCTGTTCGTTACTGCGGTCGACAAGCAACGATGTACCCGACACTGTATTCTCATCGCATCGTGCTTGCTGGGGAGTTCGCCTGCCAGTAACCACACCGGAATCGACTCGCCGCAAAGCATTGCAGTTACTCTGAGTCAGGTGGGGCTTATTTCTAATCCGCGTGATGTGCACCATGTTGACGTCACCTAGGAGGACATTCGCCTTCATTTAATGAACGACTCAGGGCCTAGGTCGGAACCTTTCTATGATTTCTTCAAAAGGACGGTGGGACTATTCCTTATCATATATGGATGTATTTTCAACGCCGACACCATATTCGTAGCTTTATTACGGGGAGTACCAAGAAGTTCCGGTTTGGTTTCACGTGGAGCAGACACTATCAATACATTTGTCTTGTGCGCCAGCAAACCCCGTAATCGAAGGTTCGTCCACTCCGTGAGTAGTCGCAGTGTTACTGAAACTTTCTGTCGCAGCTTTAGCTCCTGTTTTGAATGCTGTCCCTCAGGATTCTCCAGCCAGCCTCTCAAGCAGCCCCGAGCAATCCCTCTCATCGCCAACCTCTCTACCCTCCTCACCTATAAAGGACACACCCGCGGCAGCGCGCAAGTCGCAGTCTTCCACGACGACGTCTCGAAGTAAAAAGAGTCGAAAAGCTGAGGCAACCACCTACTCCGACAGCAGGGGCTTGGTCAGCTTCCTGCAACAAATGCACGGCCTCACGAAGAAAAGAACGTATGGCGCCAAGCCCGCGAAAAGGTCCTTGAGCGACCTACGGTCTAGCACGGCCACACGACCGATCCTACCCCGCCTCGACATCTCGACCACGCCGTCATATACCTTCCCTGTGCTCACTAATGCCACCGGCACTGATGCGCCCCACCCGGAGCCTGCACCCTCTCCAATACATACGCAATCGAGCTCGCTTGTCAACAGAGGGTCAGCGGACGATCGCCGTGCACGCCGTCGCGTGCCGTACCTCCCGACGCCACCTGCCATCGAGTCGTCCTCGTCAGACTCGTATCTCACGTCATCAAGCTCGTCTGCCGCGGCGTTGCGCAGCCTCGAAGCTATGTCGCCGCGCCTCACCGAATTCCATACCATGGACCAACTGCACGGTATGTCGAGCGAGCGGCCGCCAGACTGTCAGACACTCGAGCACGACGGGGACATAATGGCCTCTCCTACTCACTACCGCGTACAGCCGACCAGCGCGACGTGGTCCCAGAACCGATACCTTTCATACAGCACCCCCGCATCTCCCCTTACCGCTGCCCCTGCCTACCCAGGCTGGGGTGTTCCGTGCCAGCAGCCACAGCCGCAGCTGCAGTTGGACGCGTCAAACTCCAACGAGCACCCGCCGTCACTGCCGTTCGGTGGCCCTTCCATTTTGGGTCAGGATGCGAGCACTCCACCGTTGCCATCGCCGAGCCTGACGGCGCCGACAAGCACGTCCGATAACGCAGACGACCAGCCATTCGTGGTCACGCCCGAGTACGAGGCGTTTGTCCACGCCCGTTTCGAGGAGGTCAAGCGACACACTTCCCTGGCCGTCTCCACGAGCGTGCCCGCTCCCGCGCCTGGCTTGTACCCGTACAGCGCTGACTCTCGCATTCGACAGGCGCAGTACATTCCTCTGCCGCATCAGCCGGTGGCCTTTAATCAAGGCGGTTACCTCGGGCAACAGAATGAGGGCATGTTTCTGGGGACCGCGGCTGCGGCGGCGACAGACTTGAACTACGGGCAAAGCCAAGGGCCAGTCCGTCCGTGGTCTGAGTACGGCCCGTCGTCGGCCTGGTACCCGTCCTGATCCTCGAAGAAGTGCTCCGGTCTGTGCATCGCGCGGCCCAGAGGCGGGACAATGGTCTGTTTGCCTGCATACTCTTCTTCTCAATGTACTACTTTCGATGTTCTGCTATCTCTCACGTCGTACGGGCTCTGTTGCTGTGCTTAGCGGTACAATCTCGAGATTTTGCTGTCGATTTTCTTTGCTCTCGTCCGTCGGGGAATTTTGGTCGTGGTAGATGTAACATCATTGTTTCTGTGTAGCATAGCATTTTCTGTGCAAGTTTGTGCATTATGCCAATGGATCTTGGTCTCGTGGAAAGTGTTGTGTAGGCATCACTTTACTGCCCATGTTTTCAGTGTGTTGACATTGAGACTCTTCTGCTCTTGCAATGGTGCAATCACCGCACACTGTCAGTGACATAGCGGGGCACCTTCAGAAACTGCGAGAGACCTGAGAGTTTTGGCTCGCCACAGAAGAGCCAAGACGGGCCCGTACTGGCTCGGATCCTAAAGAAGTTCGCCGAGTGCTGCTGGTCATGAGGTCTGCGCTCGCGAAGCTCTTTGTTAACCCTAAATGAAAATTCTGCGAACACGGATTCGAGCGGCTCGGACGAGGAGGCTTTATGACAGGTAAATCATGAGACGCATGCCTAGCCCCCGGCCATGCGTGGGCCTGGGAGAACGCGAGTGTGGCACCGGAGAGTGACCACTGACGAGGGCGGTGCAGCGCCATACACACGATATTGGATTGCACCAGAAAATCGAATTCCGTCATCATGAAAAAATGTCAGGTGATCCTCCGATATGTATGGAATTACGGGGTTTCGTAAGTCGCACATCGCCAGTAAGAATTTGTAGAACCAGCCCTTGGGCGCGTTAGTGTCTAAGAATGTGTTTCGAGCGCCTGATGGTCATGATATACCAACCTTGGACCCGGAAGCTCAGAAAATCCGAACAGGCTCTGCTTCCATGATATCTCTGCCGCCGTATGGAAGACAAAATCTGGAGTGGACTCGCCAGTTGAGAAACGGAAAAAGAGTACCTGGTGGCACGGGAGCTAATTTTGCCACTTCGGGCAGTGCGCATCCCACATTTGGCAAACGTGTTCACGATGTTTTGCGGCGCGGTGTTCCAGCAAGGGTAAAAATCTCGGAATACAGGAACCAGCGAACAATATTCAAATGGTAGCCAAATAAACACATTTCGGACCCAAACAAAAACAAGGGAAGCGGAGTAATTAAGCACGTCTCCTGGAGACAGCAGAGGATATGATCAGTCGTCTACATCCTTCTGCTTCCCTTTCCCCCGCTTCTTCTTCGACTTCTTCGTCTTTTCACCATCCACAGGAAGATCGACGACCGTTTCTTTCCGTAGAGCGCCCGCCTCTATTGGTTTGCCGGGGAGTGTACCATCAGCAACGGCCAGGCGAATTTCCTTCGCCTTCTTCGGTTTCTTCGACTTTTTCCGCTCGGTGGCTGCGACTCCACTTCCCAGATTCTGCATCGTGTCGGTTTCCGAGTCTCTAGTCTCGTCATCACCTCCGTCTTTCCGCTTATCCTTCTTACCCTTCTTCTTCGGCAGCTCAGCTGTATTTTCCTGTCTTCCACCCTCAACGGCCCCTGCCTGCGGGTGATTATCTTGCTCAAGTGGCACCGTATTTATCTCCTCCGCCGGCACCTGCGTTTCGAAGCGGAGTCTTGACGCGCCAAGACCGCCCTTTGGACGGTCATCGTAATCATTCATCGCGCCTGCCGTGACAGGGGTGCCTAGCCCTGCCACAGACGTACCTGATGAGCTCAATGGGCGGCTCTTTGCCGCTAATTTCTCCCGGAAATAGTCCATGACACTCTTGCTGGATGTGGTTAGGTCCTGCAGCTTTAAGTCGACTGCAGGTGCATCCAGAGGTGTCGACGGTGTCGACGGCGTCAAAGATGCGGGTGGATAGGGCGTCGCAGGTGCGGACGGTGTCAGGAATGGCGTGGAGAAGGCAGTAGAGGAGCTCGAGATGCCAAGGATCTCGTTGATGGCGGCCGCGGATTTTGAGGCAAGCCCTTTCGCGGCTATATGGCGGGCGCGATGAGCTCGAATCCTGTATTAAACAGAAATAGAGATTCGTTAGTCTAGCACGAACGACGATATATTCGAACCGTAAAACGAAAAGATACGTCGTTGCGAACGATCGTGCAGGGGAAGATATGGCGGTGAGAACAGCAGTAGCAATATGCACGAGTGGATGGAAAGAAGAAAGAGAAACGTACGGGCGGGCCATTACTGCGACCTTAGATTTCTCGGTGATTATGACGGACGTCGAGGTCGATACGACCGAAGTCGAGGCTTCTTCCTCTTTCTTGGCGGACCCAGGGCTTTCGTCGACCTGAATGTCGCACTTCCGTTTCTTCTTGTCTTTCTCCTTCCTCTTGCCCTCCTTGTCCGATCTGTTCTCCGAAGACTTGGACTTTCTAAGTTTCTTCCGTTCCATCGCGCCGTCTCTCCCGGCAACCTCTTCATCCTCTGCCTGCTCCCGTTCTCTCTTCTTCCGTCTTTTCTTCTCTTTCTTCTCTGCCACTTCAATGTCCATGTCAACCTCCTCTTCGACCCGGATCACAGTCTCCTCGGACGAAGCAGGTCTGACGAACCCATCCACCTTCATCGCCTCCGCCTCCACCTCCCCCGCGTCCACCTCCTTCCCAGCGGCCTCGTTCAGCCTGCGCAACAGATTCTCGAAATCGCGTCCCTGCTTCCACGCCGTCCCGTCCTGGCTGTTACGATGGTCCGCGCCTATCCCGAGCATGTCGAGCTTCTGGTGGACGGATATATGTCGCGTGCGGCCCTCGCCGGACGCCCCGAGGCCCGACGAGGGGTCCCAGCCGAACTTCTGCAGGTACGAAGTGCCGAACTTGTTGGCATCTGGGGTGACGGTGGTACGTGAGTGCGAAAAAGGGAAAAAGGATTACGGACGTACCGTTCGCCCAGGAGAGATTCCGAGGGTCTGCGGGAATACGCTGTTTGTTCTTCCTGCCTGAGAGACCCATAGAAGTTCTACACTGGTAATGCGGTAACGTATGCCGAGGGTTTCAATCGTGCACACAGGTTACTGGTATGGCTTCGATGGCGAACGGCGGGTCAAATGACTTCTAAAGATAAATCAACACAATCCACCTCAGACAGAGGATCCACTCAACCAACTCAATAAACTCACCGACAACGCTTAAAGAAGTCTGTGGAGTGTCGAAGTTTTGTTCGATCACTGATCCTCACGGTGAAAGAAAATTGGAAATATGGGATACAACATTTCTGTTATATTCACAAATAATTCTGGTATGCCACCGAAATGGAACTTATTAAACAAATACGTTGTTTCCTCGTCATCTTTGCAAACACTGAAGCTAGCTGTAGTTGGGCATTCGAGCATCTCCATGCCTCGTGAGCGCGCTGGATCTCACTGGGTACAAGCTTGACTAATCTTCCCTTCGATAGCTCCATTTCTAGGCGGAGCGCCTGGTGGCAAGCGTCGAACGTCCGATTGAGAAACGACGGCGTCAATGTTCTGTTCAGACCGTAGACTTGCCAAGTCGGACACAATTCCACCGAGAAACCCCAAAAAATCGCGAAACCAGAGGAACACCTCTGAGTCTTATACAGGAACTGGTAGTTCTAATATACTGGGTCTGACACCTTGCCGGCCGAGCGACGCTCATTCCGCCTGTCCTGAAGGCCTGATCAGGACCGCCGGAACTTGGTACGGCTTTCCTGACGATTAGGCCAAGAGCAGGAGGTGTTATAAGTATAGGCATACAGGCTGATGATTGTCGAAAACCTCTCAAAGCCTTGCGCCTCCGGCAAAAAGAACTCTTTGCAGTACAGATACATCTCCAGGAAGAAGGTGTCTGCGCAATGTGGGCCTTCATATAGGATGCAGACGCGGTTGCAAGTTGCTATCTTGTCATTCTTCGCAGACAGGGTGGAAGGCCACGGACTGCGATATATGTTGCATAGAGGCCTGGGATTACTTCTCACTTGTCTTCTTACACGGTGAGCGCCTTCTCGCCCTGGGAGGAGGGGCACAAGCCATGGATGCAAAACGTTATGACACCTCTTGGAAGCCTGTGCGGAATACTCTTGATGAAGTCTGGCATCTCCAGAACTCCGGAGTCCGACGTAAGGTGGCCGCCTGACTCTCCGCTCCTTGCCTCTATTGCGGCAGCTTGGAGTATCAGAGACAGCACGAGGAAGACCTTTTTCAGCCACTTGAGGATCCTGTCCATCACGCTCGATTTCCTGTTGTGCGTCTCTGGAGGGTGGACACAAGCGCGGATCCGTTTTCGCACATGCACCCAACATGTGGGGACACTGCGGAATACTCATTGACGAAGCTTGCCGTCTCGAGGCCTCTGGAGTCTGGCTTGAGCTGGTCGTCTGACTGTGGTCATGGGGCGTGTTGGTCCGGTGTCGGACTCGTATTCCAGGGTCTGTCTGTCTCCCGAAGCTAATACTGAGGAATATCCGCAGAAATCAGTGCTGTATACGTAGCGGCAGCGAAGGAGAATGTTCGTTCCACAACTTGAAGTGCATTTCCGAGGTGGCCTCTCGTAGGTAAGACGAGCTCCCGCTGAGGCGCTACCGTGAATCTGGGTTACATGTCGCCTGTGTATTGTCCGAGCTCAGGCTACCTGAGCGCTGCCATTAATATACAGCGCCGAGCGTCTGTCGCGGAATCGACTTGAAAATGAGGTACGTAGAGATCGATGTATGTTTCCTTGACCCTCTCTAGCCGAAACGGTGATCATCCTATCCTTTCGACGCTCATCCCTGGAGACGGTGCGTCACAGCATTTGTGAAATATTGACACCTCGCGCTATTGGATTGCGAACACTGGCACCAGTTTGTTCCAGACTGCCCGCTTTCTGTGCTCTTTCCGTCGTCCTCCTTGTTTGTTAGCTGAAGTCCGTGCTGACCAGAACTAGCTGGGTATGCGTCGCACTTCACGCGCTTCATGTGTCACTGTCTTCGGCACAAGCTTACTGTGATCTTTAAGTCGAGTTATATCAGTAGCTATCAAGCTAAACAGCACTCGTGTAGCAGGATATTAGAAGGTCTTTGATGAAAAGGTCTCTGTCAGCCATGTCGCGACAATCTGAATTACAATACAGTGTGATCAACCACGTCTAGTTGTAGGTATAGAAGGGCGAGGTATAAGTAAGAATAAAGAATAGTCAGTCAATACAGGCCAAGTAGCGGAAGTCCACTCCGCGACCCTCGCTCTCCTTCGAGGGCAATATGGGGGAGGAAACCAGGGCTGGGACGAGTTCAGCGAATGATACGCATCGTCTTATGGCGTGCAAGACCACCCTTAGATGGTGGCGGTGGTGGTAGCGAGGCAGGAGGCGTAACAGGCTCGATAGGTAAGTCTGGAGGCGTGACGGGCTTGTGAGGCAGATCTGCAGGCATGGGCGCCCAGTTGACATGATCAGAGATGGGCGGGCGGGGTGAGTTGGGCCGGGTGGGCCCCTCGTGAAGTTCCTGCATTTTGGCCTCGTGTGCTTCCAAGACGTCGTTGCCTGGGCCCTCGTCCATGTCAGGCTCGTCTGGGGGCACGTATATTTCCTCTTCGGGGCGATCTGTAGCTTGTGGAGGGTATACGCTTTTGCGGAGGAAGCGGCGGTACGCGCTTGACGGCTTGCGCGAAGGCGGAGCGAGGCGATACGGGTACGGACCGTTGGGGAGCGCGTCGTACTGCTCCAGGTTTTTCCAATCCTCAAGCGTCCAGTAGCGATTGGCCTCCTCTCGCGTGACCCAGTTGAGGTCAAGGAGGCGGCGGAGGAGCTTGCCCGGTAGCTGGTAGGTTGGCCGCTGGTCGGGTGCGACCCGGATGTAGGTGTCATGGATGGCGAGGGAGTGTAGAGGGTTGCGCCACACTTCGGGGGCGCGCAGCTTCTTAGAGACGGGCTCGTAAGCAAAGTCATGGACCTTGATGCCGAGATCCTTGAGTGCGGCGATGCGTTCTTCGGAAGTGGGCTCTTCGTATGTTTCGACGATTTCTGTCGCCACGGGGGAAGGGTAACGGCGGAGGTAATCTGCATCTGCATCTGTGTCTGTGTTTACAGCTGCGATTGTCCCTGGGATTTGATTCGTAGTCTCGTTTGCACCTGCGTACGCGACCACTGCATCTCCGTCTGCGAACGCGTCCGTGTCGGCATCTGCGTCCGCGTCCGCGTCTGCATCTGCATCAGCGTCGGTTCCACCGCCGTCCCCGATCTCCAGATTCTGTGCACCCGCAGAGACCTCTCCACGCGCGTTCAAGGCCGCCTCGTACATCCGTTCATATACGCTTGAATACGCGTCATGACCCGTCTCCAAAAACGCGTCTCGATCCTCCCCAAGATACTGCGGTTTGAACGCGTCAGGCTCCATGCCGAATGTGCCCGGTCCTTCTGCACCAACATCAGTAGCCCCCGCCCGCGCATCCAGAGGGGTGCCGACAGCGGGCATACTGTCTTCAACGTGCACGGATTCTCGTATAGTCCTGCCGGAAAGTTTGGGAAGAGTGGGTGTTGAAGGCTGTGGCTGATACTCGGGCGACATGGCCTGCCGTTTAGAAAAAGGGAGAGGTGTTTCTTCCAGCAAAGAGTCGGAGCGCTTCCGTTTCAGCGGGCTGAGCGAGGGAGAGGGGGAGTGGCGTTGCATGGCAGTTTGGGACGAGCTCCCTGGTGTGGAATAACTGGTGGCGCGACCTGCTGAATCTCTCTCGCGCGTAGTTGACGAAATATTGACCGCTGGGCTATGCGGCGAGCTCAAGGTAACTCTTCCGCTGGTACTGGAGCTCCCCTGCTCGCTGGCGGTGTTCTCGCGAAACGAACAGTTGGCATTGATCTTGCCTGAAGTCAGGTAGCTGGTGAGTTTGGAGGAATTACGCGGAGACATTGTTCAAGCAACTGAGGGAAGAGCGAGTTCTGTATTGAATCTCTATGCAGCGACAACTTTTTATACTCTCCGTGAATGCGGAGGACAAAAGCGGTGGCGATGCGGGATAAAAGACAACGATAAAAGACAATATCGGTCAATTTCGGATAGCTCGTGATAACATGGTTATCATTCACATTATATCTCACAAATCCATAATTTACATATCTCGCTTCCAACTCGCCTCGACCTTGCCTCGAGACAATGACTCGGCCGTGAATATCATGAATGACTATGAAAGGCTCCCGACAGAATAAATTGTTTACTCTCAACCATCACAGACAGTACTTGTGGCTTGCCGTCTGACATCATGCAGCCAAAAGCACCCTCCGGACACGCAGACCTTACACGTAGCCGTAAGTGGGACGAGGACACGATACTTGGCCCGGGAGACAAGATCGGAGAGGGGGACACGTTCCTCGTGGAAGATATTCTCCCTTCGGACCTTGCGAATGTGGCGTTCGATAACCTGATCAAGGAGGTGCAGTGGAACACCATGTATCACCGAGGTGCGCATCGTAGTTAATATTTTTTAAATACTGCGACTAAACCCAACGATGTCTCGTAGGTGGCGAAGTTCCTAGACTTGTTGCTGTTGAGGGGGCGGTTGCGCCTGATGGAAGGTAGGTAAGAGCGCGCAGTACAGTTCGAGTGGGGGCAAGTCTTCCGACTGTATTCCAAGAGAGTCGCGAAAATTCAGTCAGACACGAGCAAGGTCAGGCTCGATGTCAATCATGCTTAGGGCTTGGTCTCATACATCGTAGCATGACTCTAGCATTTACGCTGGAGCATCAGACATTTGTATGTGTTGACCGCGTCTCTGGGATCATCGGCTCATGTGGTTGCGAGCCGTCCATTGGATGTGCGGTTCACTTCATGCCTGGCTTGTTGCGGGATTATCCCCATATCTAACGTTCTTCATAGTGAACCCATTTACCGTCACCCCGCGGACGAGTCTCCGCCGTTGCTTCCGTTCTCGCCCACCGTCGCGCGCATCCGTGACCGCGTCGAGGAAGTGCTTAAGGAGCCCGTCAACCACGTGCTCATCCAGCACTACCGCGATGGGATGGACTACATCTCCGAACATTCCGACAAGACGATCGACGTTGTTCATGGCTCGCACATCGTCAACGTCAGCATCGGTGCGGAACGCGTCATGACCCTGCGCACAAAAAAGGATGCGCGCGATGCGCACGCGCACGAGGCGGCGAACGGCCGCTACGCCCGCGCAGTGCAGCGTGTCCCCCTTCCGCACAACTCGATGCTCATCATGGGCCTGGCAACGAACCAGAAGTGGCTTCACAGCATCCGTGCGGACAAGCGCATCCCCACGCTCAAATCTGCGCCTGAAACCGCGTTTGACGGCGCGCGCGTCAGCCTGACGTTTCGACACATTGGCACGTTCCTCACACCCGATGGGAACCATATCTACGGCCAAGGTGCAAAGGCGAAGACGCGCGAAGAAGCGAGAGAGGTCATCAGAGGCGGCGAGGAGGCGGAAAAACTCATCGAGGCATTCGGGAAGGAGAATCATAGTACCGAATTTGACTGGGAAGGAACGTACGGAGAGGGATCCGATGTCTTGCATTTTGAAGTGAAGGATAGGTCTGAACATGGTACTGCGAAGAGCGCATAAAGGCACAAGGGACGTTATAATTGGTATGTTTTGACTTGGATATGCATATGGCTTTCGTTGCACAATACTGTAGGCTCATGGTGAACCGGAGTTCGAAATTATTAATGGACAGTTCCTGGGAATTTTGTAGTTCTCGTTTCCTACGTCTTAAGAAGCTTCTCACCTGAATCGATCGCCTTGTGATCGTGAAGTGGTGGCCGTCACTCACCTATTCTCATTTATGACTCTATCGGATAGTGGGCTTTGGATCTGAAGGCAGGATATCCGGAAAGACAAGTGTTGCAGAATTCAGCAGCATTTAGCAGAGATGGACCTCGCCACAAAATAGTCCTCGTTCCTCATATCTCCTCGACTAGATAGATATTCACCCTATTCAAAAAGGCAGGACCTAGAGGTCGTAAAGTAGATGTCAGGGTCCGCATTGTCGAAACCAGCTGCAGCACTTGCCAGATCAAAGATTTGGGAGCCTCTTGGTCATCTAAGTGGTTGGGTCAACAGCTGAGACTCGTGGGCATGACGTTTTTGGCGCTATCCCAGCGCGGAAACAGAAGACACATGAGGCACACCCTCAGTCAAAGCGTATGGGACAATGCGAACACCGCGGAATTGAATAATTGAAAGGGACGCTACAATGTGATTACGGAACGACGAGGTGAGAATAGGAGCAGACAATACGCAGACAGCAAATATAGAAAACTGAAGGTAGGGCTGATGTCAAGCTGTACCCCCAACCTCTACAAGAGTGGCAAAAATAAGAAAAAGAATCAGTTGATCCAGCGTCACAACCTCAAAGTGGGTGGACACATACGTTCTACCATAACGTCGATTGTATCTACCAAGCACTTCAGTGAGTGGAAATTCCAATTCCATTCATAGAGATACGTACCATTGTCCTCCATATCCAGTGAGGCGGGAGTGTCATCATCATTTATCCTGTTGCCGTCGTACAAGAATCTGCGAACCAAGTGGTCATTATCTCGAGTAGAATCTCGCATTGTCCCGACGGTGGCGCGAAACGAATAGGGCGACGCGATGAACGCGCCACGCATCCCACAAACGCCAATATTCTCGCGGACGATGTGGGCCACTCACCGGATGCTGCTTACATCCTTCCCCACCTTTGCGGCGTACGCCCCTTGGAGTTTGCTAAGTTTTGTGTTCCGTTTGATTTTGAAGAACACTTCCTCTCCCGTTTGTGTCGCTACCTGAGATTCCACGCATCAGCGAAAACTCACAAGGGCTCTCCAGTGCGCCTGCGATGCACGTCGCGCGAGCACACGCACCTTGATGTTGATGGGCGCGTTGGCCTCCTCAGCTTTGGGCTCGACGTCGTTCGTAGATGCTGGCTGCTCTGCGTCCGACATGGTGTATAGATACAGTTAGTGTGAAGTGGATGGGCTTGAGAGGGTAGACGAGGTCGCTACTCGAGAGCGTAAACGTGAACGCCTGGGCAAAGGATATTTGGGCGAATATGCCTTCGAGCGCCCGCGGCTTACGTCAGTGTTTCTCTGGATAAAAACATACGAACTGACAGACAAGTAGATTAGGCGATAGTGTACAGTAGTAGCCGTACAAGTCGAGAGACATATGGAATTATACACCTTGAGACCAGTAGTATACAATATTATGAGATAGGTTACGAAGTGCCCAAAGGAAAGAATGTGAGCGACAAACCAAGAAACATACGCGAACAAAGACGAAGTGGGCAATATTGCGAACATGGAGAAAAGTGCCCTCTGATTCTGCTCCAAAATGGGTCAAACAACACTTCTTCTTGACAACCGCCTTAGGAGCCGCTTCGCCGAGCGATACTCCTCATCCTCCGAGCTCGAGTCCTGCCACACATCTGCATGGTGAGGCTCCTCAATCCTGGACTTCCAGCGACTTTGGTGCACATCGTTGTCCCGGGCCGACGAGGCCCTTGGCTGAGGCCTTCCCCTCAGCGTACCTGTATTGTCGTCGTCGTCGTCCTCGATGGCGGGCGGCGTTGTGGAGAACGTGGGCGGCAACGACATGCGCACACTCTTCCGGTGCACCGGCGGAGTGGCAGTTGTCGCGGTTGAGTCCGAGTGCGACAGGTCACTGCCGCCAACCAATGGCTTGTCATCGTGAGGGGGGGGAGGTGGGGGAGGCGGGTCAACCGCAGGTGGCTCTGGATCGTCGTCGAATTCCTCACGTCCAGTCTCGTACGAAGAAACTGATGCAGCTTCGTCGTTTTTTGCGTCCTCAGCCAGAGTAATGTCCACCTTCGGCGGCGCAACTGCATCAAATATTCCGCTTAGCGACGGCCCAGCTACCGGGGGTGGAGACTTCGGCGATGGAGACCGGCTGGTACGCAACGCAGAACGCAAAGGAGACTTGGGAAGCGGCCTGCTTGCGCCATGTGGTGTTGCAGGCAATGATGGTGCCGATGCAGACGCCGGAACAAGAGCAGGGTTTCGCGGAGCGTCCCGAGCATGCATGTCGTGTCGTTCTGGTGCAGCGAAATGCGATGCAGATTGTGTCGAGATGATTTGGGCACCCATAATGTGCTCGAAGTTTATAGGAGCTGGGGCTTTGGGGACCACCAACATACGATTCGGGTCCTGGCGCAACCACGCCTCCCTATTCTGGCGAGAAACTCCCTCCACGATGCTCATCAGACTAGGCTCGTTCGTCCGAGTCAAGCCTGAACGCTGAGATGCGGACAGTGGCCTGCGGTTACCCTTGGGACCGGATTTCGCGGATTCTGAGATTTCAGTAGATGTCGTGCGTCTTCGCGTGGCTGTGGAAGTGGACGATGAACGCTGTAGTGGGGCAATACCAGAAAGGGGGGAGCCTGAGAGAGGTGCAGAAACGACACTCTGTTTCGATAGGGATGAGTTGCGAGAAAGTGATGGCTTATTTTCCAGAGCAGAGCCTGTTGCATTCCCAGAAGGTGTAGACTTCTTCGCTCTGACGGTGCCCAGATTCTGTGGCATCGAGGGATTGGGGCGAGCATTGCCGTTCATCTTTGTCGCACCATCAATTACAGGCTTCTTCAACTGCGCTGCACCCTGGGCCTTCGATCCCGTAACCGTTGCCCCGTCGCTCATATGCCCCTTGTCCGAGTCACTAACTCGCGGTGCTGGACGTGCTTGCGAGGAGCTCCGCTTCGTCTTCTTCAATCGTTGGGCATTATTCAAGCCATCCGATAGGGAGGGTGTAACGGCAGTCTTGGGACTCACAGGCGCAGGCAAAGAGGCAAACGGTGACCACGTCGCGTAATGATGCGATGGCGCTGCTCCATCCTCGTCAGAGCTATCATCGCCTCCCTTCGTCTTCGCCAGGTGTCGATCGGTGCGAGTGTACCAAGCCGAGCTAGACGCCTTCGTGGGCGAATTCCCATCCATGGACCCACCATCACTCTTATCCTTTTCCTTTTCTTTGTCTCTGTGGAACAGCGCTGCCATCGTCTTTCCGAACAGTGACCGATGGCGCTCTCGCGGCGGCGGGCTCTTCAGCCGGTGGTGTCGCTCCGGTTCACTGGCACTATCCAGAGATCCACGGATAGAGAAATGCGGGTGTCGTAGGCCAGAGACAGGGGAGTCGTGCCGCTTGCCATTGGCTCTGAATCCCGAGTTCTCGTGAACCTCGAGTTGTCCCTCATCCTCGCCCACGCTGCTGCCTCCGTCGCCATCCTCCTCCTCGGGTATTCTTTCGGATGCCAGACCATTCGGCATCGCTATGTCCGTGATGGCGTGTGCGGGAGGAATACTGAGTGTGTAGGGTCTGGGAGCCGTAGGAACGGCTAAGGGCGCATTGGGTGGAGACAGATCAGCATCCGCATGTGGCGGGGCTGCATAAGCAAGTGCTACTTGAGATGCCGACTGAGAAGGAGCTAAAGTAGATAGGTCAGACGGTGGATGTCCTGAATCAGATCCAATATCTGGCAGCGGCTTATAGGCAGCAGCAGACGCATACGGGTGCTGGTGGATACCTGAGAAGGATATGCACTATCAGCACGCGGGCGTAACGACCGGAACCAATCGCTGCTGACTGGATATTGCCCCACGACAGCCTCAGGCATGTAGATAGCAGTCTTTAAGGAGTACACGCATGAACAGAGACACATACCGTTTCCGTTTGGCACGCCGAACGCTTCCAGCGCTCTCAAGCCTTCTTTTCCCATCTCACCCCACGTCCAACCGCATTCGACCATAGCACTGCAACGACCCTGTAGTCCGACTTTGATTGCGCTAGTCCGGAGAGAGTCGAGCTCGCGCTCTTTCATCGCCAAATGAGCCTCACAAGCCTGGAGCTCAGTCTGCGCTGTCGTCAATTTGCTGATATTCTGGGGATCGGACTTGGAGAAGGACAGAGATGAGGTGGAGCCAGAAGCACCCAGGATCCCATCACGGGCAGGTCGCTGTTTGGAGACCTTGATAAGGCGCGTGACTCTGCATTGTAGACATGAAGACTTCGGATGAAGATCTGTACGAGAATACACTTACAGAATCTCTCGGTCCCGCATAATGTTCCCTACTTCGTCCTCCAGGTCCTTCAGCGCCTTCAGCTGCGCCTGCCACCGCTCCAGCGACGCTGCGTACTTGCGCAGCGCATCGTCCGCATTCGCAAGAGCTCCTGCTACAGCGAGAACGACCTGGGAGGCCGGTGGAGCAGACGCCGACGCATACGCCGAGAATGATGCTAGAGAAGCTTGCGAATAGTCAAGTAGAATAGAAAGATGTTTCGAGTAATCTTTTTCGTGAGATAGTAAATTCGTCAAAAGCCGAGAGTCTGCTGGCCGATGAACCATTCAAAATAATGACGACGGTCGGGGGTAAAGTCTGAAGTCATATAACTCCGGTGAGGCAACAACGTCGTTGGCGCATGTCAACACAGATGACGTAGCAGCCGTAGTAATCCTCATTAGCTCCACTGCGTGTGGGAACAATGTGGGTCACACTTACGTGACAATGTCACACATAATATCTAAATTCGGGCTATTGAGATCCAATCCAGGAGATGCATCCCTATCAAAGCCTGAGATCTGAGATCTAACTTGAAATTTGAACTACAATACAAAAGCTCCACAAATTGAGGTTCTGCGATGGAGCCAGCGGTTTTGATGGCGAGTCCTCTTCATTGTTGTGTCTTATAACTCAGGGAGATGGAAAATAATACTTAGTCTCAAGCCAGACGATCGTGCCGTTCCTCGGAGGCTGCCGAAAGCCAATATGTCGGAGATCGAAAAAACCATTGCAGCCCGCCCAGCAGAATGTTGTGCCCTCCTTCGTTCCATCTTCTTGCTGCTCTATGCAGTTAATCCTTCATCTGTATATCATAGCATGCTCGTGTTACCTGCACTCGCTCTACCGAAGTTCACCAGACGTTCTACCACGGAAGCTGCAATGGGTTTTTTCGATCTTCGACATATCGGTTCTCGGTCGCTTCCGTGAGTGAACGGCTGGAGCCGAGACTAGAAAATACCTAGGTTACAGTACAGCTTTCCGCATGCCCGGAAGACTCGCCGGCGTCATGCGGAGGGTGTCGAGCCTTGGTCGAGGGGCCCGACGCGACGTCGAGTCTCAGGTAAGCCAAATCGAGCTGCACTACTACGCTGAAGAGTACCTGGCCAGTGGCACTGCGCAACACATACTATCGCCGCGCAGCCTGTAACTGACAGACTCAAAATCCTCCGCGGACATCCTTTCGGTCAGCAAACACCATCCGAGAGTGCCAGTCGTGCTCCGCCTTCAACCATTCGAGCAATACTGACAACATACTTCTATCGTGTTTAGCTCATTCGAACCCCGACGCTCAATGTATTTGTGAGTGCTTTGCTTTTCAAAAACTCAGACTCCTCCACGGATCCCGCTCTGCGCGGTGATGCTCTACACAAGGAAGCAAGTTCATCCGGCACTTTGAAATATCCCGCTCTACCTACCCCTCCAGCCACATGCGCGTACTGTGGGACTACTTAGCACTGTCGACAGCAAATTGCCTCGCCAGTGCCTCCTTCGACTTCACACAACAACCTCGGCAACCTCATGATGACAGCACCTCGCCTGAAGTTCGCGACCGCGCATATTTCCCTCATTTCCCCATCCCTCACTGTTCATCTTTCTTCGATTCGTCAACTACCCCTCTCCAGCTCAACCAGATGCTCGCGAAGAGGCAGATCGCGTAATATGCTGTACATAACGAGAACACGGGCGAAAAGGTAATTGTTAACTGCTCGCATATTGTCCAGCTTCAGTGTACACTCTAATACATCGATAGCATCGTCTACTAACTTTCGTTGAAAGGCTCGGCACTGTAAACGAAGATCTTGTACCCACCATCATTAATTCATACAACCTCGTTGAACCACGCGGAGAAGGACAGCTCAGACGTGCAAGTTTGTGTCATTTCAAACTTATACTAACGAGATTTGAGTTTTCATCGGATGTGCTACAATGATTCAAGCACAGAAAAGGAGTATAGAAGCATCTAGAGTACACGAATCGCCACATGCTAATCTCCATACAAACGTCTACTGTCCTCAATTGATGGTGGAAGTGATAGTCTTGACCGAAGTCGAAGTTATCACATCTGTAGAGGTCGCGGACGCCGTAATCGTGGAGGTACGGGTGGACGTCACTGGAGTGGTGGTAATGGACTGCACATCGATTGTTCGCGTGCTCGTTACGTACACAGTGGTGTAGATGTATACTGAGAACAGAAATAGCGGGTGAGTGCAGGTTGGACATCGATAGTATCAGACTTACCGGCATTGACACCAGAAGCCACCAGGAATGCAGCCGCGATGATGCTTTTACTGAAGAGCATGATGAACAATATGTGAAGAGGCGTAGAATAGGTGAGTGTGTGTGCTGTGTGCTTGCGAGGTGAGAATGATAACTTTTTATCAAGGTTCGTAAGGCTTATATGCCTTTCGACGCTGCCATTGGCATCTTCTCCACTCTCCCGCTCCCTCGCGGATGAGACTGCATAGATGCGGAAGGGAGTGGGAAGACTGATGGAAGCGAACACCAGCCGCTATCCTACCAAAGTTTTCCAGCAGTATCCGAAGTTCCTTGTCCCTGTTAGGCGATCCCGCTGTGCTCTCGCAGTCATGACCAGGGCAGTCGCACCCATTCGCGGCAGCAGAATTTGCATCCGCGCCCACTGGCCTAAGGCATCACATATTACTCGCCATCCGCCTGCCACATCCGCCAGCCGCTCCAGGTTGTCCCGTCCTCCAGCAGTGAGCACAGTGCGGCATACCCCGCTTTGCATAATCGACGGTTACTGACGGTGTCCAATGTCTTCCTTCCGATGATAGGATCGACGGCGGTCGTCATTATCCGCGTTCCCGGATTTTCACTCCCTGTTGTGGACATATCAATTCGAGGCGGCGGTGCCATAGCACGATCATCCCGACAGCACTCAAATCGATCACTTGTAGTTTTCGATCAACGACCTGAGTAAGTACTGCTGTGCGGTTTGTCTTCCTTCCTGCTCTACTTGCAGTCTCGGATCGGCTGTCTGCCACATGGGGTGAGATCACCTCTTCTCTTCTCCACCGTACTATCCTTACCCGTACCCGTGGAGTCCGTTGCGGTAAACGTCGCGGATACCTGTGCTCCCGAGCGGCGCGGAAGCTAAATTCTTTGACCTCTGTCAGGCCCGATCAAAATAGTGGAGAAACTAGCTAGGCTATTCCCGACACCATATCCGAGATGCGTAAGGCGGAAAGCCTCATTTAGACGGTCCAGCGAATGCCGCGCGGGTTGAGCTCGACGTACTTCCGCGCGCATGTCTTTTCCGCAGCCGGTCGGCTTGCGGATGGCCCAAGTTCCCGCCTGCCCGCGATGAAGGCAGAATATCCAAGTAGGACGTGAGCCAGGAGATCCAGGTATAAAGTGCGGTTCGACGACAGCCAAAAATCATCAACTCAAAATTTTTCATCGTTTACACATCCTCACACCAAATCCTTTATCAAATCAATCCAAACAAGATGATGTTCCCCAGCACTCTTTCGCTTGCTGCTCTCCTTGCCGTCTGCTCCATGGCGCTTGGTACGTACCCATTTCCTGGTGTTCCATTCATAGTCTAATCGTCGCATAGCGAGCCCTGCCCCCAAGGCGGACACAAGGACAGTCACGCGTACAGACACTATCACCACCTCTGTGACCGACACCACCACTACGAACACGAGGACTTCGCGTACAACGACTGTCGTCCCGATCACCACGACGTTCACAAGGACCACCACGACTACAACTGTGACGCCGACAACAACTACAACTTTCGTGCACGCATAGGCGGACAATCATTCGAGTCGAGATCTGTTCGTTTGCTATTGTATCAATATGCATATAGACACTTCATGTATTGCTTAAAGAACTATTTTATTCGCTTCTACATGGGTTGTGCGTAAATTCGAGTCCTGACCAAAATCTTACGCCAAAGTCTCAAACAATATTTTCCCTTGCAAATCTTGTTAACAATTTTGTTGTGAACGATTTCTCTACACCAATTATCGTGAGCGCCGGCCAATCTGGGTCGGTGAAATCTGAAGGCAAACATACGCACGACGAGACAGGCAAGGCTGTTAATTAAATGTATTGTATGAGTACGTCCTCAGTGAGAAATTGTGAGGCGTATGGTGGATATGGAGATTGCGGCTCGGCTCCTCAACGCTAACCACCTCCAGCAACTTGAATTGGGCATAGGGTCTGAGACACGAAATTGCGTCCTAGGCTCGTTAACCAGCCTCTACTATCGTTACCTCAGTAATGCAATTGCGATTGCATCTCTGTCACCGTTCCTTCAAATCGGGCCCGTTTTCCTTCGAACCTCTTTGGATCAAATATACAACATATAAGCTACCTTCTGTGTGACTGCCAATTTTTTTCCTGATGTTGTGCGACTCCAAGACCGAACGCAGTGAAGAGACTGATTTGCACGCAAGAGCGCCGAATCGGTCACAGATCGTCACGCTTGCCGACGTGCCGTTCCCTTGTTCTCCCTCTAGTCGGAGTTTTAAATGGCACATTTCACTGTCACGCCTAAGTCCTCCAAACTTGCAATTCAGAAACTTCGCACTCTTCCCCTCCGAGTTTGACTCCCAAGTTGCACAGCCAAGGTATTTGGGACTGTGCACATCTATTGCATATTTTTTTGTGATTTTTAGTGCAGCAAAATGCGGCAAAACGGCGAAATTGCATAACTAGACCAGATTGCAGTACTGGGGTAACGATAGTAGTAGATAGGAAGAAGGAGTCGTTCCTCTCTATAGAATTGCGTCCGTCGATTGTCTGCGAATGCGTGAGTGAGTACTGTGCGCTGTGATTAGCGTCCCTTGATAATCGTTGAGCTTATATGCATTTAAGCAGCATCCTCTCGTATCCGTATATGAAGCGGAATATCGAGCACGTAAGAGGCCATATCCACCCACCTGTCTCTCTTCGCACTCACGTATCTCATGACATTTAGGCGGAAGTAGACAATGACTTTACAATGACATATACACTATCAAGCAGACCAAGCGACGAGTACAGCTGAGCAAAAGCCTTCACGTGTAAAAGCCATCGTATGAGATCGGTTGTGAAGTTGAAGCGTTTTCTTCCACTTAATCCTCATTTCCACAGATCACGTCTTATTCTTACACCGCAATTCGAGCGACATACACGCGGAGGGGCCTACTTGTACAAATGCTGGACGACAAACATAATTGCGGAGGTGTTCACAAACCACAGCGAGACCGTTTACCACTTCTCGTGGGCAGGACGAACTAAAACAAATGAGTCGACTACGCAGAATCGACAGCACGACGGAGCACTCACGGTCGAGCTCCCAGGTCCAGGCGGAATTGTCTTGATTGGCAAGGTAGAGATAGGCCTGGCGAAAGACCAAGCCATGTTAGAGGATGATGGAAAGAGCAGTTGAAGCCATTACCTTGCCAATGCTCTCGGGGTCCAACCTGACATTCGCGTTTTCCCTGTACTCTTTCAGGGCAGCCGGGTCAGTTAATCGTCCCGCGCTGCGATCAGTGAGAATTCCTATAACGGGACGTCATACACCACGAGCGAACCAAAGAGGCCGTCCACTTACCTCCGTCAATAATCGACTGAAGGATGCGAAGAGCAAGAATCAGAATCCAGAGTGGGCGTTAACGCATTAACGACTTACGTGGGCGACCTGCAGGATCGCATGTAAAGATTAATTGGCTGCAATGCAGATATAAACCGATGCTACTCGCATGAATGTTCTGCTTTCCGAATTCCTTGTTCAAACTCTGGCTGAGAGCGCGCAGAGCAAACTTCCCGGCAGCAAACGCACTCGTCGTCACATTACCTCTCCAGCTGGCCGTGGCGCCGGTGAACAGCAGCGTCCCACGCTTCCCAAGCTCGTCTACTTCATTCTGCTTGAAGATTGATAGGACCTGGTGGGAGAACGCCCATGGCCCGACGATGGTACTGTCGATCACGGATTGCACCTCTTGTTCAGTGATGTCAAGGAAGGGCTTCCAAACTCCGGTGCCGGCGTTCCAGAGGGCGACACGAATCTCGTGCTTCGCAGGAGATGGCCATTTATACGCCTTAATGACTTGGAAAACATCGGTGATGGCAGCCCACGAATACTCCTGCACAGGAAAGGATGCGGCCTGCACAGCATCAGAGTGCGCGGTTAGTGAGATGGCTACCAGTATGGAAGAACACGCACTTCGCCACCCTCTTGTTTGAGGACCTTGGCAGCTTTATCCAAGTGCCCAGCGTTCCGCGCAATCAAGGCAACGCGATATCCTGCCTTGGAGAAGACACGGCTACACGATGATGGCCATCAGTCATCCTGTAGCATATGCAGTCCACAGGAGGTAATTACGCCGTCGCAAATCCAGTTCCTGACCAGATATCAGGTAATATTAGCGATCACAGTTTCGACACATTGGCTGAGAGACATACCCGTGGCGTTGCCGATTCCTGCAATCACGATAACAGGGCGAATGGATCCGGACATGTTGGATGTAAAGAGTCGCTACACAAATGCAAACTGTGAATATTTATTGGGATCTGTGGGTGGATTCGACGTCCGGGGTAAGATGGTGCTCCTGTCAAACGTTACGCTACGCTAGCTTTATACCCGACGCCGCGAAGGCGAAGGTCGGCGTCACCGAGGCCGCAAACCTCGGGAACAAAGAGAGGTCGATCGCTTCGTCAGCATGAGATTGATAACGTCGAATACGCCAGCTAGGGGCAAGCTTTCGCAAACTTCTCCAGGATCAACTCATTATGAGGACGCAGTGGCGCGATGGTCAGCGGACAGACAGCCCGCGCTTGATTTATTATTACCAATCAAAGTTCGACCACGTATACATGGCGTGTCAATGTACAACGAATGCAGCTTGTACAGTACAGTACAGTTCTTATACGACAGCAGAAAACATGATTGCGTGAAGCGTCCGAGGACTCCGAATATGCGTAACAGGCCAAATCTGCTCGCCGAATCGGGAATGGCCCGAGTTCAGAGCAGAGACTGCATGCAAGCCTGCGAACCAGCTCACCTATGTAGATCACGCGGAAGCTTTGGGGAGAATTACTGTTATAATACACTTGGAAGTTCCTGGTAGCCGCTTGGGACTTTGGTGTCGTCGAGCGGCCGCGACCACTTCTCTGCAAACATGATCAGTCGAACTCAATTCACTGAAACAGGGTGAGAAACGAACCTGGACATGCTAAGAAGTAGTCGTTCATGGCGCTGACAAATCGTTCTTGATACTCATGTGGAGGCACCACGGTTACTTCTTTCCCAGCACTCAGGCCCTGCTTGGCTTTGTACTCGAGCGTTTTCGCAAACGTATAGCTACCTGAAAGTAGGTTTTAGCAGTATGCTCTCTTACGGAAAAGAAGAATCATACCTATAGTGTCCACAAGACCGCAAGCAATCTGTTTGCGTTCTTCATTGATCCCAACGAGCAAGCTAAAGCGCAATATAACGTGAAACCTGCGACAGACAGGACTCAATATATAGACGCACGAATAGTCCATGACGTTACTTCGTGCCAGGAAGTCGCAATCTGCCTTGATTGCTTCTTGAAAGACGACTTTGGAATGAGGGTGCACAAGGGTCAAAGCCCGTCGTTGGCCTGCAGATTCTAATTATTTACCACCAAGTCTCCGTTGTGGCAGGTAGACGTACCTTCGATCCATTCGCCATCAAATAGTGTCTTAGAGCCAGTACTTGCTGAGGCTTTGACTTTTCGACCCTGGATGCCTTTCAGGTCAAAGGTCTTGACAATATTCTGGTCATAGAACAGGTTTTCCATGACTAACAAATCGGCCTTTGCTTGCGTTGTACCACTTTCAAGGTTTCTGATCTCTACGGTGAAAAATCCTAGGAGCTTAGCAAGTACGGTGGGTTTACTAGCAGTCGCATCCATGTATCGGAAGTATGAAGGCCCAAGGTCAATCAGCACCTGGCTGTGGTAAAATATGTCAATAGCACCGAGAAAAAAGAACAGACATGACTCACAGATCAGCGACATTCCACGCATTGACCAAAGTCTTGATGATGAACTGATCGTCTGTAGTCTTCCAGAAATTCGACTTACTCTTGCCACCTTCGGCCGCCCAATTCTCGCTCCGAGACAAACTTCTCAAGAACATGTCTTCGATCCCACACCGCCGGCGGAGCGCATCAAACTGTTTTGCGTAATAGACGGTACAGCTGAATCGGAGCCGCTTGCCAATCGTCCAGTCATACTTGATATGAGGTCGTTCATCGATGGCGGGCGAGTCGACCACAAGCAAAGCGTGACGGGCCGGGTGTGGAGGTGGTTGTGGCGCATCGCCCGACTTCAGCATAAGGCGCATGGCGTTGGTGAGAGTATTTGTGAGTGACATTGCCAGAGATGTTTGCACAGTCTGCATGTGATCTGTAAAGGGATGCATATTTTTCTCGGGATGATCCTGTGCTGAGCTGCTTGCACCTTTGGGTGGTACTGGTGGAGGAGTTGCAGAACTACTGCTGCTTACAACCCCGACTGTGCCTTGGCTATCGCTGGATATAATTGAAGATGATTTGCCCCGCCGGATATTAGTCTCTAGAAAGCTTGAAGTGGTAACTGGCGTGGTATCGGATGTCGCTGCAGAACTATGCCAAGATGCTGCGAGATTCGTGCTGGTCTCTAGATCGTGCAGAATTTTTCCCGCAGCTTCGACAGCCTCCGACATCTCACTGACGTTACCCTCAGCACCCTGCATCGATAGCTCTACTTCAGGTTTCGCGTACGCAGAGGACGGTACAGGGTGGTCAGGCTTTGTATTCGAGAAAGCAGCAACAAATTTGGATCCAGATGGGCTCCCCTGACCATCGGCAAAGCCCTTGCTATGTCGAAGGACCTCACGAAGGGACATCAAGGACGTTGGATCCTTAGGATGTTCCTTGCGACTGATGACTGCAGAATAAGCTTCTGGCTCCTGCCACATAACACCTTCTTCATCAGGGTCTAGCTGAGGAACAGAGCCACTGATAAGACGTTTCAACGAGGCGCCTCCAGTACTGAAGAAGGATGGTCTGGCGTCAGCTGGAGTCGAAGGCAGGACTGGCACGCCTAAGCGGCCAGGTGCAGACATGTTAGCCAATTCCTGAAGGTAATCCTGCGAACTGAGCGTCCCAAATCATAAGCCCCATCATGCACACGCAGAAGAAGTGAAGTAAAAATGCATACCTTAGCGTGAAGGCTATGATGCTCCCCCAGTCATTCTCTCTGACAATAATATTCCCGCCAGGCACAGCATGGCAGCCGGTCTTCCACCACTCGGGTTCAGACAATGAGGGTGGGCCACTCAGAGCTGAACCCTTTGGAAGGTGAGATGAGTGTTTGTGCTCCCATGCAGCAAGACGTCTTGATGCCCCTCGAGCAGCTGTCAGGAATGAACGACGCACATCGTTCAGGGCGGACGAGGACGTTCTTGACAACTCAAGGTAGAGAGCCTGCTCAGTCCGCTGAAACGAATGCCGCAGGCCAGAGAGCAGATGTATGGAGTCGGGCCCTTGGGATTGCGAAGAGCCGGTAGAAAAGGATGACACGGAATTGGAAGCGGAACCTGCAGGGGCAGTTGCATGTACGGACGGGGTGTGATTCCCGGAACCAGAAGCATTCTGGTTCGACTGCGTGATAGGCGGTATCGCACCAGATGAGAGACGTCGTGGATGACTCTTAGGAGTCGCCAGGTGTGCATCATCAAATTCGTAGGCATCATCACTTGAAGGTAGTCGCGGAAGGGCTTTGTGGAGAGGGTGATCGTCGTCGTGGAAGAAGTTCTCCTCCTGCCAAAAATTATGAGTATTCAGCTATTTCATGAAAAGCAACTCACAAGTTTGTCCATGTGTTCGGATAGGCCCTGCCACCAATTCATAATCTCTCGTCGTAAAGTCCGTCTATCGTCTTCGCCAGATAACTCGAATCTCGACTGCTCTATCAGATCGGCACCTTCTGGGGCCTTCTCGACAATCTTGTGTCGGACGATCTGAAATCTTGGCACTCGAAGCTCAAAGGTATCCTCGATCGTCGTCTGTGAGAATGTGACCGTGCGCGATTTGTAGGAAAACTTGCGAAGGATAATCAATCTCATCGGGGAAATGGTATCTGTAGATGCGGGTTGAGAAGTTGTGTGTTCACATAGCGGTGTCCTGAAGGCACAGATAGTCGGTGAATAAATCAACAATTCCAGGTACTTGGCAAAGGAAAGCAAACTGTCACACAAAGAGGTTAGCGTCGAACACACTACAACTACAGAACCTACTATGTTCCGTCGAACATCTGCTCTTTTCGTGATTCTTTGCCGCAAATCGCACAAGCTTCCCACATCTGAATGGTCTCATCTCCTGTGGCAAAATTGCCGGTTGAACCGCCACGACGTCCGACAGCTGCAACGATCCGCACCCCGCCATGTATCCACCGGGAATCATGATCGCCACGCTTAAAATGACAGTCGGGGTTATCGCACGCATCTTCTGCATCAATGCACATCTGTATTATCTTCTCTCCGAGTGCCTCGTCCGCACCAATATCGCGGCCGTAGTACCGATAGGTGATCCACTTTCTCCAGGTGCCGCAATATCCAGGCCGCGCAGAAGTTTGCAGCGCGGAAGACGTCGAAGTTCCAGATGAGCCCAGCATCGGGGCTGCCGAAACTGTAAGGGGGAGAGGGATGTGTTGCGAGTACAACACCGATAGCCCCTGGTGTCGCACAAATCCTGGCGTGCCAGTCATGCCTTGCGCCAGTGTCTCCTTGCCTTCCCAGCCGAGGATGCTCGATAGTGCAGCCTTCTCGTCGCCCGTCAGTTTACGTGTCGGATCTGCGGTCTCTTTCTTCGCCAGACTAACGAGCACACTCGGCACAGCGAACTTGAGGCCTGGAGAGGTCGACAAGAGGTCTTTGCACCGTTCGATATGCTTGACTATGGACGTGAACTCCGGCTGCTTTGGAGGGCCACTCTCGCCCGATGCCTGCGGTGGTACGGTGGACATGAACGAAAAATGCCGTTGCCGTGGAGTTACGCCGTCGTCGGACGTAGTGGAGAGTGAGGGTGCGGCATGCTTGTGCATCAAGGGAAGTTCCAGAGAGCCACGACGAACCAGAGAAGGGCCTACGTTAGCGGCCCGCGTAAGCAGATGCTCCGTCTTCTTGGAGAAGAAAGACCATAGGCCCGACGTAAAGGTGGAATCGTGTTTCGCCCTGCCCTTGACTTCTTGCGGCGACTTCGGCCCTGCAGGAAACGGGACTGTTGCAGCGGTGGGGAAAGAGGGCTTCGGGAAATTTAGTTCCACGTGTGAATTGAAGAGGACGTGCTGCTCGAGCACGAGCGAGAGGTACATGAATATAGATAGACGTAGGACCTTGCACAGCGACTCGTGTTGAACGGGCGATACGGTACCTCGAAACCGGAATGTTCCTCCTACGATCTGCACAGGGTCTTCATCTTCTGCATCTGCTGATACTGAGGCACAAATATATGTGACCGTGCATCTAACGTACCTTCCCATTCGTCCAGACCATAGAGCACACGACCAGGCGTGTCGTCACCATCCGTCGGAAGGGTGAACACGTCGTTCACAAACAGACAGGCAGTTCCAGCACGCACGACATGAAACTCCCGTTCTTGCACGGCAGTGGGAGAACTGAAAGCGTCAACAGTGAGCAACAGATGCCTCGCTGGAGGTTTGGGCGAGGGCGGGAATGGTTTCGAGACTGCCTCGCGAAGATGGGAAAGCGCTGCCTCGCGATTATTACCGGCATGAAGTCGAGGAAAAGCCTTGACCGTCTCGCTCGACGCCAAACGGACGCAGCCTGGTTCCAGGTCGTTCGTCTGTTCCTTCTCCGCGTCCCTCTCATCGATTCTTCGCTTGCTGTTACGTTCGACACACTCTCTTTTCTCCTGCTCCCTTCTTCTTTGCCTCGCCTTCTGCCTTGCCGTGCGTGACCGCTTGATACCAGTTAACCAACCACCTCGTGAAATATCCGCACCGAGTTCATGAAGTGCATCTTGTAGCGCATTTGCCCATACCTCGCGCTCGCCGGTAAATTCTCCCTCTTCCTTCAATGAATTCCGGATGAATTTGTGTAGATGAGCACTCGCAACAAGCGTCAGAGTCGTCAAATTCGGAATCCGCGACGGCACGTCTGGAAGCGGTTTCTCGAAAGCCATATCTTAGCTGCTATCAAATAAAGGCTGCAGAGATCCGAGAGTGGAAGCGATTTGCATGGAAGTCACAGGTCAAGCTTAAGCCAGAGAAATAGGTGGTGTTGTGCCGACCGGTCTCAATGAGGCATTCATCCGCACTGCGTCATGATGCATGATGGCTAGGATCCGGATCAAAACTCTAAGTTAATCGACGTCGAAGTCGCGATTCAGGATATATCTCAGACAGCGCTCTCAGGTGTAAAGGGTACACTAGTCTACAAGCACCATGCTGTACTGTAGCGTCATTTACATTACCATCACATTTCGCCACATTCTGAGAAGAGGAAACAGAAGGATGAGTAAATAATGGCTGTCCGACAGACATATCCACCTACCAACAATCTTCACCGCTAGCTTTGGTCTGTTGTTTGGGCCAGTGGGGACATTCTCAATTTTGCGCAGAGTGAGCATTCCATCTATGACTTTACCAAAGACGACATGCTTTCCATCCAGGAAGTCACACTTGGCCGTCGTGACGAAGAACTGCACAATCAAGGTTTGATTAGACACATCCAACTAAGGGACTCAGTATATCTACCTGACAACCATTTGTGTTTGCTCCTGAATTTGCCTGCCTCGCTCAATGAGAAATGCACCATTACCTGAGAGACGGGGAAATACCATTGATAGGAGTCCAGGCCCTGTGTGTTTCTCTTGGAAATTCTCATCCTAATACGCCATTCAAAGATTAGGAAAATCATAAATGTTGAGTTAGAGGGATTGGGAATGCATGGTAACTGCACTCCAGTCGAATGGCAAGATGGCATAGAATATACGTACAGGAAACTTGTCCCCGTAAATCGAAAAGGACCCAGTTCCATCTCCCTTGATGAAGTCACCACCTTGTCACACATCGCATAAGACATAGACACGACCATGTAGCAAGAAACATTGGTCTCACCTTGACACATGAAATTAGGAACACTGCATCAAGACATGCTGAGAACGAAACAGGTATCACGGTGCGTAAAAAGCTTACACTCTGTTCAAAAGCTTGTTAGAAAGCATGGGCTAAATTATCACAGCAACAGCCATGATAACTTACCGATGGAACGTCGCATTTTTGTACCCCTGCGGCCGCGAATTCACTCTGGTATCCCGGTTAGTCGGCAGTCATCGGAGAGCGTGTCAAACAGACCTCAAGAAGGAAAAAACAATCACCTGTACTCTCCTGTGCAGAGTTGTCTGAAGTTCTCTGCGGTTCTGTTAGAGACGTGATCTCAGTGAACGTCTGGGAGTAACGACCTGAGACTCACTTTGGGACGATGTCGCTGAACAGTTCCATTTTCAACCGCCCTGCGGGTGTCTCTCCGATGTTGACATCCATAAAAACGATAGGGCGTGTCGACGACATAGCAGCGCAGAAAAACAGAGAATGATATTTCCTGCTCGAAACTGGCCTACTTGCTTAAGGTGAAGGCGAAGAACCCCAAAAAGGCAATTATGCGGACTTGTCCAAGAGGACAAATAAACGCAAATACTTCTTCAAGGTCTCTCTCGTCTTTCTTCTCATCTTGTCAACGTCAAAGACTTCCGAAGATGTCTTACTTCCTCCCCCACCTGGGCAGTGGCTGGCATGTTGACGAAGCAATCAAATCTGAGGAAGACCGTATAGTGGTGATCCGCTTCGGGCACGACTGGGACGGCCAGTGCATGACAATGGACGAGACGCTCTACTCCGTCGCGGAGAAGGTGCAGAACTTCGCCGTCATCTACCTCGTCGACATCACCGAGGTACCGGACTTCAACAAGGTGCGTGGAATTCATTCCCCGGCCGTGTGGCGTGCTGATAGTGGTGCAGATGTACGAGCTGTACGATCCATGTACGGTCATGTTCTTCTATCGGTATGTGAAGTTCGGTGCATGTGATGGCGCACAGCTCACCCTGCGTATGCCAGCAACAAGCACATCATGATCGATCTGGGCACTGGTAACAACAATAAGATGTATGTCTGCAGATGTTGTCGGACTGATCATGTGTCACTTACCTCTGTTTCTGGTGGTTAGTAACTGGGCTATGGATAACAAGCAAGAGGTCAGTGTTATTACTGATTAATTTGCACCGACATCGACTGACGCATCGCGTTGGTAGTTGATTGACATCATTGAGACAGTGTATCGCGGTGCGTCCAAGGGTCGTGGTCTTGTCGTTTCTCCCAAAGGTGCGTGGTATCAACCGATATAATGATGCCGCTCATAAGCTTCTCTTCTTAGATTATTCGACTCGTTACAGATACTGAGCATTGGACGGTTCTTTTTTCATTTTCTTAACATATGACTGGTGTGTATCAATGAAACTTTGATTTTATCTGATGTTTACCCCACAAAATTATGTAACGGAGCAGTAGAAGACAACAGGTCTGGAAAATACCACTTCACTTCGCCCACCGACAATTCTCAGACCGATCGCGTTGACTTGGGATGCTATGTAGTGAGCCTTCTATGCTCTCTTCCAGACTCCCTGATAATCCCCATAAACGCTCATGAGCACGAGGATAACATCACACTGTCACCACTTGAAACAGCGCGTATTACGCGCGTAGGAGGGTCGTTCGCGTCCCAGCTGGCCTTGTTTATCCGTGCACTATTACTCCACCCAACTGCGATCAACTCCGCAAAGCTGTGCCCGAGGCGATGCAGGTTGCCTCCACCTAACCTGTACTACGCGAGGCTCTGAGCGATCACCTGCCTGCTGGCCACAACCACTCGTGATGGTACCAACAGCGCCCGCGCACTGACGCCCGCGTTCTCGCCGATATCAATTTCCTCCGACCTAGGCTCGGCATGCTAGAAGTGTAGCACGGGAACTGTTTGTACGTCTGGCTAGAGGTCTCTTTCCAGTCTTTCTGTGTGCAAGCTCGTGTCGTGTAAGTACAGCGCCAATCGGCGCGCGCGCTGTTTGCGTTTCCGCTTCTTTCATTCCGCCGAAATAAATTTCAACGATCTCGATGTGAGAAACAATGTGAGGCAGGCCATTTCGTCCATGCGTATCACACGGCATAACCTTGAGATCCCGGGGTGGACGGAGAGGGTTTGAGAGCGTCTGCATTCCATCTGTGGAGGCTCTCCGGTAGATATTTCGCCGGTTGTGATTCGCAGGTGGTGCAGCGAGCGCTTTCTTTATGTCGAAGGCTCCGGTCTGGCGACCCTATGACAGACAACATTAGGCAGCAGCGCGCTGCGGAGGACCAGGAGAGCCTGTAAAGTTGAAAGTGCAGTGCGCCCTCCCAATCGTGACCATTGGCCGACATGCATTGACTTGGAGCTGTCGAGCTCTACTGCGTTTGACCGGCCAGCGGGATGCAGCGCGATCGTCGCAAAGAGCGCCGAGCGAGGACGACGGGTAGACGAGAGCATGAAACGTAGGTCTGTCCAACGAGGAAAAATCAGGCACAGTGAGAAAACTCGAACCAGAGAGTCTGCTAGGCACGAGACTGAAGTCGACGGGCAGGTACCCAATGAACGTGGGCGAACAGTGCGGACAGGTTTTGCGTGCGACGCAGGGAAGCGTGCAAATATTTATTGGGCAGTTTAGTCTCGTGGCCGAGTCTCCGTTCATTCGGCGCATGGGGTATCGACGAGAACTGCGGGGCGTTAGCTGCGAGTTCCTCCGCGTGTGTGTCCGGTCGACAGAAGCTAATCTAGTCCGAAAAGCCGAGAGGAAGACCAGAGGTCGTTTGCGCGTGAGGACCACCATCGATATTGTCACACGCGACGTGGGATGTGGACAAAGCGAACATGCGTCAACGGCGCGGATTGAGAGAAGTAACCATGGGAGGAAAGCCTTGGGCTTGCGCGTGGGACGTTTATACTTGCGTGCTCGAGATGACATTCGCTGGGAATGTAGCGCAGATTGGAAGGTTGCGTGTCGGCGATGAGGCGCAGTTTGCGAGGAGGTACGACGGTGCGCTCCCAGAAGTATTCGGACATGTAACAGGATGGGTCAGCGTATAAGGTGGGTTGCAGACAGAAAGGCCATAAGTGGACTCGAGGAGTGACCGAGAATTGAATTTTACAGAGCTGATTTGTGTGGGAGAGAAATAGAAGAGTCCTCGGTGGTGCCTTGGTATTAGAGCGGTACTTCTTTCCTGAGGATTGCAAAGTTGGCCAGACAAAGAAGGTGAAGAAGCCAACATTGCAAACATGTGAAGCACACAGCTCCGAGAGCACGAGAAATCCTCGACCAAAGTGGCATGCCGCATGGCCGGCATTCCCACCCTGGGAGAGTTGTGAACCCCACACTCACGATCCTGTCTTCGACACAAGAATAGCGCATACGTATCAGCATGCGGACTCTCAGTCAAGCCAGTAGTCAGCAAATAACCCACCAACGCTACGGTAGAAACCAGTGAACGTGTGCGAGTGCAGGTCGGACTCAATAGGTACGGGGAGGCAATGACATGCTTAAGTCGCTATATCGCCGTAGAAACAAATTAATACAGGGCACGCCGAGGGACGATAGAGCGGGCACCAGGCCTGCCTCGACGGTAAGATTCTGAAGGATGCGTCAAATTTCGTGAACGCAAAGTCTGATGCCATATCAGAACATACCGATTATACGTGACAAGGATTTTTCAGACGAAACGCGTACTGCAGCCATAGTTGAATGTTGAGCTCTTGAAGGCTGTTCTTCTCTACGATATAAAGAAGAATTGAAGAAGAAAGAGAAACTAGTTTAAGTACCCGTGGAATGAGAGAAACGGGAAACAACCGACCAAATCCGGAAGCCAGAGGCCGGAACGGCCGGCGAAATGTCGCGCAGGCAACGACGTGATTGGGGGAAATCCAGCACGTGATGGCGACACGATCTGCAGATTGCGGGAGTGTCTCGGCGCTGCAGCGTCCTTCTCGAGTCCGCAGCAGTGGCGGATGAATCAGCGTTGTAATATAGAGCTACGTACGCAGGGTAGACCGGCGAGCGAATTCTCGTTGTGGAGGTCGAGGAATTAGACATGGCGACGACGGCAAAGAGTGTCGGATCAGTCAGAGCGCAAGGCGGTGAAGGACGAGATGATGTGTCGGGCGTCCCGCAACTGCCACGCTAAATTTGGCGAGAGGGAAGAGCCAGGCGCCTGTGTACCTCTTCGTCCGCTTGTTCTGTTTTGTCTTTCTCCGTTTCGACCTCCCAAAGTCCTCGCCGTGCGAGAGACATCACGCCAGCATGTCTTCCTCGACACCATCCCCGAGGCCCCCCTGGCCACTCACCGCTCTTCTCCCCGGCCGTCTCCGCCAAGATCAGCAGATGCAGTACGACGACCTCGAAGCCCTCTACGAGCCCCGCGCTCTCCTCGCCCACGCTCCCTCCTTCACATACCCAAACAACTCTGCAGACCATCTCCATTCTCCAGCGACGAATACCACTGCTTCCCGCTCTCGCCGCTCCTCGCTAGACCGCCCTCCCTGGCCGCCATACCCAGACCCGTTCAGCTCAGCGGAAGGTCTGCCGCGCCCGATGACTGCGCCAGCCACGCTTGCGCCTGCATCCGCCGATGACGCAGCCAAGCACGACGCAGCCAAGCACGTCTACCCGTGCGTCTCCTACACAGTGTACCCGCGTCTGTTGCTGACACACACACAGCGCAGCGCACGCTCATCACCGCGGCGCGTCCTTCTCGTCCTCTCTGGACATGTTTGATTACGAACAGGAGCTCCGGGACGAGGTCGCGGGTGCGGAAGCTGCGGGGATTCGGCGCCGCGAGCTCGGTGTCCTGTTCAGCGATCTGCGCGTCGTGGGACTGAGCGCCTCTGCGACGTCGCAACCCACGTTCGGCTCGATGTTGAACCCGCTCTCGATTCTGGATGCGATCCAGTCGATGCGACATCCTGCTATGCGCGATATTCTTTCTGGTATCGATGGCGTCGTGCGTCCCGGCGAGATGCTTCGTGAGTCTCCTCTCTCTTGCTTTGATTTTTTCTCTCTTGCCGTATATCTCTCTTTCTTGCCTTGAATTTCTCTTTCATGCCTTGATTTTGTCTCTCTTGCCTCGATTTTACTCTCTCGCCTTGATTTTCTTTACTCCTTTATCCTTCATTGGTCTTCGGGAGCATGGTGCACTGCTCTTCTATCCGATCACATCATTTGTGATTCAGCAGATTGGCGTGGTTCTCGCATTGTTGGCAGAATGTCACCCGTCCTGCCTGGGTTGCGGGTATACCAGTGGATGCTTTAGCCGGCATTGGGCCCCTCGGCGCGCCCCGACGGCGGAGAGATCACGGCAGCCGCTCGCTGTCGGGAACTCCCAGGTAACCCTACATTAGGGTTTGTGCCGATCCGGCGTCGGTGGTTCGTTTAAGCGCTCGCGAGGGAGCCTAAGTACCGCGTACAGCCGGTTGGTGTCGAGGTTGTTGACGCACTGGCTGTGGGTGCAGGGGAGAGCACGTCTCGTGTTGAGGTTTGATTTCATGTTAAGCTCGCAAGAACTGGCGACCGATTTCGGGATCAGATGGGATCGAACGTCTGGTACCCAGAGTTGCAGTGATTGATTTGATTTTCTGTGGAGATTTGAGGGATTTTTCCTTGATCCTTCCCGAGCGATGAAGTTTTTTTTTCTCTCAGGCGGATGTTAGCACCGGAGTTCTGTGCAAGTCGATGATGCTGTGGGCGTATGCAGCAAGAATAGCCCCGCGCTGTGTCAGACCTGTTAGCTACCGTTCTCTCAAAACCTGGAAAATCTGGGTACAGTAAACTAACGTTTCGACTGGTCGCCTTGTTTCTGTTTTAATCAAATTTACCAGCCGTTAACTCATAAATCTCGCCCGCAGTGGTCCTCGGGCGCCCTGGGGCAGGATGCACGACGCTGCTGCGCACGCTGGCGAACCACCTGTATCCGACCGACGCGCTGACGATCTCGGGCTCGCTCTCGTACTCGGGGTTCGGGCCTGCGGAGATCACGCACCAGTTCCGCGGGGACGTATCGTACTGCGGGGAGGACGACGTGCACTTCCCGACGCTCACGGTGGACCATACGCTGGCATTTGCGACGAGCGCGCGTGCGCCTGCTGCTGCGGCTCGGCCGGCGGGGGTGTCGCGGGCCGCCTATGCGCGGACGCTGGTGGATCGGCTGCAGAAAGTGCTCGGCCTCTCGCATGTGAAGGAGACCCTCGTCGGCGACGCGGAGGTGCGCGGCGTCAGTGGAGGCGAGAAGAAGCGTGTCTCCATTGCCGAGGATCTCGCGGGAAGAAGCGTACTTGGTTGCTGGGACAAGTGCGTCGTTTGTGTTCCTTCGGTGCTGGATTTTAGCTGACTGTTTTTTTGTGTGCAGCTCTACCCGAGGCCTTGAGTAAGTTCTAGTTAGTGGGCATCTCCTTAGTTACTGACCCTGACATTTTGTGCACAGCTCCTCCACTGCGTTGGAGTTCGTTCGCGCACTTCGCCAGCAGACGACTACACAGCGCTTGACCACTATTGCATCGCTGTACCAAGCCGGCGAGCCTTTGTATGCGCTATTCGACAAGGTGTGCATCCTCTATGAGGGCCGCATGGCATACTTCGGACCCGCCAGTGAGGCAAGAAGGTATTTTGAGGATATGGGTTATGTCCCCGCCCATCGGCAGACGACGGCCGACTTCCTTGTCACAGGTGAGTGCTACTCTCAAGCTCCGCCGTAGTTTATTTTACGTCGATTGCTTCAACTTTCTTAATATCACCTCTATCTCTCTGTTTCCTGCGATGTGTACTGACTCATGTCACAGTGACCGACCCGCATGCACGTATCCAGCGACCGCTGCCGGAGCTGCATGCGCCCCCACCACGTACAGCGGCCGAGTTTGCCGCTCGCTTTGCCGCACACCCCCTCGCGCGCGCGAATCGCGCAGACATGGATGCCTTCCACGCCGCGCTGTCCCCGGCTGAGCGCAAGGCGTACGCTGCCAGCGCGCGCAAGGAGCGTGCGCGGGAATCGTTGTCGCACTGTCGGGCGCGCGACGCCAAGCGCGGTGCTGTTGCCCAAAGTGGGAAGGGCAAGGGACGAGGTGATGAAGAGGAGTGGGGGCGCGGCGGCGGGAGCTTGGTGACGAGCGTGCCGATGCAGGTGCGCATGCTGATGCTGCGGCGCGTGCAGATTCTTAAGGGCGCGTGGGTCGCGGTGTTGATCGAGCTCTCGTGCGTTGGCTGGCTTTTTTTGTTCGGTGGTGCGAGATGGCTGATCGCTTATTCGGAAATGGCGCAGGTCGTTTGTGATTTTGGCTATTATTGTGGGCACGTCGTACCTGCGCCTCAAGCAGAACACCGAGGCGTTCTTCTCGCGCGAGAGCGTCATCTTCTTGTGCGTCCACCTTTTCCTGCCTTGGTTGCGCTCGTTGCTGATTATCCGTTATTCGTTTCTGCTGCGCTGATTGACGCTACGCTTGTGATGACGCCCGCGATCTGTCACCGCGCCATCACCGATTTGAAACTCTTTCGCTGTCGACGCGTAGCGCGTACGTCTGGGCAGGCCTTTCGACTATGGCAGAGATCCCGACGTCTTTCGCGCAACGACCCATCGTGCTCCGCCAGTCCCGTGCAGCGCTGTACCGCCCGTTCGTTGAATCGCTCGCGCTCACGCTTGTGGACATCCCGATCACGTTTGTCACGATGGTGCTGTTTTCGTTCACGCTGTATTTCTTAGTTGGCTTCCAGCAGACGGCTGGACAGGCAATGTGAGTACTTTTTTTTTGGCAATTTATAGTCTTGGTTTCGGTTACGTTCGAATTCCTATCTCCACCACTCGAATCGAAATTCTTTTGCGTGATGTGCTGACGTCGGCTCGCAGGGTGTTCATGTTATATCTGTTTACGATGACGGTCGCTATGAAGGCATGGTTCCGCACGCTCACGGCTGCGTTCAACGATCCTGCGCCTGCGCAGGCGGCTGCCGGTGTATCTATGCTCTTCCTGGTACTCTACACAGGCTACCCTGTCCCGGAGCCGTATATTCCCCGTGCGCTTCGCTGGATCTCATACATCAACGTACGTTTTATCTTCCATTCTCTACTATTTCATTTGCTGACGAGTCGCCGTCTCTTTTCTGCCATCGAACTGATGTTGATGCACCGGACTGTGTATCTGCCGGCTTGAATCGGGTCTTGCGCTTTGGAATGGGCCTACGCGGGTTGCAGCCACTCAAGTACGCTTACGAAGGACTTATGGTGAACGAATTCCATACGCAGAATGCGACATGCTCGTCGCTCATTCCTTCGGGCGCGGCATATGCGGGAGTCAGTATCCTCAACCAGGCATGTTCTGCAGTGGGCTCCCTCCCCGGCCAGGCCACTGTGTCTGGCGCGCGCTACGCTCTGCTCAACAACGGTTTCTCATATCGTCACCTGTGGCGGGTGCGTTTTGCTCCAACTTTCTATATCTGTTCGCTACTGATTGTGGGGACCTGCAGAATTATGCCATCGTGTGTATGTTCGGCGTTGCGTTCATCTGCAGCTTTCTGCTCTTCACCGAGCTCAACACTGGCACGGCAAGCGAGACGTCTGTCGTGCTGTATGCCCGTCGCCGGCGTCGCCCCTCCTCTTCTGCCACGTCGTCCCTTAAGGGTAAAGCGCCGGACGTAGTGTCCGCGAAAGACGTTGAGAAGGGTCGCGGCGACTCGTCCCCCGCGTCTGCTGAGTTCCCCATTGTGACGAACCAGTCGGGCATGGTCGAGATCGAGCTCTCGCGTATGGACCGGCCTGTGGCGCAGCGCCCGGCTTTGCCGAAGATCAAGGGAGACGTCTTTTCGTGGCAGCAGCTGTGCTACACCGTTCCGCTTCCCGGTGGGCGCTCGCGCATGTTGCTCGAGGACGTGTCTGGGTACGTCGTTCCTGGAAAGCTTACCGCGCTCATGGGTGAGTCTGGTGCGGGAAAGGTGCGTGCGTGGTTTTACTTTTGTGGCGGGGTTTCTCAAACGGCTGGATGTGGCAGACGACACTGCTGAACGTGCTCTCGGAGCGCACGACTGGGGGTGTGGTTACTGGTCAGCGGTTTCTCGATGGCCAGCCGCTCCCGCTCGACTTCCATGCGCGAACGTGAGTACTCTGTTTAGGGACGGGGATTTATAGCTAATCCAAGCGTGCATATAGTGGATATTGTCAGCAGATGGACGTTCACCTGTCGTCGACGACTGTCCGGGAGGCACTCCTGTTCTCTGCGAAGCTCCGCCAACCTCAGTCCGTCCCGCTCGCTGAGAAGGAAGCTTTGTGCGTGCCTCTTGTGCGGAGCCGTGTGGATGCTAGCTAACACGATGCGTTATGCAGCGTAGACGAGTGTCTGCAGATGTGTGGGCTTGAGGAGTACGCGGACGCGATCGTCGGCACGCTCAACGGCGAACTGCGCAAGCGCACGACCGTCGGCGTGGAGCTCGTCGCGAAGGTGCGTGGCTCGGGAACGCACCGGTGAACGTCGAGCTTACGCTGGTTTGGTGCAGCCGTCGTTGATTTTCCTAGACGAACCAACTTCCGGGCTCGACTCGCAGAGCGCGTGGGCGGTCATGAGCTTCCTACGTGATTTGGCGGATAATGGCCTGTCGATTGTGTGCACGTACGTGTTTGGCTCGCAATGTGTTGCGAGCTTTTTACCGACTTTGAGCTTGGCAATGACAGGATCCACCAGCCTTCGGCAGAACTGTTTGAGGTACATCACAAGCGCACTCCTGTCGCAGGAAACGGTATTGACAGATTGTGATTCGATCAGGTGTTTGACCGTCTGTTGCTGCTGCGCAAGGGTGGACAGACGGTCTACTTTGGCGACCTCGGCGAAAAGTCCTGCAAGGTAATCGAGTACTTCGAGCGCAACGGCTCTCGGCCTTGCGGCGATATGGAAAATCCGTCAGTCGAAGTTCCCCCCATTCGCTCAAGTAATATACTTATCGATTGCTGCAGTGCTGAGTTCATCCTCGACGCCATCGGTGCCGGTGCGACAGCGTCGTCCGATATCGACTGGTACGAGGTTTGGAAGCAGTGCAGAGAGGCGCAAGACCTGCAGATGGAACTCGCCCTGATCTGCAAGGAAGGCCGTACGCGCCCGCCAATCAAAGCCACCCTCACGGGACACTTTGCCACGTCGTGGATCTACCAACTGTATGCATTGGTGATGCGGGACTACCAAAACCGCTGGCGGGATCCGGTGTATATCATCGCCAAACTGGGGGTGAACATCCTCTGTGGTCTCGTACTCGGCTTCACGTACTTCAAGACGAAGAATACTCAACAAGCTAATCAAAACAAAATATTTGTACGTGCCGTGCTTCGTCGTTGTAGCCGAGTAAATCTCATTCGCGGTTGTGCAGACAATCTACATTTCGAGTTTCCTTGCTGCGCCTATCGTCGACCAGCTCCAGATTCCTTTCATTGACATGCGCAACCTATACGAGATCCGCGAGCGACATAGCCGTATGTATGGTTGGACGGCCATGGTCACTTCGCAGCTCCTTGTCGAGGTGCCATGGAACATGGTTGGGTCTGCACTTTTCTTCTGCTGCTGGTATTGGACTGTGGGCTTTCCGACGGACCGCGCCGGCTTTTCGTTCTTGCTCTTTGCTGTCATTTACCCTATTTATTGGACTGCTTTCGGTCAGGTGGGTGCCGTTCATTATGCTAGCTACCTGGACTTCGCTAACGCAGTATTCAGGCTATGGCGGCGATGTGCCCAAACGCCGAAATTGCTTCTCTCGTTTTCAGCTCGCTGTTCGCTTTCCAGATTGCATTGTGGGTGCCTTCGAGCTGGTCGTCTGAGGTTGTTGTCTAACTTTGATCGTAACAGCGACGGCGTACTGCAACCATACAAGTCTCTAGGATGGTGGAAGTGGATGTACCATTTGTCCCCTTCAACGTACTTCATGGAAGGGCTTCTCGGCCAAGGTGATATTTTTGCCCATGGTGTTTTTTACTGTCGTCTCACGGATATCTCGTAGCTGTCGGGAAGCACCCGATCGTCTGCGCTCCCGTGGAGTACGTGAACATCAATCCACCGTCGGGCAAGACCTGCATGCAGTACATGGGGCCCTACATATCTTCTGCCGGTGGTTACCTGACAAACCCGAACGCGTCAAGTAGTTGCCATTATTGCGCGTATAGCACCACCGATCAGTATCTTAATACATTCAACTTCTCGTATGGCCACCACTGGCGAGACTTTGGCATTTTCTTCGTATTCACTTTGGTCAACGTGAGTCTTTCTTCCACTTATCTTCGATTCTTTCGGGTTTGATGCGTCACTCTGCGAGTACCCCGTTTCTCACATGTCTACCTGCAGGTCATCGCCATCTATTTATTCTTGTTCTTATTCCGAATCCAGTCGGAAAACCCTTTATCATTGTTGAGGAAACGCTTCGTCGCTCATTGGAGATGGCTCCGACAACTATCTAATGCTCATACTACTGCATAGTGGACAGATAATGGACTTGTACAATTATAATACAAAGATCTAGAGTACTGTGCTGTATGAAGTAGTCGGTTTGTCGTCGTGCGTCTAGTTGCAGCTAAGGCGATACACATACCTTTGCGTCCATAGATTCGTCGAGACAATTAGCAGAAACTTCAGGCATGTAATCGATACAGCAGTGTGTGATTGTACAACGTCTCCGTCGAGCTTCCCAATTTTCCACATTACGCCGTCTTCCTAGGAAGGGCCTTCCAGCCTTTCTTCAGGCCCATGCGCTCTGTCAGACTTGCTGGCATGCAGTACACAGGGTCAAGGTCGTCCAAACCCGGATAACCAAGGATGGAGAGTCCTACAAGGCGCAGGACAAAATCGTCCGTCAGCACAGCCCTTACAGAGGACAAGATCAAGCATATAATGGAGGTATTCACCTGCAACACCGAAGAGTGTGTGGAAGACGTCAGGTTGGTCCCCTGGCCTATCAGCGATCCCTCCATTGTCCGGATCCTGCTCGTCCGCACAGACAGTCAAGTTTCTCTACACTCTCCAGGGGAATGTCAATGCGCACCTGAGCGGAAAGGATGAACGAGGTCAGTTTATCCGCGTCAATCCATGGGACCTTGTTCAATATCGAAAGCGACGAGAGCACCCAGAAACTGTAGCACACCTGGGAGATAAAATCAGATACTCTAGCAGAGGTATGAGCAGACGATTGGCCTACATCTTCCAACTTCTCCGGCCGGCCATTCAGCCCGCCGTTGGGGAGTTGTCGTTCCGCGAGCCACCATGCGAGCGTCTCCTGGTCAATGACGTCGAGCCTGTCCAGAATAGCAAGCGCAGCCGTGCATACGAACACTACAGAGAACTGTTCAGCAATATGACCGCTGATGCCAAAGGGGCGAAGCACTGCCTGTTCGAGAGGGTGACCTTATCCTCGATATGCAGACAAAATAACAGGGACTACACCCTCGTGGATCCATTCGTGGGGTACATAAAATGAAAGGGGTAGATCCTCTGCTCATCTTACACCCATGAACCAGATGGTGCCAAAGGCAGGAATTGAACGTGGAACGTGAGATCACCTTGAGCTGCGTGACTTTCCGCACCTACGCACGCACCGAATCCGCCGTCAAAATTCTTGCAAAGCTTGATGTATCCCACTGTCTTCTCGACATCAAGCTCGCTCAGACGGCCGATCAGCGAAAGCGCGTTGACCGCACAATATAGAAACCGGGTGTCTGTCTCTCCGAAGGAGTCACCCGCGAACACTCCGGATGGCTGTTGGAGAGAAAGAATGACTGTTCAAGCCCCTTCCAGATGAGTAAGAAAAGCGCGGCAGCGAATATGACTCACACTTTGTCACACGAGGTACGTCGAGTCTGTCTAGTGCGTCTTGAATGGCAAGAATCTGTATTGCGCTCAACGTTGATAGCATGTGTGCATCGTGATCGGGATGAGCCCCAAACCCTCCTATAAATCACGTTTGTCGAATGAGCCTGGGCTGAAGTGTATGCCAGAGAGAATAAACCTAACCTACTTCGTCGTCCCAGCAGCTCATGACGAACTCGATCATCTCTTCGCGGTCCAAAGCGTCTTTGTGATTCATAACGCAGAGTGCTGTAAGACCCCAGTAAATGGCATTCATCCGCAGGTGAGCAGTGAGATGGTAAACCAGGTCATCTTTGTTCTTCAAAGGGGGTCAGAGCGTAGAATCGCTAATCCACTGACATACCTTTCCCAAAGATTGTATGTAATTGACATGCAGGGGGATGTCCAGCTCTAGCGACATCTTAGATTGCTTTGAGGAAAAATTCCGAGATTCGTAGGGAGTAAGTCACTTCGTAAATTCAAGCTGACTTCGGAGTCTGAGGACTACAACTTCTCAGTCCCGGCCCCTGATTAGCGCGTTGAGTCAGCACGTGACAGACGCGTCGCGACGCGTCTGTCAGAAGGCTTGACTTTCACCGACATATCAATCGAAGTGCTGAAGGTATGGCAATAAGCCGAATCATAACATCGCGACCTCGTTATATCATCACCGAACTTTGCGCCCGCTTTTGATTGTGGAAAGATCTTCAGCCGAACCAGGTTCCGTGTGAACCATCTATTCTGTCGTACGCTCGAAAACAACAAGTAGGTAAGGGTATCATATGGCATGTGGTACAGTGCGAAAAATACAGTAAATAAATAATGACATGCAGCAATGGAGAGGCTTTTGATCGACGGACAACGTTCCTATTCCTTCTATCGAGAAATCACACCAGCACCGCGGTGGCAGCGGTAAAGCATGGGTGGTAATGTGCATTATTCCAGGCATCTGAAGCGGGGATGGGGAACGCCCTGAGCAGCTCGAGCGCCGCGGACATCTGGTGCGACTGCGTCGCATCGGTGTGTGCGTCGGCAATGTGGTGGAGCGATGGCTTGAAGGGTGTGGACGCATCTGATGCACGTGGCGGGGTGCACGGAGATTGAGAAGACATGAACGACTCGTCTGAATCAGAGTCGAGATCGCTTGAATCGTACGAGCCGCTCGAGAACCCGCGGCGGTTGGGAAGCGGTGTGCGTGCGCGTGTGCGCGTGGGGGGGCCAGCGCGCTGGGGCAACGCTATGGCATCCACGTGCTGCGCGAGTTCTGCTTCGCTCACCCAGAGCTCAAAGTCGAGTACTTCAAGGAACTCCCGCTCAATCCGACCAATGTCCCGTATCCCGAACACGCCTGAGCAGGCGGCCCAGTGCACGTTCTTCAGCACCTGGTCGTTCAGGTACTTGTTCGCGGCGATCAGCGCGCCGAGGAAGACGCGCTCGCACGCCCACGTCTCGACCGGGATCTGGATATGTGGCCTCGCGCGCACGATGTAAACGAGGGTGGTGAGGAGTACGGGGACCTTGACGTCGGCTTTGTGGATGACGTCTGCCACGAAGGTGGTGAACGCGCCGTGGTGGGAGTCCCGGGAGACAGAACGGCCGCGGGTGGAAGTGGATGCGCGTCCCATCGAGAAGTCAACTGTCTTGATAACGTTCTCGACTACGTGCTCTGTAGATGAGGTCAGTCAGACATGGGAAGAGACGCAATCTGGACGAGTAGGAAACTTACCAATGAGAACACGAGTGACGGGGATATCGTGCATCTGCATGAGAGCAGCGGGGTGAAGAGAAGTGTCGATGAGGCTTGCGCCGTGGAGGGTGAAATTGCCAACCATCGTGGATGAGAGGGTATTGATGAGATGCAGATGTCGGACGAGAAGTGAACCAGGAGTGATGGTCACGTTTTAAACTCTGCATGGCTACTTCGAGGATAATAGAACAGCTGAGTGGCGCTGTGGGCGTGGCCGCTGTGGGCCCCCGCCACACAGGCTGTGTGACGGAAGCCCGCAGCAGCCGAGACCTTGCGACGTGTGCCAGCCAATCGTGTAGCTTCGTACGTCTGGCTATGAAAGAGATCTGGCGCCGTTCGCGACGATTATTCGTCTCGGACATAAGTTACTTACTGTATGCTCTCAAACTCGGGTCGGCGATCTATAGCTCCCCTTTTCTTCGTTACACCTCGGGTTCTGCATACATGCCATTCGGCTGGTGTGATTGTTGGGGTGTCGAGCTGGAGTCTGCAAACGTCCTGAACAAGTGTTGCAATTCGCCACGCCGACGGAACTGAGTGCTTTCGAGGTAGCGCTGCAGAACAACGTGCAGATATCGCCAGGATATCGCTGTCGACTCCAGCCAGATAGAACCAGCCCATCGAGAGTCCATTTAAAAGTGGAGATTAGCCATAGATATCCTGCCACATTCACAGCTCGGTCCTCGAGACATGCGAACCGTTCCTCAAGGCTTCACATTGGAGTCTAGGCCTACTGGTCGTGAGCAAGGAGACTCCTTGTAAAGCGTGTCATGCTGTCGTATGGCTGTGATCATGATATCAATTCTCTGCCTGGAATATATCTTGGGCCCGGAGCCAATCAGGACGCCAAGTCACAAGCCAGACGTGAATCTCCCAAAAATAGACATCGTACTTGTGCTTCATGTTCTTTTTTAATTTTTAGTCTTTTCTCTGTGTTTCTCTCGCTCACAAGATAGGTCTCTAAGTGCTCATATTTTATCTTTCCCAGCAAGGAACACTATGTCGGATGATCATGAGACGAAACCCAGGGCAATTCTAGACGATCTCTCATCTTCACTTCCGTCTGAAAGCTTCATTTCTATCCTCGAAAGACACGTCCATCCCGCACTTGTTTCTTTACCACTAGAACAGCGCAGAAACATATCTCGGATCCTTCGTAAAACCCAGCAGGAACGCAATGACATTTGGCACGTTGTCTGTCAGGTAGACTGACGATGTGAAGGCATTGGAGAAAAGCTGTCGTCGAGACTAGACGAATTGTTTCGTGGAGCAGGCTGAGATAAGGATATCCCTTCATACAGAGAAATGGCTTCCGTTCCTATGGCAAGTAGGCGTAGAGAAGGGTTTGGAAATGCATCTGGTGCACAAACGTCTACTGCTCTGTCAGAGCATGATCAATCGGATGATACATTCTGGTACTAACTTGGTGAGTGTCGCTGGCATTCCAGTTGTGTCACGCCCCAGATTACAACACTACTGGTGCCAGGTTTGGGTTCTGTGACCAGGACGACACAATCTGGATTTCAGACATAGAAGTATGTTATCAAAAGTTCGGGACCGTCGAACTTCCCCACTACTGGATCTGGGTGGAGCTCATGTTGGCCTCAATCCACACAATAATAAGGATCTTGCCGCAAGTATGATTTCCGACTGCGAAGGTTTGAATATACTCCCAAGGTTGGAGAGGAAACTGACGAGAATCCATGGTATGATTCTTGGATCTCCCCGCTCATATCCATTTCTCAAGGCTAAGGATGAAGATGAGGCAGAGGATGGTGATTTTGCCGGTGAATATGACTCCGCGGGCTATTCTAACACTCATTGGACCGATGCGACAAAGGCAGCCGTCCCAACCTTACGCGAGCTATTTCAGTCCTCTCCGATTCGAGCATTTGAAGCCACACCGACCTCGGCCCTCTACAAATCTCTTGTCCGTGTCTCACCCGATCTGCGCCCTATGCTGCTCGACGTGGTTCGTAGGCAGGCGCAGAATGACGAAGACAAAGTCAAGGTCTCGTTCTCATGGGATGTTATCGCAGAAATATTCTGTCTAACCCAGCAGAATGATGACGTTCTGCGACTGGCAGAGAATACGCTTCATTATCACTCGTACCATCCGGAGGAAATGGTGGAGCCTGGTATCTTGTCACGCAGGCTAACACTGATCTACGCTCTAAATGCCTTCAGATCGCGAGTATTAGTCTTTTCTCACAGATTAAGTCCGGATGGTGTGAGATCAACGAGGCGTTTCCAGAGTGGCAGAATACATGGGTATGGCTTTGGGACGCAAAAAATGAGGGTTTGATTACAGTCAAGCTTGTCCCGAATGCTACACCGTACGAACAATACCAGCATCAGAAATCTCTTGATCGGTTCGCGCGCAAGATCAGGGGCGGGTATCTGGCTCGCGACTATACCGAGGACCTGGAGGGCGTGAATGAAGGTGACAGTGATTATGAAGTGGAGAAGGCACGAAGGCGTCCTAATATCAGGGGGGAAGTGAGTGCCTGTCTCATCATCCCGCACGAGAAGAGGCGATCCGAGTTTTAGACACTGTATCTCCAGAGCTTGATGGTAGTCTGGAAGTGGAAGGTGCTGTCGATATCATTTTTGATAGGTGCGCTGATCCCTTTCCGTGCGTGTCGTAGCACTGACCGATGCGTTCTCCAGTTGTCTAGCCTGTGACGGGCAGGAACTCATTGCAAAAGGTGTTACCACTAACTCGCCTCAGATGAAGGAATGCTGCGACAGCCAGTATAATGCTGGCGAGCAGGTTATCCACGCCAGTATCGTGAGACCGCCGAGACTAAATGAATGCTGGGAATCGCCAGTAAGAACCTAGGGATTGAGCAAGGCGAGTATATCCTCCAATACTGGCAGTCACTTGATAATTTTCCTGAAACTTCCGTTCGAGGAACCCTGCAACTTGTGAAGCCAGGGCGAGATTCGATGTGCCTCGGTCACAATGTCTTACTCAAAATGTGACTCCGGGTAACTCACGAACAATGACGTGTAAAGCAACTGCGGACAAAGAAACAAGTAGGTGCCATCAGTCACAGACGCTTGGTTATTGTCCAAGATCCGAACCCGTTACCATTCCTTTGACAACTGCAGAACATGCGGCGAGGGCGTTTGTGTAGAACACGTTGCACAGGGTGGCGCGTTTAGCCCGTTCTGGTATAAGACCGGTACGCATCAACACTCGTCTCCCCATCACTTCCCGGAACTTTCTATCCAGGTACTTGGTCCCATTCGGATGTGTTGGTTTTCATATTGACGAATCATTCACATTTTAGCCAAAACATCCCTCCGTCCAACGCGATATTTTCGCGATGGACCGAGGTCATTCGAGCGATATAGTGCCTTCGCCTGCAACCGCGACGGACCATGTCCTAGTCTCCACCTCCTCTGAGAAGCCGTGGCCACCCGTTAAGCGTCTTCCAGATGAGCTACTCATGATTATCTTCGCCATGGTCTGGGATGTCATGCTGAAGAAAGGAGACATCACGAGCTGGGTTGGCTTAACGGTGGTATGTCGACATTGGCGCGCTGTAACTCTTGCGACACCTGTTTTATGGTCTGCGATTCTATGCCGTGCATGGTCGCCTACTCACTGGCACAAATTTGTGGAGCGTTCCCGGAATAAGCCACTAAGAATCAGCATCGGCATGCCGCTGGACGAAGCGTTCATCTTGGACATGATCCCGGAGCTTTCGCGCCGACTTGCTTTCTTAGGCATGGGAACGGAGAGTCGGGCTGAAGAACTGCTTCCGGATCTTATATTCTGCATGCCTAGATTGAGGTTGCTTCGCGTGCATTGCTCGAAGAACGTCGAATATTTCTGGGATCTTCCTCAGCAGCCCGACCAAATCTTATTCCCAAGTCTTTACTCGCTTGATTTGGGAGGCGTTGCTCTGCCGTGGACTTCACGCATTCTTCGCTCCCTGGTGACGCTTGGGTTAGCCAACCTGTACCAGAACGCGCCAACAACGGAGGAACTCCTGGCAATCCTAGCGGCTTGTCCCGTGCTGAGTATGCTGTCACTGTGCGATTGCGGTCCGTCGCCTCCAACCACTCCATTCTCCCAGTCCTTAGCCAAAGTCACACTAGAAAAGCTTGTCAGACTCCGGATGGAAGCCGAGCCGCTTGAGATATTTCATCTCATATCTCGCCTGTGCATTTCCGAGTCCTGTGACTTGAAAATCAAAACAAACGTAGTCAACCATGGAGGATTCGGCGAGGCTCTCCGTGCCGCGTTTCCTTCCGATAGGTCGTCGCTTCCTGTCTTCAAGATGTGTCACAAGGTCTCTGTCGGGATTGTGGTCGACTCCACTAATCATTGTCACATCCACCTTGTGGGGTACGGTCTTCATGCGGAACCTCGTTTCTCATTCGTGATTTCTATGCAAACTGATTTGACCTCTGGAAAGGGGGCCCTTGACAGCTTGTTTGAGGCCTTGCCAGAATTCTTTCCCTCTTGCAGATCGTTATCCCTTGTCGCAGATTTTGCACTGTTTCTTGGGATCGCTGTGGATCCTCCGTGGGACACGCTCCTCGCCTCCCTATACGACCTGGAGCAACTGCGGATTGGCTATGTTGCAGACACATCTGAACTACTTCATGCGCTCTCCCGGGTGGCCAATTCTAGCGATTACACTGTACCAATGTGCCCTCATCTCAATATCCTGATGATCTCTTGTAAAGAGGGTTGTATTGACTTCTCCCGGCTAGTCAACGTTCTGGAAAAGCGGGCATCTTGTGGTAAGCGACTACAGTCGCTAACGATACCTCGGTTGGTCGCAAACGGTTATGTCGAGGGAATACGTCGTCTTGTGGAAAAAGTGATCGAGGTACAACCAGACAATGGATCAGGAGATAAATGGCGAAGGGTATTCTGCGACGAACCAGAAGATGGTCCGTGGGGAGATAAATGGCAAAGGGAGTTCTGCCCCTCGTACCAGCGGGAATATGGGTCTTGTAAGTGGGGAAGAAGGAACCTCCCGTGGTGACACCGTCTTTTGTTCTGGCTGTACACACAGTTTAGGCTATCTGTGTATAGGGAGCATCTATGAGCTCGGATGACAGTGTGTATGCCTTATTCTATCGCCACATACAGAGCGACTCATTGTGCATGCATACTATGTTGGAGGATTCAGGTTCTATCATCTTTGACCACTGAGTGCCGCAATCTGCTCATCATGAATTCCACCATGCCGGCAGGAAATCTCCATGTTGATTCTTAGCCTACCGAGAAGTATGTGAACGCGTAACCTTCTCACTCCGCACGTCTGACAGGTCATTGATTGTACATGGCCTGTAGCGCTCTAGTACTGGTGTACTGGTGAGCCGGTGAACGTCCAACTAGTTCTGCCATTTGACATTCAAATCATGCTGCCCCGGATCGGCGACGCTGCAAGTATACAAAACGGGCAAATTCAGATACGCACGCCATACTAAATAGCACATACGGCTCGCTCAAGGTCGATCAGAGGACATCGTACGCGATATTTAGCGTCAACTGGGAAATGCCATCCATCGCGACTGGTACGGGAGCTGTCGCACTTTCAAGTTCAGTGCGCGTTCACGCATCGGTTTATTTGTCCCGGACAAATAGGTGCGGGTGGCTGCCTATACTCTCGGGCACCGTCCTCCACATCGACTCTCGACCAAAAGTGGCTCAAAAATTCTGCAGTTGTTTGGGTCTTGATGTACGGAGTACTCGAGAGAAGTGACTTCCCAAAAATTGTCGCTCCAGTGGCCATTCCTCGGCTGAAGTCATGTGAAGTTACCACAAAAAGGTTTATTTGTCCGGGACAAATAACGCGTGTGTGGCGCACACTTTCATCCTCAGGCTCGAGCAGAGTAGACGCTACATCGGCTTCTACTTTTTTTGTGCCTCACAATATCTGTGTCTGATCGTGGAGCGACAGGCTACGCATGCATGTACAACAACGGACCGGTCTTCGTCGATCTGCTGTTATTCTCGTAAGTTACCGAAGAACTCGGAACATGGAAGTAGTACGATTAGTGCTAGGCCAAGTGGCCCGACCCAACGAAGTAGGTATCGCAAGGAAGTCGGAGGATAGAAGAGGTTAAGACGTGGGGTATTGAAATAGGGAAATAATGCAAATGGTCTATGAACGAGAATATTGCACGGGAATCCGAGGAATAGTAAGTATAAACACAAGATAGCAAAGCAATGCGGCGTAGCGAGATGGAGCAGAGCCAATTCACTTCAGGAGAGACTGCAGACGTCTCTACAGGAAGCAGCGATCACATCGGCCGCCCCATTCCTCCTGGGGCGTACTGGCGCTCAATGTCTGTACCTCCCCAGCTCGGAGGAGTCTGACCAGAAGAGTCAGTCGTCGTACCCTCAACAGTCGGCGCAGCTGTCACGAATGACTGATTCGCCGTGCTGATGTCTGGCTGGCTCGTTTCATCTACCTGTCCATGCCCAATTATCGGCACGCCAAGTCGCTCAGTATGGACGCTCCGTTCAGATGGCGGCGCCGACGGTGCGCCGCTAGAGAACGTGGACAGAGCGGTCTGCAGCCCTTGGGAGCCCTCCCCGATGTCTGAGCCCGACGCTGCAGCAGGCTCAGGTTGAGTCTCCTCCAGTGGTGCCGGGACCTCGGCAATATCTTCAATCCCCTGGGCCGCTTCCTCTCTCCTCCACTGCTCTCTGAGCGGATGCCCGAAAGTGTGGTTCTCCGGACTGCTCAGCACCGCGTCCGACTGGGCCGAGTCAAACGGCGAGTCGGACAGCCGCTGCATGGAATTCGTGCGCGACCGCACGAGGTCCAGCGATGACCGGGAAGCTGCACCGATGGAGTGTATGAGCGACTGCGCCCGCGAGCGCACCGACTCCGAATGAGAGTGCGCTGAATTAGTACGCGAGCGCGAATCTGATCTCGATCCCGTACCAGATCGTGATCGTGAGCCGTTCGCCCGACGTTGGGAGAGGCTGCTTCCCCGCCGCAGGTTGATGAGCGACTGCCGCGGGCTGGGCCCAGCTGAAAGTAGACCGACGCTGTCGTGCTGCTCTGCCTCCTCTATCGAACCCTCCGCCTCTGGCACGTCCATGAGAGACTCCTCGTGATAGCCCTCGTTGTCAGTATCGACCGCAGGGACAGGTACGGGTCCGAATGTCGTAGACGTCTCCGTCGCTGCACTTCCTGTTCGAGTGCGTGCACGAGGCCGGGCGGGGAAGACCACTGGCGAGGGCGATCCAGGAGAGCTCGGAGTGGCGGAACCAGGAGTGCCTGGAGCAGGAACAGTTCGCGCCCTCGCTCTTCTTTCCACCTGCGGATGTCTGGGCGGCATCGGCATGACGCTGCCGCTGAAGCTGGATGCCAGCGGGCTTGGAGCGTTGGAGCTTCCGAGGGACAAGGGTGAGTCCGTTGACTCCCGATTCCCCGTCGACTGCGTCGATCGCGAATGGTGTGTTGATCGCGACTGTGTTGACCGCGACTGTGTGGAGCGCGACTGTGTAGAATGTGTCTGCGTTGAGCGAGAATGCGCTGAGTGAGGTGTAGAGTGTGAGGGCGGCGACATACGAGACGCAGAAGACATGCTCGTGCGCTGCGGTCTGCGGAACTGGAAGGGATATCGCGAGGCGACCGGGCGGCCCAAACTGGACATAGAACCGGAAGTGCGTCTCTCCTCACTCGCTTCCTCTTCCTCCTCTTCCTCCTCCTCTTCTTCCTCCTCTCCCTCCTCTTCTTCGTCCTCCTCTCCCTCCTCTTCTTCCTCCTCTTCCCCATCCTCCTCGTCATCACCCTCAATCGGCACCTCGACCCCCTCCTCAGGCTCCGGCGAAGGCGGGAAAGGCACAACATCCTGAGACGAGACCTGCGCGCCATACCCCGTGAACGGATACGGCAGCTTCATCAACGGCCCTGATGGATCAGCTGAGAGCTGCTCTTTGGACTGTACAACAGCAGCAGGCGGAGCGACACCACCCTCCGGTTCCCCAGCCTCCTGGCTCCTCTTCTCTTCCACCAGCTCTGCACCCATCGGCACAGGACTTTCGAACAACTTGTCCGAGAGCACGGGCCGGCGCGCAGGCTGCGGGCCCGACGGGAGACCCGCGGCCGCAAAGACCTGCTGCATGCCCTCAAACGGCATGGACGCCTCGGGTGACTCTGCGTGCCCCTCCTTCGGTGCGACGCCCGAGCTCGAGCGCGGCGGTTTGAGCGTCATGCAAAAGTCATACGAGTCCTTGATGCGCAGGAGCGTGCACTCCTTCCAGCTCCACGGCAGCGCATCCATATCCGCAGCGTCCTCGCCGCTGAACGCCGTAACCGTCTTCTCCGCGTCCTCCTCCTCCCAGCGGTATCGTGGCCCACACAGACCGGCACAGCCGTGTCCGCTGAAAATCCAGAGGCCAATCCTGCAAGAAGGTATATCAGAACATATCACCGGCAAGGTATACCGCGGAGATCTATCGACATACAGACTCAAGAAGAGAACCAGGATCCGCCATGCCGTCCATGCGGCATTAGCGATGAGCACGCCACGGGCGTACCCGGATAGCGTTCCGTTCGCGCGGAAGAATGCCCCATCTCGTTGGCTGATGCCTGCATCGGCAAGAGCAAGATAATCCGCTTGGGTGGAGGAAAATGCCAGCAGCAGGGCCAGCGACAGCGCCGCACGCGGCAATAGGAGTGCGACAGTGGGCCAATTCTGGGCATAATAGTATGCAGTCTCGGCGAGTCCATCGCGAACGTTGGCATGCTCGCCAGAAAAGGCTGAGGAGCGAATATGATACATGAAGCAGAAGTTCGTGTACGAGGTCATGCAGACATAGTTGAAAGCAGGTGAGGACAAGTATATTGGGAACATTAGCGGTCGCTCTATGCGGACGGATCAGTAAAAGCGACCCGAAGCAGCCATACTTGTACTCACTAACTCTCCAACGCCGGTAGAAGGAGTATAGCAGCTCATACACAATAAACACTACAGCAATCCAGACAAACCAGCAAGCAATATACGCGGCAGCGCCTAGCGCCCAATTCCGACCAGAGCCTGGCACGCCTGGTGCAACGGGATTCGGATGCTTGGCTACTCTATAGGCAAAACACAGTGAGACAGGATAAGTCGACGAGAAAGAAAAACTCACAGTATCAATATATATACAGCATTGAAGTCGAAAAAGGTCTGCAGAGGGATGTGGGCGAGAACAAGTACAGGAAACAGGAAGAACCAGAGACGAGTTTTCCAGGAGGGGCTTCGAAGCAGCTCTAGATGGAGTGCCATCGAGTTGAAGCGGGGCCGAGGGAAATGTGAGAAGGCACCCGACGAGAAGAGCGTCGGTGACATGCCGGCGCTTGTCGCGCGGGACCAAACGCGGGCATGGGCGGGGTTGGAGAACGCGCGCGACTGGTCCGTGGGTTCGCGCTGCCTCTTTACATCTTCCACACCCTGCGTTGTTGAGCCCTGCAAGCTGACGATACGCACCGATCTCGGAGTCGGCTTGCGCCCGACCACGTAGGATTCGTTACTTGGGCCGGGTTCGCTGAACATGCCCACCACAGACGACTGTATGGTCGAACGGGGGGCTGGCGGCGGGGGCCGTTTTGGAAGCCAAGATGGGTATCCTTCGGAGCTCGACGACACTCTCTGCGGCGACTGCGCCGAAGACGACGGTTGTTCTGAAACCGGGGTAGGGCGGCAGTGCTGTTGCTCTGCCTGGTCAGATTCCACGCGAGAGCTCGGCCGCGAAGGAGAAGAATTTTGGCTGTAGTCCTCTGGAGGCGTTGAGGAGTCGTACTGTCGTGACATATCCGTTGATTAGATGCAAACATGCAAAAATGAGTAGAGTACGCAAAGTCCGTGTAGATAAGATGAGGTTACGCGTAAACGGGAGACGCGAGCGCGACACTCAGAGCTGAACACAGGCTCTAAAGCGCAGCAGCTGCTGGGACCTTGAACGCGAGAGCCTCGTGCGCAGTGACGATGGGCAGCCTCGTGTAGGGCGAGCAGACAAAAAACGCGCAAGCCGACGTCGACCATCAACAACTTACCAATATGTACTAGCCGCCGGCGCGTCCGGATGTCCCCGTAAATTGCTTCCGGAAATACCTCCGTGCAATCGACGACAACTTCGGCGACGAGAATTGAACGGAAATGAAGGAAGGGAAACGAAGGTGAGGCAGATCAGTTGTTACGACTATCCGAGTGGTGGTCGACGATGAAGATGCGATTTTTATCGAAATCTCCCTATGTTGCCATGTCGATTTTCCCCAGACCTACCCGATCCGTAAGTTGACGTTCTGTTTGTATTCGTGGGTCCATTCACGATAATCAGCTTCGACGCCTAATGAATAGTCTGATGGAAATGAGGTGACGTCCAGCTGGAACCCGTGGCCTTCTGAAAAAAAGTATCTTCTGCACGAAAGCCGCCATCAGGTGATTCCAACCATCCTTGAGCTTTCTGTCACTGGATGCGGCGAGTCTATCCCCTGTCTCATCGATGAACAATCAGAGTGGATTATAGACTGCCTATTTCTGTTGGATAGGTACGGTTAGGGCCCATCTGTCTCGATGCCTTTCCTCCCGTGTTCCGAGCAGAATACTTGAAGCAATGGACGAAATGCATCAAATAGACGATGGCCTACACTCCGGACCCGTCACGCGATGTGGACTTCAGTCTATTCCTAGACGTTTGTTACGAAGGAGTCAGTTGTAGCAATGGAGGAACCTGCATACAGAGCGCAGGACATCCCGCAACTACCACCTGCTCCTCGCACCGAGGTCAGTGCGCACTGCCTACGCAGCAGTCAATCGTCTTGTGTCGTTAACACTCACGTTGCTGTCAATCTTGCGATGGCCACCGATGTTTTAATTCCAGAGTAGTAGCCTGTAACCGCAAACTACGCCTTGTGTTTCTTTCTCAGGCATGAACAGCTCGTCATACGCATTGCTGGCCTCATCATTACGGTTACCGACAGGTATCGGTTGATACACCTATACTTTGTTCCCGTTCCGACGGTGTACCGGAGACGGACCTCCCAGGATTTTGAGCCTATTTTGGAGTCCAACAAAGGAGATGCAAGGACTTGAAAGGGAGGCATAAGGAGGCTGGGCAGGGATCATGCAGGTAGGTGGAAAGGAAAGGCAGCTATGTTTCATTTGTCTCCAGACTTTATATTCTGTCGCAGATCCTGCAGGATCTCCTTTGTCACTGATTCAGCCAGATTAATTGGGCTTAGGGTTCGAATGTTTCAGTTGAGAAAATGAAACGCGCGACACCGTCAGATGCCAGGGAGAAGGGCACACCCATCTATAAGTGGAAGTCCACCTTCTTGATTGGGACAGCTTCGACCGCGCTTTGCCGAGCATCTCTCTGTAGCGTTAATCGCCTCGCGACATCGTCGTGGCTCACACGACGTTTGAGCCACCACGCTTCGGGAGGTCAACTTCCTTTACATCTAGCACGAGGTATGCATGCATTTTTTGTGTGTAGGAGAGGAGAGCGGGAGTAGGGAAATTGATCTTGGTAGGGCGTGCCAGTGGACGTGGAAGCTCACAATGGACAGGCGAACCTGAAGCCTTCATAACATCGATACACCCGACCATAAAGACAATTAAGCCGAACATGGACATAATATCAGGGTAGCAAAGCGCTCTCAGACAGCACAGAAACGCTCCGACGGCAAAACTGGGATCAAAATCAGGAACTCGTCGTTCTTCAGGAGTTTACCCAACTTCCAGGCTCCCCTGCGCACATACTCGTCCAGCACCTCCTGGGGCTCAGTATGGTCGACAGGGAAGTTGGTAGACACGGATGAGATCACGCCATCGGTGCGTGCATCACCGAACAGAGTGCCGCGAAGGACAGCGGTCTTGATGTATTCGACCGACGAAGTCTGAAGCACTGCTCGAGCTTTCCGAGCGATGAATTCGGTATCGACTTCGTCCATCCGAACATCTAGTGATCTCGTCAAATATCATGATTCCGATGGGAAAGATATCGTGCTTACGACTAAATTTGGCGAGAGCGCTACATGAAGCGGGTTGGGACGAGGCCAAACCGATAATTGTTAGCTTAGCCGACCACGCATCTCTTTTGAGGCGCAGTAAGAGCGTGGTTGCGATGTATTGCCTGCGGAAGCTGCGCTCGACCACAAGTTGTGTCACCCATCCAACCACATCTAAAACACATGGTAAGGTTTGACGAGAGGTAATTTACGATTACAACAAACCTTCACCGCAGTCCCAAGAAGTGGCGAAGGCGTGGCCGATCAATTTATCACCCTTCGTGAGGGTAACCAAGATACTGCGCTCGGGATCGCTCAAGCACTGAGCCTTCAACCTAGAAACCGTATTCTTCACCCGATCACCTTGGTATTCCAACAATCAGTGCATCGCGTGATGTCCATCCACTGAGAATGCTCACCGGGTACGTATTTAGGGTTTACATCCTTACAGTGCGTGGCCCAGATACCATAGTTTTCGCTGAACAATTCGGCGCATTGTGCAAGCTGGGTAGCTGTAATCTCGGGGCCCACAGTAACGCGAATTGTTTCTACGGCTTCAGAGATAGGATGAGGAGAAATGGAGTCTGTCATTGTCGTGGTGGTCGGACTACAAGACCGCCGAGCTACGTACACGAGTCATTAGGGTTCGTCAAGATCTTGTAAAGATCTGGCACGCATGGCACACATGAGTACTGCATGAGTACGTACTGAGCTACGTCTCTGCATTTTTAACAGATTTGCTATTTCACTGCATCGATGCACTTCAGAGCTAGAAGCTGTCCACGCCGATACGAGCTTGAGGCATAGCACCGCGACTGTGAAAGATTAACATAAATACACAGAAATAATACCTACTTATACCCAACTTTCTGAGTTGCAGTAAGGGGTAACAAAACGTCTGTTCTGTGCTCCTTCAATCACTTTGGTTATTCTAGCGTTTTTATGGCACTGGTCCTCTTCAGTTGGCGCCGGCTAATATTTATTATATTTGAGGCGCTCGCCTGGCGCTTATATTGCCAAATTAGTAGAAACGCGTCTCGATCGACGCGTCTCCCATCTTCGTCAAGTCGAATTTGGCGGAAAACTGCTTTAGACTTTGTTATCATAAGTGTTCTCGCACAACGCAAGAAGACTCAGAAAACGTTCAACCAACGGGAACAGTAATCGGAAATAAGGACTGACTCAGGTGAGCTACATCGTCTTCGTTCCTGCCCGCGGGCCGCCAGCCACAGAACAAGGTGGATGGTTTGAAGACAGAACGTGGGCAGTTTTGAACAACTGCAGTTCTAAATACCGTTTACATTTTTGCTGACTTCCGGTGCATTGTAAGGAAGCAAGGAGAACCACCTGGCATTTCAATCTCCCAGCGGCGTTTACCATGAACGGTTCCGTCGTACCTGCAGCGCACACCGGCGTATACAGGGTTCAATATGTCCTGACCAATTTATTCTCCAATGTCCAATTGCCCGATATCCAATCCGTGCGAGAGGATGCTGAGCTTGGTGAGACTCCAAAGTTCCTTACAGCGGACAACTGTCCTCGCTAAGCTGTTTGTGTTACGGTATTCAGCACCGTCTTTAAGGGAGAGTCAAAGTAGTGACAGATCCACGCCAGTAATGACAGATGGGAGTACGGGGAAGGTCATCCTCGACCCCGTCTCTGACGGACTGTTATACAATCATTTCCTCCCGAACCTCTTCAAATGGAGCTTTTTCGTTCATACTGACGACGGTAAGTGAACACCCTTTGCATTCTCTTTGCCGATACCATACTGCGCCGCATAGTTCCCGACGACCTACTGAAAGAATGCGTATGGGCCTTGGAGATGTTCATCCTAGAGCTTATCGAGAGTTCCGATGCTCAGCTCCGCGCCATGGGGCACATTACGCGACGAACTGCTGACAGTAAAATGGCGTACGCCAAGAACGCGATGGTGCGCTCACCGCTCTCTATATTCATTGTACCAGACTCAATCAGAGCACGAAACCGGAAGATCATGCATGCCAAATTCAAAGCTGCGATACATATGCTGTGGGTCGCCCCTTCGTACAGGTGCATCGACACGACTGATTCGAGGCTTGTGCAGAAAACCAACCATAAACCGTGCAGCTGATGCAGTAACGCACTTGAAACACGTCGTCGAAGTTGTTAAGAGTACCTCCGGCAGCGACTTATACAGCGGAAATCGGTGACGTATTCGCGTTATGTGTACGGCACGACAACTGATAGAAAGTGGCAGAGACCTATTTGTGACCTACGCCGAAGCTCTTCTTTGTAACGGTGAGGAAAATGAGGCACAGACGGTCCTGGAACGTGTCCTAAAGGTCGAGGATCCGTCGCCTGAAGGATTACTGTACCTCGTTAAAGCAAAGGCGCTCGTGTCCCGTGTGTACCGTTCTCATGGTCTTGAGCAGAAGGCTCTGAAGCAGTATGTGTTCTCGCTGATGCTCGTGATCTCATTCACGCATGAGTTTCTAGTGAAGAGTGGCTTGTCAAGTGGTTCCGCAAAAATCCCCACTTCCTACCGGAAAACCTGATGCAAGAGCTGCTGATGCCTGCAGGGGAGCCAAGTACGGTGCTTGAGGCACTCGGTGGGCCCGAGTGGCTCGACAATCGTCAGCACACCGATAAGACTGTCCATCGGCTGTCGAAGCAGTGCAGACAATGTGGTGCAAGAGAGCCCATCGTGAAGCTCTCGCTGTGCAGTGGCTGCAAAACCATCTACTACTGGTGCGTTCGTTATCTGCTCGTTGGTCGTCGTCATCGTCATGTTCTCCAAGCTCCTCTGCGTGTCAGAAGCAGAACTGGCCGTATCACAAGTGAGTATTCCTTTTTGTGGCTGACCGGCCTCGTACTCATGTCTCGATCTTAGAGCCGGATGCAAGTCAGTACAGGAATCCTCCTTTCCCTCGTACATTGCTGATGTGCAACCACCAGAGACAAGGCAGAGCTACATGACAGGCTTGCAAAGCTTGCCGTCTCGCAACCCAGTGCTGCTCAAAAGGAGAAGGACTTCCACGCCTGGCTGGAGATCTGTAACCAAACCGCCTTTCACCACGCCTTGGGGCTCCGGAGAGATCCCAGTCGCGGGCGCACGCACATCATCTTCCAAGAAGTTGTGTATACCCCAAAGGCCTCCGCGCAGGTGCGGCTTAAGTTCCGCATCCTACGCTGCGGGGTGTTCCTGATCGCCGACGTCCTCGGTGAGATCGAGCGCTTAATGAACCTCAATGCAGGAGAGGGAATGGAGTACGTCAAGAGCATATTCGACGAGATGGACTCGACTGGGATGCGGGGAAGAGGAGTTATGTTCCTCGTGCTGTCTTACGGTCGCGGAGTCCGACCATGGCTCGGTGGAGGTACGCACTCGTGGCTACGTGGTATGTCGCTCGAGGTACTGACTCAGCGCACGTTTGCAGACGCGGCGCCGTCCCCATTTCTGCAATCGCAGCCATACGATCCTGATTGGCGTACAGCACTGAATCCGACTATGCCCCCCGTGAAGATCGAGCTTGCCGGAGGCAAGATTCAAGACGCAGAGAATGACGTTTGATTTTGATATTTATGTTTCGAAGTCCAGTCGTCATTGCAATGAGTTCTTTCTTGAGCACAATCTCGATCTTCGCATGTCATTTGATGCCCATACAAAGGCGTTGAACATACCTGGTAAACTGTCCCATGAAGGCGACATTAATGTGTATTAAAGTATTTTGGTGAAAATAAAGTATTGGTGTGGCATTATCAAATGTCCATTTCCGGTGCGGATGTCTTCAAAGGCCTCTTCGCGTACTTCAGTAGCGTAACTATCGCCGTAGGTTTCATGCCTTCCATACGTTTCGCGGCGCCCTACAAATGCATGAGTGCACGCAACCATATGCACTAGGAGCGACTCACAATGCTGGTGGGACGAACGATGGACAGACGCTCCTTCACCTCAGAACTCAAACCATCAACAGCACAGTAGTCTAGCTGTGGATCAAGGACAAGTGCTTCGTCTTCGTGGAAGGCGACTAGATCTGCCTGTTGTCGACGAAGATGGAATCTGTAAATACCTGCAGCTACATGAGTTAAAATAGCGTGCTATGCAGGACAGGACTCACTGTCTGTTTGGACACGCGCTAGAAGCTGAGGGTCGAATTTCGCCATCCCGGGTATCGTACTCATTATACGGTCTACAGTAACCCCTCGATGACAGAGTAAGGTATAAGCACTGAATACAATGATGAATTGACACTCAGATGTGACGGACGGAGTATATACTAACCTTCTCGGCAGTCCATCATTGTTGACATCGAAGCCAAGTTCGCGCCAGCCCTTGATAACGGGAAGAATGAGTATGAAACGATTAAAATTTAATTACAATATAACACTCACATGGGGAGTAAGGACATGACCTTTCAAGTGTTCCGTAAGTCGTTCAATCTCAGCCCGGGTGGACAGAAAACGCGACCAGCGCTCATCTGATACCACGCCGGCTTTGCGACCTGTGCGAGAAGGGATGTCAAGACAATATGAATCGATCCTCAAAGGTCGCCCTACCAAGCTCAGTTAGACGCAAATCAGCGTTGTCGCTCCGGATAGACATACGATACTCTGACCTTGACGTGAACATGCGGTCTGCAACAACATGAGGAACGGGATCAGCAAGAGGCGTATAGCGGGGCGAGCCACTTACACGGCTCCTGCGCCCCCTTGACAATGAGATCATCAATCATTACGCCAGTGAAGCCATCCACACGCGAGATTATGAGCGCCGGACGGCTGAGAGCAGCAAGGCCAGCGTTGATACCTGCAACTACGCCTTGAGCGGCAGCTTCTTCATACCCTGTGGTGCCTGCAGTTGCAGATGAGCAATTAGCTAGGAACGTCCATCATTTTAGCGCTTACCGTTGATTTGACCAGCAAGAAAGAGACCCTGGAGTTGTGATCCAGTGAGTAATTCTATCAGACGACACGCGTTCTCTATACCTTAATGCGCTTCGTTTCCAACGTTGCTAAACACAGGAAAGATATGGATTCAGAAGTTTATAGAACGGCATTGGACTTCATTGACTCACGTTTCAACTCTCTTGGGTCAACGTAATCGTACTCGACTCCATATGCAGGTCTTACAACCTCTACATTCTCGAGACCCGGTATCGTGCGATACATATTCTCCTGCACCTCTTCAGGCATGCTGCACGAGAGCCCATTGGGATAGATGAGATCTGAGTAGACACGATCAGGTCATAACATGTAAGATGAGTCTTGCGGAAGCAAGCGGGGGCTATCAAGCACCGCAATAGAACTGAGAACGCTTGACAGACCGCTGCGCCATGCAACTGAAAAGGAAAGACAAACCGGAGTCGTATCCTTCCGGTTCAAGCCATACTATGTGAGACGCCTTGTCTGGGAAGCGTCTTACTTTCGCCTCGAGGGATGGACAATATCGGGGGCCTTAACGTGAATTAATATGGGAGGCTGACATCTGAAACAAGACAGTACAACCTTTTTTAGTTTCCTGGATATGAACACTGAGGTGTATATTGTCTCGAATGATCTGATGAGTCTCTGGGGTTGTATTGGTCTTGTAACACGAGATTTGGCGGTTCTGACATATAGAATGAGCTCCGACATCTTGGCCAAGGAGGTGAGAACGTACGGCATTATCGACACTGCTGTGCATGGAACAGAATGGACTGGGAAAAGCATCGCCCTTTTGCTCTTCCAGTCCATTGAAGTTAATGCTATCCAATTTCAGCCTTGCTGGTGTGCCGGTTTGCAAGCGCCCAAGCTGAAACCCAGCAGAGCGGAGACAACCCGACAACCCAACCGAAGGAGCTTCGTTCATTCGACCGGCAGGAAAGGTTTTCAGGCCTAACACCCCAATGAGCGGAGAAAGGAAAGCTCCAAGAAATCATCATACCGATATGTATCTCTCCAGAGAGAAAGGTTCCAGTGCAGATTACCACCTGTGAGCAGTTGATAACCTCACCAGAATCTATCATGATACTTTCAGCTGTAAGTCCAGGGTATGATCGTACGCATGTACCTAATCTTACGCCCTCAACTGTTCCCCAATTACTCGCATCTGAACCAGCAAAGTGGTTGAGCACGAGATCGAATACACTGGCTGCACGAATACGGAGATTGTGCTGGCTGTGGAGAGCTTCTTGCATATGCTCCTTGTACAGCTTTCTGTCCACCTGCGCTCGCGGACCCTGGGCATTCTGCTGTTGCAAATTCGGGAATCATTTACGAAAGAGTTATGACCTACCCATGCAGCCGCGCCCTTTGAACGGTTCAACATATGAAACTGAATACCTGCTTTATCTGGGCTGATAATCAGACTCCAATTAATGCATAGGAACGAAGGTTAATACCTGTTACTTTGCCACAGACACCATCCAGAGCATCGACCTCACGGACCAATGTGCCCTTTCCCACCCCTCCCATGGACGGATTACACGAGAGTTCACCGATCGTGTCCAGTCTCTGTGTCAGCAGCAACGTCCGTGCGCCTGTACGTGCCGCCCCTGCAGCAGCTTCGCATCCCGCATGCCCACCACCGATAACGCATACTAATCGTCTATCAGCAGTCTTCGTTTAGAGAATAGTCGATACGCACCATCATAGAAGTTCTTCCTGGACGCTAATGAAGTATAGGTGCGACGCAGAGACAAGTTGCATATACGGTGACGCATCCAATAGAGATCTAAGTAGGAGGATAGACTCGGAATGTAGTAGGCAAGTCCCAACTTGCATGTGAAATGGTCATGTGATCAGGTGGTTGTTTGGCAAAAGCTTCTGATCCTAACATGTTTGGCAACGACCTCTGATCCAAACATACACATCGAACCGAAAACTTTGTTTCTTTATTCGCCCTCTTTCATAAGACACACTGCTTCATTGACGCTATCATCGCAATGGGTGCCTACTATGATGAGATAGAGATAGAAGACATGGCATGGGATGAAGAAAAGCGGGTCTATCACTATCCTTGTCCCTGTGGAGACCGCTTCGAAATCTCCCGGAAGCAGCTTGCAAACTACGAGGACATTGCCATATGCCCAAGTTGCAGCCTCATCATCAGAGTGGTGTACGATCCAGTAAGCTATCATTCTTATTGTGCTACAATGAGCTCGAGCGATCTGAGTTCTCCGGTCTAGCTCGACTTTGAGGATGAGCCCTCGGATGACGATGAGGATGCGCTTGCGAGCGAGCAATCGGACGACAGCGAAGAACAGAGCGACAACAACTCTGAAGACGCGATGGAGCGTCTGACCATCTCTGATGAACAGCCGCGCCCTGTTCTTGTCGGGGCTTAGTCGTACCGATTGGTGGGCTGCGTGCGTAAAGTTTTTATGATATATTCTGATAAATCCTTGCAAAGGATAAATTTTTTCCCATTCTATTGGGTACCATGCCATCGCATTTCCCACTGTATCGATAGTATGATGTATTCTCTCTGTTGATTTATTCGGATCTTGACATCTTGCTTCGAGGGTCACAACAGAACCCTTTTATCCATAACGTGGATTGACCTCCCTTTTTCAACACATTCGGCACATACTCAGGCGTTCCAGACTCGTACCTTTCACTGACATACCGACTGCCAATGCCATACTCCAGGTTTTCCTTCGACGGCGTTCGAATTTGTCGGCGATGATTGTCTGTTTTGACCTGCGTCTTGAACCGCGTAACGGTGTGTACAACGTATCCCACCTTCTATTAAGGAGATTCTCCTGCGGTATTAACGTAGTCTGAGCTTTCATTTACGCATAATAGGAAATTATGAAAGATACTCTAAGGAGGGTGCAGATATCTCGGCCAACGAGCGCGCCGCGGTCAGTCGTCTTCAGTATAATCGACCTTCTCGTCGAACCTCAAGCTCTCGTTCCAACTCTTCTTTCTCCGCGCGCCGATGGAGTAGTGTAACTTGCTCATCCAGGATCCCCTCGTCCGAACCATCTCCTTCACCACACTATCAGCGAAGTGCCGCGCCGGATCGGCTGGCAGTCCTAGCGAGTTCTCGGCATAATCCATGACGCGATGATGAAGAGACTCGCGGACGAGCGTCATCCTGTGGAGCTCCGCAGGACCGATCCACAGGAGGCACGCGAAGGCGATGAAAATGCGTGCAGATGCCATCGAGTCTTCCAGCCACCTGAGGGTCACCCACATCACCAGCGGAACAAACATCGCTGCTGCGGGGGAATAGAAACAAGTGCAGGCCATTGCGATAGGGAGAACGGACGATAGTGAGAAGAACCCGAGCAGCTGCTTCGTGTGGGCGATCCTAACCTCCGTCTCGGACATCGGGCCTGTGGTTTTGTACCACCGCGCACCCAGCCCCGTGGATATGAAGACCGGTGCCCAGAGAACGACGCCGGGAAGACACAATGTAAGCAGGAGGACCGTCCAGATGAGGCTAAGTGTCATCTTGCACAGGATGGCACGCAGTGACAGAGGTATGTGGATACATTCGTCTTTGATGTGCCACCGCGATAGTTGGTCCTGATACTCCTACGAACAAGTGCATGGGTGTAAGGCTACAGGCGAGGACGAGGAATATTAATTCTTACTTCGAGCGCGTCTTCCAACCGCATGATTCTGCTGCTGTTTGTATTAACAGGTATCTTGACATTTTTATGGCTTCCGGCGTCCTTGAAGGCCTCCAGGAAAGTCTTCACCATGCGGACGTGGTCACCCAAAGAGATCGTAGTGCCGAGAGGTGCATAGATTTGTGCCGCTGTCTTCGCACTGCGCAGCGTCTTCCATGACGGCGCGTGCAGAGTCCCCGCGCTGATACGTTCGTGGATTATCCCGGTGAGTTTGCAAATACACTCGAAGTCTACTGGTTCTAACAATTCCGGGTTGTACTGTACGACGATGAGAAACTTTCCAGATGTCACGTGTCGCGAGCACATACGCACTTTCGGTCTGAATTTGATCGGAGGTTGGAAGGACACTAGGACGTCTGATCGGAAGTGCTGTCTTCGCCTGCCCAACATTAGTTGGTCACGAAATAGGGATGAAAAGAGTGTCGCCTTACATGTAAGTTATCGAACAAGGTAGAATGGAAACCTCAAAATCTGGCTTGTCTCTATTTCGCGACAAGACTTGCGAAACGATGCGAGAGACTGAGCGTAATAGGATGAGGGCTGGCCAAACAGGTGGAAGCAGCGAACGAGACACACCTCCGGACTTCAGAGGTGCCAATGCCGGACTGTACCTACTGACGCCCTCCGGAAAGAATCCAATGATTTCTCCATCTTCTAATGCCTGGCAAAGAGCTGATATTCAACATTTGGTCGGACTTAGATGTCAGGAAGCATACCTCAATAAGCTTGATCATTGTGTCTGTATTGTCAACCGGTGCGCCTGGGAAATCGACTCGTCGCTTGACCGGAACGGCGCCGGTCGCCTCTATGAGCCAACCTACAAAGGATTTCTTTCCAAAGTGAGTTGACTTCGCGGTCATCCTTAGCAAACTCCGTCGCTGAATGAGCCGAGCCTGTTACTTCTTCAGCCAGCGGACGTGTGAGCAAAGTGGCTTACCTCAAGAGGCACAGAGGTCAGAAGTACGCTAGTGTAAGGAAAGTTAGTATGCTACGTACATTCTGATTAATCCCATTGCAACTCACGAAGCGTCGGTGATCGAGTTGTCATGGTTGGCACACAAGATACTGGAGAGCGCGTCTGAGAGAAAGCCACGACTGTTTCAAATCGACGGTATATACCAAGACTCACTATCTCCTGGAATCAGGTGCGTATTCTCGACGACTATGTTTCCGTAGAAAATCTTGAGAACCAGCTTCAGAAACAGTCTTTGCAGGCGAAATTCGATCAACATGAGTTGCGCTTGTTTATGTGGGAAACATACCTGATACAGAAGTACGACCAAGGGGTGGTGGTGGTTGCGGTCATGCTGAACTGCAGGTCGCGACGCCTGGAGTGCCATCGTCCGTGAGCTTTTATTTGAGTCTGGGTCTATTCGAATTCAATTCACCTCTTGTCGGAGTCAGAACGAGCCTGAGAAGCAGCGCAACATGTTGTGCAATTTCCGACGTATGGTGCCTCGCGTACGGATAAGATGTGCTGAAACTGGATGGTAGATGATGCGGTCCTAACGATACAAGTGCGGCGACGGGAGACGGAATTCTCGCTATTGTATGTTCCTTCATTATTTATAGATTAAAGGCCATTGATCGTATGACGACTCGTCAGGCCCGGTGAAAATCGTCCTAAATGGGAGCAATTTGTGTCGAACGCCTGCAAAGGCAACGTACCTGTGTCATGTAACGAGAGCAAGCGAGGTCAACTGTCCGATGCGTGTGACCACAACATTCATTTCTGCCAATTCACACCAAGGTTCGTGCAGCGACTAAGAACTTCCAATGGCCTTAAATCATCTCAAACGTCCCCGGAATGGATCTCAAAATTTTATACCACTCAGAGTCTCATCGCACCATCCAAGCGAGCGTGGGTAACGTACTTCGGGCGTACGGGTGCTGGCGCTCTTGCTTGTTTCCCACTCTCTCCTTCTCCGCTCTCACTTTCGTCTCGTCCTTTTGACTGCCTCCTTCCCGGAATCCCACTCCATCCATCCTTGCATCGACTGGGAGGTGAGCACGCTACGCGATTCCACATGATGTGCCAGTGTTCGCAATGTTGTCCAGCTCCAGTGTCGTCTTCAGACCCTTGCGGCGATACCGTGACCCTATCGACGTCAAGTGTGAACAACAGGTATGCTGTCATCCTTTTACTATGTTCCTACTTCGTAACACCTGCTTAGTTGTGACTTGTTTACTTGCGGGAACAAATTTAAAATCGTGGCTAGGCGTGCTGCAGTTCAAGCAGTGCTTGAACCCGAGCACGCTCATCCACGTATGCCGGTAATCACGACTTGGTGAGTATTCCTACCCGTTCCTACGCTATACGGACCTACTTAAGTCCCGTCAGGGGAAGTTCAGGGCGGCAGTCACAGGGTGCCTCCTTATGCACAGTGCAGCATGCTGATATGAATAAATGTGTACCTATGTATGTAAATAATTTGTAGGGCACAAATATATTTTTCAACATAATCTCACAGGTATCCTTGTGGGTGTCAGCTGTAGTTCAGTGTGAGCATCTGAAATGCAAGCATTTGATGCAATTGGAGAGCACCTCATGCGGCGTTATTCGAAAGCGATTGGTGCCCTTCCAGCAAAGACGATATCGATAGGCCCCTACAAAAAGCTCCGTTGCGGACTGCGAAATCAAACGCTCCCGAAATTCAGGTGGGTGGCGGCCCCACCGTGCACCTTGGTGCTACCAAGTCGCGCCGCCTGGGCCGCTCTGTCTCGTACCCAGACGGTCATCTCATCGCACCCCACCACCGCAGATAACACGTACCTTACGGTTAGCGCCCATTAGCCACCCAGCTTCTTCAATTCTGTACCTGGCTTTGCCGTCTCACTCATTGAGCTCAACTTTTGCTTTCTATGCCCAATGCTCACAGTTTGCATGTATTTTTTGAGTTTCTATGAATTCAGTAAGCTTCTAAAAACCTCTGAAACTATTGTGAGATGGCTCTGAGTTTACTCTGACACAAAGGGGTGTCGGAAATGCTCATAGTCAGCTGCCTTGGCTGCTCAAATGGCGGGTAGTGAAATGTTTCTATGTGGATATACAACATTAAAACACAGTGATGATTTTTTTGTGTGTTTGTGGCCTGCATGATGAAGGAAGACATTCACAACAGTTGCCTAATTCGGCACAGACCTAGCCCATGGTCCATCATTTAGCCCGCGCCTTAGCGGGCGCTAACCGTAAAGTAGGAGGCCTCTATCAAATGCCCCAGACGTGTTATCTGCGCCGCTGCGGTGGTAGGGTGCGATGAGATAACCGTCTGGGTACGAGACCAGGCCGCTCGCATCCACAATGTCCCTGATCCCGGCGAGATGCGAAGGCTACCCCGCCTATCAGGAGCTTTTTTTTGCGCCCAAAAGCCGCCTATGCTCGATTTTTTGACCAGGGGCCTAACGATATGATCCTCGCTGTCACTCACGGAGTCGTGCCATTTTCAAACGTGGGCAACTGTCACAGAACGAGAACAAATATCATTCAGAATTTGATCAGATTTGGTGGGAATTGACTACATTCGCATCGATTTTTGACCGGGTGCATTAGGAAGACAATGGAGGTTTCGCACCTACCACCGCTGATAACACGTCTGGGGGCAGTTTTGAAGCCTGCAGTAATTAGCCGCTTGAGAAGGTTCGCTTATGGGCTTCTTTATGTAATTACTGATGTCTGCCATTTCGTCCCAAGGCGCGACCTTTGCTTTCTCTACCCCACGAGAACCATCGTTACATTTTTTTTGGTTTGTCATAGAAGCATTGGCTACTCTCGAAGCTCTTGAGAAGGCTCCTATCTCGCTCTGACTTGAATACCCACACTCATTCAGCTGCTTGCTCGGAGTGAAAGTGCCGATCTATTGCACTGCCGAAGCGTTCGAACTGCCCTGTCGCAACGTGTACTTTTCGTGTCGACCCGCGTGGACAGTAGCGCAATCTTCGATGAAGGTGGACATTAGAGCGTTACAGGAATTTCTCTGGAAGAGATGTAGCCATTCTGAATATGCCAGAATTCCCCGGAGAAACAAGGAACGAGCACTTCTCGTGAGCATCTTCAGTTACTGCGCAGTTCGGTCTTTTTTCGTCTGACCATTAATTATCAAGTTATAGTATATGGAAACAGAGACTGACATGCTCCGAGTCTGATCATCGCGGCGGATGCCGACTTGTACCTCTCGGCCCCCACTTCATTCAAGTTCGCTTTCTTGCGAGTACTTCTTTTGACTTCGGCCGCAAATTTTCGACGTCAAAGCGACCCAGACGGTTATTATATGTACCCTACCACCGCAATCGGATAACAAGTCTGGGTAGTTTGATAGAGGCCGGACTGAATCATTTAAACGGTTTACTGACTCGGAGAACTTAGCGTCGACATTGGTTATTCGTTTTTAGAGATGCCATTAGAATGCACGTTATTCGGAGCCTCCTTGCCAATGAGTCTGTTCAGAAGCCTCCCGCGGGAAAATAACCTCCCCTTCCCCCGAAACTGCTGAAGAGAAAAATGTGAAGACGAAAATACCATCAAAGTTAATAGGCGCCATCGCTGGCGTCAACCACTGACATCGAGCACTGCGCGTCTTTGACAATATTGCTCGGCGTGTCGCACAGGGCGGACCGCGTCGGCGTCATCATTGATAACGAGCAACGGCCGGCCGAATTTGGTGTGTGTCATCTCTTTGGCTCTGTGCGGTCAAGATGCCCACTTGACACGAAGCTTTTTCACTTCACCTTAACAACGACGGAACACCACTGCTCGATGCGGTAGGTGATGAGCGGCACCCGATGGACGATTCATCGGACACAGCGACCCACGGTAGCGCCCGGCCTATGCGTACGCCTTTGGTACGCCTCACTGAGATCCACAGCGGACCCAGGAGACCGCTATTAAGCGTTGACAGGTGAGCATTTTCATTTGTTTTCAGAGCCATCACGAAATTACCCAAAGCAGGGGGGGTTTCTGAGTAGACTAATCCCCTCACTGCCGCAATGAAAGGCAGGTCTCGTTATTCTTTGGTGCGCCGAGCTTTCAGAACTGAAACTGCTTTGATACAGGCAACTTACAGTACAGTTAACCAATTTATTAAAGTCGTCTTCAGTGCGTGGGTGAGTTTGGAGATCACGGTAACGTCCGAAATCTTCGACATCGAGTTGGTATTACGACAGGAAGGTGCTTCCATTCCATCGCCATCGTGTCACGGACTTATGTGATATGTTTGAGGATGTGCCTTGAACGTCTTGATTACCCTGGGCAGGTTCTATACATTTCCCTTCCCCCCACTTGTATTCCCACCGCCTTTGTTCGGTGGGAAGAACCAAGGCAGCTGATTTTTGCTCACAACCTGTTGCTCAAGGGCACCTGTAAGGTACAAACGTTGAAGATTTCCACAGGACGCAAAGATGCGCCCACACAGATGGATCCTAGTACCTATAAGAACGATTGTGGCGTGACTGTGCTACACTCCGTTTAACCGGCACCATGGGCTCCGCTTCCGTTGGCGTTGATGAGGTCTCCCGCCGTTCGACTGCGAAAGATGTTCAATCTACTTCATGCGAAACAACGTCTTACCACGATGGGAAATCGCCGTTGGACACAGATGTCTACATCGTGGATTGGGATGGCCCAGATGATCCCGAAAACCCGAAGAAGTGAGTTGCAGCATTACTTGCTTTTTCTGTATGTTTAGGTATACCGTCCGATGGCTAGCTGGACTTACAGGCGAAAGTGGACACTTACTGTGATCGTCTCTGCATTTGCCTTCATAACTCCTGTGACATCTTCCATAATTGCTCCCGCCAGTGCTCAACTGGCCGAGGAATTCGGTTTGCGAAACACAACGGTGATAGCTATGGTGACGACTATCTTTGTGCTCGCTTATGGTGAATCATTCGTCTCCGTTTGCTGTCTCCTAAACCGAACTAACAAATTGACGTCATGTAGCGTTCGGGCCACTGCTTCTCGGGCCTTTAAGTGAGCTATATGGCCGGACAAGAGTACTTCAGCTGGCGAATCTCTGGTTCTTGGGTATGGCGCTACTCTATGCGCAATTAAGCCTTGTTGTTAACGCGGGCCGTAGCATGGAATATAGGGTGTGGATTTGCTCAGAACACAGGTCAGATTCTGGCATTCAGATTTCTTGCTGGCCTCGGCGGCAGCGCCCCGTTATCAGTACGTCCTATTCACATCCTTTGCACCGTCATCGGTACATGCACTGGCTTAAATCATTTTCTACGTATTTTGTAGGTTGGTGCAGGTGCTCTTGCGGACTGCTGGTCCCCCGAAGAAAGAGGCAGAGCCATCGCCCTGTATTCGGCCGCCCCTGTGCTCGGTCCAGTCCTGGGTCCGGTTGTCGGGGCTTGGATCGCACAGAAATCACACTGGCGATGGGTGGTAAGTCGATGGAACTCATCTCGGCTTACTCGTGTTCATGATGTGGTGGAGTTCTACTGCACGAGTTTAGCAGATGGGGTGGTCCAGGTCCTTGGCATTATTCTTTTGAGGGAGTGTGAGCATGAAATTCGCGGACATTGTGCATCGCTGATCAGTGTGCTATGTAGCCTTTGCTCCCGTCCTGCTAGAACAGAAAGCTGACCGGTTACGGAACAATCCGACTGAGAAAATCCGCGAGGGACAGAAGATCTGTACTCCATACGATGGCGTTGACCGACAGTCCGTGCTTTCAATCCTACTGTACGCCCTATAGCCTGATTATTTTTTAAAACTTCTTAGATTTAAAGCGGCCGTAGTCAAAGCCCTGAAGCGACCCTTTATGCTCTTCCTCTGCGAGCCGATCGTGCAATTGCTCGGTGCGTACTTCTGCTTTGTGTATGGCGTGCTATACGGTATGTCAATAATTGCTATATCATCAAGAATTTCCTTTGACACCCCTTACAGTGTTTCTGACAACAATACCTACCATGTTCCAACGGGTATACAGGGAAACTATTGGGATTTCTGGACTCAACTACTTCGCTCTGGGTGTTGGTCTAGTAGGCGCCGCACAGGTCAACGCGCTGCTCTTGGATAAGATATACAAGGACCTAACAAAGAAGAACGGCGGCGAAGGAAAGCCAGAGTACCGACTACGTGAGCTACCTCACATCATTCATCGCGGTTGAAATCGACGAATGTGCGCACTGATGCGCCAGCAATAGCTTCCATGGTGCCGGGGACTATACTTACCCCCATTGGCCTCTTCTTGTCGGGCTGGACAGCAAGATCAAACATTCACTGGATAGTCCCTGATATCGTGAGCTCGTTGCACTCGTGCACGGTTCTCGCATTTCAATCTCATATTTTACATCAGGGAATCTTCATGGTAGGAGCAGGTACGATCCTCAACTTCATCTGCGTACAAACGTACATCGTCGATGCCTTCTCGCTTCACGCTGCGTCAGGTATTACTCAATCAGTTCCGGGCTTGTAGCGCTAGAATTTAAATTCTGTGCTTAGCGTTGGCGGCGGTTACATTCTTACGCAGTCTCGCGGGGTTCGGCTTCCCGCTGTTCACCCCCTCCATGTATACTGCCCTAGGATTCGGCAAGGGTAACACCATCCTTGCCGTTGCAGGTATCGTCATCGGCTGTCCTGCGTACGTTGCTCTCGTATCCGGCTGCTCACCGTCGCTCAACCTACCCTTTCTTAGGCCATTCGTTTTGTATTTCTATGGCGAACGCATACGAAAAGCTAGCAGGTTCGCAACAAAGGCGTGACCTCAACTGCTTCTGGATTGGCTTCTTGAATCGTTCTAGTTACTTGGGCGCCTTGTGGATAATACTGTATTTCTCACAACGTTATTCCCATCAATGATAATACAGCTGACATGGAAGGTTTAAAAGCGCCATCCTACAGTGAAAGTGTTTCCAAGGAACATCCAGGGTCGGCCAGGAGACCAGCTATTTTACAGCTGTTGTGAGTCAACAGGCCGATAAGTTTCAGATCTGTCACAGGGAACTTCTGATATCCTGCTACATCGAACCTTCAAATTTCTATAATTACAACTTCAGTTATAAGAAATTCCAAGGGGGCCCTGAATGACAGATAACTGCTCGTACTCTAACTGCCGACGATGGGCGATGAATCACTCGGTAGCAAACATCTTGATCAAGGATAAACTAGGAGGGGGAAATTTATCACTGTCCCTTTGTAATACTGTCGATCCTGGCAGCGTGGATATGGCGGCGAAGCTCGAACAGCACCGGGTATCCAAACACAAAATTGGACAGTACGTATTGTGCCTGAGAGCGAATGAATATTGAGTGAATATCATCAGTAGAGTTTAATCAATGACGTACGCCAACAACAAAGCCAGTCCTATGCTTCTTGCACAGAGAAAAGGTATATGTAGCTTCTAGGGCATGCACGACCAGTGCAAAAATGCAAGAGCTAGGTATAACCCAGGACGGGAGGTTGCACTGGAGCCAATACCCGAGCTTGAACACGGGCGAATAGTACGGAGACGAAGGCCCCGGCGAATAAATCGTATAGAAGAGGCAACCGAGCGCCACCACCGTGACCAGAGCGTCAGATGGCAAGTGGAAGGTCGTAACCTGTGGTGCGGTGCTCTGAGAAGTGTAAGTGAGAGTGTCGAGCTACAGCAGGCATACACACCATGCCCAGCGCCTTTTCCGCATCGACCTTCATGCTGAGCAGACGCGGCTTGACTTCTTCGTACCCAGCAAGTGGCGGGTCGAACTCGACACGGACCTCTTTCTTTGCTTCACCGCCGGATTTCGTGCTGTAGGTAAGAGTCATTCCCTGCATTTCGACAAACATCAATCACCATTCGTGAATATGCCTCCCCGAGAGGTGAGCGCTCAAACCTTCGAGTCTATGGCTATCATCTTAGCACTAGTCACATTCTCGCCAACTCTTCCCCAATGCCGCACGTACGAGACCAAGGTGTCCGGGTGATTCGACATGTACATGCAGAGAAAGCCAGACTTCGCCGCAACTGGGTCTGACATGGCGTAGCAAGTAGTAAGAGCAGCTTGCGGTTGATGATGGTTCAGCGGAGAACTGCGTGGTAGAATATCGTAAATAGAAGTTTGTCAACCCGACTGACTCCCTCGAAGTCCGAGCTGAGCGCTGATGATTGAGTTGAGCAGTTTACTAAAGGCAGTAAGCTCCATAGAACGTCGTGCTCTACTAAGCCCCAAACTCTAACTTGAATTTGATAGGTACTACTTATGTACTGTCTTGATGCGTGTTTTCTTACTGCCAACCTCAAACCCCGACCGTCGCGCCTCAAAAAAAAAGAAAGAAGCTTATACGGTAACCTTTCCATGTACAAAAATCGCAGGGAATTGTGGACGAACAAGTCGGCCACTTCGGACAAGTAACTTAGTCCTGCCGGTATGTTGGAGTCCCATGATCTGCAAACTATAGAAGTTCAGCGCCTCACATTATTGTTTTAGCCCCCAGCAATAGCCATGAGTCCCACTTTGAAAAGCGTGGATCGTCTTGTTGTCAAATTCATCGTGGATAACAGTGTAGAATGGTATAATCTGTTTCCTCTTCTGAATTTTGACGGCGATCGCTCGATCTGACAAGTACTGACTCAACTGACGTTGGGATCACGATTCCAGGTTAACTACCCTACCTCCTGGATTCACGCATGAGCGACCACAACATCTATTCGAGCAGAAGCCAGAATTGTGTGAGATTAGCGGTGTCCCTATCATCGATCTCGAGAAATACTGCTGCGGTGAATTTTGTTTAAACAAAGTATGATTCAACTCATACTGATGCCTCGATGACTACAGGTGCGCATGGATTTTCGGCCCTCATCGTAAGCATTATTTGGGAGCTATGGGAAGTGGATCCTATAATCATCGCGGGCGTTGTAGGAAACCCAAGTTGATGGTGAGACTCATCTGATCCTCTTCGACACCGGGCCCGACTCCCGCACAATGGCCCGCAACCTCGATGCGCTCCAAGTGCCCATCGAGCGCATCGAGCGAGTCATCCTTTCGCACTGGCATGCTGACCACAGCGGGGGCCTGCTCACTTTCCTCCAGCGCCGTACCTCCAGCACCTTACAGTCATCCCCTTGCATAGTCGACTTGCACCCGGACCGCCCGGTTTTCCGCGGCGTCGGCTCGCGCGCACGGATCCTCGGGCGTCTTCCCGCCGATCCGACGTTGGAGCAGATCGCCCGTGAAGGAGGGGTCGTAGAGACTCACATGGAAGGGCACGCTGTCGCAGGTGGCAGCGTGTGGGTGAGTGGCGAGATCCCCCGTGTGACCGAATGGGAAGGCGGAATTTTAGGCGGTGTGAGGTGGGTAGAGGAGCAGGGTAAAGGCGAGTGGGTCAAGGACGAGGTTGGTGCTGATATCCCAGGTGCGAAAGATGGGCATCGCTAATCATGATGTAGTTCATCATGGATGAGAGGTACGCTGTGGTCGATGTTGCAGGAAAGGGCCTGGTAATCTTTTCCGCGTAAGTCTCGCAGATAAACCTGTCTGCGGATTGGTGTCCAGCTGACACTGCAGTTGTTCGCACGCCGGCATTGTGAACGTTGTCAAAGATGTGATCACCCACTTTTCCCGACCGGTGCACATGGTACATGTTGCCAACTTTTCTGTCTCAGCGTGACTTACATCTCTGTAGATTATTGGCGGACTGCACCTCGCAAGCACCGATCTTGCACCACGCATCGCGCCTACGGTGAATTTCCTTGCGAAGGAAGTAACTCCACCTCCGCAGTTCATCCTCCCGATGCACTGTACTGGCTTCGGCGCAAAGTTGGCACTAGAGGCGGCTTTTGGCGAGGGATGCGTGCCGGCTGGCGTCGGTGTCAAGGTGGAGGTAACAGCCTGACATTGTCGGTGCGCCTGTATTCGTCAATATCTCTGCACGATCAGACAAACACGTTCTTGTCATTCCAAAGCGCTGCGCGATGTCAGAGCACGGACCCTGGCGACACCTTGAGCTCGGAGGAGCATATGAGCAAGCTGCTAAGGGTACGAATGAAATGTGGCTGGCATTTTATGTCTCATTCCCGGAGCTAGCGCGTAAAAATACTAGAAATTAAGTAACCGCCTTGAAGTAAATGCCAAGGAAGAAAAATTAGAGTCGCCAGTAACATCCACACCTCGCGAATCAAATCGCCACTTCTTTCCAGAACTCGGCATCCTCCGCATCCACGATGTCTTGTACGTCCTGCAGATCGTGTGTCTCCTGTTCGTGAAATTGCATCCCCACTACTGCATCTGTGACGGTCCCCTGTATTTCCGTGGCCTCAGCTGCGTCAGGGTAGTATGCATTCGCGAGATCTTGTGATTTTGATGGAGAGCTCTGGGACAGATGTCCCGCCACCCGTGCGCCTGCATTGCCGACGGCTGAGGTCACAGCATTAGTGACGCGACGCGTCGTGATAACGACAGACTGCGTGCCTGAGGTGCTACTGGGCAATGCAGTAGCGACAGATGCAGGAACGTGAGCGGGAGATGTTGTAGGTGAGTTTTCTGACAGGTGTCTGGTTCGCCAATGCCATGAATTAAGAAACATGATAAGCGGTGTCACACTTACGACGTGGTGCTGTCGCGGGTACCCTGACCACCATTCGCATAGTCGTCTCTGACATTCTTGCGCGACTCATCCGTCGCTGCTTCAACCCCTTCCTTCAGCAGCCCGTAGAAAATAAGCACCTGTTCGAACTGCGTGTGCAACTCAGAGAGCGAGGATCCCTCCACCAACACCCCTTCCGGAAGCGCGATCTTGACATATCTTAGTATGTACATACTCACGTCAGACGCTAAACAGAGCGGGAGCTTAAATGCTCACCCTCCTCGTTCTCCACCGATCTCTGGGGTGAAGACATACGCTCTTTGATCCCCTGCCAATGTGCCAAACACTGTGTCTTCAAACAGGGGAAAGGCGGCCCTTCCAACGGTCAACGCCAACACAGGGGTGCGACTTACCCCACCGGGTGCCGGCGCAGGTGGCGCGGAGACGCCTGATAATCGTGTCAGGACGAGCGCGAGCTCTCCTTCCCCTAGGAGAGCGGTAGAGTCGCCGAGTACATGGTAGGCAACGGCAGAGGGGATTTCGACAAGAATTTCCGGTGTGGCAGTCGGTTGAAGATCTACAGACATCTGAGATGAGTTTGATATGTGATATAAATATCGCGCAGCTATCAGAAGTTGGACAAGGTTGTCTGCGTGGATTGGAGCTGCGGTCAGCCTCCGAATTAGGGTCAATGCGGTCATAGGCCTACCTAACCCTACCGTAGGGGCAGCAACGTTCGATCCGCGGTGGACGTAAGTTTCGGCCTCGACGAAATAAATGCTGTTATTGACAGTAAAGTTGGGGAACGAGGATAGCAAAGAAAATGATATGGGATTGGAGAATTGTTATTAACGGAACAGACGTAATGCTAGCGGAAGCCCAACGGTAGAGACTGAGCATCCAGGAAAAACTGGGATAGCAACGAGATCCCTCCTTGTCTTCAGAACGTGAAGACGTCGGCATCGCTCATAGTTCCTTCTGCGAATGCTGGCGACTATGTAAAACCGCGACTGATCAGCTTGAGATATGCTTCGCCATCAGATGTCAACTCACCTTCACGCCTATGATCCTCTCATCATCAATCATAAAGCCGTCATAACTGTAAGGACCAGCTCGAGTTGTCACCGAGTATGGCAAGTAGGTAACTACTTCCGCCTGGAACGTATCGCCAGCGGCGACTCTGGTTGCTTCGCACATCACTATGTACTGCCCCAAATTCTCTGCGGGTTGGTTTGCGTCCACAGGATCGTTGATACGCTTCTTATGGACGTTAAAATCGATCACACAGAGTTGACAGATCGGGTTTTGCCCGTTCGGCAAAAATGGAGGAAGCACCACTCGCTGGCCATGAACGTATCTGCAAGATTCACTTGTCAGACTCATACTGCGAGCCAACAAATGACTCACCTCAGCCACTGAAACTGAACATTGTGCTCCATGAAACGGGTGTTCGCAGGACCCCAACTCTCCCATGGTCGCTCCACACATGCCCAGTTTTCTCCCGAACCAATATTTTCAGGAATCAAGGACAGAAAGAATTTGTTCTGGACAAACAGATGGATTTGTGGTCCACGCTGTCCATAATGTAGCGACAGAAGGTGCACTCGCGCCTCACGTGCAGTCTCAAAAGGCTTCCCTGCAATTGGCCCATGCACGAATGGACCTGAGTGCGATGAGAAGTGGTGCGGCTCCTGTCCGTGCTTCAACCTTGGCAAGTTCAGCTTCGCCACATGCGTCGGCACGCGACTGCGCGTATGTCCACTGAACGAGAAGATTTCCACTGATCCAGAACCCGCAGTGGCCGTGAGCATGAACGCCCTGTTCGATAGAAAGGCAAAGTCCCACGTTCCCGCCGGCAAGTCAAACCCGATACAGTACTGCCAGCATATTAGCAGAAACTGGACGGTGAATGCATTACGAACGCACCACCAAAATTTCACCCGTCATCCAATTCCAGATAATCAACCCCGGACCATGCACCCAGAAAAACATGCCCACGATATCGTCCACGATCTGGACAAACGAGCTGCCAAGGGAGAACGGAATCGGCGCACGAACCTCTGTCGAACGTGCCTGTGGGTGCGCCTTATTCGTGCTGATAGTACGGAACTGGATCTTGAGGAGAAAGCCACGGTTTGGACTACTGCGCTCATCGAGTCAACGGCTTGCAGCGACCGATGTAGCATAGACGTACTTGTCGTCGGCATCGACGAACGCAATAAGGTCCTGCGACGGATCAATCGCGAAATCGCGAGTCGCTATCCCCAGATCATCCCGCACGATGCTGATCGCAGGCTCCGAGCGTGTCGGGAGCCAAGTAGCGATAAAATGACGGGATCCCACCAGGTTTGAAACGCTCATCGACTTGGCGAAGACGCCGCCGACGAGTTCGTAGGCCTGACACGGTCCTGGAACGGATACCAGCGTCTTTTTCGTCCAGTCAAGTGTCCGCCACCTGCGTCGCCTGTCGAGAAGAAGGTGTAGTCGGTCCGCGGTCGTCATACGGCCTGGAGGACCGTCGACCATGCCATCTGCAGCAAGTTCAATGATGTACTGTAACTCCAAGGACTGAGCAACGATGTGACGGAATGTTTTGCATATCTGTGGAACGCGACAATCGTCGATCAATAGAAAAAAAGGTTAGATGGTGCTGGATAGCATACTCACAAGGTTACATTTCAGCAACTCCTTGAAATCGAGATATTTCAGTATAGCAATCAAGATTTCGGACGGTAATTTCCAGAGCTGCGCTGGCTGCATGATAGACTACAATGAGCATCGAGATTGTCAGCGAGGTGATGATGAAGTTGCCGTCGGCACGACATTCCCACGGTGGGAAATGCTGCTAGAGATAATCTATAACTAAGTCACTGTGACTGTAGTACTAGTAGTCACTGTTCTCATTCTGCTGTTCATCCTTGTGTATGTCAATCACTTCTGAAGGGAAACTCGCAAACAGAAATCGCCATGGCTGCTGGCAGGCACTGCTACTGTTACGCTGGGGCGTACCACTTGTCCGAGGTTCGTCGAGCAAGTACTAAGTCGTTCGATGACTAAGTAAATGCGAGTCAAGAATCAAGAGTCAAGAAGATCACACAAGGACTAAGTGATAATCCCGTGTATTGAGAGGTAAAGTAACCAGATCGAGACTGGGGTTCCAGTCGATGATCTCAGCCTTATATACTAATAGTACATGCTGAGTAATACATGCCAGTAATGGCTGAGTCAGTGAGTACCCTCGCGGTGAGGGATGAGTCAGTGAGTACCCTCACAGTGAGGGATGAGTCAGTACAGGCTCTAGACTATGAGGTCATGGTCTAGAGAGAGTCCAGATCGAGTCGAGAGACATCGAGACTCGAAGTTTCGGGTCAACGCGTAATCGTACAACGTAATCAAAAGAAAAAGATAGGTACTCAACGTACCGTTGTAACATAAGCCCCTTCCTATGCCGCCTTTGCCCTCAAAGGCATTCCTACGTATCTCCTGCTTCCGACGGTGTCACGCTGTTCATCGGAAACCCTTCAGTATACAATGAACCTGTCCCATCGAAGTCAGAGAATCGGGGGTCCGTTTGAGGGTCAGGGTAAGAGAACGCTACCTTGCGCGCGTCGTAATTAGCGTAGAAGTCATGGGAGTGGGGACAACCTTCTATCGTGTGGCCAGGTGCTTGTTTTCCACAGTAGTAGCAGCACATCCTGTTGGATAGCAACACAGGGCATGCGTTCGGGTCGTGGGATGCAGGGACAGATTGACAGATTACGCAAATGGAAAATGGGCAGGTATACTTTGGATGGGTATACTGTCCACAGAACACGCACTTGGGGTGTGGTCGTTGATACGCGATGTATGTCGGGATGGTTCAGTGTGGCCTGATGAGCGCTGTGGAGAAGGCGGGAGGAAATGGGGAGATGTTCCTTCCAGGCTCACTTTCTCCTGGATCTACGAGGGTCTGAGATGATTGATCCGAGTGTTCAGGCATTTCAGTCTGCACCGCATTTTCCGTGGTCATCGGGGATAACCCTTTGGCATGATGGTTGGGATTGTCGCTAAAGTTCCACTCTGATACGTAATCCGGAGGGGTGTTTGGATGCAACGGTCGTGCGATGGAAACACCATCATGAGTCGCTGCTGGAGCGGAAGACGTTGAGGTGCCTTCGAACAAATTGGATGGCTGTGGGGTAGGAACCGTCATGGAATCGAGATGTGATGGTCGCGGTGGAGGTATGGGGGGTGTTCCTTCTTGTGGGGTTTCCAGCGGCATATCTGTTAGAAAGGTAGGGAGGAATGGCTGCGTGGCGTCTGCGTCTAGCTCGACGAGTCGTTGATACGTGTTCGTCTGGGCAAACATCAAGGCTAGTGTTTCCTCCTGTGGCTGGATCCTATCTCCCATGCTCAATGCCAATGTCTCCATTCTCTCCGTGTATCGTCGCGCTCCTGCTATCGCGTGTTGCATGGAGATGATTTCTGATTTGGCAGCTTGTTGCGAATGGATGATCCTAAGCGCATACTGCACGTGAGAGTCGTCCAACACGGTTAGGGCTTGGAGATACAACTCCTTACCCGACATGCCCTGGACAAATCGTGAGCTCCACGAGTCAAGGGCAGTCCGTGTACTTGCAGAATATGGTGTGGTGGCTCTAGAACGTATGGGATTGATCGAGTCAACTATGCCAACAATGAAGTCTTCCAAGTCACCGATAGTCCCAATTCGCTGTGAGAATCGGAGATGGGCCCTAAGGTTATCTCGTATGTCATGTGCTGGTACTCCCCTAAAGTCTCTAGGGTGTGGCAAGGGAGTCGGAGAGGTTTCAGAGAAGTAGTCATCGATAACGGATTGCGCTCCAGATAATGGCATAGTGGAGGTTCAGAAATGGTGAAGGTCTATGTGAGCGATTGCTGAGATATGATGCAGGCGTCATCGCCTTTTGTATTCCCCTAGTAGCCCCTTGGCATTTGTCAGATTCGCTTCGGGTTCCCATGAGTTCTCAGCAGAAGCATATCCTTTCCACTTGACCAGGTATTGGGTTCGACCGTATCTTTGTCGGTGGTTTAGGATTGCTTCGACTTCGTATTCCTCGTGCTCTTCGATAAGGTCAGGCGGTGGTCTCGTATCATTCAGGCCGTGGATCTCCATTTCTTTGTAAGGTGATAGAAGGCTGGCGTGGAATACGGGGTGGATTCTCCATCCTCGTGGTAGGGTCAGGCGGTAGTCCACTGGGCCTATGGGTTCTTCAATAACAAAGGGGCCTTCACGTTTCGGAGCCATCTTCCGTGTCGGGTACCTGATGTTCAGGTTCTTTGTGTCGAGCCAGACCTTCTGACCCTTTGCGAAGTGTGGTGAGCCCTTCCTGATCCGTTCTGCCATATGCTGTCTTGCTAGCTCGTGCATGGCTAGGGCCTCATCTCGAATCTTCTGGAGTTCAGATAGCCGAGTTTCCACTGAGGGTACATTTGTCCTAGGGAGTACCGATGGGATTCCGTGTGGTTCGTATCCCATCATCATGCGGAATGGCGACATCTTCTGCGCTGAGTGTTCGCGTGTGTTATGGCAGAATTCGAGGTCCGGTAGTCGGTCTACCCATGACTCGGGGTTGTTACCGCAGTAGAGTCGGAGGTACACTTCTAGTTCCTGGTTAACGCGCTCCGTTTCTCCATCTGACTGAGGGTGGTAGGCTGTACTCATCGAGGACCTGATTCCTAATATCCTGCATAGTTCTTGGAATACGTGTGATGCGAATTGTGTTCCTCTATCGGAAATCAGTTTGTCTGAGAGTCCGAATCGGGAATAAACTTTTTCATGGAAAAGTTTTGCCATTTGATCCGCCGTGACAGTCTTCAAGCAAGGGCAAAGAATTACCCCCTTCGTAAGGTTATGGTCTACCACAACCATGAGAGAGTCAAAACCACGTGATACTGGTAGGTCTGTGATGAAGTCGACTGATGAACAGGAAAATGGTAAGGCATTCAGGGTTGCTGGTATAGGCATTGGAAGAGATTTAGTGGGGTGCGTATTGATCTTCATCTGTTGGCACCCTGCACATCCTTTCACATAGGCGCACACTGCAGAGTAAAGTCCTGGCCACCAGAAATCACGTCGGACAAGTTCAAGGGTTTTGTAAGAACCTGGGTGTCCCATGGCCGGTGTGTCATGGTACAACTTGATAATATCACGTCGGAGAGGTTGTACTGGGGGTACATATACACATCCTCGGTATTGGACAAGCCCATCGGTGATTTTCGAATCATCGAGGGCAGATTTCATTGGTGGTGGTCCTTTGCGCTGCAAGGCTTGGAGCGCATCGTGAACAATTTGGTCTTTAATCGAATGTGCACGAATATCTTAGTATAATTGTGTCGATATCGAATGCATGAACAATGCTTCTGGGAGGAGGATACGATCTTCATTATCATGATCTCGGTCACCCTTTCCAAGCAGCCGAGATAGGGTGTCCGACTGTATCATTTGCATTCCTGGGACGTGCACCAACTGGAGTTCAAACTGGGATAAGAAAAGACTCCATGGCGCTTGGCGTCTGTTCAGCTTCTGGGCTGTCCGGTAGTAGGTCAGGTTTTTGTGATCGCTGTGTATTACTATCGGATGAAGAGAGCCATCGAGGTAATGGCACCATTCTTCAAGGGTACGAACGATTCCTAATAGTTCTCTGTCATAGATCTCGTAGTTCCGTTCGGCTGGGTTAAACGATTTTGACAAATAGCCACATGGGTGGAGGTCTCCGTTGACATCAGTTTGTCTTAATACCGCTCCTGTAGCCACAAGCGAGGCATCGGACTCGATGATAAAAGGTTTCATCTTGTCTGGCATGAGGAGCATGGGGGCCGAGACAAACTTTGCTTTGAGCGTATCGAACACTTGTTGGCAGTTGGGGATCCATTCCCATATCGGTTTCTTTGCCATCATCGTGAGATCAGTGAGCGGTCATACTATCTCAGAATAGTGATCAATAAACTTCCTGTAGAAGTTCGCAAAACCAATGAATGCGCGGACGGCCTTCACCATTGTTGGTTCTGACCAGTCCTGGATTCCTTTCAACTTGATCGGGTCCATTCCAATATGGTCCAGACGTATGATCATCCCAAGGTACTCTACCTCTTGGGAGTCGAACGTGCATTTCTCCGGTTTGATGAACAGATCGTTTTGCTTGAGTCGTTCTAGGACTCAAAGCGTACGCTGTCGATGTTCTTCCATGTTATTTGAGAAGATGAGGATGTCGTCCATGTAGATGATCATCCATCCTTCATCGATCAGGTCCTTAAAGATTTCGTTCATCATCTTCTGAAACGTCGCCGGGGAGTTGCAAAGTCCGAAAAACATCACTGTTGGTTCATATAGTCCTCGATTTGTCTTGAACGCTGCTTTCCACTGATCGCCATCTTTGATCCGTACATTGTTATACCCGGATCGAAGGTCCATTTTTGTAAAATAGCGTGCTCCCTTGAGTTTGTCGAGGAGTTCTGTGATCAGAGGGAGTGGGTAGGCGTTCTTGACCGTTCCTTCATTCAAGTATCGATAATCTTGGCAAGGCCTAAGGCTCCCATCCTTTTTTCCCACGAAGAAGAAAGGGGATGCCATTGGCGATATCGATGGTCGAATATATCCTTTTCGTGTATTCTCATCTAGGAATTCATTGAGTGCTGTCTGCTCTTTAGGGGATAGGGGGTAAATCTTGCAGTCTTTTGGTACGAATTCTGATTTTAAATCGATAGCATGGTCTCATGCCCGTGAGCTCGGGAACCGTTCTGCCGCTTTCTTTTCGAAGACGTCTTTGTACCCCATCAGGTAGGAGGGGATGAGCTCTTCGAGCTTCTTCTTTGCTCCCCCTGCCTTTTGGATTGCTTCTTGTACCAATTCTTGTGATTTTCTGCTAGCCTTGTAGAGCAGCGTGTCCATGCCAGTGTTACATAGCCAAGTGTTTTGTGTGATACTAAATCGCCCAGATCGCGTATCCCTCGTTATCCGACCTATACAGGGTCCTGAGGTGGGTTTGTCACCGCCTCGAGTTGGGCATTCAGGGGTTGCTGTATCACCTTGCGGGTCAAAGATTGCCAGCACCGGTTCACCTTGGATATATGAGATAAGCAATTCGCTGTCCTCCAGTTTGATCCTGTAATCGTGAATTCCTAGTTCTGGGTCTCCTGGTTTAACTCAATTTTCCGGATGTTCTGGATCGTTATTTTCCCAGGATCGTCCATTATCGTCAATTGGTCCTATATAGGGGGCATTTGCTGCCTTTTTGACCTTTGGTTCGTCATCTCAGACTGTTTCGACAGTGGGTTTTCTCCAATCGTAATCTAGTTTCCCAGTTTCCCAGTTAATCTGAGAGTTCATTGCCTGAAGCCATGGTAATCCGAGGATAACCTCATCCTTTCCTAGGTTGGTAACGTAGTACTGGAATACCTTTTGTTTTCTTCCAGCCTTTGTACGTTTCCATACACAGTGCGTTGCATATCCTAACTTGTTTGGAGTACCGTCAGCATTGAGAATCCTAATCGGTTTTGGGAGTCTCTCCTGGTGGTACTTCATTCGTTTGACGAATGCTTTGTCCATAAACATTCCTCCAGCTCCTGAGTCCAATAGAGCGGAGATATCAGCACTTTGACTCAGCACACCCAAAGTAATAGGAACGTGTATCGATTTTCCCAGGAATTCACATACAATTACATTGGGGTGGTGAGTCGGTAATGACAGTACTGATGCTGTTACAGCCCGTCGGATCCAAAATCCGATCCTTCTAATTTCCTAATCCAGTCGTTACGTTCCTTCTGCATCTTTCGTAACTCCTGGAGTAATTCAGAGATGTCGCTGTCAGAAATGGTCATTCTTTTGACCGATGCGGTGTCTTCTTCAACGTCTTCTATCTTCGAGGTTGAGGGTTCCCCTTTGGATTCCTCGACTTGTATCTCTTTGCGCGTTCCAGAAGTGTTTCCGGAGTTCTTCGGCTTCTTCTTAGGACAATCACGCGAGCGATGTCCTTGTTGATGGCATTCAAAGCAGAGTCCTCCTTTGATGTGCCTGTCATGTTCTTCCTGAGACATGCAGTTGACATCCATGGCATTAGGGTCTTGTGTATAGACGGGTCCCTTCCTCTGTTGTTGCCCTTGCTTCTGCTGTTGTCCGCTGGGGCGACTGTTCTGGAATTTCATGTACATCTGCATTGACTTGGTTTGGTTGTCAATTTCAACTGCCTTCTTGTACCACCCTTCCATATCGGTGGGGAGTGGGTTGACATTCATGATTCGTTCGAGAAGTCGACGGGATAATCCAATTTTGAAGTAATGGAGGCGTGCTGGGTATTCCGTGATTTTGGCCTTTTTCATAAGTACCAGGAACAAGTTAACGTAATCCTGTACTTCTCCCGTCTGACGAAGGGATTCAAGGTCCTTCATCGCCGATCCCATGAGATCGGTCTCTTGGAATGCTTTGTTGAAGTCGATGACCCATGCGTCGAAGGTTCCATAGTCCTTCAGCTTTCCTAGGTCATCGGTGTGGTCATCGTACCACATCTCAGCCCATGCTTCGGCCGTTCCTCCTCTCATGAAGGACATCGCGAATGCGATCTTCTTCTTGTTGCTATTGTAAATTTCATCATTGATGTCGGCATACATCTGAACCCTTTGCAGGAATATCTTTGTTTTGCTCGTATCTCCCGAGAAGGGTTCGGGTTGGGAGAGTTTGAGCTCAGTTGGCTTCTGTGTCATTGTAGGAGTTGGGTTCAAAATGATGTGTCTGTGGACTGGGATCGCAGAAAAGGCTGCTGGAGGTATAAGCTGTGCGAGGATCGGTGCTGGGGCTGTTGCCTCTGCTTCTGATTCTTCTTCCGATTCTGCTTCTGCTACTGCTGCTGCTGCTTCTACTGCTGCTGCTGCTGCTTCTGCTAATGGATGTTCCGAGGTTATTTCGTCAACTCCTCATAGTATTTCTGCTGGGTCGATTAGTCGGTTAACATTTTGCCTTGCTGCAGTATATATCGCGAAGCGTTCTGCTTCGTTCGGATAGTCTCTGGTGAATTCCTCAAGAATTCTTCAGTAGGCTGCTTCATCTGATGCAAGCCTCCAACCTGGTCTCCCTTCTCTGATAGTTGGGAGGGCTCTGAATTCTCTCAATGATGAGCCTCGGTGGATTGGGTGTTCTAGGTTTTTGTCCCACCTTATCGATGAAGGTCTTGGGCAGGAAAATTCTTCTAGTCCCCGAAAATCCAGTGTGTCAATGTTTTCTTAACCTTTTCGCACCCCGGGTAACTCGCCCTGCTAGGTGTTTATCGGCTAAGGTTCGTCGGGTCTCTGTAAATGTAGTTCTGCTCTAAACCTGAAAAGGTTGAGCGGCATTGGATAGTCTCGATCTTATGTTATGCTGGGGCGTACCACTTGTCCGAGGTTCATCGAGCAAGTACTAAGTCGTTCGACAACTAAGTAAATGCGAGTCAAGAATCAAGAGTCAAGAAGATCACACAAGGACTAAGTGATAATCCCATGTATTGAGAGGTAAAGTAACCAGATCGAGACTGGGGTTCCAGTCGACGATCTCAGCCTTATATACTAATAGTACATGCTGAGTAATACATGCCAGTAATGGCTGAGTCAGTGAGTACCCTCACAGTGAGGGATGAGTCAGTACAGGCTCTAGACTATGAGGTCATGGTCTAGAGAGAGTCCAGATCGAGTCGAGAGACATCGAGACTCGAAGTTTTGGGTCAACGCGTAATCGTACAACGTAATCGAAAGAAAAAGATAGGTACTCAACGTACCGTTGTAACAGCTACCGACATAAGATATGCCTCATTCATACACGACTACTACCACGTGGCCGGTGTTGTCAATTCTCCTCCTCGCACCTCGATGCTCTGAAGAATCGGTTCCCACACGATTTTAGCTATGGCAAATACCATAATTTCTGCCGGAACCGATTTTCTTTAATTGATGTTGTTGTCAAAGAGAATGCAAATCAGTTGCCACGTGGAGTGGTTGCATATGAATGAGGCATATCTTACTAGTACTGTACTTGTCTTCTACTGAATAATCCTAGAATGCTAACGATATCATAGGTACCCGCAAAACAAAAAAGCACAAAGCAAAACAAAGAACTGACAGACAAAGCCAAACAGAATTACCCATGTCACCACATCTCCAAAGTGACACTACAATTGTCATCATGTATGTCCCGCTACACTGGAATACAGGTGTTCAAAGTGATCAGACTGATTGCTAAGTTGAAATTGAGACAAGCAGACGAGACTTACGACATTCACAGCCATATGCTAATAGCCATTTCCTTGGCCTATAAGATAGTTTAGGATTTTCTGGATCCGAGCAGGAAGCACATCAGCAGCCTGGATCTCGAAATCCTGGTTGTAATAACGTATCAGGCGGAGAATTTTGTTGTGGTCAAGATCACTGATATCTATCACGTCCCATAGAACAGTGCCAACATTTCCCACTGCCACTTCAGGAACAGTGTTACGACCTTGAGGGAGAAGTTGCTGAGCAAGTGCGAGACCGTCACCAGCAATCTGTAAAATAACCATTGAGCGGAAATGCTTTGCACGGTGTCTCACATGCTCGTACCACTTTGAGCGGAGATGCATATCTGTAAAGGCCAGTGTTCGCTCGCATCATATGAGCATTCTTCTTTACAATGGTCATATTCTCTTGGCGAGCCTCGATTCGGGGGAGTGCCTCCAGGCTTGCTTCGAGTCGGACATTGGATTGCACGAGAATTTCGATTTTGTCACCGAGAGATTTCATTTGGTCCATGAGGGTCTTCATTTGGTCTTGAGACTCAGTCCGCGCCACCGCAACCTTTTCCTCGAGTGAATCCAGGCGAGCATCGACGCCCGTGAGATCCCGAAACTTGAATTGAGAAGCTAAGTATATGCAATTAGTCAAATAAACAGGTCATTGAGGATCATAATAACGAACTGATATCACGCAATGTATAGACCTGGTCCTTGGCAGTTTGAATGACGTCCTCCGTTATAGTTTCCTCATAATCTGGGGAACGGGATGTCAGCTGCGTGTGGGGCCAGAAAATTCTCATACCTTTCGTTCCTTCAAGAACGCGAATGATGTCTTCAGCTTGTTTGACTGTGGCAGAGGTGATTTCGCTGTCTTGAGGCACTTCGAGGTCCAGTGATAGCTTGGTAACAAGTGGGAGAGGAATATCAGGATGAAATGTCGCAATAGAGGCAATCTCAAAGGGTGCGTGAATAACTTCCATCGTCGTTGATGGAGGTGGTGGAGTCTGGTACTAGGTTCAAACCACTGAGAACACGATCACATGACAGCAGTGGATATCTGGTTTGTCGCGCGCGTGGCACTGGTAGCAACTTGCACCACATCCGTTTGCTCCTTGGCAGGAATTCAAGTTCGTGTAAACAGTATTCAACGAGGAATCTTTTACTACTTGGTATACCTTGCTGCTTTATTCCGTTGGCTATGTCATCTGAACGCATAAATAATAGCCATCTCCCGCACCCATATAATCGCTGATCGTGTTTTGGGACGGGAAACACCGACTTCGCCACACTTACGCGCAAATCATTGATGAAAAAATGCAGGACGCATTAGGAGCTGACATTGTGCCTTCCACCCCCACAACGCAATCTTTGGTGAACTAGGTGTGCTCATTGTGGGATTGCAGGCATTCCCGTTTACAATTTGCCGACGGGGATAACCCTGGACATATTCCGTTTAGTAGCATCATTCGGCCCCTACATGGAATGGACCAAGCTCTCTGAAGTTTGCCCCACCTGGCGCACCGTCGCAGTACAATCTCCCATTTCGTGGACGAGTATCAGTGTCGCACAAGAAGGTCTCCGGTTCCACAGGTTGTGCTTGGAGCTCTCCGGGAAAATGCCGCTCGATATCTTCGCCGGGGATTTCGACTTCTCTGATGTATATGGGGAATCCCACTCGGACACAGCTTTGGAGTCCGGTAATTGTATTGTGGATGTAGCGATGGTCGTCGATATCATTTCGAAGTACTCCCACCGCATCCGTATTGTGAGGCTTCCCATACCCGAATCCGAATCCGACCTCGAGATGCTTGTGGCATCACTGAATACCACTATGCCCTTACTTTCAGTTCGTGCCTTGGGCAGTGGGGAGACCTATATCCATGCTTCAGAGCCTGAGGCATCCTTCACCCCTGCTCCACTTGTGCACCAATATCCTTCTCTTCACTCCTTGACACTGGAACGCATTGGGATTCCATGGGATTCACCGATCCTTACTTCATTGGTTGGCTTAGAGCTAAATCTAATCCAGCGGCCATCATCTATGGAGGTGTTTCTCGAAATTCTCGACGCCTGTCCGCGCTTGCAGAGACTAGTAGCCTTTGCTCCCGGTTTACACCCAAAGTCAAGGAAAACAAATCTCCTGGATGATTTTGAAGATGACTGTGGCTCCAACACGAACAACGACGAGCCCCAGTATCCTCCACCCACTCGCACTGTTGCGCTCCAGCACATGCGCGACTTCCGGATGGAGGGTGAACTACAAGAAGTTGCGTGGGTGCTCGCACATCTAGCTCTTCCCAGCCACGCGTCAACTTCGATGTCCTTTAGAGGATGGCATTGAGTACGATGTTATTCCCAACATTGCTCATGCTATCCCAAAGGACAAGACATTGTTGCCCCTTTTCTCGGAAACTCGATCCGTCCGTATCTATGTCACCGACGTCTATCTCGAAGTCCGCGGCTATACCGTTGATTGTTCTGTCAGCGACAATATCACCGCGTCGTTGATTTTGCACTTCTCGGATTACATAGCGGACCGAAGTACGGCCTATCTCCTTCCTGTCGTCACAGTCCAGGTCGCGCAGCTCTTCTCTTCGTCGCTAATAGTCCATTGGGAAATGCTCGGGGTGAGTCCATGGGGTGGATCATATTTGACGCCGAATGTTGATCTTTCGGAGCAGGATTGGGAGAAGATATTTTCTTTTCTTCCGCTGCTGGAGCATCTCAAATTAAATATCGCGAATGGCGTCAACTGTGAAATCAAACCGCTGTTCAAAATTTTGCTCCCGTCTTTCACAGATGAAAAGCTCTTCTGCCCGCGCCTGAAGACGCTATTCGTTGAGATCAGAGGCAATTTCTATCCGAAAACAGCAAAGTTTACTCCTATTGTGGACGGGCTTGCCTTCCGTTCATCTCTAGGGACCCCTCTACACTCGTTATCGCTTCCGTCCTATTGCCCGACTTCGAAGAAACTTGTCGGGAGGCTCAAGTCGTTGGTTGGCACTGCCTTGGAGCTCTCTCAATCGCGCATCAATAGAAACTGAAGCATCTCGTTGACGGCACGAGGTGATGTCTACTCGAAATTCGCACCAACGTTGCTCATACCTACGTTATCCCAGAGTCGTGGTTTATCTGCTTTTGATGTGATATTAGACTTATATACTTTCAAAGCCTCGCACAACTTAAAAAATCCGGCGATCTGACGTAGCAATCCATATGACCCGCAGTGTCATAGTGTACTGCGTGCCATGCATGGCTCCTAGGCCTTATGTTGTTGAGATACTCTCACTCGCAATCAAAATTAAATTGAGATTATGATACTCTGAATCTGAAGTATAAATCCGAATATATGCACTGACGGATGTCGCGTCTTGTCACGTTCTATGCGTCCTGTTACGCGTCACGTCCGAGTCGATGCCGCCTGCCACGCCTGTGGTACGGTCTGTTCATCTGTTCTCTGTTCTCTGTTGCCAACGACATCCACTCCTGCCTGGTCAGGAGCCACTGCACCTTTGAACTATCACCGTACGTTGTTCTATATCTTATTATATATTGTACTAACTAGACAGTTACGTCGCACTTCCAGCTTCTATTTTCCAGATTCGACGCTTTTACGGCGATAGTATCGGAATGGAACTCGGTGCTTAACCCAGTGAGTTTAAATGCATTCTGAAAAACCAAAATTGGGGTTTAAATTTGTCCCGTTGCAGGCACTCGCAACGGTTAATATGCCCGGAGGTCACAAAAACAAAAAGATGAACGCGCCTAATGCTCGTAGCGGCACCGAACTACGCGAATCAATAGCAACAGGTTCTGCGAGCGCACTCTCTGCAGAGCTCCTTTCAAGGATATTTTACCTCTTCTCTGTCGAAGTCGTCGAAGATCTGGAGTGGACGGGGGTCCTCAAAGTTTGTCGTCACTGGCGGTTGGTGGGCCTAAGGACGCACGCGTTGTGGACAAACATCAACTTAATCCACGGTCTCTCTTTCATGAACATCTGTTTGCGGCGCTCAGGAAGCATGTTGGTCAATGTCTTCGCCGAGGAGGACGATATCATCCCGGATCTTACTGACATCATCGCTTATGTCGCCACTCATGCTCATAGAATCCGCAGCTTGCGCTGGGAGGCCGAAGGCATAGAAGCTCTTGTGCAGAGTCTCAATTTCGTCATGCCACACCTTACCCACCTTACTCTCGGCGCCGAAAATGGTGACGACGTCGTCCGTGATCATGTTTGGAAATCTAGTCGCGATTTGTTTCCTTGCCTCCGTTCGCTCTCGTTGTCCGGGGTTGATATGGAATGGAGCATCCTGAGCTTCACCTCCCTTGTCGGCCTGCAGCTGGGAAGGCTCACAAGACCTAAATCAATGGACGATTTTCTGCATTTGTTACAAGCCTCTCCGAACCTCGAGACGTTGCATGTGGACTACTCTGCGCCCAGTCTGGTGAAGAACCTAGAGGATATGGATGTATGTGAGGATGAGCCAGATATTCCTCCACCAGCATGGAATCTACCACTTCCGAAGTTGCAACAGCTCCGCCTTCAAGACACTACGTTCAATGTCAAGTGGTTGCTCTCGCACCTATCCATACCTTCCAGCACGACTCTCTCATTCATCTATCCTCTGGAGGTTGGCACAGAGGAGTACGTCGACGTTGACATCATCTCTCAGGCCATTCCGAAGGACGGATCTTTGTCGCCTATTCTTTCGCTGATACAACGACTAAAAATCGTTGTCCAAAGGGGAGGGGTATATCTCGACGGATTCGGTGGCACCGAACTCGAGAAACCGAAGTTGATAATGCGTTTTGAAGACGACTTCGAGCGCGATATCGAATATCTCCTTCCTCGTGTCCTCCGAGAGCTCGGACATGTCTTCCGCTCCTCCCCTATAGTGGTTCTGGAAATCGCTGGCGACCTTTCTTTGGATGAAAATAGTTGGAGGAAGACGCTCCAGTGCTTTCCCCAACTGGAGCACCTTGAATACAATGGTGATACCATAGGGTTATTCAAGGCGCTCGGTTCGTCCCCGGCATCACCGCAGACACAGGAGAAGATTATTTGTCCACAGCTGAAAAGGATACATGTTGTCTCCGGGATGTGGAAGGACACTGTCAGTGCGATGCATACCGGTCTTGCATACCGCGAAGCCCAAGGGATGCGTTTGGAGTCACTTTCCGTGCGTCCTCGAGTCCGACTAAACAAGAAGGACTTGGCAAATCTCAAAAGCGTAGCTGTCGGTATTCTGGATATAGAACTTGACCAATAATTCAGTGGGTAACTACTTTTGGACAGCAGGGCCTCTGAGGTGACAGCCTCCATTCTAGGACTGTCGAAATCTATAAACATGTACCATTATTAAATAGCACGGCACGGTAGATTCCACTCGAATTCGATGATACACGCCATCCTCAACATTGACGTTGGAAGGACCATTTTCGGATGTTTTGAACAGCGTGGTTTGCGAGAATACAAAGACCAGGAAGCCGTCATAGATACTCTCAACTCGGAAGGTTGTCGCGGTAGCCTAAGTAGACGTTTTCGGAGACGCAGATGCTTCCTTAACTTCCTGCTGATTGCAGTTCTGACAGAAGATATCCGCAGCAACAAAGGCCAAACATACGACGATCGTACCTTATCAGGAGAACATTCAAAAGCACTGGATACAGCGTTATAATATGCAAGGTATAAACAATCGACGGGGTATAGCTACTCATCATCGTCATCCATCATACCAGCCAACATGTCACCTGCCTCATGGACGGGGGCCTCATACACAGCAAACTTAGCCGTCTTCACAGCTGCCTCCTCGGGAGCCTCCTGACCTGCAGACGTCCACCCCTTACCGCGATCAACGAACACTTCGGGGCGGCGGTCCAGTAGCATGTCGAGCTCCTCGTCGCTGATGACGCTTGCCTTGCCGGCCTCCGTGTTCGGCACCACCTGTATCTTCTCACCCTCGAGCCTTAGGAGAGAGGCTGCCATCTCTGTCATTGTCTCGGGCTTGCTGCGTCCTACAGCCAGCGTTGGAGTCTTAAATTGACCTATGCATAGTGTTAGCCCATTGAGGAGAATATACCGAGGTAGAGAGAGCACCTTTGGCAATGACGAGCGCCTCGAGTTTGCGTTTCTCCGTTGCGCGTTCCATTATCTTTGCCTCGATCGTGTGTGCGCTCACCAGACGAAATATGAGCACAGGTCTGGTCTGCCCGATACGATGTGCACGGTCCTGCGCTTGCAGGTCCATTTGAGGATTCTATGCACGGCAGTCAATGGGATAGCTTTGTAGAAATACCGAGACCTACCCAATCCTGGTCGTAGAAGATCACTGTATCCGCAGCGACCAAGTTGAGACCAAGTCCGCCAGCTCTAGTGCTGAGGAGGAAGAGCCGGGGAGCGTGGGAGGTGTCACCACTTTTCTCGAATCTATCAACCTCCTCGCAACGATCGGTCATAGAAGTTGAACCGTCGATACGACAGATAGGCCACCCCTTCAATTCAACAGCCCAGTCCTACAAGGGACCAAGTGAGGAGCTCAGCCGCGAAGGTCAGAGCTCAGAGATACAGGACAGACCTCAATAATGTCCAACACTGTTGTGAATTGGCTGAATAAGAGCACCTTGTGGTCCCTCCGGAATAGCTCTTCAAGCAGTCGATCTAGCACCATCATCTTCCCACTCGTCGAGACCAGATCCTCGTTGAGCACGGGCGCACGGGTGTTCGGGTCCACCGGCCAGTCGAAGAGGAATGGGTGGGAGCACACCTTTCGTAGTTGCATCACGGTGTTTTGCAGCTTCATGCCATTTATTTTTTTCACTACAGTGGAGGTGTCAGGTCAATAAGTATGACTGGATCTGCAGAGGAGAACACGTACTCATGGACTTCCGCTGCCATTCCCGCCCAAGGTCTTCCGCACTCTTCCCGGTCGCCTTCGGCTTCTGCGGCCCCGACTCGAGTTTCTCAAAGTAGTCGTCGTCACTACCATCCACAGAGTAGTTTCTCTGTCTGTTCTGACGAAGTCTCGCACTGTACTTGCTCTTTGCCTCCTTTCGTGCAGCCTGCACCTTTAATGGCACTTCTTCCTCGTCCTCTTCCTCCGGCTTGAAAGACGTGCTTTTGCCACCCGCCTCCTTCACCAAGAGAGCACGTAAAGTCCCGTCCACGATGGCATCGTAGATTTCACGCTGATGCTCGCTCAGCGGTGCATACAGGACGTACTCTTTCTTCGGCGGGAGGTCCGTCTCTACATCGGATTTGAGCCGGCGGAGAAGGAATGGTCGGAGAACGGCGTGCAGTGAATGGATGAGCTGCGCGGAGCGCGTGGGAGAGAGCTTCGATTGCAGCATGGGCAAATCGAACCTATTACATGCAGCATGCAGCGTTGAGCGACCACAACGGCATAGTCAACATCAGGCTCACCATTCCTCGAATGCGTCCAAATCCGTGAAGAGGTCGGGCAGCACGAAGTTCAAGAGTGCCCATAGCTCCGCCAGGTTGTTCTGGGGTACCTTTATCATCACCAGTCACGCTGCTCGAAGGCGGAGACTTACATGCAACGGCGTGCCCGTAAGCACCATACGAGCGGCCGCGTTCAGCTTCTTGATCTCCCGCATGAGCTTGCAATGCAGGTTCTTCAGCCTGTGGCCCTCGTCGACGACGATGAAGCCCCACGCATACCGCTCGAGCTGCGCACGGTCCTGCAAAGACAATGAGAGCACATTTCAAGAATGGTATCATGTGCACTCGCCTTCATGATCATTTCGTACGTGGTGATCACCACTGGGAAGTTTGTCTTTTGGTGCGGAGGCAAAGGCTGCGATGTTACTGTGGATGTACCCGCCTTGTCGTCCACTTCCATTGGCTCTTCATCTTCTTCTACCCGTTCGTCCTCACTCTCGAACACCTTGCGCGTGCGTGTTGGTGCCTTTTTCGCCCCACCGCGCTTCTTTCCCCGCGTTTTAGGTTTCTGGTCATCTGACTCGGTGTGCGCTCTGCTCTTCGCCGTGACTCGACTGCTCTTCTTCCGCGTCTTCACCTCTGTCGTAGACTTTGTTCCCACCTTCCCCTTTCCCTTGGCAACTCCAGGCTTCGCTTTTGACTCCTTTGCCACATACCGTCTGAACGCCTTGTCTTGATACTCCATATCACTCTCCGAGAACACCATCTGCGTGCGCCGCAGCTCCGCCCGCTCCTCCGGCGTTCCGTGGTACATGCACACGGGGATCTGAACGCGCGTCAGCGAGTTCCTTCAGGCATAAAGAGATTACTTACGTCGGGTGTGAAGCGGTGGAACTCGTCCACCCAGTTCTGCAGCACGCTCAGCGGACAGACTACTAGGAACGGCGCCACAGAGCGCTCCCGCAGGAATGCGTGGAACGCAATAGCCTGTAGCGTCTGCGAAGTGAGGTTAGACTTCATCTGACAAGATCGCGATAGTGGCACGTACCTTGCCTAATCCCATCTCATCCGCTGAGGCGACAGTATTCAGTGTTCGTGTTGAAGCTATCCCAGTAAACTCACCTAAAATACCAGAGATACCGCTTTGGTATAAACCCACCATCCACGCGACGCCCTCGAGCTGGTAGTCTCTCAACGTCGCGCCCGTGACCAACGCAGGCTGTACAAACGCGTTCGCGTCATTGCTCTCCTGGCTTCGCTCGACGACCGCTTGGCCGGCTTGCTCTGTTTTCTTGCGCTTCGTGGACTGCTCATCATTCTCCTCCGCTCCACTGCGCCTTCGCTTTTTTGAGCTGGGTGTAGCTTCATGCCCATGCTCTGGCTTTGCTGCGCGCCGCTTGCCGTAGTGTACCTGCACCTTGTCCATCTGTTCCTTCAGGATAGACACATAAGCGGCAGACTTTTTGAGCAGCTCATCGAGCATCTTCATGCGCGCTTCTGTGTCCTTTCATGAAGCGCGTTGGAGTTATTCACAGAGAGACAGTGAAAGCTAACATACCTCGTTGGCTTGGCCGTCCTCGGCCTCATCTTTAGCCTGGATGGCAAACGTGTAAAACTCGTTGTACGAGCGCGTCAACTATTATGCTTACCTTGTCATTAGCATCTGCTTGGCCGTTCTCCTGCAAGTAATCAGTACCATTGCTGGACGCGTCGGGTACATTTGCGCATACCTCGACATTATGCAAGTCAGGAGGGCTTGACGGTGGTGTTGTCGGCCTCGTAGGCACAGTCATGTACGACGTAGGCGAGGAAGGTACCGGAGACGACGAAGGTGACATCTTGCTCGACACGGATGACATCGCGGTCGTCGGACTCGTCGAGAGCTGGCTTGCAACGCAATGTTGAGCGCGTCTGCCTACATAATCACGTGATAGTATAGCAGACAGCTGGGCGCTAATTTCACTCGTTCCTTGTTTTTCCGTATCAAGGCGAGCGTCATCAGCGGTGCTGAAGCACTCAATATCTTGACCGCCTCCCTGAGGTGTTCGTCTGTCATAGCAAGAGATGGATATCTGCACAGGACGCGTAGCTGTGGTGGCCAGCTGCCCATTAATCGGCGAAGATGAGGCTGGTGACACGCCGTTGGCGGATGACAGAGATGAGATTGAGGAGTACTTATACACCTCCTCACACACCTATATCCAGAGTATTAGTGCAACGTCCATTGGTTTCGAATGCTCCCGAATGGACGCATCGTTATGTAAAGAGATTAGAGTATATCAGCCTTGGTAGCAGACTACGTACACCATAGTGTGATCTTGTGTTTTGACACTAACAAACCAAACAGAACGAAAGATCGTAAGATCGTTTCCACCCAGTACTACCCGAATTCCATATATCGTCTGTTTGGATTTTCAGTGCAGTCGATCACACGAGCACAAGGACGAGGGTGATAAAATATTTCTGGGATGTGCTTTATCAGTTACGCTGACCGTTTAAGAGCGATGAATACCCACCAAATCATTAGAAAAGTTCCATATCAAGAGTGCCGACAGGCACTCTATTGAGTTTTGCCAAGTCCCTCTTATTTATATGGAGTTGCGGACGCAGAGATAAATATTGCAGGCGCATGCCTTGTGCTTGGCGGTATGCAAGGCTGTTATGCATCGCAGTGATGGTAACTTTGCCGATTCCTGAATATTCTGTGTCTAGGTACAGCTTTTTTAGCCGAGGACAAAGAATCGCGTCTGCTCCCTGCGGTGGTGCTGAGCCGAGAGCCTCGAATAAGGCGATGGTAACGGGCCTGCCTCTGAATTCAAGGCGCTCTAGGAGGGGGAAGCTGTACAGTGTAGTCCTCCATACATTCACGTCCAGAAAGTCCTCATTGATGTAGTCTTCTTCACCTATGACCACCAGCGTCATTAGGGGAGAGGAACGGAAGACGTCCGAGATCTCGAGCATGACGTTAGCGAGGAGATACCTGATATCCCGTTCGAAGTAGTCGTCGAATCTCATCGACAATTTGGGCTCCCCAGGTTCGGCATCATCATTGCTATGGTCATAACCGTCCAGCAGAATACCTCCTGTTTTCACGTCGATGCGAAGATGATTTATCTGCCGAATAGTCGGTGACATAAAGTTGTCCTTGGGGACCGCTAGAGAAACGGTATCGACGACCACGTATTAGTCAACGCCCACTTCGAGCGGGTAGGTGAATGAGAGAGTGGTGCCCGTCGGTATGGACATATGCGAGAGCAACCACTTGACATTGAATGTTGTATCTCCAAGATGTAACCGTCGCAACTTCAAAAGCGATAGAGTTCGCGTGGGTGGCGGAATATCCGGCTCCTCACCTACCCAATCCATAATCTGCAAGTTCTCCACAACACTAGGCGCAGAATAATCTACATGCAACGTCTCGAGGGCCGGCGAGATCTGCAAAAAATCCAGGAATTCGTCCACTGTGTCAGGCCTTGTCAGCCTTGCAAGTCGCAAGTTGACGAGGGAAGAGAAAGGGGGATAGCTCCACTGTATGTCGACTGCCGCCAACGATAGAGAACAAAGGGACGGATACTGATCGGATCTCGGATTCCAAAAGAATTTCTTGTCCGGACGCCGCCCGCTTTCAGCACCGAGAGCGAGCTGAGTGAGCCGTGGCATGTCGAAGTCGAGACTCTGAACGAGAGTCTCCAAATCTGATGATTCCCACCGAAGGCTTCGGATTCTAAGGCCAATTGCAGAGATGGAATTAATGACGCCAGCAAGATCCGAGACAGCATCATCTTCCTCAGAGAAGATGTTCACCAGCATATCCCCGGAGTTCTTCAAGCAAAAATTCACAAAGGGGAGATTTTTTGCGACGTGTATGTCTGTCCATAAGGCAGACACTCCTAGGCCCACTGTCCGCCAACGACGACAAACCTCGAGGACCCGTATCCACTCCATGTACCCACAATCAACAGAGAGCAGGTGAAAGATCCCGGCCAACAGCTCTGCAGAAAGCGTCCTTGCAGCGCTGGTTGACATTGACCCGAGCGCTCCGACACGACAAAGAGCTTTCTCTGCTGCGATCGCCGTGTCGTTCTTGCGGTCTCCTGCCATGTCTAACTCTAACGTAATTTCTGGCGTACAATATCAGCCTCCAACACCGAACGCTGGACAGTATCAGTCTTTATTTAATTTCACGCCGAATATGCACGACGACCTACAGAGTCAAAGCCAACAATAAACAGTGAGTTTCAAGCACAACAGTAGTAGTAGTGGTTGAAATGCGTGAAATTTGGAATGGTTCAGGTTCTGGTAGATGGAAGCTTGAATTCTGTAAGACTCTAGTGGTTCTGTGTTGAACTGAGATGTGGTTGAGGTGTGGATGTAATGAATACTTACGTTACTAGTAGTTGTTGAACGTTTTGGCACTTGCGCGCTGCCAGTGCGGCTCCGGCGCCTCGGAGTAGATATGGTTCCCATGTGACAGGACGCGACACCACCGTGACAACCAACTACCTGATTAGGACATGTAGAAATCTCTGTAGGCGATAGGCGACAAACGAGACTCTAATACTCGTCAATTATATATTTGGAGTGAGTACAGTGCTCTAGAGCAACATCGTGATGGTAAGAAATACACCAGTGTGTCATGTTAGCTCTACGTTGATCCTTCGTCTACTTTCTCCACCTCTGCTGGATTCATAACATCTATTCCCATCTCTTCCGCTGAAGGGAACAATGAAATCAGCCACGATTATCCGTATGTCACCTGGAAGATAAATCAGGACATACCAGCGATCTGTCTGACCGGGCCCGTGAACCACTTTCTCGCACTCAGCACCCAGAAGCCCAGGCTATACACGAGCACAATCCCGACCGCCACTATAGAGTAGTTCAATGTCTGTGAGTTCACTGGGTTCTCTTGTGGCAGGATGAAGACGATGGTGATGAACGCTATCCAGGCCACCGCGGCGATCGCGACTGGGAACGAGAATGCGCCGAGATGGAAGGGCCCACGGACGAATCGGTCGGCGTAGACAATGCGCAATGCAATGGGTATCGCTTGAGGGGAGACATCAGTTTCTGAACAACTGAGTCAACTACCACAGTACAGTGACGTACCGTAAGAGATGTACAGCCCGATTGTAGCGATACTTGTCGCGGCGGAGAAAGCCACGGAACTTCCAAGACTGGGCAAGCCGAGGATGAAGCTGAGCGTACATGCAAGCCAAACTGGGTATGAGTATTTAAGCGTTGAATAAAAACAAACTGTGCATGAGATATGGAGACTGCATACCGGTGCGCACCGGAGATTTGCGCTTCACATCAACCTTGCGGAAGAACTTATGTCCGGGTATCCCACCGTCCCGAGCGAACGCATACATCATCCTGCTATTAGACGTAACGGAGCTGCAGGCACCTGATTAACGTGGTCGGTCTACGGAAAACAGAAAAGACTTCTTACAACGTTCCACACCAGAACATAGCACCTGTAGAATATATTTGTTAATGTGCGTGAATAGGACACGCGACACAAATGCATACCGATGATTATAACCTACCGGCACGAGTCAGCCACACGACGTTGAGAAGAGTGGGAACATTGTACCATTAGGACAATCGCACCCTTTTCTCCCACGGCGTCCAAGAGTATCTGGGCCACCGGTTCGCCTGTCGGGGACGCGACAGTGGTTGCGAGATCCTGGATAGAGAAGAGCAGACCCAGGATAAGGAACCACCCAAGGACGGCGGAGACGCCAATAGCCATGATGATGCCTATCGGACCGGACATTGCAGCGTTGTGCGTCTCTTCTGTCATCTACATTCTTCAAAGTCAGCATCGTTTGAATACCTCACAACTGCGAGAGTCTGCACTGACGTGCGCCGATGCGTCGAAGCCCGTCAGAGTATACTGCGCCATTAGGATACCGATGACTGTAACGTACGCCGGGCTCGCGCGCTCGCTCCAACCTGGACCGCCCACGCCTGTGCCATCAATAAATGTCTGAAACACGAAGTGCCCGGACTGATGCGTCGGCGCCTTCGCAAGAATTGTAATCACGAGCGCCGTCGTCCCTAACGCGTGCCAGTATACCGAGATATTGTTGAGGTACTTCAGCAGGTGTACTCCAAATGTGTTGATGAGACCTTGCGCGACGAGGACGGCTGCATACATTCCGATATTGGTTTTCGCGGTCGGCACGAAGTTAGTTCCGAAAGTGGAGACGGTGCCGATGAAAGTGGAGCACGCGAAGCTCCGAGATAAGTCAGCGAGTAGATTTGTAGTTGAAGAGTTCCCGACTCACCTGATACCAGTTGTGACAGCAACTTGCCCAAGCAAATTAAACCAGCCCGTTATCCATGACGCAAAGGCAGCGTTCTCTGGCTTGGAGAGCATGGCGGACCAGAAGTATGGACCACCACTCGTGGGATGTGCGCTGCACACCTCTGGGAGAAGTAAGAATTGGCGCAGGGACTAGAAACAGTTTGCATACCAGCCATTGCGAGCCCTACAAGAATGGTGAAGCAGGCTGTCCATGGGTCATGTGAGGAAACGCGTGGCAGCGAATGTGCACTGAGCACATACCGACAACAATCCAGCCCCACACCATGACAGCAGGACCACCTGTATTCTGTTTCATAAAACATCATGTTTGGAACTGATACTGACATGTTTAGGACGCACCAGACCATAAAGGAAGAGCGAGGGTATACCAGTGATAACGCTGATGATCGAGAAGGAGATACCGAAATTCTATCGTTACCAGGTGTCAATGTAACCAATGCGATGCGCATCATCACATACTTGCAAGAGACTCAAGTCGCGCCTGCGCACACGATTCAACTCTCATGTCCAGTCATGCGATCAGACAATACTCACTTCAATTCTTGCTTGTACCCCATCCTCGCTAACTCGGCTTCATCGGCACCAGCCTCCATGACCGTTCCCGCAGCGACCTTGACTTCCCGTAAGCTTATTGAGTCCGCCATGGCCGTCGAGAGCGAAAAGAACGAGAAGCGAGCGTGGGGAGGTGAGCAATATATGAAAGGATAACGCCCGAGCCATGATAGACGCCTGCGTGTGATCGTTAGATAGATCATAGACGCGCTGGTATCTCTCACCGACCTGACATCTGGTGGTCATGGAATCTTGAGGATCCTCCCTCCAATCATCGTTGGAGGATCTATCTTCCCGTACGTGACAGAAGTATCCTATCTCATTGTCGCGGATCGAGAGCATGAGGGCTGTGCATGTATGAAGCCCTCCTCCGAGTTCCCGGGAGCCTGAGTAGTCGCAGATCGTATGTTTGAGAATGCTGGGTTCACGAAGAACCCCGAGGGCCTGAATCGCGAGTCCGGGAAAGTAGATATCACTGAATCAAAACACCAACACTATAGCACCACGCACTATCTCAGGAGAGGGCAACCAAGTCACAATGTTCAATTTTTCACGCCCCTGATGATCTAGAATATGGAGCTACGGATAAGGTTGGAAATGCCCACCGAAGCCAAGCACACTGATAGCCTATCTAAGCGAAGACGGACGAAGCGCCTAGCGCAGAGCAAGGTGACAGGTCAGAACACGTGGACATTGATGCCCTCTACGTTGTCGTTGAACGTCCCAAACTATGGGTCATCACATGAAGCTCAGCGTGAGACCACCTTAACTATACTGGCTACTCACCTTTACCTCAATGAGCCTCTCTTCGTCGATCATGTACCCATTGTTTTCAAAAGAATTCATCCCTCTGGAGGACTGCACGTAAGGCAAGGAAGTCACCACATCCTGCTTGAAGGGGGCACCTCTGAGGCGAGCAGGTTCCCTTACTAGAGTAAACTTTCCTTTGCCGCCCCTGTTACCATACCGATCAGTTTGTGGTTCATAAGACGGGCCTCCAGCATCGTCATGGATCATAGCAGACAAGTGACGGGGATGGACGTTGAAGTCGAGCACATAGATGTGGCGGGCTACTGAGTTGACGACGCTCGATCGAAGAACAACTCTCTGCCCGCTCGTGTATCTGACACCGACCTACGTCAATAACACAACGGACTTGGAATCACGTCACATACCTTTCGAAGGTGTTTCCATACACAGGTAACATCGCAATACGTGTGTTCTTAGGACCCCACTCGTCCCATGGAACGACCCGTGCTTGGATCTGCCCATCCAACGAAGACGAGACGAATGACAACAAGTACCGGCAATGGACAAACCCCGAAAAAGCGCCTGAGACCTGTCGCCTGTTTGATGCTAGGTATGACAGTTGCATGACAATAATACGCTCCGCGGGAGATGTAGCGAATGGCACTCCGGGAATGACTCCTGCGAGAAGCGGTGCAATACCCAGTGACATATTTCCGATGATATATTTGTCGCGCACCAGCGGGAGATTGAGAATGGCGACGGGATGGAAGGTTGAAAACGTTAGCGGAGTAGTGGACGCGACCTGGGCATCAGTGAATGCAAAGAGGACGAGGGACCCAGAGTTCGGCTTGTCACTGAGAAGTAAGACACGGCTGGATAGGAATATGAACGACGTTGGGACGAAAATGAGACTACTCTCGTGTTCTTCCTATATAAAATAAAGGCTCGTAAGTGCAAGTACACAAGAACGACCGGTCCGAAATACTTACGAGAATAATACTACCAGTGTGCCAATTCCAAATTCTGAGTGTGTATTCACTACGCGGGGAGAAGAGGCCAACAAGATCACCCGCGATCTGGAGTGACTCAAACGAGAGATTTGTAAGGCGTCCCGGAAGTGTTCCAAGTTGGGCCAAAGGGTGTACCGAGTTCGATGATAGCGTGCGTAGACGAACACTGCATAACAGTGTGCAATCAGACACAGTCGTAAAATATAAAAATTATAATGCGCACCAGCCTTCAGCGTCCAAGAGAACAAGTAGATCCTGCGAGGGATCCACGGCAAAGTTCGCCACGATGTGTTCTACGGATCTCTCGGCGAGCTTAAGTGTAGGATTCGCATGCGATGGAAGGGATGTAAGAAGCAGCTGCCTCTGCGAAATTCTTTCAATGAGGAGACCCTGGACCATGTCATAGCATCGCATAGGAGTAGCCGTCCTACTACGGTCCCTCGCAGAAAGCGTTTGTGACCAATCCAGGTGTAGCCATCTCCTACGTCGTTCGAGGAGCATATCAAGCCGATCCGTAGTCGCCAGAGAACAGGATGAGCCATCGATGAAGCCATCGGCAGCCAGTTCAATGTTATAGCGGAGCTGCACGGAAGATTCTACCACAGCACAGAACAATTTACAGACCTAGGAGTCGAAAAAATGTGCATACATCCTCAATGACTATCTGTCAATGCACTCACCAGCTTACATGAAGACAGCTCATCGCCGTCAACATAGATAAGGCACTTAGTGATCAGCTCGGGCGGTAGAGACACAACATGCCCTCGAGTGATGCTGTCCATCTCAAGTGGATCCAACAGCACAGGGGATTATTCAGTTCTGAAGTTGAACAAAATCAAGCTCAAGGTAGTAAGGGGTATACGTGACTCACGAATGCATTACGATCGGCGTGACAGGTCATCGCTAGCTCAGCCCGTCTGTCACGCCCGCCTGAACTCCCAGCGTTGAGTAACATCGCCCACTCCTCCCGACGCGTTCTCGGTGGCGCGCTCGGTCGCGCTTTGGGACCCGGCGCCCGCATGTAAGCAGGGCGGAGAAATTCTCGCAAGATCTTTCTGTGAACGGCCCGTGTCGGGCCGTTCACGGACGTACGGAGCCGGGAGCGCGGCAAGGGAAGATGGACTCGGAAAGTCGGAAACCTCGAGCGCATAACCAAACTTGTAGCGCGGGTGCACCAGCCTCCGATTATATATCTCAGGTCAGCAATTGTTTGAACATCACTCGCCTCATTCCCTCTGCAAAATGGCGATCGTACTCCACCCTAGCAGCTTTCTCGGTTTTGACAGCGTGTCGTACACTGCTTAAGTTCTCGCCGACATTATTGTGTGATGCTGTCCAGGAACCCTCACCGACCATGTCAGGAGGTCGCCCACCATCTCAAACTACAATGCGCAACCCATTGCATTCAAGGTCAAAACCATCGCTCCAAAGGTGTGTAGAGTTATTTCGTTGCTGGTAGGCGTGATGTGGACATTCTCCAGATGTACTGCGTGCTAGACAGAGTGGAGCCCGGAAGTACTGTGGAAGTTCATGGTACGCGAATTGTACCGTTTTGCTTGAATTCAGCCATGTTCAGTTTGCGTAGTCATGTTGCGGGCAACGAAGCAGAATCCACCACTAAGTGCTAGGTGCAAAGACAAGTTCTTGATTGAGATCACCACTATTATTCCAAAGGAGATCACGCCCCTATACGACATGGCTTGTTCTTCCGCTGCCATTGTTCCTCTGGCTATCACTGATCTTCACGTTGCAGTTCAACGACCCGATTAGGCACGTTCACTCTCGGAAGTTTCGCGTAGTATATCTTCCACCAGAAGAGCAGGCACTTCCCGAGAAAGACGGGCAACCACCTGTTCGTCAGTACCCCGATGCCTATGGTCTTGTCAGAAGAGACCGCAGTTGGGCAGATGACGCGTCTCGATGCCGAACGTTGCAAAGGTCACTGCGCTCGCTATTCCTGTCCCCACTGTCAGCTCTTCTGAATAGCCGAGTATGTATTAGTGCTTTTACTTGTGAAAGTAAGCTCAGAATATTTACGGTGCTTGAATGCAGAGCTAGCATCGATTGGAAGAAACCGAAGGCTCCGACCGAAGCGGCGAAGACACCGAAGCCAACCAATTAATGAAGCTACGCGGAAGTGACAACGAACGAAACTCGCGCAGATGCACACCGAAAGCACGGCATCTGCAAGACTCCAGGCGGAGTCTCCCCGTAAGAAAAAAGGTCGAATACGCGGACTCTCACAAGTGAGAAGACAAGGGCGCCTGTTGCATCCTCTCGGCAGCCTCCCCTTCACAGGACGCATAACTCCTTTTTTCCCGAGGAAATAACTTGGAAAAATGTGTGGAAATCAACAAAGTTATACTGCGGGAAAAACATGAGGAAAAAATGTGTAAAAGAACAAAGCATTTCCGCAGTTTTTCCACTGGAAATAAGTTGGTCGCCAAATATGGTAATTTTGCCTGGGTTTTGGCATGTCCTGTCATGTCCTGTCATGTCCTGTCATGTCCAGCTGCCTGATATGGTAGGCAACTTATTTCCAAGGGAAAAAACTGTGAGAATGTTTTGTTCTTTTCTCACTTTTTTCTCGAGGTTCCTCTGAAAATATATTATTGATTTCCATGCTTTTTGCCAGGTTATTTCCAATGGATAAAAGTGGTAATGCTTCCTGTGCTTGCAACATTGGTGATACCTGGCATGACTCCCATATCGGGCGAAACTTAACTTGTGGGTGAGCGGCGCTGCATTCGCACACCATGTCCGATTCCCTAGTCCCCCCACGTATATTCACAGCATCGATTTCTGCGAGAGTGACATGTGATAAGGCGGTAGTCATAGTAATAGTATACAAGAAAATCCCGTAGTCAAGCCATGTAAATTTACGGTGGCAATCACTGCAAGCGAATAGTGGGGAAGAAAATAAACGTAGGTAGCGCAGATTACAAGCAGTAGCACAGGCTCATATAAGATAGAGGCTATTTAGATGAATGATGAAACTTCCGCGCGCGGGACAACAGCTCTAATCTCCTGGGGCCCATCATACAGACGCGCTATAGTGACGAGTTCGAAACCTGTCCGCCACTTGGTCCAGCCCTTCTCGTATGAAGCCTTACCTTTAGCATCGACCCTCCAATGAGTGACGTTACATTCGACCAGGACGAGATCATTTTTGTGGATGTCCGTGGCATGCATCTGTCTCATAGTGTTCCTGGGGCCGAACTTGGTGTCGGCATCAAATACGTCTTGGAAGGCTTCCACCTTAAAGCAATGAATAACAAATATTTGTTGAAAAGAAGAAATTCAACATACAGAAGCATACTCTCCACTCCCGGTGCTCTGGAAGCGTGACGCTTTCAAAACATCTGAAGTGTTTGAACCGATCTTGATGCTCACAACGGCCAAGGGTTCACCGCGAAGTTTGAACCAAGATGAGTCGACTTCTCCGACGAGCCACACAGTAGCTGGTTTATTGTCTACGATGAGGAGAGGATATAAATCCAAAGCTGCAAGTGTCGACATCAGCAAGGGAGAGAAGGAGGGAGGAAGTATCAGGCACACTCACATCTATGCAGCATACAGAATCTACGTGAAGAGTGAATGCAGCTGCGAGAAGATAGAGGATGGGTGCAGAGATGCAGACAATCACCCCTAGCCATCGGTCCTCCTCCAGTCTTTCATCGGAAACAAACTTTCAAGGAATGCCGGCCGACTTTGTGTTGCGAAAATCTTGAACAGGAAGCGGGAAACCCGAAGTGAATCGGGTGGCCTAAAGACGGAAAGTAAAAAAAGCGGATAACCATTCTAAGAGAAAATTACTATATGCGGCGCAGGTGCAACTTTATGTCAGCAACCACCATACGTGCACAGACTGATAACCGATTCTTTAGGGAATCGGAATCAGATCTAGGGCTGGACATGCTCAATCCTAATACTCTGACACATACTGTCACTGCACCACCAAATCTCCCTCCATGACCGATCGCCTACTCGATGCTGTCGTTGGCCAAGGTCGCTGCATGCCGAGACCATGGAGCACACCTGGCTGGCCTTTCTGTCTGGTCCAAGTTGGGTGCGGCAGACAGATCACTACTCTATGTATTATCTGCTGAAGTTGTCTTCTGTTTGTTGCTAACTTGACCTATACCTGTTCCTGTGGTCCAGCTTGAACACGAGGCGCTTGCGCACCTCCATGTAGGCCTGGCTATGTCGGCGAGGTTCCTCGCGTCCCGGACAATGGGCTCCGCAAGTGGTTGGAGATCCGCGAGTCAGGATGTGGGCCGGTGTTATAGTAACTCCATATTCAGCTTTGTGCATTATACTTACTACATGTGAATCTCAATGTTCATTAATTGACGAGTGAGTTGACATTTTCATAGGTGGCCACACGACTGAAGCAACATCGGGCGACACTACTCGCCTTGCAGAGAGCGCCGCAGACTTCACATCCGCTCTACGATGGCGACAGTGCCCTTCGTGACGCGCCTGAGGGTCGCGAATGGCGCGTCAGCGCTCAGCTGCTATTTGTGCCAGTATTCACTCGGCGCATCAAATTTTCTCTTAAGCGTATGTGTGGAGTGAGAATATTTGTTGCCGCCGCCTGTGATGGATTTCAGGAGAGGTTCATAGTTTTGTAAACGTGTCATTCCGAGTGTGCACTTTGTATACACTTGGACGTCATGGATCGGTCGGACATTGCAGGAGATGATACTGTGAACTTGATGATGGTCTGCTTATCAACACCGCCGCTGACACGTCGATTTAGTGGTCCACGTTCATGCACCCGGTTTTGATGGGTTGAGGGGCTGCAGAGATACATGGGAAAGATGTCGAAGGAATCACTGCGGCATCCTGCTTTACCATTGTCCGATCCTTCTGTCAGGTGTGACTTTGACTTACAAAGTTCGTCTTCTCCAAAATCGGCCCCGAAGAATCCGAGGCTGCTGACTGCAGTGCGCATAATAATTCACCAAGCCAATATTCATTCGGTGTTGACACTCGAAGCCAACCGGTTATAGTGGTATATCTGTAACACATAAAAATTGCGTGTAAGAGTTAGCACATGTTGATGACTTTACGTTTAAGATGATGCGGGATGACCCACATCTGCCAGTGCAAACTATTACAGCATTTTGCAGGAGCTGCATGACGGAGCGGCCGAGTCAGGGAGTCGGTATTACTCGGTAGCATACCTCGTTACGGCCGAACTCTCACATCTTGCGGAGGAAGCAGATGGTTGGACGCAGGTGTGAATGAAGGACATATTTAGACGTTTTGAGGCCTATATTCCGAAGACACAAAGGGACTAACAACTCGTACACACACGATAAGCAGCCACTACTAAGAACAGGATCAGTCCATGTGTCCGTTACAATTAATAGACGAACGGGATGAGTTTGTACGGAGTGATCCTAGACCACTTCTCCCATTGATCACCGAACTCCTTCTTCAGGATCCTATCTTCCTTCGACAGCCTGCTCACTCCGGAAACAGCAAAGATGATCCAGAAGCTCAGCCACAAGACCACACAGATATTCCGTGCGGTCACACTGAATCTGCCTAAATTCGACCACCACGAACCAGGGTCGAGAGACCACAAGACGACGCCGATCGTCTGCATAATCCCGCCAGTGTAGCTCGGGTGCCGGACGATGGAATACGGCCCAACTGTAACGAGCTGATGTTCCTCCTTCACAGAGAGCTCGTATGTGAAGAACCGTCCGAGTGTGCGATAGCACCACCAGCGGATGAGACCGCCCATGCTTATCAATGTCCCGCTTGCGACAAATGTGTTCGTGACACGCACGCCGCTGCTAGGCGACAGTGGAAGGAGGGATATATGCCCAGAGAGAGAGGGATATTCCTGGGCGAGAATGACAGCGATCTCAGCCACTGCTGTAATGACCGCCACGGACTTAAATAATCCATGTCAAATATTGCGAGAGACAGATCATAGAAGGAATACCTTTATAATGTGGAGCAAGGCATTGAAATTCCCGCGCGATATACTATCTTGTCTGCCATACTTCGACAGTTCCGAGGGTTTAGGAGGCGGATTGGGAGACGTCGAGCCAATGACGATGAAGACTGCATTAGATGCTAACAAGGGTATCTTCAAAAGAGGAGTGCTGAGAAGGGGAACAGAAGTGAGGAACATATCGACTGGCATGTTACACTGACCTGCTCACGGTATATATACGCAAGCCTTCTCCAGCTTCCTAGCCGTCGCCCTGTTGGGAACGAAGGAGACATGGGAAATTAGAGATATGCTGGCTCATGTCTTCAAGAAGAATTTTCCTCCGGATATTTGTTGGCCGAAGAATCCTATTCGCAGTCAATAGAAGGACACCAATGTGACTATGGAAGTGAAAACGGCAAATCCGGCATGCGCCCGATACAATTCGATGGAGAGTTTAGCAGGGGTAATTGTCACCGACTTCAGAGCGCGTTGCATGCCGGCTGTCTTCTCGAGATGTGAACCGCCGTACTACTGTAGTATTCACAGCGTAAGTGAGAGCCAGCCGCCGTAACGCTGCTTACGCAGGGTCGTTCTGTAGGACGCACCGTTTCCCTCGCCTTGCACTTTGTTTGAATGAAGTCGGTGGCTACGTGCGAATATTATCTGCAGCTGAAGAATTAAGGCAACTGTTGAAAAAGATTGATCTTGCGACTACCTGTCTGGAAATAATAGATGAGCAACCGATATCCTTATCGGAAAGGAGTCTTACACGTTATGTTGGCCATGACGCAACCTGTCAACGCGTCAACACTTGACACGGAAGGCAAGTCCACTATCAAGTTCCACCACAGGAAGGTAGAAGAGGCGAGCCATTACATGTGTTGATGCCAAACTGGTGCAGACGGCCACGTCTGACGAGATGCATCATGGGAGTGCGGTGTCCGCGACCTTATGCCTTGTTCAATTATGTCCCTCCCTACCACTTTCCCTACTTTGATCGCTTCAGCAGGTGTCTTATTTTAGACCTGCGTCTCGGCTAGATCAGAGTTTGCAGTTGCTCGCAGTGTTGTGCCGGTCGCAAACTAGTTGACATCGGTCGTGCCGACCGTCGACTTTGTCGACTAGTTGACACAGTCGACTGTCGACCGCCGACTTTTCGCCTTTTATGGCAAAGGCTGTGTGGCTGAACCACCGCCGAGGTGGCAAGCAGCAAAAAAAAATAGCCTCTCCAACTTGATGATATGTACTACCAGCAAATTTTGTTTTAGGACACACAAGACACATCCAGGACTGTTGGTCTGGGGACCGAACAGTGCAATAACTTGTTGTGGAGAGCGATGCCGCTGCTGCACTTTGCGTTGTGGCACAGCGCGGCACTCAGGATCCAGCATGTGACTGGCGTGGCTGGTCTCATCACATGATTTTCTGTCGCCCGCCAATGGGAATTAATGCCGAACAGTCGCGGAACGTGGGACAGTTCACCAAAAAATGTTGACCGAAAGTCTACGTCGACTAGTCGCAAAGTCGACACATCGACCGTGTAAACCAGAGGTCGACCGGCACAACACTGATTGCTCGCACTCCGCTCTGTGGACACGGTGTTCCCTCATTATACTTGAATTTTATATGGTTTGAAAGCCAATCATGCCCTGCACAACACCGCAACCTTTCCTGTGAAGGATGCCCGCGCGATCTTGCGTACAAAATGTTGAGATATTTTTAACACTCCATTTACATAAGGCCAGAGGTCGCGACGAGTGCCAAGGCGAGAGCAGGGAAAGTAGGGAGGGACATACTTATTCGATGAGGGTCTTATCATTCCACTGTGTAGGTCTCGCTCAAGTGCCGACTCGGGGCGCCAACGATGCTTCCGTGCCTATACTTAAATCTTACACAACAGCGCTAATTTCGGCACACACAAGGTGGCACGCGACGCGCGGAACGATATCAGTTATTGTCATGTGATCGTGTTCTACGTGGTTCAAACGTTCAACAATCAACTTGAACTTTGGTTCGACCACAACTGTGGACCTTCCAGACCCTCTCCACTACCTCCATCTACCATGGCTGAAGTCATTCGAGCACCCTTTGTGATTGCTTCTGTAGCGAGTTTCCATCCTAATATTCCCACCCCGCTTGTTACCAAGCTGTCACTGGACCTCGAAGTTCCTCGAGACAGCGAGATCACGCCCGTCACAGTAAAACGGGCAGAAGATATTGTTCGTGTTCTCAAGAGCACGAGAGGTACAAGAGTTATTTGATTTTCAGAGTCCATCGCTGACATCTCGTCCTGAAGATCACGAGGAATCCATAACTGAGGATGTCGTTCAAACTGCCAAGGACCAGGTCCATACTCTGCGTGACATCAGTTTGTTGTCGCATTCACCAAAAACTCCTCAATTATTCAACTGATGATATTCATTTTCAGCCTCTCAATCTAAGTTCCGTGATATCACAGGTGTCGATGCTCGGCTGGATCGCATCGACGTTCGCCTGGACACCATGGAAGGTCGCCTGAACTCCGTAGAAACTCGCCTGAACTCCATGGAAACTCGCCTGGACTCCATGGAAACTCGCCTGGGCTCCATGGAAACTCGCCTGGACTCCATGGAAATTCGCCTTGACTCCGTGGAAACTCGCCTGGCCTCCATGGAAGGTCGCCTGGTCTCGCTTGACCAAAAGGTTGCGCAGGCTCACACTGAGTCTCAACATCAAATGAAGACTATCACGGACACTCTCGCCCGAATGGAGGCTCGCTTGGGATTACTCCCCCAAATTGGGGCTCGCCAGGACAATTTTGCCATTATGAGCCGGAATGAACGTCAGCTGCGTACGAACACCGGTTCTGTCAGATACGCTGCACCACAGAAAGTTGTAAGTTCATTTGAAGACAACCTGTAGTGCATTTTATCTCACTCTCCCTTGACAGATTGTTGGGGATGGCCTGGAGCTTGCTCAGGGGCTCGTCCGAGGCAATGTCGCTATTCCTGATGTGCCAGTTGGGGAAGTCGGTTCCGTTCTATCGGCCATGATAGATACTAGCGAACTCGACCACGCAAAGATCCTCCGTCTGATACGGTTTTATAACCAGGACTTTGGGATTCAGGCGACGGATGTGCTTGCTACTCGAGTCCAGAAAATCGCCAACTACGTCACGGGCTTCAACAATGTCTAGTGGAATGCAGTCAGAACTGTTGTAAGTCGTTCCCGCTCATCGTCAAATCTCTACTTATCATTATTGTGAATTCTGATGTTCAGCATGGGGGGCCGAACACAACAACTGTTTCAAAGGCATGTTTATCAGGAATTTAACGCACTATTGTATGTTTTGCTCTGTCTGTCGGCTTTGTGTTGCTTTGTGTCTGCTTTGTGCCAGTGTGTTCTTGTGCTTGTGTTCTTTTTGCAGATACCCGTGAATTGGTTTACAATCTAGGAACTTTGGTAGAAGACGAAGTATGTAGGTTGTTGCAGAGCAGCTGTTTATTTCATTTTCCAGCTAAGGTCGTCTTTCAATTTGCTTTGTATGGTGGTGACTGACGTATCTTATACCAATTTGTCGGAGAGCAGTGTTACACTCGTGTTTTGTGTCACGGTCGCGTCGCACGTCATCACATGACCGCGAAGTAGTTACATCATAGGTCGAATATATTCCTGCATCGGATCCCCGACCCTTTGGCTTACTCGAGGTAGCTCGCACGTACTTTAAGACGCAAAGCTTGTGGCTGTTCTGTACTAGTAATATCGCAATTTCCCCTAGCACTTCATCGGTGGTTTCACGTTTAGCCGAGTCTTTCAGCACTCACACCTTCTGGCGATGGCTTAACTTCGCTTGCTCAGCGGCTGTTCCCAGAAGGCGGACACTGACGTGGAGTCAGGGAAATTTGGCGGCGCTCTTGCCCTGCGATAGATATTAGCGTGCTCGATCATCCCAAAGTTTCCGTCAATATGTCTCTGCGGCCATTGTAGCGGCGGAGGCTGTGCCTGCTGCTCACAAGGTTGCCAACTATCTCCGAAGCCTCGGTCTCATTTAAAGTGGACAGTTGTAGTAAGTCTTTCCAGCTCGTCCTCACTTCTGAAATTGACTGTTCTGGACAAGCAGCCGTGATATCGCTGTGGAAACATGGTAGCTAGAAATCGTGTTATGTGGACCGCGTGCCCTTGTGGTCCGACCGGTAGACATGCGTGAAGTCCAAGAAGCAATGATTTGATGCCCCTGTCTTCATTCCATTTTCTCTGTCTTTGATCAGCAATAGCTTGAAAACATCCAATGAGAACGACCCACCATCATTGGTGGACAACGAACTGCCCTCTTGCACTATAAGATGTAGCTCATTACAGCCACTCTAGTCGCATAACAAAGGGCTCGGTGATCATCCTTGACCATTAATCTGATGGCGAATGAGGCGCGAGCTCGAAGAGTACATCTTTGCATAGCAGTAGTATTGCATGTACATATACTAGAGCTGTGCGAATAGAGATCGTACGTACCTCGGGTGCTCTGAATGAATTCAATCATAGTGCACTCGAGTCCGCATGCTATGCTGCTCGCCAAAGTCAATCATAATCGGCCTCCTCCAGCCCACGTGCATCTCGCGTTTGCTCTTCTTCTTCCACTACCATCACATCCTCGATCTCTCCAGCATCCTCTCTGCCTTCCTCATAGGCATCTTCCTGAACTTCCGAGTAGTCGAGCATCTCCTCGTCGTCAGGGTCTCCGACCTGGTCCAGCTCGGTGTCATGTTCTGGCCTTAGGTCGCCATCCGTCTCCTCGCCCTGCTCGAATTCTGTAGCAGGCCCAGGAGCGGAGGCACGCGCCTGCGGGCGAGAGATGGTGATGGTCGGCCCCTTTTCCCTCTCTTTCCCCCTGCCCTTGGACTTCGCCGAAGCGGCAGAGATAGACGTCTGCTCGGACTCGCGTGCCTTACCCTTGACGCTTGCAACGCTGCCCCCGCCGCGTTTGTTCTTGTCCGCCTTCTGAATCTCGCGATATACTGCGAAGCCAATTGGCTATTTGTAAGTGGAGACTGGATTTGATGGAGACGCACCGAGTAGTTCCTGCTGGAGCAGCTCGACCATGTCGCCTATTTCGATGAGCTCGAGGCCTTTGAGCACGTCCGAGGCGGAGATGCTCTTGTGCTGCTTCGAGCTCGCTACATCGTGCGCTGTAGCAGCTGTGAGGCCACAAACGGCGTGAGCATTCGAATGCCACAGTATCAACCATCGTCATACCGAGGTAGTTGATGAAGACGGTGGCCGACTTGACAATCGAGAGTATAACTTCCTTCTGAATCTTCACGTGGTCTGGCAGCTGTGAACATCCGCCAACGTGTCATCCAGTGTTTCACATGACTTTGGGAACACGTTTGTGTGTTGGAAGGAGAGGTACGCACTGCGCTGCGAGCAATCCTGGTAACGAGACTTCGCGGTAGTTCAAAACTGTCTATTCCCTCTGGGACAGTCTCCTGCGCGATCAGGGCTGAGACAGAGCCCGTATTTGCTTCTTTGCTTCTGGGCATTCAAATTTCACGGCTTGATAAAAAGGTCGTTGGTGGTGAGGCGCACGGTCGCCGGTGGCGGATGAGCAGAGTACAACAGCGGGCGCTTATCAGCCGCCACAGTTCTCGAGAAGGCAAGTCCGTTCATTCGACTCCTCAACAATCTCACAATCACATAAATAAATACCCCCTCTACTCCAAACGCATTCCAAGGCCCTTGGAAAAGGCCTACAGCCCACAGGCGAGTAGGGATACAAGACGAACAATATGGATACACGGTATGATAAGTGCCAGAGCGCAGAATGTACGTGTAAATCGCATAACAATTCCTCGAGAATCCCGGTAGACACGACAGACATGCAAAAAACTCGAAAAGCAAGGGAAATGAGCAACAGGAAAAGATCACGATGTCATGGACCGCACGCTCCCCGCACTTGCGCGCGGGTGGCGATGGTGCGGCCGTGGGCCTGCCAGGGCCGGGTTTATTGCCGGCTGCGCCTCGCCGTAGTGTGCGTCGGGCGAGGCCGACGTGCTCTGATGCAGGTGCAGAGGCTCCGCATAGTCCTGCGTCTGGGGTTCCCCACATATATGCACGTTGAAGTCCTGCAACATCTTCCCGTAGCGGTCTGTTGAGGTAGAGGGTAACACGTAAACTGCAGGACTGGAAACAAGGGGGGACGTACGAGCAAGAGGGACACGCTCGCCTACTCGGGAGAGTGTAGACCTGCCGAAGGGTGAATATGAACATGACAAAGTTAGACGAGGCACCATCAAACGAACGTACCGAATGAACTCCAGTTCTACCTTAAGTATCGTGCACTGCTCCTCGCTCTTCATCTGTGTTGCCACATCGAGAAAGCGCACGAGAATCCTACCCGCCATGAACCAACAAATCTATAGGCAACCAATCAACACCACAGCAACTGACAATCGAACGCGCGACACAAGTGCAGACACACATTGGCGAAGTGTCCCAGCAGAGCGAGATCATAGCTCGTCGAGCACACGTCGTACAGCAAATTAAGAATACGACGTGCCGCGTTCAGTATCTTGACGGACGAGATGCACGACGCAGCCCCAATGATGGCGTGCGACTCGTGCAACAGAATTTGAGCACTAGCCGACGAAACCTCATCAGCGCATCAATCACCGCAACAAACCGAGCTGCGCACAGATGCGGGGCATTGCATGCCGAGAACAGATGTACGTTGACCGTGTTGTGCTGCAGCGGGTTACGCAGGTGGGGTGGAAATGACGGGAGGAACGCCGCGACGAGCTGGTCGAGCTCGACGAACGCGGGCGTATCGCGCACGTCCCGCGGGCGCTGGCTGCGCTCGCGCTCGTCGATATGCGCATGCGATCCCCCAGCCATCGCGCTGTACGCTGCAGGACTGTACGACGCTACCGCAGGGTCGCCGACATAATAGCGCGCGCGGAAGCGCATGTTGAAGTTCTTCACCCGTGAGAGCATCATGCACGCCTTGATGTACAATGTAAATGCATCAACTTGTCCTACAGGATGGATTGTCAAGACATTACGGTCGTGCGACCACTGTCGATCCTCTGGAAGGACCAGCATCTGCGGAGTATCGGTTGGGGCATGGGCGTTGAAAGAGGGAAGGGGAAGGGTTGCTTACGCCTTGCTCAAACTGGTCACCGCGGACGGGAAGCAACTGCGAGACATCGAGGTCATCAAGTAGTATTGCCCAAGCATGAGAGCAGCCGTGTATGCGTTCAGACGCATATGCTGCATGAGGAAGACCCATCAGAATAACGAAATATGTCTATGGATAAAATCTGCCGCTCACCAAGCCAGAATACGTTGCGCCGCATCTCATCTTCGATGACCGTTTTCGCCGGCGGGATAAGAGATGGCGGGCGATGGCCGTTGTAAAGCCCATGGAACGGCGGGCAGACATTTAGCCCGAGCGGCATGAGGAAGCGCACGGATAGCCCCGTAGCAGTGTAGATCTAGCACGGGTAAGATTGACCCATCAAACGTTCGCGGAGCAATGCACATACCGATGACCACCTGCGCGTTTATGCAAGAGCGTCGGTCAGTACATAGTAGCCGGGAGTGTATATATATAAGGCGCACTTTGCATTGGACCAGTACCACGATGCGATGAGGATCTGGGCTGCACCGCAACGACTGTCAGACAAAGAGGCGCGCATACCCTGCTCGACGCACATTGTACGACTTGGAGGAGCTTTACTCCGTTGTAGATCATTTCTTCTATCTCGGCACGGGCATATTTTACTTGCAGCTCGGCAAAGGTGTCGGACCAGTGCTCTGCGTTCTTGAGGTGTCCGGGCCATGGATCATCTGGACTGGTTGTTAACGCTGCACTACATGATACATGCAACTCAGGTGTACCTGCTGGAACTGTGTAGGACGGAATTGGGGGGGGCGGTACGGCCCCGGTGTACATGCTGCCCACCGCGCAGATGGCATGCAGAACCGCGGTCGACGGAAAGTCATGATGGGTTGGCGGAAGTGAGAGCGACGTCAGAAACGTGGGGCCGTGGAAGAGTCGGCCTGCGTCTGCATTGAAAGCAAAGTACGCTTCCACACTGCACACAAGCCATGAGAACAAAGGGCCGGGAGTTGAGAAAAGAAGACGCACAGATGCCGTAGGAAATCCGGATTGGGCAAGTTCTTTGGCCAAGAAGCCGTGAGCATATCCAAATGGGAATCGGATCCAGATGGAGATGACGAGGCTATTGTGGCCGAGCTTGACGGAAGAGGTGGTGTTGGCGTGTCCATCAGACTTGCGACGTCTGCCAAATTGTCCAATGCCGTTCCCGCATGGAACTGCGCGAAGTCGAGCGGTTGTCCGGCATTCTGCAAGGCCATCTGAGATTCGAGAGCTAGAATTGGGTCCAGTGCAGAATTCAAATACAAGGGATCATTGGGGTTGTTGGCCGGCGGGATAAATGCCTCGCTCGTCATCTTATCTTTCTCCCGCAGAAGCGCCTCGAGTTCGTCTGCATTCGTCATCAGACCGTGGTGGGCCAGAAGACATAGGTAAATACGCACTGATTTTTCGCTCGAGGCGTTCAAATCTATTCTTAGGGTGCTCCTGCGGCTCCTGCTGGACAGTCTCGGTGGATACTGATGCCAATATCAATGAATCAACGGGGGCGGAAATCAATGTCGACGCACCGGCATCAAAAGTGCACTCCGGGTGCGCTGGGAGGTTCGCTCCGGGAGGAGCGTGGGCAACAGCGTAAGCATGCGAGCGCACGCAGGTGGAACACGGTCTGTTGGCGTCACTGTGCATAGATCCTGTCAATCATTCGGCCTCGGGCTTCGGGCTTCGGGAAGACAGACCATTTCTGGGGACGCGTGTCAGTAAGACAGACATGACTGACAGGGAGAACAGAGTTTACGCACTAGCTTGCGCCTGCGGCACTGGTGACACGCCTGTTTCGGAAAGTTGTGAGAAAGAAGGGCGGTGGTATTAGGGGAGACTCACCTGATTCCTACGTAGAACATGGGGGGATGGAGACGAGCTGGTGGACGGGTTAGTGTTCGACACGGGCAACGTCTTGGGCATGGTTTGCAGTGTTCTGAGAGAACTGGGACGGACCCAACAGATCACTAATTTCTATCCGTCGCTGTAACTCGGTAAAGCCGTGACGTGTGACGCTTACTGTGACAAACACCCTTCTTGCGACAAAAAGAGCCTCTGTGATGTGACGCGTTGCGTCCACGTGACGGACAAATCCGTCATCTAAAACACGAGAGCAGATGACAAGCCTCCGAGTCGGAGTCGGTTATTATACTTCGTCGCTCACCGCTCGCATCCAAGGTCGAAGTAGGCACTTTCGGTGCACGGTGCCACCTTCTGGATCATACAATGAATAAGGTGCTGATTCGCCATTGTGATCACTGGGTTTCGGTGCCAACGAGTGATATACGAGAGAGTGGTGGAGGAAAGAGCACGAGAACGAGCTTCGTCCGGTCTATATATACTAGACAATATGCACAAAAACGGCTGTTATTAACTGAACTTGGATAGAACGGATCAGAAATTTGTTTGACATGCGAGGGAGAATATTGTTGTACGTCCGTAATTGTGCGAAATGTTTGGTCTTGTCTGAAGCGACATCGAGTTGGGAGATCTAGCACGAAGTTCATTGAACGCCAGGTTGTAGGGGCCGGCGGCATCGAGTTATCTGTACGATCATAGCCGAGCGGTGGAAGATATAACGACTAGATAAGGCAGGTGTGGTATGATCCAACGGATATTCTCTTACTAGCTCGAGGTTCCAGGAAGATAGCCTGAAACACGCGTTGCATCTGACGTTCAGCACCATTCAGACGGGATGAGTGCCTTGGGAAAACTTCATGAGTTGAGCATGTCGAACGTACGAACCGTCAGGCTTCGGCGAGGTCCGTGACATTGAGACTCGTCACGCGTTCTTTTTGTTCTGAACCACCGCCTCCACGTCCTCCAAATATCGGGTATATTTCTTCAAAACTCGTCAAACGATTTGTACTCAAGCCTATACTAATACTTTGCAGTCAATCGCTGTATCGAAATAGAAGCTCACTGGTCTGGTGCATGGCTCCGCGTAGCATCCAGCTTCCCAACCTCGTCGCACTCTGTGCAGACTTTGAGCTGCGCAGCAACTCGCGCTGCCATGCTGTTTCCTCCACTGCGGAGCGATGGGCGTTGGCGAGCACATTCCTCGACGAGGAAGAACGGAGAACATTTCCGGGTTTGCGCCCCGGCTTGCTTGCGGCCTTGTGCTACCCCACGTGCGACGCCGCGCAGTTATTGCGCCTAGCGCAGTTTTTCGTCCTTCTCATACACTGGGTCGACAAGGAAGATGTAAGCGAAGATGCGGATGCGGAGGCTGCGTTTGATCCGTGCGTATAATGTTTCTGACTTAGACTGTTGTCACTGCCGGGATCTGCGACGGCGCAGGAACACTTGCTAGCGGTGTTGGTGCGCCGGCAGTGGACGATGGTGCTGATTGCATCACCTGATCTGTTTTATCCACACAGCAGAACCATTTCATTTTTTCCCGGCGACGAGATACTGATGGCCCACTTACTCGCAGGATCCAACAACGATTTCTTGGCGCCTCGCTTGTACCCTGGCGCGCTCGCTTTCTGCGGCACCTGAGCGCGTTCCACTCGTCGCTTGAACGCGTCGCGACGGACAACGCAGACGGCGTCGTGCCTGACTTCGAGTCGTACGTCACACTCAGAAGGGATTCATGCGGCATTAAGATGATGTTTGATCTCATCGAGTACGCGGAAGGCCTAGTCGTACCGGAGGATGTCTACGCCCTACCGGCGATGCAGCAACTCCGTCAGAACGCTGTGGATATCGTGGCATGGTCGATTGTGAGTCTCTTCCGCAAATACCCATCTACTAGCTTGGAAACAGCTGAGATATATTCGATCGATCTCATGTGTTTGCGGTTATAATCTGCAGGACATCGCCTCGTATGCGCGCAAACAAGCAAGGGACGACAAGCATAACCTCGTCGCAGTGCTCATGCCTCAGAAGGGTCTCGCGGCACAGGGTGCCGTGAACGCTGCGGCGCAACTCGTGAAAGCTACTGCCGCGAGTTTCCTCGCAAACGAGCGAACAGTCCTCCGTTCTTCATCGTCTGGCGCGACGGACGCCGACATCCGCAGGTTCATGCTAGGCCTGCGTGACTGCGTCGCTGGCGCGGTGCACTGGCTGTACGAGACGGAGCGCTTCTTCGGGGAGTCTGGCGAGGACGTACGCACGTTCGGGTGGGTGTTCTTGCCGCCCAAGGAAACGTAGCGGCAGGACAGGTGTGGCTCAAAAATGCGGACACCTCTAGACTACATACCTTCACTCTTTTAGTGGACCATATGCACACTTGCATCAACTAATTCTACCATCGTTCGTATACACCATTTGCCAAAACACGAGATCTTTCTACGAATTCGATTTACCCGTATACCTACCCATATGGCGTTTGGCGTTCATCTTAACATTGGTATGGAGTTACGATAGGCGAGGCTACAAATTCGCCTGTGGCTGGCTGATGGAGAAACCACTGACTTTGCACGCAATACCTATGGTACATTGCATCCTGAGAGATACACATTGCTTTACGACTGCTAATGTTAATCATCAGCTATCGTAAACATAATACACGCACGGCACCGGCATAATTGCAGTCGCCTAACTGCATGTATCTGAGCATGGTCAATCAAGTTTCGCAACGGAGCAAGCAAGCTTGTCTTTGAACAGGGCCAGTACTTGGTAGTCGGCCTTCACAGTCGAAGTAACCGCATTACTGTACAACCGTACCGCGAGGGGCACAAACGGCGGTGTGTCTTTCGTTATGTAGATCGCCTTCGGATCTTGATTTCCCGCGTGCCTGCCATAGGCGAGTCAATGGCATAAATGGATGCAGAAGTGGGGTACTCAACGAAACACGGAGATGGTTCTGGACATCGGCTATGCTGGTCGGCGCTGAGTATGCAGAGGAAGTTCCGTAATTGCAGAGGGCACAGCATGCGGGTTGCGCATTGTATTCGGTAAGAGACTTATACCTGCGCGTTTTCTCCAGACTCCTCACTCTCTTCTCTTGTGCAGCACTGATTTGGTCCCATTGAATCTCAGATACCGGCTGGGAGCGGTGCACTGTTAAGCAATGAGACATCTACATGCAATTGGTCACGTTGTCAACAGTTAACGCAAATCTGACACCCACCGCCGCACGCCAACTCATCACGAGTTTCGATTCTCCCGGCACACTGCAAAGCCTGCACGATATCCTTGCGTCCTGCTCATCCATCTCGGCTATAGACACCGTGTCTGGATTCATCTCACAAGCGTTGATAACCTGCACGGCCTGCTCCCTGTAAAGGCGAATAGGTGCAGTCGTCCACTGCTTTCGGTTGCGAAACTCTCCTTGTACGGCGGCATCAAAAACCGGGATTTTAAGCGGAGGATAATCGGTGCGCCACGGGCCAAAGGCATAATTGTTTGGGCGTATCGTCTTCGGCGAGTGATAGTGTGATGCCACCATGGGCCAGAACAGCACGCGTCGGCATGACGAGCATTGAAATGCAGTTTTGGCGAGGTCCTGAAACGGCACGGCCTTCCTACGACAAGACGTCGACGCGATATCCGGAAACTTGGTCTTCAAACGTGCAAGTACGTCTTTTTGCCATCGCTCGCTGAGGTCGGGCAGGATTTGATCAAATGCCTCACCCGGAATGTGGACGGAGTCAGGGAGCTCGACGATGGTGCGAATCTCAGTAAATGAAATGAGATCGGCTGCGTGAGGGAGCGCATCATATTCTTCGAGTGACATTCGCGCTTTCTTGAGCGAGGCAGTCAGCGATGCCAGTCTTGCTTTCATCGCGTGGATACGCTGCCATTTTAATCTACACTCTTTCCGTTCAGTCATGAACACAACGAGCTTGGGCTTCATTTTTTCCCAATCTTTGTTCATTTGCTGATCAGGAATGAAGCTTATATTGCACAACAGTGAACACATACCTGCATCAGTCAACCGTTCTGCCACACCCACCATCGGAAGAGCATTTAACTGCGTCTTAGAGCATAATATCTCAGTATCAAAGCCAAGCGTATCAAGGCGCCGACAGATGCTGTGAATTCTGTCATCCTTCAGGCGTTGCTGCCGTGCACGATAAATATTCTCCTGTACTTGGATGTACCTTTGGCACGCGTCGACGTGCTGACGCGACAAATGAATCGAAAGTATTTAGAGCAAAGCGCATATTGGAACTTACATCCGCGTGCTGGTCAAGGAAAGTGTTCCTCAACGTTATCAGCGCCGCCTGTTCTTCCCCAGTACGCGCCTGCTGCCACAGAACCTTCATACGATTGACTTCTGGTCTATGATAGATTCCCATGGAGGAAGCTTAGGAGGGGGACAACGGTGAATATTCACACATAAACAAGCGACGAGGACACACTTTGATTCCGAAGTGGTACGCACAAGTCGAAATAAGGCTGTGAGGTGTTATATGGCTTTTCAACGATCCTGAAGGTATAATACAAGCGTCATATATTGCACTGAAATCACGGCAGAGTCAAACATACATATCACGCTGGCAATCATGACAATAGCGAGCGCTGAACTCGAAGGTGGCTTTGACCTCAGGGCCATTGGCGCCACATTGGTGGCAATGGTGCCCAAAGATCAAGTCGGTGTAGTGATGTTCGCGTAAGTACGGTGGACAAACAGGCAGGTTCGCGCTGCCTTTGCGTGCTTGTCTCCAAACTACATCCATGCTGCGATGTGTAAGAGTAGCCCTGAGGAGTTTATTCGTAAGAATCAAGTTTAGCAGATCTTTCGGGGAGAGATGGCGGAAAATCTGTCAAAAGACGCGGTTATTCATTAGTATACAGGTCCTTACGACGTTCCAACTGACCTCGAAAAAGATATCGAACGGAACGTCCATCAATGCTGCTGAACTTGGACCTTCGAGCCCCTGAGAGGGTATAGCTTGCGTGAGACGCTGCTTGCGCCTTGGCGGACGGGCTGCCTCCACCTGAGCTGGAATTTGCTTGTCAGGTCCCTGCTTTCGCTTTCTCAGCGTCGGGGCCATGTTGTCGTGCCGTATGCAGAGTTGACGGTAGTCTTGGAACCAGACGAGAGCGGTGGCAGCGCCGGTGCATCACGTGAACTGACAGCGGAGAGCGAAAAACAGATGCACAACTACCATTGACCGAATCTATAGAATGAAGAGTATGATTTTCGAACTCGTCCTTTGTTCACTCGGCATTTCATCTATCTCCAGAGTTATTACGATATTTTGGAGAAGACCAATTCAACTAACGGTGAAAAGGGTTCCAACGCTGTGCGACCTACTACCATAAATGGAACTGGTTCGATCTCAGGATCTATAGATTCGTCGTCGAGGAAGTACTTGGGATCCTGACTCTAATGAGCTAACATCATCTTCCTCGCTCATGAACTCACGACTTGTATAAACCGCTAGACCTCAGTCAGGCGTCGTGCAGTTAGGAACGTCCCAACTTCAACATTGGAGACTACGATTGAAGTCGATACTCTCGCTGCAATTCCTGTTCCTCCGGAGACTCAAGTAAGAACGACCTGTGGCAAGCATAACTTGGGCAGGACTGACTCGATAAGGCTGTTCCTCTCATAATCTAGGGTTTGAGTAGTCAGCCGTCGGGGTCACATCGTCACCATGGACTCAAGACGCGACGATGTGTCCTCAATCTACACAGGTGCATCTACAATGAGCTACGGCGAAGTAGTGGACCGCGATCTCCCCCCAGTTCCTACACAGGCCCAGCTGTCGGATGTAGAGGCCTGCCCTCAGCGCACGCTCGAGGACGTCCGCGAACAGGCAGCCCAGAGCGTCGCCGTCCGCGCTATTCGCAAATCAGAGCTCGTCGACGACAGCAAAGTCGGAGTCGTTATCACGCTATCGCACACATCTGATGAGCGCTTCCTCGGCCTCGTCGCCTCCGCTATCAAGCATGCGCTCCGCACCAAATCGTACTTGTTCGCCCTAACCGCACCCAGTGCCACCCCACAGAGCGAGAGCCCGCTACTCCTCAGCAGCTCTTCCGACGAAGCCGTCCAGCGTGCGGGCCTGCTCGTCTGCTCCAAATTCCTCAGCCGCGTCGTGCGCGCAAACATCTACGGAGGGCCAGGCCGCTGGATTGGTTCTGTGCGCGACATCGGGTCATCTTCATATGACGATGCGGCGCTGTGGGACGTCGTGCGCAAAGCTGCGCGCAGACCGATTGATCCCTTGATTCCTCCACCGTCCTCTCGCAGCGTCGACCAGCTGCTCAGCCATGCACGAGCGCGCCTCCAGCGAATCACGCCGCAGCAGGCGTACGAAGAGCTGCACGACACAGCTTCCCTATGGCCTGTCGTCCTTGTCGATATCCGACCCGAGGCGCAGCGTATCGCCGAGGGAGGTATCCACGGATCGCTCCTTATCGAGCGCAACGTGCTGGAGTGGCGCTTCGATCCACGGTGTGCCCACAGGTTGGCCGTCGCAGATCGGTACGATCTGCGCGTCATCATATTTTGCCAGGAGGGATATGCATCGTCGCTCGCTGCGGCGTCGTTGCACGACCTTGGGATGTTGACTGCCACGGATATTATCGGTGGATATGCTGCGTGGAGGGCAGCTGGGTTGCCTTCTGAGGTGGAGATCGTTCCAATTTCTCGCGATTCGCCGTCAATTGAACCCGATCAGGATTACTAGAAAGATTCCCTGAGCATAGACTGCGTGTTGTGCTTTGATCTATGGCGGAAGTGAAGCCTTGCTTGTAACGCCAATTGTGCCTCAATAGTTGGCAATGACCGATAGATGATGATTCGTACTGCGTCTGGCCTCGCTCTCTTATTCGGCATTCGACGACAATCCCGTTGGGAATGTACTGGGAGATAATACTCGTTAAAGTTGCAATATGATGAGTCCGCCGCAGTGTTCTGAAATTTCTCTGCTCGAACTTCCGTGTTGGTTCCGAAGATGCCGAAGACTTGGCGGACGGAGAACTGAATATCACTACACTGATTCCGCATCTACAGAGAGTGGAATGCTGGCGCTCGCGACGTGTGGTGGGACACGATGGGCATCGTTGCTGAAGTCAAACACCCTGCCAAGGCCATGTACTCGCTCGGTGCGTTCCGCGCATGATTCCACACCCGAACCCCACAGCAAAGATCAGATCGATAAGCCCCTCCAAAAAAATCCATTCACAGCGCGGATTCTGAAGTCAAACGCTCCGGAAATTCAGGTGGGTGGTAGGCGCCACCGTGCACCGTAAGCCGCACCTATCAGCTTTTTTTGCAGACCGCCCAAAGGCCGCCTGTGCACGATTTTTTGACCAGGGGCCTAACGATCCTTGCTGTAGTGTCTGACGTTACGTATCTAGACAGGGACTCCAGCGGGTGCCATCGAGCTGCGGAGGTTCCTTAACTCTCTGAAGACTGACTATAACTTAGGCATCAAATACATCTTGTAGACAGCATTAAGGTCATTGTCGACCCGCCAACGGTTGGTCTCCGGGGACGTATTCAGTCAGCATCGAATGCGACATCTGCGATCCAGAGAGAATACGTCGAGCACGTATTCCGACAGTTACATATGGGATTGGTGGATGAATGTTATGAACAGGCTTGAGGAGAACATGATATTGTTAGTTCTGTGCCTCATCCATCTTGTAGTCCGAATCTAAACTTTACATCTGAGACAAAATACTTGTAATCCGGCTTCGTTCGTTGGCAATCAGCAACTTTCTTGCATAGACGACAGAATGATCATTTTGCAGAGTGTGCACTCCTATATGTCGCGGTGAACCTTTATGGACATTGGCGGCCGATTCACGTCTGGCACAAAGTGCAAACCTGAATATGGAATCACTGCAACACCAGCCCCACATCCTGACTCGCCCGCTCGCTGATCTCCAACCACTCGGGGAGCACCTTGTCCGGGACGCCGAGCACCTCTCTGGGCCATGCCGCCATATCCAGGTCCGCGTACAGATGCGCGAGCGCCTCGTGTTCGAGCGGGACTGCGGGAACAGGCACAGGTGGAGCTAGCAACACGCAGAAGACAACTTCAGCGGACAACGCAGAGAGTAGTGACCACGTACCAAACAGCACTTGCGTACCGTCTGTCGCGCCCAGCTTGGACCACAGAGATGGGCCAGCGTCAGCGGGCCCCATAGCGGCCAGCCAGTTGATCGCGCTGAGCTCCATGTTCTCGATGCCGTCCCACTTGAGCTCCGCGAACAAGGCCTGGGCAGGCATCGAGTAAGCGATCGGCCGTGGAGGGTGATTTGACGGTGCAGTAAGGATTTGCGTCAGAGTATCAGGATCGAGGATGTCCAATCCCAGATCCGGCTGTTTGTCTTCAGATTCAGGTGCGGAGATCGCACTGGGTATTATGGACGCAACTGGAGACCGACGAGAGGATGTGAGAGAAACTCTTGTCTTCCTACTTGACGGAGCGACCGCACGCTCAGACTTTTTGCTGTCAGGAGAGTCCGCCGGAATTTTGCCAGATGCTCCGGCCTGCAAGTCTAGCGAAGTCAGCTCTGATTTCGAGGTGCCCTTCATTATAATCTCCGACTGCTCCAACTTCACAGCATTGGCATTTGTGCGAGTTCTAGTTCGTTGTTTCTTCTGCGTGGTATTCGTTGACTGTTTCGCTATGTCCATCTCTGCCTCCTTTGGTGCTTTTGCGGGATCAGCTAAAGTCTTCGTCGTCGTCCCGTTCGAATCTAGTTCTGTATTCAACGATGGTGAATCTTCTGACCGTACCTTCCAAAATGAAAAATGTCGATACGTACGCGGTTCAGACGACCTGATAGCAGCAACAGGAATAGGGCATGCAGTACTTCTTGTGACGTTCGGCGTTTGGACAGAAACAGGCATTACGTCCGGCTTCGTATCAGTCCTGTGGAAAGCGACAGCCAGCGGCTCTGCAGTAATTTCAATATATGTATCCGATACAGCACGACCGAGAACTCACTGTCGTCGCTCGACCCCTCCTCCTCTGCCCTCGCAAACGTTACCGACACTTCCTCCTCTTCAATCTTCACAACAGATCGCCCAGAGAGGACCACGTCGAGCAACCCTCGCTAACGTTACGGAATGCTTTTTAGACAACTTGCACGACGCTGCACAGGGACGTACCTGATGCCTCGCCTGCTTCGTCTTCTTACGTGCCTTCTCCACCACTGCAGCCTTCACTTCAACATTCTGCGGCTTCACCTGGGAGCAATTCGCAATTTCTCCGTTCCTCTCGCGCGCTCTCTGCTTTCGGCGCTCCTGCACACGCACGCGGACACTCATTTCAAGCAATGGTTCGGACGTAGGAGCAATCTTAGTATGATATGGACCGGGAATGTGTAGTGCCGCTTGCTCCTGTGCCTTCGCCTTCCTGCACTGCTGGGTTTGCATGCGCGCGCTCGAAGCAGACGGAGGCTTAGATGCAGCGGGTGGTCTTGTCGTACGCTGTTTTGCGGTCTGCGGTTTTGGGGTGTAGAGCACAAACTGGTTTCCAATGCGAAAGGACGTCAGTGACGGGGACACCATTGCAGGTCGTTCAAGTGATAGCTGGGCGTCTAAAGCAGGAAGAACAGAGAAATGAGTCGAAGCTGGCGTTGGTAAAGGGATAATCTCGTGAGGTCGATTAGGTATGTTCAGAGCAAGTATATGGGTGGATGGGCGAGGAGCAATTGGAACATATGGACGAAGGGTGTTCCCTTGGATGCGAGAACCTGCAGTTGCATGTGGAGAAAAGACAGACTTAGGGGGACGAGTGCCACCAACGTTCGTATGTCGATCATCGCTGCCGGAAGCCGTGGCAAAAGTAGGAGCCGGGGGATCGATGAGCGATGCAGAAGCAAGTACGCGAGGGCTTTTGGTGAACGCAGATGGATCAGAAGTTTGGCGAGCTTCAGGTAAAACCCACGCAGTTATGGACGTGAGATTGGACGCAGACGTCAGTGCGGGAGAAGAGACCTGGTTGGAAGCACCGGCGTGCGCGGCAGAGAGTATGTAAGCGTGCTTGAGCCTCCTCGCTGTAGGCGGTGATTGGGGTTGCGGTGCGTTTTGAGCAGACTCTGGATCGGAGCGATCAGTGGTACTCCGGTCGATTTCAAAGACGAGGTGGATATATGCGCCACAAATTGAGCCCTCTCTTGGAAGACAACATACCAGTAGTCCCACGTTCTAGACAAGTAGCAAATGAAGTAGAAGACGTCGCAACTTGAAGGTGAGGACCCGAGATAGTAGTCTGGCGAACAAGGTCTTGATCTGGAGCAGCAGCGTCGCGTTGTTCAGCAGACACGCAGAGAACAGAAGAAAAGGAAGGACCAGGGACAGCGTGAGACGTTCCATCGAAGATGAGTCCGAGAGTGTTCGAAGTAATCGACTGTGACGAAGCAGTTGAGCCGCAGTTAGAGTTAGTATTCTCAGAGCCTAATTTTGAGGCGACAGGCTGAACGGCGGTATAAGCGACTCGGATGATGTTAGTTTGGTCTTCAGCAAAAAGAGCTCGCTTGCGCTTCTGACGAGGAGGAACGTGCGCAGAGGAAGAGGGCCGAAACAATTCAGAAACATGGGTATATGCGGGCATGAAAGTGCTTTGCGATGCAGCAATGAGAGAATTCAGGCCGGGAACCCGGGTATATGCACGTTTTTTTGTGTCTTCGGTTAACTTTACAGTGCCAGGGGAGGCGGGAAGTGTATAAGGAGCAGAAGGAGAGCCACGTGGGGATGACGAGGTGACAACAGCCCCCTGTTCACCCTCCGAGGATATATGCGTCAACGGGCTGGTAAAATCGAAGTCGGATGACGGCAAGACCGGGGAGCGCGTCAGCTCAGGCGTTTGCATCCGAGACGTACGAGGAGACGGAGAGAACAGATTAGGAGAGTCCATAGAAGACAAGAAACGACTGGCACAAGTAGCACAGGAAGGGTTTGGGTTGGCGTCGTGCGCCCGGGTATGGCGGACTGCTGGCGGTAATGGTTCAAGATTTTCCAGAATGCGAGGATCCGATTTCACAACATAGCCTGTGGGAACTTTACTTTGGGTATGCCCTTTATCGACCTTTCTGCGCTTCATCCCGCGACCTTCATGCAGTACAGGAGAAGCACGTTCGCGCTTGACCTGCACCGCTTTCACCTGTGTCCTGGCGTCTTCAACAGTTCCGACATCCTCAGAGACAGGCACAGTCCGAACGATCCCTACGGGCAGTTCATATGTCCCTGTCGTAGGCTTCTTCCCCTTCGCCTTGTACCAGTGGTATTTCTTGTGCGAGAACCAGGCGTGAACTTGCGCAGGTTCAACGCCGCGTGCTGCTGCCCACAACCTACGGGAGTCAAGGCTGGGTATCCGAGGATCTGCTTTCCATATGTTGTTCAGTTCCGTGGTATCCTCAGCAGAGAGGACGTTTGGCTTCGCCGTGGTAGCTGCCGGTGCCTGGGCAGTGAGCGAGACCATCGGCTTGCTGTGACCACCTAGAGCTCGCGTTCGTCGAGCTACGATGCGCCGAGGACACCGTTGCAGAGGAAGTTCGTCTGGTAGAGAGGGACTGCGTTGCTCTCTCTTCATCACGGTAGTATGAATCAGATTTCGACCAGGCCGGACGTCGTCAATCAGCTTGAGCGCTTGCGCGCTCGAGCAACTCGGAGCACGTGGTAGTCATTTTTCGTTGCAGAGATTCACACAAATATTGTTTTGCCGAATCCACAGCTCACAACCTGGCATCCTATTCTACAGCTTTGATTTGATTACATCTATGTAGGGCTCACCAAGCATCAAGTACTGGACAGCGGTAGTCGGGACTGTCGACGTTGCAGCATTCATTGAGCGCACCAGGAACTCAAATTAATCCTTGGAAATCTTGATGACGACCTTCCCTACGTGCTTTTGACTATCAAGGTGTTCGTACGCTTTCTGTGCATCTTCAAAGGGGAACACCTTGTCCACCACGGGCTTGATGAGGTTCGCGCTAATAAGGCGGTTCATAGCTTCGAATCTGTAAATGTAATGTCAGCATTGATGCACGCAAGGTCGTCATGGATGACAGAGCCAGAGCCCGTCGTGATGCTTACTGGACTCGAGACCCAACGATGACACCGTGCAAAGAAGCATTTTTTAACATGACTTGCTGAGGAAGTGTGCTAATGTCGCCATCCTGATGCAACTATCGCATGAGTACAGTACAGCATGAGGATCGGAGAAAGACGTACCGCAGCGACAACTCCCACGACGTGCACTGAGCCTCCATAACAAACGCTATTCAGCGACTTGGTCAGGGTCCCCGAGCCGCCAACCTCAATGACGTGGTCCACGCCTCTACCGTTCGTCTAGAGAGCATCTGAGATTGAATACATCCACGCTGATTGAATCGCAAACAAACAAACGTACAATTCTCAGCACTTCCTCGTCCCAGTCCGGCATGGTCTTGTAGTTGATTAAGTGTTTCGCGCCGAGCCTCGCTGCGACCTTGAGCTTTGCGTCCGACGACGACGTCGCGATGACAGTTGCACCCAAGGCGATGGCGAATTGCAAGCCGAAGATGGCCACGCCGCCTGTGCCTTGGATTAACACGGTGTCGCCGCCCTTGGCCGGTATTGATCCTTGCAGGGCAGTATATGCAGTGAGAGCAGCACATCTGAATGGCTGGCTCATCAGCTCTGCAGAGGATCGATGATACATAGAAGACAAGGAATCACTGCTTACGGTAGAGTGGATGCTTCCTCGTAGGACAAGTGGTCCGGAGCGCGCACTAGACACTGCACAGTGCAATGTTCAATTCGAGTACGAGCACCCGAGAGGAGTACTTACGTGTACAGGGAAGACCTTATATTCAGTCAACACGCCGTCAATGGGAGCGCCCAATGCGCTGAGTAGATAGCCCGACTTGAACTCGCCGAAGATATGGTCCACCCAGAAGTTCGCGCAAACACGATCGCCGACCTTCCATTCCTCGACCTCATCGCCAACAGCAATAATTTCCCCCGCCATGTCGCAAAGCGGTACAACATTCTCTTTTATCGCGGGAACAGGATATTTCCCCTTGGCGAGTAGTAAATCTCGGAACTAACGATATGATGTCAAAAGTTAGAATATATCGGTGGCAATGAACTTCTGAAGAGGACGAACCTGAAGTGAAGCGGCGTGTATTTTGACTAGTACCTCAGAGTGTTTCGGCGGAGTGACCACTGCTTCTCGCATTGTGAGGTTATGAACGCCATCGAACTAGATATTCACATCAGTCAGTGTTACAAAATATGAGCTAGCCTAAAGCCTGCCTTGGGAAGGTAGTACTGGCGAGTAGTCTGTGGCAGTGGCATGACCATCAATACAGATGGGGGTTAACTTCGAAATCGAAGAACTTCTATCCCTGGCGCCTTTGTATCTGCTGCGTGGGGTACGGGCGGCTTCAGGCGGCATAGGCATAGGCTGATTAAGAGGCTGCATCACTAAGCAGAAGTCATCCAGGCATCGTAGGAATCCTGAGAGAACGAGGAGGCCGAGGACCCTGGATAATCCCCCCAAAGGTCGTCGCCAAAACCCCCGGACTTTGCAGTTTTCTGTCCGGACGGTTTTTGGCCATTTTTCCCGAGATTTGTCCGGAAATAGCGACATCCTCGCTCTGGGGGCTTCCATTTTAGGTAATTTGTGGCTATTTTTAGCCATTTTCGGCTTTTCCCGGAGATTTTCCGGCGATTTTTGCCCCAGAACAGCTCCATGTCCGGATAGTACGACGGCTACATGGTCCTTAGGGGGTCCATTTGTCCGGACATGGCGACGGCGTGAGGTCGATTTTCGCAAAAATCTGTCCGGATTTGGCGACGACCTTTTGGGGGATTATCCAGGGTCCTGGAGGCCGCCGCATCGTTGACTGTTGTCATAGGCGCTGAGTCCCAAAAATATTACGTATTATGTGCTATGACGCAGAGTAAACCGTCGGAACGCCATTTTTTCCTGAAGTCAGTCCAACTGTGCTGTGAACTTTGCTAGTGGAAAAATACACATTATCAGAATGCACCGGTAGGTATGGTCAAAAGTTTAACCAAATGGATTGAGAGCGTACCAGGTCGGTTTCTCGCGTTTGACCTCAACATCAAATTGGCAAATTCTCGTAAATGAACATTTCAAATGTGAAGCCATAGCATTGCAATAGATCTGGGAGATTATGTCGCTTGCTCGCATAATCAGTATATATACACCTCCTTGCGTACCCATAGATCAAATTTGACCACCACTAACCTGCACGCAGCGTATAAGGCAATACTACTGCCTACGTATCCAGCCAGCGACTCTGACCACACCGCGAGACTCAGAAACGTTGTTGAGGTACACACATGGCGACACGGACAGAGTACGCCACCAAGTTCCTCACGTAATCACTTAGCCGTGACCGCTCTTGGTCGCCTTCCCCTCCTCGCGTACTCGCAATAAAGGCGAGGATCGGGTACAAAGTCGGCCGCGTAGCTGAGCGAATTTAGCAGCAATGCCTGTCCTACTGCAACTAACCGCAGCAAGCTTTTTTCAGGCGGTTAGTCTTACAATGTCAGTGGCCGGGAGTCTCTACCTTTTTGCCTCCTCTGGAAATTCTAAGAGCGTGATCACCTCAGATACAGCTCCTCAAATCCTTATGGGTGGACATCGGAGAAGGCCAGCAGTGCAAAAGGGAGTTGAAACAGCAGAACGGCGATTCGATCGTACGAGCGCCAATATTGCCGTCGCCCAGCCCAAATGGCATAAATCGATGATCTACTGGAGGCCGCAAGCATGAGCGGAGGCAGATGAGTGCCTTCAGGTTCGGCCAGTCACGCAGAATTTCGAATAGTACGCCAGGGGAATTCGTACCCCAGGGGTAGGGCCAGGGTGGACGTGGATATCCCGAGGTTGGAGGAGAGGGTCTACCATCTGCCTTCAAGAGACTAGTGGAGGGGGAGGTGAGGTCGATAACTGATTTGGAGCATCCACTTAACTTTGGCCCAGTTATTGCGACGTCGAAGAAGTTCTGGCTCTACCGCAAGGTCAGCAATATTTTCGTCGATATTTCAATATTTTGTAGCATCACGCGCATTTCTCAGGAAGCCGTGCAATGAGATGTTCGCTTGCTTTATCTATTCTCGAAATTCTCCAACAAGCTATTTAGAATCCGCAGAATCAGGACCACATACTCTAACTTGACGCTCTTTCCGGCCGGTCATCGTCTCCTGAAAGTCATCGCCAAGGAAGAAGAACGACGACATATGGATTCAGCCAGGTGCATGTTCTTCAATCAACATGGCCCTCAAGGAACATCTCGTCTCGCCACCTTGGTATCCAGTCCAAGCCACACACTTTTTCTCTGCCTAGAAGTACGGCATACGCTCTCCTATTGCCCGTGTTCAGACCTCAATATTGTCAAATATATTCCACACCTTCCCATCCGTCTCAGTAATGATTAAGCCACGAGACTGCTTCGCCATTCTTGCAGATGGTCGGCCTGGTCACCTGTCGAAATTACGCGCGCGGTTTTCGCGGCAAACGTGAAATATCTAGCATCGCTCATGCTTCCGGCGGTATATCCGTCATCTACCCTCTTGCCGGATATTCACCGTCAATGATTTCTACGACTTCGACCATAGTGGCATCCTCGATATAGGTCGCCAGACATGCGATATCGCCGCGTATGGAACTGTCGGGAAGTTTCTGGACTCGCAGATGCGCCGACATGCGTGATTGATGAGCTGGTTACAGTCTACCAGTCGATACCTGCATGGAGTAGCAGCTAGTGTGATATCGACGACTGTACCTCACAGTGAAGTTAACGTGCATTGAGAATTTTCTTCTCTTGTGATGACAGACACTGATAGCGCTGGACAGAGCGCGCACAATTCCTCCACGCGAAAGTCGATGTCACGAGGGCGCGTTGCAGACTCGTATGAGCATCTGGCGGCGGGCGCAGTACACGCCCGCCACGGTGGCGGCGCCACCATGTCGTATCAAGAGGAAAACATGATCGAAGAAGACAGAGGTTGTGGAACGATGTATGCGTTGTCCCTTTCGAATTGACGCTGCTGCTTATAGAGGCATTACTTCTAATCGAATGGATAGGGTGCGTAACTCCAAAATGACAACACATAATTACTTAAGACGACAAAGACACAGCCAATGTAGATCAGCAATAATTACTGCTGGGTAGGACTAATTTATCCTCACATGTCCTCAACCTGCTCCTCAAGCCAGTCCCACAGCTTCTTTCCGGTCTCCTCGTCAAGCGTCTCCGGGCGGACAGGCACGACGCGCGCGAAGGGCATGAGGTACTGCATCACGCATGAGCTCACGAGCAGAAATGGAGAACAATGAGTGTGCTACAGTACTGACCTTCCCGTTCAGCTCTGCGCCTTCAGGGTGGGTACCCGCATACAGCTGCGTCAGCGCGCCCTGAGGAATCGGATTCGCAGTGAGGTTCTAGAGTGATGATCCCCCTAATGTCATGCGGACTGCGATGAAGAGAAGTAGGAGGAACGCACAACTACGAAGGCCTTGACGCCGTGCAGGTGGCGCTGTAAGTCTGTCTTGATGACACCTGCGCATCAAACGGCGTCAGGGGACAACACTCCGGCTTCGGGAATGCGGAGTGCTGCACTCACCGGGGGTCAGTGACGTTGATACGATGCCCTGGCCACCGTACCGCCGCGCCAGCTCGTGCGCAAAGACGGTATTACCCTGACAAAGGCATGACCACCGATCGGAACGAAGACAACAAGCAGCTTACGAATTTGCTCTGCGCATACAACCGGGTCGTGCTTTTCTTGAGGCGCTCGGGCCCGTCGCGGAACGTGTCGAAGTCGAGCGTGGAGAAGTAAAGGGCAGAAGAAGATGTGTTCACCACACGTGCCTTGCCATCCGACGATGTTTGCGCGCCTCTCAACAGTGCCGGCATCAGCAGCTTGGTGAAGTAGAAGTGACCTGCGTGCGCAGCGCTCGGAGACGGTGATGGGCATGACACGAAAGAACGTACCGAGGGTGTTCGTGCCGAACTGCAGGTCATAGCCGTCAGAGGTCAGATGTTCGACAGGGGGAGTCATTACACCTCTGCGTGACAGTGAGTAAACAATTTCTTGTAGACGCACGCCAGTTACCCGTTGTTGAAGAGAACATGCAGCTCGGGCTCCTTACTGCAGAAGGTGAATTATAGCAGAGGCAAATCAGACGGACGTTTGATCGTACCTCAGTAAATCTTCCGCTGAGGCCTTAATAGCGCTAAGGTTCGCAAGGTCGAGCTTGAGGAAAATCGCTGTCTTGCCAGTTTCCTTATGAAGCTCGCGGATAGCGTCCTCGGCCTTCACCTGGCTGCGCGCCGCTAGATATACCTTGGCATTGTGGGTGAGCAGGTGCTGTCACAATTGTGAATAGGGACTCATGTGTCCGTTCCACAATGAAACTCACTTTGACGGTCTGTAACGGTGCAAGATTAAATTGGTGAACAAGTCAGGCCTGGGCAGGGCTGACGCTGTGGAACACTTACCTCCTTACCCAAGCCAGTGTTGCCCCCTGTCACAATCATGACCTTGCTGGACAGGTCAGGGATGTTTTCCACCGTGAACTTGGTCTTCGGTGGGAAGTTCTCCGATTTCAGTGCACAGAACATTTCAGACGAAGGAACTCTGGTCGGCATGTTGCAAAAAAGATGATAACAGAGTAGAAGATTGTGGGAGAGTGACGAAGTTCAGTTGGAGGGCGAACGAACGTTAAATACTGAACTGCGCTAACAGCCGCGATCCAGGTGAAGATGCGTACACCCGCGGCAGAGCAGGACCGGCACTCTGCGCTAACTGCGCGCAGTGTATATCCCAGCTCATCCACAACAGTGGCGCCTCAACAATGTCGACCAGTCGTGTTTTGTGATACGCATCGCTGCATCAACTGACCGCAGACGAACCTCATCATCACAGCATCGGCGACGATCATTCAACTGGTAGCGCTTGGCGTATAGAAAGGCCTTTCCACACCCGCGGTACGAAAAGCGTGGAGCAGACCTTTGTAGCCTTGATGCAATATTCGACAAGGTGAAGAACAGTCATGGGTTTACCTCCGTGTGGGTCTGAAGAAAGAGTGGCACCCTGTGGCAGACAGTTCCTACTCAGATCCGGATCGGAGATTACGAATATGGAAACTCGTTTGTCGGGGCGCGTCGAGCGCCTGGTTGAAACCGTCGGTATTTCATTTGGCATCGAAAGATGGATAACGTTAATTAGTACATAACGGTCTATCTCAGATATATACTTGGTACACGGTACACGGTACAATATGTGAACATGCTCTCGGACCCCCAACTCAGCGACATTTAGTCCCTCCGCCTGGGACGATACTCTTCTCGCGGTTCCCGCCAGTGTCCCCCACGGCGCCCCCCATTATCCCTCCGGTCTTCTCGCTCGTAACGTGCGCCACGGTCCTCGCGTGCCCGGCCATTCTCGTAGTACGCCTGATCCCTAGCCGCGTAGGCACTAGAACCTGCATACGTACTCATATTCCTCTTCGCATCGCGGCCTATATCGCTTGCACCGTGAGCCCTCTCGCTCAAAACGCGTTCTCTTTTTCGGTTCAGATTTGCATCCGTGCTCAGGTATGCCCCTGCGCGCGGCCCCGTAGGAGGCGGAGGGCCAGCATCCCGAGCATCGACTTTGTTCTGACTCTTATTGAGCTGGTTCACTTCCTTAAAAGCCTCCACTTCCTGCACTATCAGCCCCTCCATCTCAAGTTCCACGGGGCTTGGGTACGGCGGGATGGTGACGCGCATGAAGTCGTACGCTGCCTGCACGAAACCGCCAGGGGGCGGCGCCCACGTTGTAGCAGCCTGCCGCTCGATCTCCGCCATGCACATCACGCGAAACGTGTCTTCCGGCCCGCGTGGTGCTGGAAATCTGCAGTAACATCATAGTAAGAGCCTAAACGAGAAGGTCGGCCTGAAACACTCACCGTGCCCCGATGTGGTTCAGCACCAACCGCTCCGCGCCGCACGCGCGAGCAAACGCGCCAGCCATTGCCGGAGTGCTGTGGCCCCTCGCCACCGCCGTTTCTGTGACGCTCTGCGGTGTGCGGTTCCGCCCCGTACGCTCCTGCGTGTCAATCGATCGCGGGATGCAAGCGTCCGTCGCTTCGTGGATGAGCAACGTAATGCGCGCAGGCATCGGTGGAGTAGCATCAGTCAATAAGGGGTCGGAAGAGGGGAAACGCATGTCGAGGGGTCGTGAGGGCGAGGAAAGCAGTGGAAGGATCCCGGAGGCATCATAGGTGTCTCCTAGGATTACAAGGGTGCGCGGAGGGCGCTCGCGTTCACTGGGCACGTCTGGGTCCACGACCTCGCGGAATACGAAGCCTAGGCATGGATCTACGCGACTGTCAGCCTAACAATGCAGGAGAATCTGGGAGCTCTTACCTCGATGTTCTATTGGACCTGCATCGACCACCAGTCTTCTCCGTCCGTGCGACCCAGCGATCGGGGTGTCCACGATCCCACGCCAAAACCCGTCCGCGTCGCACGCGAAATTGAACCCAGGCGCCTCGCATTCAACATGTTCGTTCCACCCTACCGAATTCTTCGCAGGGGGTCCAGAGGTCAACGAGGATTCGGGCGCATTAACGTCCGGCTCCTCCCCGGGAAACAATAGCTCATGTACCGCGTACCGCGTGTCCGTGTTCGTGTTCGTTGCAGCGCATAGTGTGCGTAAAAGCCGCCGCAAACCACGCGGACCATAGACTTCAACGCGTGGCGGGTCGTCTGGCTCACGGAATGGAGGTCGTAGCCGTGGAATGCCGAGGACGTTACGCAGCAGGGGCAGGAGACCCATCGTATGGTCCGCTGCAGCAAGTATGTCAGCTCATGCTCAGACCAGACAAGTCAATGGGAGACAAAGTAGGCAAAGTAGGCAAAGTGGGCAAAGTAGGCTAAAGTGGAACAAAGTAGATCGTGCGGCGGGAACGCCAGGTAAGAGTTGCAGCACCGTGGAGCGAGGAACTCGTCTGCATGATACAGAAGACCAATTCCAATTGGTTCAAGCATGTATCGCCGAAAACGTAAGGCGTACACCATGCCGGAAGTCCAACGTAGGCACAGTAGCTTGAGGTGCATAGGCCAATTTTGTCCAACGGAGACGTAACATAGAGCGATCCAACATGCACAACTCGTAATGTCCAGAAATAGCTGAATACCTTCCTTGTGTATCAGCTCATTCTACTGAGGCCCTCATCGATCCACTCGTAGGCAAAGGCAAACATATACTTAATCCATCCCAGGAATGCGACAGGCACCAGATTGCTTGGAGAATCTTAGTAGAATCAACATCTACATAGACACGCCAGGCACTCCGCCTGGTCCAGTCACGGTACACGGTAGGTTAGCATGTGCTTGCCTAGTGACGACACGCGACGACACACGTGACAATGGTCCTCGAAAGAACAATAGTTGTTCTCCGATTGACGCATAACAGGTCCTGTAGCCAGAACAACGATGACTGTTCTCCAGATTGACGCATAAGAAGTAACACGACTCTTTGGACAGAGACGATTTGCGAGGCAATGCGGATGGATGGGACCCGTTGACAATATTCGTTCTTCTTGCAAAATACGCAACTTCTGACTAAGTGACACAAATAGAGGAGATAGATCTCAAGCGTGTGCCCCAGCAACGAAATAATAGGAAAGTTTAGGTAACGAGCTCACCATGCATATGAGTGATGAAAATCTTTGTGAGCCTTGTCAACTTGATTCTCCTTGAATCGTGCCATGGCTGCGTCGCCACTTGACGGGCGGTGCCCTCGGCGCAGTCGACCACTGCGAGTAACAGTGGCGAGTAATATTAATTCAGATGACACTTCGTTAGAAAGCAAAGTTGCATATTCTGGCCACGTACTCCATAGCGAGCCGTCTGAGAGGGGATCTAACACAAGGCTGGAACAATTGCGCGTCTCAGTGGGCCCGCCACCGCTGGTCGTGCCAAGAAAAGTGACGGTGATGTCGTTGGACATCCGTTGAAAGCTCGAGCGGCGGTGAAGACAGCGAAATGGAAGTTTTGTGGCAAATGTAGCAGCAGGGGGGACGGTGGTGGTGAGAAAGATAGAGAGACAATGTCGTGCGGGAGCGAGGGCGAGCATGAGTCGAAGGCGCGCTAGGAGACGGGCGGCAATTTGCGCGTACAAGGGACATCACGTGCACATCAACCTGCTAAGCTTTCCTGGCCCGTCGTGAATTTTGTGCTCTACTGGATGCCTTCCCGTAGCCGTTTAGAAACGTTCTAAACTAAATTTCGTCTCTAAATCAGGCCGGCACGTCGGCAAATTGATCTCCGCATACCGTGAGAGCAGAGTGAGCTCTTTCTAAACCTTATATCTGGAAGGGGGGGTCGACCCCCCCTTCCAGATTCTAAACGTCTCTCTAAACGATGATTTCGGTCTCCGCCCACTCGCAATGCCCATCTTTGCCTATATTTGGTGCTGCATATTGCTTACATCATGCTGCCGCTCGTCCTCCGACCCTCTAGAACTTGGTTTGATCATCATCATGTTGCGACGCTACGGTTTCACAAATCCTGCTGTTCCGACACAGTGGGGTGTTTCGCAGTCCGCTTTGTGATTTAGAAGTGCTCCAAATCCTACGGGAAGGCATCCACTTACAGGTCAGCAAAGTTTCACTATCACGGTACTTTTCCATCACGCAGGTAAGATTACCGTCCCAAGATGCCCTTCAATCGTACGACAGGTGTACATGAAGCCCAGGATGAAATAAAGCACAGAATAACTTAGTCGGGCTGCTCTCTGTTAATAAGTGCTGCGCCCAAGAGGTCCCTTGAGGCAAGGAATACTTTCTGCGGGAGACGCGTTCATAGTTCACATTTTTGTGCAAGAACAGAAGCCATGGCAAGCGATTCGGTAAGAGTCCAGAATTGATGTGCGCTCGCTCCTCGCTGATTATTCACTACAGAGGAGACTTCGCATTCGCCGTGATCCGCTTTCAGCGACAATCCTCCAGATATATATACAGAAGCCTCGGATATCCGTGAAAGATTTTTGCTGGTCAGTGATTGATTCACTGCCGGAGTGTAATTGGACTATCTGCGTTAGCTACATTCTTGGCAGCGGATCCGATAGCTGACATGAAATGCTTCTGCACTCTCTGAGTCTACGAATCTCCGGCTATAGCTTGTAGGTAACCAGTGGTGGTTCCTCGAGTTGAGACCCTACCTTGGCAATCCAAACTGGGAAGGACAGCATTCTCAAACCTGCTCATGGATTGCTCCCATACTTTCCTTCTGCTCTCAACTTACTGCATTGATCAGGATGTGAGCTTCTCAGCTCACCACGTACGGCATGGTGCATGTTCGTATGTCTCGTTCCATTTTCCTTTGTACTGGTGTTCGTGGAGATAGTTATATTGGCCGAGGTTATTACAACACCCTGCGCCAAGAACTGCTCATTCCTCCGATATTACAGAGACTTCCAGTCACATAAGTCACCGAACGCATACCACCCTCGGTCCTTCTTCGTCGACTTCTTTCTCTCACGCCGACCTCGACCTTATCTTTTCGGTTATCTCATTCGTATGCGTTCGGCGGGATGTTCTACGCTGTTCCTGGCTGTTCATGCAAGGCATATATATGTCTTCGTTCTAGATCTGTTGGATGGCATTGTTTTAGTATGCCCTTACATCGCTCGGTGGAAGGATCCCAACATGGCTTTTGATTTTCATAATCATCAAGAAGTCGACCGTCATGTCAATCGCGACGTGAATTGCTTGTGTTAGGAGGCTCACACAAGACCTTTTTCGCCTTGTCTATTTTGGTGTCTTCCACAACCTCGAGTTAACTCAGTCGCATACGGTAACCGCCCACAGTGCATCATTTAGTCTAGGGTTCGTCGTCGATCTTACGAACTTAACTGTGCCATCAAGTGCATTCTCGTCACAAGGATATTACTCCAATCGCAAGTGGAGGCCGCGCTAGAACATTGGAAACGGTGGGTGCGGTCCGTAACGCGTCCTCCGATGTTCAGCCGCCGTGCCCACGGGGCTCCACACGACCACCTCCTACCATTTGGGGCACACGTGCGGTTCAGATGAGCGATCCTTCCTTGTCAATGCGGGGTTCCTTTGCGCACCTGACAGTTTCATTCTGCAGCTGGTGCACGATGGTGCATATATAAAGTGTCTGACCTCAGAAGCCGAAGAGCTGGCGAACGCGCGCTCGCATTCGCACCCATTTCGTTGTACCTTTCCCACTTCATCGCAGTGCAGTCTACGATGAGCAAAGTAGGTCTTCAAGGGTTGACGGGTACCGCCCTCATCGCTGCCATTACGTCTGTATGCTCGACTGGTTTCTGGCTTTTCGGATACGATCAGGGTGTCATGTCTGGCGTCGTCATCTCCAAGTACTGGCTCGACCAAATGGGTAACCCCAGCACACTAATGGTCGGCACCATCACCGCACTCTATGACGTCGGAGCAGTCTTCGGTGCTATCGGTGCCGCTTTGACCTCTGAGCCCCTTGGCCGCAAGCGGACGCTCATCTTGGGTTCGATCATTCTCATCGTCGGTACTGTAATCATGGGTACCTCGTATGAACGCGTTCAGTTTATGTTCGCGCGTGTTATAACGGGTTTTGGTAAGTCACACCACTGCTCTTCTCTATTCAGTAGAACCTGACGCGCTTGTCTCAGGTATTGGATACATCACTTCAGGTTAGCCTTCAGCGTCTGTACGTCTGCCGCTGCAGCTCATCTTGCCTAGTCACCCCCGTATACCAAAGTGAAGTGTCCGTGCCCGAGCACCGTGGATGGCACGTCTGCTGCCAGCTTACGAGCATGCTGGGCGGCCTGATGCTCGCATACTGGATCAATTATGGCTTCTACTTTCACCACAGTGGCGTGCAGTGGCGCTTTCCGCTGCTCTTTCAATGCGTGTTCGCCATTTACATCATTCTCGTTACCATCTTCCTCCCTGACTCGCCCCGTTGGCTGATTCGACACGACGACACTCCTGAACGGGGAGAAATCGTGCTCGCTAAGCTGCGCAACCTCCCAACGGACCATCCCATCGTCCAGCGCGAGAAGGCGGAGATCGTCGAGGCTATAGAGCTTGAATCTAAGGAGGAAGGGTCGTGGGGTGATCTGTTCAAAGATAACGGTATCATGGGCAATAAACGCTTCTACCTGGCGCTAGGAATTCAATTTATGCAGCAGATGACTGGTATGTGTGTTCCGTACCTTTTCTGATTTGAAAAGCTGATTGTCTCTGCAGGCATCAATATCGTCACGTACTATGCACCGACACTGTTCCAGCAAAGTCTGGGTATGAGCCAGAAGATGGCGCTCTTCCTCGGCTGCTGGCTGCAAGTCTGGTATATTGTTGCATCCTTCCTTACGGTGCGCTTGCTCTGTTATGATATGAGGTGGCGTTTTGTGACGTGCTATCCAGTGGTTCACCATCGACCGAGTTGGACGCCGTAAGCTCTGGATATCGATGGCCATTGGACAATGTGTCGTCCTTGCTCTCGAAGCGATCTGCGTGGCTATCGACAACTCGTCTTCCTCTATCGCTGCTGTCTTCTTTGTCTTCATGTTCGAGGCATGTTTCACTTGGGGTGTGTTTTCACTTAATGATCCTTCGGTGCTCTGGCTAACGCCAACATCTCGGAACAGGCTGGATGGCGACTGTGTGGGTCTACCCTGCTGAAGTGCTACCCCTGAAGATCCGCGCGAAGGGTGCTGCGCTCGCGGCCGCCGCAGACTTCCTCGGAAACTTCCTCGTGCGTCTGTCTGGCGTTCGTCATCATACGCCATCTAACAGTGGCATTCACGCCGCAGGTCGTCGAGATCACTCCTCCTGCCCTCCGCAATATCGGATACAAGACCTATATCATCTTCGCGGTGTTGAATCTCGTCAACGCCTGCGTTGTATGGTCATTCTATCCCGAGACTGCCGGGCAGACGCTCGAGTCGATTGACGTTCTTTTCCGCATTGAGAAGCCTGCAGGCTCCGATGATGAGCTAGTACCCACGCCCAAGCCGTGGTATGGTATCCTACAATGGAGCATTGTTCAACGTGCGCGCGGTATCAGGGAGAAAGTCAAGGCGGAACGCGCTGCAGCTATTGCGGGTCAGGAGGAGTCGGCGTTCGCATCCGGCGTGGATGTGGGCGAGAAGATAGGGGTTGACGAGAAGCGTGAAGCGAGCGTCTCGGAGAAAAGGAGCGAAGAGCAGATTGAGACAACGTAGACGGTTTGCACTCCGTGTTGGCCCCGGGACATGTCCCTGAGGACCTTGAATAGAGTATCTATGTAAGCACTGTATCGGTAGTGTACTTAGTGTGAGGTAATGTAATTCAACATGACCTCAGATGCGATGCCCGACTCTGTCATGATTACCCAAAACCATCTGCGTCTTGGGCACCAGGCGACGATACTATTAACCACATTGACGGACAGTGATCGGCGGCGCAGCTTCCATAAATGGAAATTCCCGCTCTTTCCGCAAGTCATCCTTGCCATCATTTTTTGCGGTAAACGTAACGGCACAAGCTCGCAACTGTACTCGGACAGCCCGTACTAGGCCTGCATCCTTGCCATCATTCATATGTGAGTCGCAGTGACCTATAAACCTGAAAGGGCGACGTTTCGAGTATCCGATATACTTTTATTTTTTTTACTAGCGAATGGAGGGCAACGTATACCTACTAACGTAAATGGTGAGAACTGGGCTGGCGGCGACGTGTGACCGAAACTGGTCCTTACTGCTGCGAGTCGTAGCCACAATCGTGCCTGCACCCAGAGCTCTTGAATGTTTCGATATCCTTTGCTGATTTTCGAGCATCTCCATCTGGACCAGGAGATAATATTGCTCGGTGAGGAGCCGAATCACTGTAGCGAGCATTGGCGCGCTCTGGCCCAGTTTGTAGGGCTTTTCGCGAGCCCGCGCTAGAGTCTGGACACCCTATGAGACACATTGGACGACCTATTTCCCGCGTTGAGACTCCTGTCTGGTTGTGAAATCAGTATAGGACCGGACTTTGAAGATCGAATCAACCAGGTAATCTTCCAAAAAAAGATACGACAGTCTGGAGCAGATTTTATCTCACATTGCCTTCAGGTTCTTGCCCAAAACCTCGTCACTCAAATAGATGGAAGCGCTTTCATCAACATGCATGGCGCGTGCGCGAGGTCAGGTTCTCAAGTAGAGATTGAAAAAATGTCCCCAGTCTCTACTACTGGTGCATTTCACGCGGCTTAATGGCAACCGACCTCTTCCCCAATATTTTCCACTTATCCTGGATACAGGGTGACTATTCGGACACCGCCATGCTTAGCCTGGTATGACCGTCCCTTCGTAGTCGGCCAGGGGTTTGATGCGCTGTATGACCTCTCATCAGTTATGACCTCTCATCAGTTATGACCTCTCATCAGTTATGACCTCTCATCAGTTATGACCTCTCATCAGTTATCGGGTCACTATTCCCCTTTCACAAATTTTCTGCATCCACCGATTGCTACAAGACATCCCGGGGCTCTATCGAGGAGTCATTTGCATCTGTTCTCCACCCACTTTTGTCTCTACACAACCTCAAGCACCTAAGTCTCCATTTTACGCCCAGAGGCTGACATGGCGAGACGTGCACTTCTTCAATGTAGCAGCGGCATGGCCCAAGGAGGAAATATTTTGGCTTAGCGATGACGATGACACAGGAATCCGACCCAGTGTGCTACTGGAGTTCGCGAGATGTTGACCCTATCTTGAGGTACTGAAACTGCTGGTGCTGGACCTTTGCTCGCGCGTTCTTCCTCCCGCTGGCTGGCACCCAGTGCCGCATGGACTCCGCAACTTCGATGTTACATTTCGTACGAATATCACAATTGAGTCCCCACTTCAAGTCACATACTTCATTGATGCACTATTCCTGGACTTTGATCTATCCGAAGCTTTGTGCAAGTACTACGCGTCGTCCAGGTCATATGCTGAGATCTGGGAGAAGGTGCTCCATTTGCTGCGTATGTTCAGGCAGAGGAGACAGGAAGAAGATCGGGCATGATCGCGTTGGTAGCGAGAGCATCGAAGGGATTGTTGTTGCCGTCGGCGCGTCGTTCTATGCTCTGAGTATGCGCGTGTTAATTAAACGATGTTCTAGGGGAAGCAAACCTGAAGTCCTGACGTATTTGCGAGTCCCGATATCGAAAATCCAGAATCTGTGTCGTGGTAGCGCGAGTCATTGCGGGAAGGCAGCGAGGAGTCGGATACCACTAGAAGGATACGATTTACGTTCAGCACATTCGGGATGACAAACTGCACGACTTGTTCGAGGTTGCATAGTGAGGACGTCAATGTTCTGCACCAATGGGCTTGATCGAGAAGCAGTGACACAACACGAACTTGCGAAGTTCCTTGAGTCATCTGTGTTCAAGTATTTGGATCTGGAATTACCGATGAAAGGAACGGTCACGCTAATTGTGAAATCGCTGAGTGTTCATATCAATTAATGCAGTAATACGCAGTACATACAGTGAGCGAACCTCGGGAGAGACCTTACGACTCAGCAGGTCAGTCTCGAGGTGCTTTATGGGCTTGATAGAACCCGTAGTCTGTCCCAATTGGAAATGAGAGCGGAAAGAAAATTTGAGCTTGCTTACTAGGGAAAGGCCGCCTGCCGTCGGCTGAGACCTTGCTTGCTGAGCGTGACTTGAGGTATGTTTGGGTTCGGAGACGATTGGGTAGCACGTGACGTTTGTAACGAATTGCATAAGAAACATGAAGTGGGCGGGCATGAGGAAGAGTGCGTACACTGTGACACCTTACATTGGAAGGCAATGTAAACAGGAATGATGGCCAGTGGTGGACATCGTTATGAAAACCAGCCCGCATGAGGAATGACAGCAACTTTGGGATTATTGGCAAGCGGCAGTAGATAAACATATAGAAAAAGATCTAAGCTACAACGGTGTGTGCCCCAAAAAAAACCCGACCTGCGGTGAAAAAAAAGGGCGCAAGAGACGCTGAGCGCGTAACAAAAGGTACGACTGAGTGATGACGAGACGGTCGATCATACCAAACCAGCCCGCGCGCAATGATTGAAGACGGGAGGCCGAGTAATGTCGGAAGCTGCCACTGCTGGGTAAATTTTTTAAATTTTCGAATACATATCCACAAAAACCCACAAGGCATACAGAGAACCACTACTCTGTTGGTGAATAACGAACACGAAAAGCCGTAGTGACTTTGCGATGGAGCCGTAGTGACTTTGCGATAGAGGCCCAAGCGGAGAAGAATGGAAAATGCATCGGGAGTAGCCGGGTAGATGAAAACAGGCCTCAAATAAGAGGGTGGGAGAGACCTTGCAAGCAAGGTTACGACAAGATTTAAATTCTCGAAGCACATCACTGAGGCCTCGTTAGATCTGCAATCGTGCAATTGTCGAAGCGGACGGAAAGGGTCATTCAGAATTGTTACCCGATTCCTGCCAGCTTACCTAGAGGCGAGTGTTATTGAAGTCGCAGCTGGCAGTCAAGGTTGCCGTGAAACGCAATCGACAACGCCGGCGCTTTGTTTATGGTCACGGTCGCTGCTCGCTTCTTGAACATGCATAAGTGCTGCGAACCGCCGCTAATGGCATAGTTACAAAATTCGCGGTCGACGTTCTGCGTGCTACAGCATCGATTGACAGAGAAGCTCTCAGCTGCTGCAGAGCGGCTGTGCTATATATATACCGGAAGTTGAACTCAAGCTTTCTCTCAAAACGTGACCAATGCCTGCTCACCGAGCTCTAGAGTGCTACGATATTCTGCAGCTAATTTTTGATCACTTTCTGCTTCCAGACGATGCGGACGTTGTTGCAGCTCGGGCGTGTCGGCGCACGCTGGCTAGCGCAGCTCGCGTCTGCCAAGCGTTCTCAGACCCTGCGTTGAATTCCTTGTGGGAGACGTTGGACGACTTGTTGCATGTACTGAACGTCTTGCCTTGTGTTGAACTCCAACAAGCACCTCAAGACGACGTAGACATATACGTAAGGATGCCACCGCTGTATATTCATAGGCGTGCTGTCTAACCGTTCCCCTGGCAGGTCCTCACTGCCGAAGTAGAGCCAGCCGACTGGGAACGCTTTCAGCAATATGCTAAACGTATACGTAGAGTTGCATTCACTGTGGCAACTTCAGTGGCGTCTCCATGGTCAATACTCCTACATTTAACTCATCTGAACAACCATCAACCTCTCTTTCCGAGACTTCGGCACCTGGCATGGACTCAATCTGCGCCATTCGATTATTCCCTCCTGTACTTGGTCTCTCCGTCTCTTCTTTACTTGTCGTTCGCCATCAACGGGATGTGGCCATCGATCGATCAAGGACAGGACCTTGAGAAAGAACACGCGATCACTCATCTTTTCCGCGCGGTCTGCTCAAAGTCCCCTTCTTTGCGTCACATTTCTACGAAGGGCCTGGGAATTCTCCAAGCAGGTCAGGCATTCGCCATGTGCAGGGAACTCAGGTCACTGGACATAGACCCAGCTTTCATCGACGTGCCTCTCCTGCATGCGCTCTCGTCCTTACCGAATCTCGTCCGGCTGGACATATCTTCTTATGTATATTCAGGAGAAGAATCCCACTTAAATAGGTTTCCCGTGCTTCAGGAATTGACCATCAGAGGTTCAGTAATGCTCGCTGTACAGGTTGCGAACACCGTATCCTCTCTACTCCTGCACACGCTCTCACTCGAAATCACGTTTGACGATCCCGACCTTGGGGATAGCGAAGAGTTGGCCCATGCGCTCTGTAGGCTCACATCCGTGATCAGCAAACGGTTCCCCATCGTGCGGTGCTTCTCCGCGAATATTGTCGCGGGATTTAGACAGGATTCCGAGGAGCTCGCACCACTCGTACAACCGCTCACGGCTATGCACACACTTGAGCATATTAAACTGCGGTGCAATAAGAAGCTGGTGTGGGGCGACGAGGACTTCATAGCTCTCGCAGCAGCGTGGCCGAAAGCCAAAGACGTCTCGTTGCTCTTCTTCGCCGGCCTCGAAGACATCGAAACCCCGGTGCTGCCGCGCGTGCTGCTCGAGTTCGCGAGGCTCTGCCCGAATTTGGAGACCCTCGAGCTGCCTGTGGTGGACTTCCGCTCGCACTCGCTTCCTCTGTTGGAGAAACGCCCGGCACCGCATGGGCTACGCACCCTCTACATCAGCAATGTAACGAATCGCTTGATCCAGGACCCATTTCAGGTCGCGCGTTTCCTCGACTCCGTTTTTCCTAACCTCGCCGCGCACGAGATGGCCACGTCAAACCTGACGCTGGTGATGCGCATGCAGCAGGAGCAGGCGGGATGGAAGCAGGTCGTCAAGCTGCTGACGATCTTCCAGCAGGGACGGAAGCCAAACGCAGGTCATGATCACACGCACAGCGAGATCCTGTGGAAGATGGTGCGCCGTCGGTCGCAGTAAAGCGTTTCTTCTGATATCACGCACTATGTGAAGATTAATTATCTGTAAGCGTCGAGCTCAGCACTATCCTCGGGCGTTGTGTGGTGTACTCCACCTTCTTGACAAGTACTGAATATGCGCATCGCCGACACGATTACTTACGTGATGCACAAAGGGCTGTATACTGATATCATCTGCATATAAGACGTAGTCAAGCCCAGAATCCCAAAGCTACGGTAACATATATAGAAACCTTGGGTTCCAGACAACGGCCGACGTGAGCACGCGTGAACGGTAGCCTAGTATGTCTGTCCGAGTGTTCCATCCAGCTCTTCCGACTTCATAAAATCAGCACCTCCTCCGGGATCATGAAGGGCGTTCAGGACATGGCGTAAGGTGAGTATTTCCAGTAACTGCAGATAGAGAGAAAACAACACGGATGTCAGAAGGTCGATGGGAGGTAACGTGCGAGAACGTGACGACGTACCCTGAATGCCGCAATGCGATCATATAAGGAATGAGCACCTTACGCAGAGCCCAGGGCATCGGGGGCCAGATGTCTTTCATTTCCGGCACCGTGTGGCTTCAAATAAAAAATGTGTTCAATTGTAGACCGCCGTTGGAAGAGGAGAGAAACCGCAAAGGAATGAGCAAATTGAGTAAACGTGAGTGCGAAACAAAATTGTTCGGGGCGCATTAGGACAATACGAAGTGGATTCAGAGACACCGTGCTCCGCGAGAATAGTTGTCTATCACTTACCTGCGCATGTACGGAACCAGTAACGTCACGTTCCCGTGAGAGCGGGCATACGTCTCAAGGTCCTTGTCGAGCTTGCGCATCTCGTCAGCAGTAAACCCAGCAGCGACAAGGTTCTCCGCAGAGATATGAGCGACCTCATCGTCGAGATGCTCATACTGCAGTGTGAATTCAGCTTAATCTGGTATCAAGATTACGGATACGACGTACCAACGGACCCTTCAATTTTTCCATCATCCCGCGCAACTCGGCAGCGTCGAACGCCCTTCGGTCCTCGCGTGCCCGCTTAATGTACGCAAAGAGCGATTCAAGTCCCGCATGCACTACTTTGTGCTGCTCGATCTCGCGTGACATGTCGAGTCGAGGCTGCAGGACCAGGAATACGAGATGCTCTGTAAATCGACACGCATCAGCTTCTCATCCACTTTGATCGTAGGGAAGAATAATCGTTGGCAGACTTTCTCTGCGATGCGTCCTCGACATCGCGAGATGTTGTTCTCGAGACGTATAGCAAAGAGAATAGACAGACGCACCTTCAGATTCGTGGTGTTCGTGGACGGAATGCGCCCACGCTTCACAGTAGCCCAGAAAGTTCGACAGGTCTCTAAGGGGCGGATTCTCAAGATGAGTGAGTATGCTGTCGTACCCGCACTTGAACGTGATGTGCGCTAAGATACCTGAGAACTGGTGCCAGCAAAATGAAAAGACTGCTTGCGTACCATTAATCATTTGATACTGCAAGAAGCCATGAGGGTCAGTCGGAACGGGGATACTCATGGTGTGCGCGAAGTCCGTGGTAAAGGAGACAGCGAGGAGGGGTTGATGCAGACCAACAAACTGTGTTTTATACCTTGCGCGCGACGGTCAACTTCCACAATGCCGTACATGCGACCCTGAGCTAAAAAGGTATAGCAAGTGGTGCCGAAGATCTCAGATATGCAGCAGTTGGTTTGACAAAGGCAGGTTACGGCGAGGCACAGATCACTGTCTCTGTAGTTAGCGACCAACGAAGGAGAGTAATTTATTGAGCAAATTCATTTCGACCAGGGAGAGCATAATGAATAATCTTCCGTCGAAGAGTCAGTGTGTATTATATGGTACCAACAAAAGGCAGGAGCGAGTTGGGAGCGAGCGTTGTCAAAGTTGTCGAGCGTGCACCTTCCGAATGGAGATGTGGATGAGTAGTAGTAAGCCGAAACACCTCTCGGCGTAGTCTCGCAAGCCAGACGTATATGCTGTGCCGTTCCTCGGCTCCGCCTCGGAGGCTAGTACCAATGTCGGACATCGAAAAAACCACTACAGCCAGCACAGCTTAACGTCTGGTGACTTTCGGTACAGCGGATGTAGATAACCCCCAGGCGCCGCCGGCCATCCCGTAGTCGCCTCCCCTTCTCCCGCTACTCTACACTCACTGATCCTGTCTGTATGTTGTCTACTATTTATGCAATACTAGGATGCAAAATTGCCATTTATATTATCCCTCCATGTGAACGGCGACCTCGAATGCAAGCATGCACAGTATAAACTGACGGGCCCTTGAGACCGTGCAAAAATGGTGGCAAATTTTATTTCTGGTGTCTATGCCTGACTATGTGTCTGCTCAAGCCCTCCTGAGGTGTCGGGGGGGCAATTCGGAGGTGGAGACGAGAAGGTTGGGGTCATCTACACCCGCCGCACTGAAAGTCACCAGATGTTATAGCACGGAGGCTGCAGTGGTTTTTTTGATCTCCGACATATTGGTTTTTTCGGGTACATCCATGTAACGTCTGGAATCGAGACTAAAACTGTGACAGCAAAGACCATATCGATAGGCCCTGATAGGCCCCCCCAAAAAAATCTGTTCACAGTGCGGACTACGAAATCAAACACTCCGGAAATTCAGGTGGGTCGCACCGAGTGTAGGGTCGATTGTTCGGATTTGATTGGTGCTCTGCAGGTGCTCATGTCACATCACCTCGGTTTTTAGTTGTACTTACGCCAGAGTAGTCGGCCCCATTTGCAATAAGTTAGTAAAGTCTTGTAAGTAGATTGTAGTGTCTTGGGCTGCCTGGATGTTGGTCGGGGGTGTTCTGGTAGCCCTAGCCCATACTCCGATGACAATCTCAATGCAGATGGCAATGTCGTGCAGGCTGCAAGTACTACTATTAAGATGTTCGATGCGCTGAATGTTCCATGCAATCATCAGTGTCAAAACAGGATGGCGCTGCGGTGCCAGTCGGATGTTGGGCGTCGGGCACTGGGCGCCAATTGTGTTATCCCACTGCTGAATTACGGGAGGGTTTCTAATGTCAACAAATGTCTCTAATGAAACCTAAGAATATTTACTAATTGGATTTCAATGATCTGAAAGTTGGGGCCCTTCGGCTGGACGTGATGTGACGAGGTGCCCGCTGGGTGCCAATTGAATCTGAACAATCAACCACCCTCTCGGGTGGCACCACCATGCACTGTGGTGCTGCTAAGTCGCGCCGGCTGGGCCACCCGCGTCCAGATGCCGGCAAGATGCGAAGGTCAAGGTTCCACCTATCAGGAGCTTTTCCTTTGCAGACCACATCAGGAAAACCCAACTTTTACTTAAAGGTGTTCTTATGTGACTTAAATGCACTTATGGGCCTTAAATAAGGTAAAAAAGAACAAAAAGTTCATAAGTCATATTTCCTCAGAGACTTAAAAGTCGACTTTTGGGATCTTATGAGCCTTAAATAAGGCAAAAAAGGACAAAAAGTCGGAGTAAGTCCTATAAGTAAAAGTTGGGTTTTCCTGATGTGCCCAAAGGATGATGTTTTAACTAGGGGCCTAACAATATGATCCTTGCTGGAACACAACAGTAGTGAAGCTGAACATACTAGGGCACAAATACATTAGGGAGACATAACATCTTCTGTAGTAATTTGTAGCAGGTTTCACTTATGGTCGACTCTCTTTAGCTCTGCTGCCTGCAATACCCATTTGTAAATCGTCCTCAGCACTAAGTCTAGTTCTGCAATACTTACATTACACATTGCTATGAATTACGTTTCAGTAGAAATGGTCTGCAAAAGACTGTTAACAAAATGAATAACACAGCATAGGGTTTGTGAGACATTCAGAATACCTGATTTACAGAGAACTCCTGATATTATCATGTTTAGAATAGAACAGCGTGAAGGAATATGCATCACACCTATGTGAGCCTTGAAGTTGAAGAGATCTCTGATAGTTGACATTAAAACATTAAAAGCTAGACATATTTTGACCGCTGCCACCTCAATTTAACCTAGAGTAAAATCTTCATGAGCATTAGCAAGTCCAAGTTGCTCTACATATTAGAAGGCCAATAAATGAGTTCGAAGTATTAATGATGTACAAAAATATTGCGTTGTTCAAGATTGACTACATCAGTCCCTCAGATAACTATGCAAGCATACTGTGCAATTACAACCAATCTGACCAGTCACGCATCACAGCGATTTTCAGAGACCTTGCTAATAATTTTTTCTGGATTTTTGGACATTTTTGAGATTTTTGGGACTGTCCAAAAAAGGTAAATGTTGGCTGGATTGGTCGTAATGAGACAGTATCAACATAGCAAGAACACATACTCGACCTTGCCTATTAACTTGTTTGTTGTGCCAACAACAGCTTTCTCAGGCATGAGATAAATTATGGTCGGATGACATGGTATGTGGTAGCAGCATGCTTGTAGTGTTGAAATCCGGCGTCTGAGGAGTTGCTGAAGCACGTTCGCTGAACGTGCGTTATACCTTTGGTTTGGCTTTTCTGTTTTCTCTTATAACTACTCAACGCCTCGGCTCTACCGCTAGCTATATTAGGTAGTGTCGAGTGGCTTATATACCATATGTTTGCTCGCCGGATGCCCCAGAGAATTCTACTCCTGGTGCATCTGTGTACGTACCCCCTTCCTATTGTATTCACTCGTACTTACAGCACCTGCAGTGACCGTCACATCACTGACAGGTATGAATAGAGAATTCTACTCCTGATGCATCCGTTGACCATCGTGTCACTGACAGGTATCTCTCCAGTCTGTCTGCCCCTCCGCTGTGCCCACTGCACTTACTCGACTCTGCCGTTTCAACCCTGAGTGGGTCGCCCCATTGCTACTCGCATTTCGATAGGTTATGAGCCCCGCCATTATCAGCTGAGGAGTCTCCCTTACATCACGCACACACCCCAAATTTTATGGTGAAGCACTGCTTCCGTTATCAGCAAACTGTTACCGTTGAACACAGTTCTTACTCGTTCACCTCTCGTCGTCTTCTACAGCAACAGGGTTGTGAAGTTTCTGACCTACATGATCTTGTTCCATATCCTGCTCCATTACCCTTTGCACACCTCTCACGTATTGACAGCTCACTCTTCTCCCCTGACTCCATCAATATTTCATTGCCACTATCACCCTCTTCATCACCATCAAGCTCCCGTGCACCATCTCTGCAGCCTATCATGCCTATCCCTCACCGTCTACCCCGTGTCATGACCACCACCATCGCCAAGGAATTTTCTGACATCCTGAAGCTGGCCGCTGACAGATCCAATTATCGGATTTGGTTGGGCCACATCAAGTGTGCCACTGGTGGTTGCGACACCGATGAGCTTCTTGATCGTGCTGCTGACCCGACATCTGATGTGGAGCGGAAGCTTAATAAGCAGATGCTTAATGCGATAACTGGAAAGTTCCATGACTCACTGTTCAAGAAGTACCTGAATGTCAAGAAGGTACATGAAGTTATGACTGGCTTGAAGGTTGAATTCGGAACTTCGACTGCTGCATCCGAGGCCTGGATGAAGGCAAAACTTTTCTCACTTAGGTGCTCCGATGACCATAAGGTCCATCAGCACTTAGACCAGCTTGCCGAGCTCAAGGAGAAGCTGTCAGAGATGAATGTCAAGATCGAGGACTGTACTTACATCAATGCGATTACCACATTTATCCCTTGTTCATTCGCATCCACCGTCACTGCAATCACTACTGCTGTCGACATTTTCAATTCGACACTTGCACCTGGTGCTGCTTGCAAGGTCGTCACATCAACAGAAATAGTTACCACTCTTCGTGCGGAGGCTGATTTCCGCTCGGTGTTGAAGTCTGGCGATAAGACCACAACAGCCAGTGCCGCCATCACTGGCGGTTGTGGAGGAGGCCGAGGGCGTGGCCGTCATGGTTATAGAGGTCGTGGCAATGGCTCGAGCAAAGGGAATGTGCCAAAATCAGATGATGATCTTACCTGCTACAAGTGTGGTGGAAAGGGGCATCGTGCACCCAACTGCCCATTGAAGAAGCAGTATTATCAGCGCTCAAAGGGGAAATCGGAGGCTGCTGCGAGCAGCTCTGGTTCCACTGATACAAAGCCCAAGGCAGATGGGAAGCTGAAGGACAATGTGAAGGATACTTCTGCATCGACTGTCGCTGTACAGTCCGTCTCGTCCGTGCATATTGAGGAAGCCTGGAGTGCTTCCATGGTGTTCTCTGCTCCTCTCGAGGAGATTGTGATTGACTGCGCTGACCTTGCAGCCCAAGACGAAGTCCAGATCTCGGAGACTTACCATGCCTTCGCCAGAGTGGCCGAATCCGATCATCGAGTCGACATTTTTGACACTGGTGCATCGCACCACATGACGCCGCATCTTGATCGGCTGTCGAACTTCTGCACCACTGCGCCACATCAGATTCGTGCCACAAACTCAGAGATCTTCTACTCGCATGGTGTGGGTGACCTGCTAATGCGTCTTCCTGCCATAAATGGTGGCAGGCATATTCGGCTGAAAGGGGTTCTGCATGCACCTGCTATGCACGCCACACTTATCTCGTTAGGCCTTCTCGATGAGGCCGGGTTTGCCTGGCTAGGCCATGAAGGCACATTGACAATTTCGAACAGGGAAAATGATGTCATTGCGAGCATTCCACATGAGGACAATCTTTATAGCATTTTTTATGACTCTACATCCCTGGCGTCAGCTGTCGAGTTATCGCTTTTCAAAATTCATAAGTGGCTCGGCCATGTCAACTATGCATACCTCAAAGCCATGCTTCGTCATGATCGCATCGCTGGCATCACTCTTGATCCTCAACGTGCTGATAAGACTGAATGTAGGACATGCCTTGTTGCAAAGGCATGCCACGCCCTCATTGCCACGGTACATCAATCACCGTTGGCAGAGAAGTTTGGCGAACATCTTCATATGGACGTGTGGGGGTCTGCGTCAGTGTTTACCATTGATTGCTGCAAGTATTGTCTTACCCTCATAGACGATGTGACTTGCTGGCTCAAAATGCCGCTTATGCGTGTGAAATCTGAAGCATTTAGAAAATATGTCAGTTTCGAAGTGCACCTGCAAACACAGCACGGCGTGCGCACCAAGATCCTGCAATCTGATCGTGGCGGCGAGTTCCTGTCTGCCAATATGGATGCGCATCTTGAGTATGCCGGTACTGTTCAAAAGTTGACTGTTCATGATACACCAGAACATAACGGTGTAGCGGAACGCACACACCTAACCATTTTTGATGGCATGCGCACCGCGCTCGCTGGGTCCGGTCTTCCGAAGTGGCTATGGGGTGAAGCTCTTGCTTACATTGTTTATGTCCATAACCGCACGGCTTGCCACGCACTGCAGGGAAAATCCCCTTTTGAAGTCCATTTTGGCCACACTCTGGATGTCTCAAATCTGCATGAATGGGGGTCAGTTGTGTTTGTCAAGGTAGATACAAACTCGAAGCTCAATGTGTGCAGCTGCGAAGCACGCTGGATCGGTCCCGATCCTACCTCGAATGGATGCCACATTTATTGGCCCAAGGAGAAAAAGATTTCTGTTGAGAGAAATGTCATTTTCAGCACAGACTCTCCACGTGTTGAGGAGGAGCACGATATCGATATAGGACCTACCATTCAAGTTTCCGACACTGTTCCGCATTCTTCTAAATGACCTCGGCCTGATTCTGAACCTGGAAAATCCCCGTCACTCGAACCCAGTGAAATTCGTGAGCCTGTTGATCCTGATATTGTCACGGGCAAGTGTGAGTGAAAGCCGAGCACGAAATTGCGTGAAATTGCTTCTGGCCGAGCTGAAGGTTCCCTCATGGACATTAGCATTGACAACGACGAAGAATGCGAGGTGGTCGCATACTCCGTAGGCACCGCTGCATCGGATTTCCTAGAGTTTGATCCTCACTCTGTTGCTGAGGCAAAGCATCGTCCAGACTGGCTGAAATGGCAAGAGGTGATGCATGATGAGATTCGTCGCCTAGAGTCGAGAAAGAGCTAGGTATACGTGGATGCACTGCCGCGTTCATCAGGTCACAACATCATTGGGTCGAAATAGGTTTTTCGCACCAAGCGTGATGCATGCGGAGAGGTCACAGGTTATTGCGTGCACTTAGTCACCCAAGGATTCACGCAAGTCGAAGGCATCAATTATTTCTCTGATGACACCTTCGCCGCAGTATGCAAACTCGCGTCCGTGTGCATTATTCTCTCTGTCACCGCGCGCAATGGCTGGTACACCCACCAAGTCGATGTCAAGAGTGCTTACCTCTATGGCAAGTTGTGCGACGATGAGAAAATCTATATGCGGCCACCGCCAGATATCGAACTCGACAGGATATCCCCTGGACAACTACTACTATTGCTCATTGCTATCTACAGACTGAAGCAGTTGGGCCGACACTGGTACATTCGACTCCGCGAAATTCTTGAAAGCTTCAAACTCATTTGCCTCGAGCACGATCATGCCGTTTTCTACCGTCGCCACCCAGATGGCGAAATCTCCATCATATTCCTTCATGTCGATGACATGACTCTTGTTTGCTCTCTCCTAGCCAACCTACTTCACCTCAAGGATATGATCTGATCGAAACTGGAAATTACCGACAACGGCGAGCTGCACTGGCTGCTCAGAATTGAGATCCGGCATAATCTCGAGAAGCACACCATCGCACTGTCGCAGTGCGCGTATATCGAGTCCATAATTGCTCGCTACAGTTTTGCTGATGCAAAGCCACTCTCCCAGCCTATGGATACCCATGCCCACCTATCTGTCAACCAGTGCCCTGTGACCACTGCGGAGTATGCCATCATGCACGACAAGCCATACCTCGAGGCACTCGGAGCACTACAGTATGTCTCTGTCACTACCCATCCTGACATTACTTTCGCCGTCGGACAGCTCACCCAATTTGGTCGGAACCCGGACATCGTGCACTGGAATGCTCTCAAGTGTGTTTACCAGTACCTCAAAGGTACTGCGGACCTATGGCTTGTTCTCGGTGACTCGGAAGACAACAACATCATTGGCTACTCTGACGCTGATGGTATGAGCACGGAGGGACGCCGCGCTGTTTCCGGCTACATTTTTATGCTGAACGGTGGCACTGTCTCATGGTCTTCAAAGTGTCAAGATCTCGTCACCTTGTCGACAACCAAAGCTGAGTACATCGCACTCACATATGTCAGCAAAGAAGCACTGTGGTTACGCTCATTTGTTATTGAATTATTCGGCAATCCTGAACACCCCATTCCTCTTCACTCCGACAATCAGTCCGCCATCACACTTTCGAAAGACAATCGTTTTCATGCATGAACAAAACATATCGACATCCGTTTTCATTTCATTCGCTACGCCATTGCAGATAACAAGATCAACCTCTCGTACTGTCCTACCGAGGACATGATCGCGGACATTCTGACGAAGGCCTTGCCTTCGATGAAGAGCAAACACTTCACTTTGTCAATAGGACTCTCGAAAGTTTGAGGGGGAGTGTTGAAATCTGGAGTCCGAGGAGTTGCTGAAGCATGTTCGCTGAACGTGCGTTATACCTTTGGTTTGGCTTTTCTGTTTTCTCTTGTAACTACTCAACGCCTCGGCTCTACCACTAGCTATATTAGGTAGTGTCGAGTGGCTTATATACCATATGTTTGCTCGCCAGATGCCCCAGAGAATTCTACTCCTGGTGCATCCGTGTACGTACCCCCTTCCTATTGTATTCACTCGTACTTACAGCACCTGCAGTGACCGTTGCATCACTGACAGGTATGAATAGAGAATTCTACTCCTGGTGCATCCGTTGACCATCGCGTCACTGACAGGTATCTCTCCAGTCTGTCTGCCCCTCCGCCGTGCCCACTGCGCTTACCCGGCTCTGCCGTTTCGACCCTGAGTGGGTCGCCCCGTTGCTACTCGCATTTCGATATGTAGAAATCAGATGAATGAAGTGAGGTAAATGACAGGACAAACAAATACTATGGCCCACATGCCAGTGTTCTAGAAGCATCTGCACGAGGTCACACCTGAAGTGAGAAGAAGGACAAGCTGTATTCAGTGACAGTGTTTCATGCATAAAGTCAAGCCTCCACACACCAAATGTAAGCAGCCTAGATTCTTACACTCACCAGAGCTGCAGTAGACTCAATGTATAGCCAAAACTAAGCTAAGACTGAGTGTGTACAGCTAAATGGTAAGTGTAAATGATTAAAAGCAACTTGCTTAGGTAATCAGTAAGCAGTCCATAATGAGTAACAGTCGTCAGAATTGACCCGTTACACCCTCCCCCACCAGAAACAATTCAGGGAGAAAGAAAGGAAGAGGAGGGGAATAAATGGGGATATCATAAGGTAAAGTGTACCATGTGTAGAGAAATAAAGAAAAGTGTATACCATAAATAATTGTGCGATGCGTGCACTCCCTCCCACTCCAGAAAACCCGTCAGCTCCACCTCAGGTTACAGTTCCATAGTGTTGCAGGGTCCAGTCCTGGGACTGGTCCAGGACTGCCTCAGGATCAGGACTGGACCATATAGAACTGCTATCTGGTCCAGTCCTGTACTGGTCCAGTCCTGATCCTGGTCCTGGTCCTGAAGATTTTCAGAATTCTCAGGACTGTCAGGACTGGCCCAGGACCAGTTTAGGACCAGTCCTGGATTGATACTGTTTAGGTGCTATTAAAGCCTGTTTTTCATCAAAATTTAGGTCAAAGCTGAGAAGTTGGCATGATAGAAAACTAGAATTCAAGTAAGGCTTAGATATAATGCAAAAACACTAGTAATAATGAAGTATAACCCCCTCACAAGTTGTGTATACTATGTCTTAATCTCTCAACATGAGTCAAAGTAAATAAAGACCAGTCCAGGACCAGTTAAGACCAGTTAAGACTGGCCCAAGACTGAGTCTGGTCCTGGACCAGTCCAAACTGATCCAGGACTATAGTCCTTACTGGTCTCAACAGGACTGGTCCGAGTCCTGGTCCTGGTCCTGAAGAATTTGACTGGTTCAGTCCTGGTCCTGGTCCTGGTCCTGGTCAAAAAAGGCAAAAGACTGGACCAGACTGGACCCTGCAACACTACAGTTCCATAGACAATAACTGGGGGTGTCTGAGGAGACTGCATGCAGTGGTTTGGGTGACATGGGTCCTGTGAGTGAGCCCACTAACAGTGCTGGTCAATATGGTAAAGTCGAGAGTTGGGTCATTGAGATTGCAGAGGCAGGATGGATAGTAGGGGAGTCGACATGAAGATGGCAGGACTGAACATGAGCAGTCTGTGCAATGTCAATAAGGATGGGTGGGGCAGCAACTGTGCACCATCGTACACAGATGCTGCTGTCAGTGCCTCGGGGGTGTCCTGGGCATGATGCAGTGGCACTGCATTGTGGTCCATTAGCACCATCGAGATTAGCTGCTCGATGATGCAGGGGGGTGGTGTCAGTCCATTATAGGTGTTGGACGTGGGGCACATGGTTGACGGGAAAGGGGGTCATGTGGTTAATGCAGTAGTGGGGTGCACTGATATGCTCCCAGACCTCCTGGCCTCTGAAAACATGTTTTCCAGTGACCTCTCAGACCTCATCACTCTATACATTAGCTTCTGAGATGCATCTGACTTTTTTGCGACATTCTGCAAACTTTTGCGACTTTATGCGACTTCATTCAACTTTGCTCCTCATGACTTCTCTTTGAGATTTGACATTCTTTTGTCACTCATACACCACTCTTGCATCTCCCCGCTGTCGAGTACCACTTACTTGTTGCCCTTTGGTCTCGTCTGATGCGTCCCGGCCAATTTCCTTTTAAGTCCATACTTCTCCAACATGACGCCACCTCTCTGAATGTTGCACCAACTTGCTGGTTTGTCACACCGACTTATCGGTATCGCTCGATGGTTGCACCCTCTTGTTTTGCAAATTCCATGCCCTTTATCATTTGACCTTCCCCTTCAAAACTCCTACCTTCGTGCTGGACCGGAGATGTCGTTCGAATGTTTATGTAATTCAGGACAAGTAATATATGTTTTCCTTTACTTTTTCTCTACTTCTCCATTATTTTCCATTGCTAACATATGATGTTCATCTTCTCACTCACTTTACCTATTTTTCCATTGCTTCTAGACCATTGTGACTCTTTCCAATGTCAGGATCCATTGTCTGACATTTTGCCACTTTCACATTTTCTCTCCATTTTTCCCTCTCTATAAATACCTGCTGTATCTATGTTGATTATCATCGAAGACCAGTAGGAGAATTCCCCCCTCACTTCAGATCACCGAGAAACTGCATTTACTGCGATAGCGACTTCAAACTGCGATATACCCCACTGTGACATAGCGACATAGTGACACTGCAATATAGCGAGACTGCGTACTGTGTTTAGAGACTGCGACTGTGACTGTGATAGCAAATTGTGACACTGCGATAGCGATATAGTGACATAGTGATATACCACCTGCATTAGTCTTACTCTGACTTTTGCATTAGACTGACTGCGACTTCATTGAGACGGCGAATACTGCATTTCCCCATAGTGTTCTTCCCTCACATATAGTTCCCTTCTCCTTTGCAATTTAGTTTGTCTTTGCCTATGAGTTTGGTGATCACATCGCAACTTTAGCTTTTCACTCTCTGACTTTTGCGACTTCATCATAGATTATTGCTCGACTTCATGTTTACATTGCAAGCACTTGTTCCTTTACAGGTTGCATCCCTCTTAGGCTTTGGTCAAGGTTCTGGGACCCACTTGCATCATTTTACAGTGTTGCATCGCCCTACTCTCTCACACACAGATCCCTTCTTGTTTTAGTTGGGTTTAGGTGTTTGTGTCAGGTGTGCACTCATCAGTGCGGGCAGTGCAGGGTGCGGCCACGTCATAGCACTGTCATGATGTGCCTCCGGTGTCAGCAGCATGGTGGGCAGGTCATCTGCCTGCAGTACCTCAGCTGCTATGAGCTCCGTTATGCAGCCACACTGTGGTGGCATGCTCGAATTTATGGGCACTGTCAGGTGGTTCACAGTGTGGACAGCAGGGTGTGCCCTTGGGCGTGCTGGGGTCGCATTGTCCTGGACATGTGCCCCTGGTGCTGGTAATGTGGCATGGTGTGTCAGCAATGCTAGGCATGCTCATGCATTGGCACCTGCATAGTGCACCCTCAGTGCTGGTGGTGTGTTGGGTGCAATGTCCGCATCCTGCACTGCGTCAGCTGTGGGCTTCATTGTGCAGCTGCGGTGCATCAGTGCACTCGGTGTGCTTGGGTCCATTGGTGCCATCTGTTGGTGACCCAGACAGTGAGGCACATTAGCATCAGGCTGTCGTGGGCTTGTATCCCTTACGCTGGTGATGTGACAGGCACATCATTCACGTCCTGCATCATGGGTGCCACGAGTGTGTGTGCACTGTAATGTGGTGGCATTACATGTGAACACATCAGGGCCGTTGGCATCATTGGGCACTCAGTGAGGTGGGTGCATGGTGGCAGCACTATGAGAGATGGCAGAATGGGCATACCTCACACATCCTGCTTCCACGGCTCCTGCTCCTGCTCCTGGTAGTGCTGCAGCCATTCCCACACCCTCTTCTCCAGCGTCCTCTCCTCCCTTCTCCTCTCCTTGGCCTTCTTTACCCTCACATTCTCTCCTACCAGTTTTTGGGCCAGTTTTTTTGGTCCAGACTCAGTGTATCAGTCTTGAAGTGATGCAAGTGCTTGAACCCATCAAGCTTGTCAGACGTGAGAGAGGGGGAAGCAGGGAGTGTGAGTGTGGTGGTAGGAATGGAGATGTCACATTTGATATGGTCACGTGTCATGTGGTGATGCATTCATGCCACATCGAACATCGCATGAGTGACGTCTGCTCCCTAGTGTTCCGCAAGGACACTAAGGCAGTGATGAGCACACTTGGTGGTGGTGAGACTGTCTTCACAGGCATAGTGCTCATGAAGGGTAGTGAGTGTTACAATGCTCCTTACTTGTGGCGCATCTTTTCTTTTTCTTTTCCTTGTTCCCTTTACGTTACCAGACCACGTGATCCAACACATGACTCATCGGAGCGCAACCTCCGATTCTTTACCCAGATGTCTAGAACCCCTAGTCTGGGGTTACACCGGATCGAACTCCAGACCTTCTTCTTATCGCACATGCAAGATGTGCATATATGCCTCCTCTTTACCTCATTCTGATACACAACTCGTTATCCCCATTAGTACTGATTATCTCTCACGACCTTACTCAGCTTTTTCATACATATTACTTCCTCGCTGTTACCCTGCCCAGATATCGTTTCACCTTATCTAGCTAATGAACGATCCCGCATTACTGCGTAGTACTGCGGATACCTTTTGTATAAATAGATGACCTTGTCGAGCTGGATCCCCATCTCGACCTGGTTACCATTAAACCAGCTTTTCACTTGCCTTTGACTGAAATTGACCGTTAGTAGCAGACAGCTACTATGAGTCATAAGAACAAACTCTGATCGACCTTCAGTGCGAGGACATCGCCAGAAGTGTCACTTGAATGGACTTGTGTCTTAGACTAAGACCTTGTCTCACGACAACTCGACTTGATGCTCGTGTTTCGCTGCCGTGTAACAGTGAGGTGAAGATGTCACTCGACCAGCCAGTCAGCGATTGTGAGCTAATGAGTGAGGTTGTTTACCTCAATCCATCTTTACAGTGTGTTGGCAACACGGCCTATGTCACTGGTGAGAACCTTGACTTTAGAGGTCCTGAGAGGTGTTGCCAGGTAAAAATGATGTGCAGGACACAGTGAGTGCTCCTGCCCATCCAGCCAGTAGTATCCAGTTATAGCAAAACTTCAGCAGTAGTTTTGAGACTGCAAAAAAAGTGTAAGCAGCCTAGATCCTTAGGCTCATCAGAGCTGCAGTGGACTTAATGTATAGCCAAAACTAAGCTAAGACTGAGTATGTACAGCTAGATGGTGAGTGTAAAGGATTAAAAGCAACTTGCTTAAGTAATCAGTAAGCAGTCCATAATAAGTAATGATCATCAGAACTAACCTGTTACACCAAAGGAGTGGGATGTTCCTAAGAGGTAAAGATATGCAAAATCTGAGCAGAGTGTCAGGAGAACTTACCAGTCAATACAAATTTTGACCTTCTCTCATGACATACTATGACTTTGCTAAGTTTGAGGAGAGATCAAGTTTCTGTTCTCGCCCTAAATGAATGAACTGTGTCACAGTTATCACACATTTGTGTGGCTATGACCACTCATGCATGTGACAAGAGGGTGTCTGATTGTCCGATTCCTTCGAGTCTCCTCACACAGCATCAGATTTCATGCACAGTTTCTCTATTCTAGCATCAGGTGTGATTTTACTGGATAATGAAGAGCTGAAGGTATTTATTTTGAAATATCTGAAAGACATCACTGCTAACATTCTCTCAGTAACAGCATTGGGCAGGCTACGTAGTGATAATTTTTTGCAAGATATCTATCTATATATGCTGCAAGCAGACTAACCTTTAGAGTACAAAAAATACTTCTGTAAGTAATCTGGAACTTTCTAGACTGAGCAGGAAAAGAGTAAAAGGCAAAGGACTTAGTCATTGTTACATAGGTGTGACCCTAAAATAAATCATTTATCAGGATTAACTTACTGCAATGCTCACGATTAACTGATTAGTGGTTAGAGATCTCTCATAGAACAGCAGTGACAACCCATTTTTTGGCAGAGTGAATGTATTCTGCTATGGGACTTGAACCTCTGGAAGCATGTTTAACCCATCACAGGTCAGAGACTTCTAGTTCCATATGCTTCAGTTTTGGCTCAGTTGTATATAAACAGAACTTATCGCTATATAATGCACTCTGCATCAAGGATAAGTCCAGCACTACATGTTGCATGCCTGTTGACCCTCATGCAGATTGATCCTTGTAGATATATCACAGAATACTTGTATCCATGATCGATCATAGATCATTGCTTTATCATCAAGCTCATACATTTATTCTCATGCATGGCAGTGAGACTTTCCTGTCTGACTCTGCCAACAGACATTTCTGCATTGTGCTAAATGATGGAGGGCATGCATTTGGCAATGCAAATCTACTTCAGGATCTGCTGAGAATGTGCAATAATGATGGCTGGGCACCCATTAAACTTGCTGCAGAGAGGGTCGGCAGACTGCTCATCATCGAGGTCCTTGTCTCACACACCGAGCTCATATATGCCTGCATACATTGCAGAAAGTAGGAGATGAGGGATGCATCATGTTTCAAGTGCTGCTTTGGCTGCTGTGCTCATCACTACTACTTGCAGAAGATGAGCCCATTCAGAATGCCAGGTGCGTTCTGGATGATCACTTACAGAAAAGATGTGTAGTGCCAGAAGGCAGATTAGATGCCTGCACTCCACAAGGCTGATTGCCATTTACTGAAGATGAGCAGAGCAAGCTGTGGAGCAGCAACACTGTCTGCACGATAATGACTGGTGTTTAAATGATATGCTCAGGAGTGCGTGATTCCAATTATATGCTTTGATATGGATGTCTTACTCACGTTCTCCATCTGACTATAGGAATGCCAGTGGATGGCCCATTAGTGGGCATTTCATACAATAAGGACTGGGACAGCGATGACCTGTATTTTTGAGGGTAGAGGACATGCACTTGAGAACTGCATTATCATTAATTACTGGTGTGAGAGTCAATGGCCGTAAATTTAATAGGGTATGATCACTAGGTGCATAATCTATGCCATTTTGCGAGGAGTGTCTACCTTAAGTCTGACTGGGGATAGAGCTTTTTTCTTATTCTTACCATGTTCTTTTGGTACAAATATCCTCTTGTAATGCATGTCTGGCCTGCAATCCATGTATATGTTCTCATTGCATGAACAAGCACACGTATACTGCAGGACTTTCAAGACAACCAACTCTGGCTTTTCATTCCAAATATCCTACTTGTATAGTGTTACAATAACTGCAAAGATCTCAGCATCTAATACCATAGCCTGCACACCAATGCACATGCATTAAACTCTACTCTATAAATACAGATAGATGATGTGCTAGATCATGAAGAGAGCTCACACTATATTTTGTCTGGTAATATCACTGCATGCCTGTGAAAACAGGACTTTGTTGCCTTTGCCTATGCACCTCCAATACAGCTGCTGTCTGACATGCAGGGGCAGAATCCAAATGAGCGTGGTGCTTGCTCACTCATTCACAGGAAAGGCTGAGTGCGTTTCTATATGGTCAGACTAATGTGGTGGCAGAGATCATTTTGTGAGACACCACACAACCTGACCGAGCCTGGCATGTGAGTGAATGTGCACTATTGACTCATCTGATGCTAGTTAGCTCATGGGTGTATTCACTCCCACTGCTTCAGACACAAGTATCCTTGATAGTTTACTCTCAAGCTGATGGATGGCACTGATAGTTATTCAGGACAACATATGACTCAGAATGAGACTATTCACTATCCACTTATACTTTTGTGTGTTGGGTATGAAATTTGATGCACTCATCATAGTAATCTACATACAGATCAATCTATCTCATAATTTCAGTACAAATCAAAGCAGATACAGTGTGGCAATCACACCAGAGAAGAAAGAGCATGTGTTGACAATTACAAGCAGCTGGAACATCTACCTTCAATGACAACGGTAACTTGAGTGACAGAAACTACAATCAGGATCAAGAAAGGATTACTTACTTATCCGTAGATAGCTTCCTCATCCATTCCTCAAGCAACAGTGGTTATTTCCATCCTAAGTGGCCCCGAAGACATTCCCTGAACCTCAATGAGCTCTATTTCCCCTGTCACTCCCTCCCCACCAGCACCCTCTCCACCATCTGAGACATGAAGGCCATTTTCCAGAAGGTCCAACCCATACAGATTATCAACTTCTGAGGGAGGTCCAAGATGAAGCGATGCATCCATATTTCCGATGATCCTCGAAGCAAATTGCAAGCTTTGCACAGGCATGTGCATAAAGGAGAGGTTAGAAGTAACATGATTTTGGATGTTATTGACCTGACGCAGGTTCAAGAGGAAACGAGAGATGATGATACATGTGAATCTGCAATGTTGTGTGAGCATGGGTGAGTCCTGGCATGTGTGAAGAGATGTGCGAATACATCAATAACAAAGGACACATATGCAAAGGCCTGATGAGAATGCACATTAGGTTAAGTAGGTGGAAAGTGACAGTAAGAGAACATACCTCATAGTAGTTTAACAGCAGTTGTGTAAGGTACAGCAGGAGAAGTAACCTGTAATGCATTGTTAGCTTGAATTATTATTACACTCCATACTCACATAAAGTGCAGAGTGCCTGACAAATTAACATAAAGATGAGCTTAAACTCAAGGAATGGTTCATTGAACAGTATATGCACTAACCATCTCGTAGTAAGAGAGTTGCCAAGGGAGCTTCTATGTGAGCTGAGTTTGCATATCTCTTGATACTGTATGTCTTTGTCCAGGTTACCACGAGGACAATGATGTCTGCCACAATGACACTGATTCGTGTTGCAAGGTAAACTGTTAAGAGACACAGTAAGCTATGAAGGTGAGAAATTCATCCTACAAGAGGGGTAAGACTCGTACATCTGCCTGCCTGTTAGCAGAAAACTTAGCAGGAGAAGAGAATACTTACATCTTAGGTTGCACTATATTTGAACTTTGCACACAGATGGGCCCAAAGCCAGGAACAACTGCTATATAGTATGAGGCTGTGGCATCATCATACTTAAGTGTCACAAGTTAGTGCACACTACCTCTGCTCCAGTAAGATTGACCATACCAGATTAGTTGCAAAAGGCACAAAGTTCAATATGAATACTACTGCAGCAGAGCACCATGCCTGACCCCCTACTGCATACACCCGAAGAGCAGAGAACACTGAAGAATGATGATGACTATGAATATCAAATTACCAATGAGACACACAGTGACTTACTGGCCCATTTGATGAAAAGCAATTCTTCACAAGCTTCTGATAACATCATTATGCCATCACAACTGAAACACAATGAGCTGGTCTCTATTTTCTACTGAAGATTAACCAGACCTCTGAATGGGCAGAAATTGAACAAGCATCAGTTACAACATAAAAAGCATCAGTTACAATTGTAGCAACTTACTGGATTTGTACTCCACAGAGGTATCTGCATCACCAGGCTGAAGACCAATACCAATCCAAGAAAACGGTTGGAGATAAACAATACTGCAACTCCAGTTTTCTTACGTCTCCATATGTAGTCAATTTCATCAGTAAGGGTTATTGCATGCTCAAAAATGAGCCAAGCTAGTGAGGATTCCCATCAGCTTTAGGTCAAGATTTGAAAAAAAAACTCACTTGCAGCTGCTATACAGCAGTAGTTGCCTGTTACACTAAGGGAAGATCCATCAGCCCCAACAAAATAATAATGGTGAGACACGAACTCATCATAAGCCAGTTGGACCAGCTCTGCTTCACTGTTATCTCCCGAAGACATTGGGGAAACTGCAGGATTGTTTTGTGGGGCGTGAGCGGACTGCGGCATTCGGACGAGGAGATTGTGGTGCTACTTATATCCCTGTGTTGACAGGAACTGTCTGCTGCATTATCTCCTGCAGGCCCATCACCACGACAACAGAGATAAAGTTGCGAAGATCGGACAGGCTCCAGTCGGTGTGCTCTGATCTCTGTTTGAACTCAAGAAGCTCACTCGAGCAATTTCAAACCAAACATGATCAATGAGCCTTTAGGCACCTGTGATTGCTTGGCAAGCCGCCCGCCCCTCACACCCCCTAGTAGAGCCTCAACGAATTCAGCGTCCAACATCTACAACTGCTCGTAAAGGTATGCCAGAGCCAGAAGCACAAGAAAAATTTCGCACCGCACCGCTGCTACGTGATGAGCGAGGATATGAGAATCGAGGAAATGAGGGTTTCAAGCCATCAGCATGGAGTCTACAGAGGATGGTGGAAGACATACTCGAAAAGCCAAAGCAAGGGTTTAGCAAGTCCCGGGATGTCTGCGGAACGGAAGCACGGCGAACGCGGAGACGACCAGTTCGCCGAGAGGAATCATATCGAAGTTCTTCAACATCGCACTGTAACTGTTTGATTTCACGTCAGCAAACTCAACAGAAGACTCTAAGATAGCCTGTTCTCACGGGTACTGGCTGTCCCGGAACGACGGGCGACCCAGCTAACGGGCCCGAGGACTGTAGAGGATGATGAGATTTTGTCTCTTCTTCTATCTCCGCAGATCGGACCAGCTCACTCACCTGTGTGAGTGATTGCAATGCATCGCGAGATGCTCTTCGACGAGATGGAAGTGGTGAATGCCGCTCGAAGCTCAGGAGAAGCTGTGTCTCTCAGGCACGCAGTGGGTCCCCTTTGGTCGGATCACCGAATATTCTTGTCTCCATCCGATAACTATCACGAACTGATATCTTGATGCGGTGGAGCGTGTATATTTGAAGTACTTGCATGGTAGCCGCGATGTCAGCGCGACTCACCAGATCTATACGGCGAGATAGTCGAGATCCGAGCTACATTCTCAGAAGGCAAGATCCGGTCGATGGATTTGGAGACGCTGCAAAAATGAAGTCAGAGTGTTAATGAGATTGTCGACTTAGACAACTATGGCGTCTATTACATGGGCGAAGTCACAATAGGACATCTGCAGTGTCTGGCGCAACGAGTCCAGCTCTGCGGCGCAGGAACCCTCGACACTCCACTGCATCTCTCGCCCCTCGTTCGCAGGCCTGAAGGACAGGGGATAAGAAAGGAACTGACGGGGACTCACGCAGGCGTGGTGCCGCTAAGCAGAGCGCTAGTAGCACGGTGAATATTAGCACTGCAGCGCCACGTACCGTACCATCCCCGGGGAAATGACATCGGGTGCGGCACCGTCCGAGATCTAAACGTTGCATCTCGTTTGCAGGACCGAATGCAGCGCCGCCGTATTCACACCGGAAGGCTGTGAGGATGAGACAGATGGGCAAGGGCCACGCCGAGATGCTGAAGTTCAATGGAGCGCGTATCATGCACGCACACTGCAAAAGAACACACAGAGATATATTCCGATGGTGCGGAGCCTACCTCCACAACAGTATCATCGTCTTTCGTATCTCCCGTGCGCGATTGGAATCATCGAGGTTAAACATACGAGGGGGAGATAGGCGCCAGGGAAATAGACGAGAAGCACCTCGGGTTTGGCCTGTAGAATTGCGCTCATGATGCATCGCGAGGACGGCCCAGCGTAACACCACCCCCAGAAAACCGGAAAGCTGGATGGAAAGGGGAGAGCGGATGGAAGGCGCGAAGACCCGACGGAGCGAGAGACGATTATACCGGACAATCAATATATACGGGGAGTCGTAGAGGTAGTAGTGTAGACTGAAGGGGTATGACGTACCAGGCAGAATAGGAACCTGGCGTAAGCTTGAAGGAAACAGTACAGTACACGATGACAAGCCCTAACCCTATGTCACTACACCCGCTCCTTGACCCCATGATCCTCAATCCCATCGCACCTCTTCCCCTCAGCATCCGGCCAAGTGAGGAGCGAGCGCATCGTCCTCGTTTCAAGTCGACTGCGTCTCGTGCGTTTTCGAAACGCCCATCTCAACGCAACAGCAATCCTGGGCCACCTGGGACAGGGCGGCTCCATTATCGTGGAGGGGCCTCTCTGTGCATCTCTCTGTGCAAAGCACTATCTTATGCTCGGAGTCGTGAATAGGCTCGTATTCACCAAGGAGATACAGGCCAGGCGAGAGAAGCGTAGAGGTAACGGCGGTTTGCGGTGCGATACATGTCATTTGCATAGAGGAGTATCTCTTCACGACGTTCTCCATCTCCCCAGGCACACCTTTTCAAGATGATTCAGGGTGAAACGGGCAAGAAGAGCTAGCCGTGCGCTGACATATACTTCGTATGTGTTAGGAAACTCTCTGCCATCTCCGTGCCACGCTGACTGCGTTTGATGTACCTCTTCTCGTCGGGCGACTCCTTTTTCGATATCTTTCGTTTCCAGAAGCACTCTATGTCGGCCCTTCCTTCGTATCTTAAGATCGAGAATTCAAGCGTGAGACGCGGTGAAATGATTCCTGGTCAACGTGAAAAAAATGCATGGGCCAGGAGAACGCACTTCATCGTGCTCAACGCACACTCGTCGACGATCGTAGTAACGCCCCCAGTACTCGCTAAAAGAAGCCATCGCGGGACGTCAGCACCTCGACGCGCTGGAGGAGATTATCATGGTAAATCTCTTTTCTCTTGTTAAATGTCAATTTAACATTATCATGCACGCGGCGGTGAGCTCATGAAGTCATGTCTCCAGATTCCGTTGGCTTCGCGGAGATTCACAGTGGCGGCTCCTTTCTCGGTGAGTCCACCCTTCTTTCCTGCTCTCGTATCCTATTGACCCACGGGGTTTGCGTATTGTGAGAGCACGGGGGATGTCCCTTCCTTTAGAGCGCGCTCAAGATGCACGCCGCAAACAAAAAATATCCGCTACTCATGTCCCTCTCATCTCGCGCCTCCGCCGACATTGCTGCACAAGCGGTAGTTCTCCTTAGACTGAACTAAGTTGGTGCGTGAGTGCCGTAGTCCGTCGTAACGCTGTAGTAGGAACTTCCACTGGGGGCAGGACTACGTCACCCATAAGCCTGGTTCCGGCTTGGCCGCCGATTCGTCTCGGGCCTAGACGTAGACAAGGAGATGCGTTCCTCTGTGGCTCTATCTCGCGTTAATCATCAATTTTGACCTCATACTCATCCGCCAGACGCCACGCGCCGCTCGAGAGCTACACAGTAACCAGGTAGTACTTGAAGAAATCCCCCGATGGCCGAACTCACTTCCCCCCTGGGTGTTTAGCTTGTGATCTCACAATCTCTGGGCATCATGCTACGGTCTTCGTTACACGCTCGACGTCCGGTGCGTCCAATGCTATTAATTTCTCTCGCGATGTTCTCTTCCACCTTCCCGCGACTGTGAACAGCTATCTCGGATACTTGCAGCGTCCTCTAGCTAAAGCAGCAACCACGGAGGAAACTAGACGACGTGGTTGCTTTCCTCTCACTCGTTAGAGAAGAGCATTGCTCACTCTCGCCGACATTGGTTCGAGCTCGGGTCTCTCGGGATGCGGCCAGCACGCAGAAAGTACAGAGATATCCTACAGTGTGTCGACTAATCTCTCGCACCCCTGTCGTCGTCGTCGTCGTCGTCTGACCCGTCCCGCCGAATCCGCGTTGTGTCGTCGGCGATCGAGGCTCCAGTTTGAGATCGAGATCAAGGATCGAGATGTCTTGTTGAGGTCCAAGTTGCGTAGATATTCGCCGGTGTGGAGACGTCATCGGTTCGGAGGTAGATCAAAGTTTCGTCACTGCGCGGAAGTAGGCCGGGGGGAAACACGTGAAAGGACCAGAGGTTGTGGTCGTCGAAGAATCGGATTTATATTTATCTGCATACGACGGAGACAACTCACTTGTCAACCCTCCCGCAAGAATTCTGTGACACCAGATTTGTGACGAGCTGAGTACTGCTGGGCAATCGATTACAGATATCTGCGCAAGAGGTATACATATATGTACATGAGAGCAAGCTCACGCATCAGCGCTGGATCCAATCTCTCTTCGCGAGTGCTCGTGAATACTTGCAGTGAAATAGTTGGGATCCAAACACGATGTTCCTAGATGCGGATGACGGACTTCCATAGACCACCAAAGCTCAGCTCAAGCGCGTCATCGAGAATTTCGATTTACGATGCTATGACCTTAACTGCGCAGGAGAAGTGAATAGGCGAGGCGATACGATGTCTGCGACGTCTCGTGCAGTAAGTGCAGACTCGCCAGAGGGAGACACATACCTTACGCGAGTATCGCTCATCCGCAAAGTGAAACGGTAGCCATCTTTCATCCGCTCCCCCTTCAGGACCGTCACTGACTTAAGGGAGAGGTCGGGGAGGGGAGGACCGGTGCGACGATGAGCGGGCGTCGAGTAGGAACTGTGCGCTAGCGTTGTGGTAGTCTCGGAACCAGCCGTTCTGTCAGTGCGGGCCCCCAATCGGAGAGCGAAACACCTGCACAGCCCGCAGACAGAACGTCTGGTGAAATTCGTATAGGCGGGGGGGGGGGGGGGGGGGGGGGGGGGATTGTCACATTCACGTGACCTTGACGCGTCTTTCTGCACGTCAGGCGTGTCGCGCGTCGCGTCTAGAGATGTAGGTAGCAGGTACAATGTCGTAGTACACAATATACCCGGACCTTCTACATGAAACCCGGACTTGCTACACCAGAGTACTATGATTTCTGAAAACCTCTATACCCTATTATCGGAGCTTAATGCTGGAGATCCCGTACAGGATGATGAAGAACTTGACGACTCGGACTGGGACGAGCATAGTGCGGACTCATCTGACGACGAAGACGAAGACACTGACGATACACCTGGGCGCCAACGAGAGCCGAGTGATCCACCGCACAAGATTCGCACACGCAACTTCAGAAACTATCTAGCACAACAAGGTGACATTGCTTCTCGGGTCAAAGAAGTACTTGGCTATATGCTAGAGAAAAAGCTGTACCTGCCTCTGCTTCTCTGGGCCTTGAGCTGGAATGTACCTGAACTGATTGCGGATCCTCTGGCGAAATTCGAATGCACTGCACTCATGATCAGCGATGAACTGGGAGACTTGCTCGGAAAATGGTTCAAGCCTCCTCGTGGACACGGACGCGGCATCAAGACGAAAGGCGCGGCAAGCGCGATCAATACATTCGCAGTCAGTTGCATCAAAAATACAATACACCGGGAAATGGCGCGCGTCGGAAAAGTCATGAGAACGAACGAAAAGTCGAGGTAGAACTCTCAGGGCAGGACATAGACAGAATATGTATGAGGGGAAGGTGTATCGTGATTGCTACACACTACACAGAAGACGCGTACTATATACTACACATCGCCCGTAGGACGCGTCGCCCTGACGCGCTGGTCACGAAGTGTGACAATCCCCCCCCCCCCGCCTATACGAATTTCACCAGACGTTCTAGGTGGTAGCTGTGCATCTCTTTTTCGCTCTCCGCTGTCAGTTTCACGTGATGCCCTGCTACCACCGAACGTCTGGTTCCGAGACTAGCGTTGTGGGCGGCTGGGACGAGGCAGGCGGAACGGAGGATGTACCCAGATGCGGAACTTGGTGTAGGATATCTCGCATGCGCGAGTACTGCTAAAAATAGAATCAGACAATTTCTGATAGTGCAGATCCAGCGAGAACGACGGCGTACTCATCTCTTGCATCTTGTCCACAAAACTGGGCCGAAAGGGGGCAAGAACACATAGAGCTTCCCGAGGTATGGATATCACGCACGCGCAACGTGGAAGAATATATTTGGATATGTTCGGATATATGGAACTGCGAGAACGATAACTTTAGCATCTTCAATACACAATTAGAATCATCAGGGCTTGACAGACCGAGAAATACACAAGGGAACTCGCAGACGGAGTCAGGGGAAGAATTGGGTCCAACGACGAGACCGGCTGCTCATTCGCAGAGCCGAACGGGACGGCCTATCGATGGGAGAGCACTGTAAGAGGGCGAGGAGCGACAAGGATGGATTACACAGAGACCTCAAGCATCGAGACTGAAGGCACATCCGTTGCGGAAATTGCTTCCGATGGATAAATCAGGTTCACGTTGCGGACCAATTGAGTATGGGGCCGCTCATCTTCTGCGATTGAACACCGAAAATAATTATCAAAGGATGCGGGCGTGCGCGGCGCGGAAGGGGAACAACCCAAAGACGAGACTGACCTCAGGACGATCAGCGAACATCCACGTTGCGTGCTTAACGACCATGTATCGTCCTCATGAGTCTGCCCATCCTTCAACAAGGTGAAAATTAACACTTGAGATAGAACAGGTAGCTCCAGAGTGGAAGAGTGTCAGCATAGACGACTGGCCTGGCACTACGCATCCACATCACGTAACCAGCAAACGCGATACCGTCCTCGTCTCCCCGTCATTTATCTTCTGGAAATACGGAGATTCAAGGGGAGGAGCGGCGGATACGCAGGAGCTGGGGAGATGTACCCCCCATCTCTCATATCCGCCGTTTGCCAATCAAGATGGACTTCAAAATATTAGGAATGTGGGTGCATGGATGCAGACTCGCACAGGAGAACGCATGCCTTCCGTGGACGCGGAAACCAGCTCGCGCAACACCGGCTACGTTTCTCTCATTCCTTATCGGGTGATCCTCAAAGTTACACGAAAGACGAGAGAGGTAGTGGTCAGGGTAACAGGCGGATTTCGAGTAAGGGAGTGTGGTAGGGAACATGGCAAGCGGTCTTGACAGGTGGTAGAGTGCGAAATCACGCCTTCAGACACAGACAAAGTGACTTGGAACAGCAGGGATACATGCACAAGACGCTGACGACCATTTATGGTACCTCCTACGATCCAATCTTCGAACAGAGCGTGGAATGTGAAAGCCTGAAGCTTGAAAGAAGGGCCGCGGTTATTTCCAGAGACTCGACGGTCCACTTGATCGCGGCGAGTGAACCTCTTCCTGGAAAAACAAATGTCCAACGGCGGGCCAGTCGGAAGGCATTAGGCCTTAGGGATCAGAAGGGATCGATGTGCCCGAGCTTGTAGCAGAGACTCTGATAGAGAGAACTATAAATCGTAGCCTCATACGAACCTTAGCTACGGTACCGGCGTTAGCATCGTATATCAGAAAAGAACGGCGGACCATCCGGACCGGAGCAGGGCCTAACCCTATTTTCAGTCTTCGTGGACAAGTCGCCCTCGACTCCGAGTCTCTGCGATCCGTCGACGTGTCGCATCCGCTGCAACCAGCATGCCGATACAACCTAGAGCGTGAGTGCCTGATAAACTCCGGTCTACGTTGAAGGTCGCTAGTCTCCATTGTATTCGTCACAGCCCTAGTCTCCCAAAGGCAGACTGACACTCTGCTTCAACCTTCGTGCCTCAGGATATCCGTGTCTGGCCGAGAGATCAAATAAACAGGAAAGCCTCTGAACAGACGAAGTCTGGATCGTAGCCTGAAAAGTACGTACACATCGGCGATCCACTCTATGCGAAAGCGAAGAAATATAGGAATGTCCGCAAGAGAAAAGAATCAATCGATTCCGCCAGAAACCTTCGCCGCTGGCCAGGTATTGCGCTTGGCACAATACGACGTGCCAGGTAAAATATTTAGTGGGCATCTCCCTGCCCGCCCGGCTGTATTAGGCCGTATTGGCTTATTGACGCAGGTTGTGCGTCGATGTCCCATTTTCTCTATCGCGTCTCTCACTATCGGAATCCACAGACCGGTGACGAGACGTACGAGGAAAGCGTGGCGTTCGCGAAGCTGGTACTGCAGGTATGAGCTCCTCATTTTCAGCACCTGCATCGTACGCGAACTGAGGCATCAATTTCAGAATCAATGTGCCGTGTCTTCGGAGATTCGAATGTTCGTCGCTCAGCTATGGCAACACCAAGAGAAGTGTGCGCAAAAAAAGCGGTAAGTCCATCCTTTGTTCGTCATCCGTTCCTCTGGTCGTACGACACAGACCTGCCGGTATGCCGCAGTATCTGTCGATTATCAAAAACGGGACCACCGGTCAGCTATGAGGTCTTGTGCCTTCGTGCTTGCAAAACAATTTTCATGGATGCGTCTTCAATTCTGAGCCTCCTCGGAGGGCACAGCTTCCATCGCGACTATCGACGGGGCCCAGCACCGGCCCGACACACTCAACGTTTGGAAGTGCATTCTGAAGAGCAAGCGGTAAGTCGACAAAGTCCGTCGCCTCTGGGCCTTGGGAATGACGCAGACCTTCCGCGACCATCAAAGCACCTGCACAGACGAAGAATAGATGCATCCATTGCGCTCAGGACACATGCTGGAGCTTGCGACAACGGGGCATCTAGTATCAACCACGTAAATCTCGTGCTCGACAAAAACAATTGCAGAAGATTCAATACTCGTGGCGATCTATATCTCGCGGCCGTCTTCCAGGACAGCTTTCGACAACTGGCCCTGTGGTACGGACGGGGATCGATTGACAGCTCTTTGTATACACTTCCACATCGAATACCAAATCCGTTGCACTAGCACGACGACGCGCTGGAGGCGATTATCGTAGTATATCTGTTTTCTCCTGCTAAGACATTCTCATGCGCGCGGCAGTGAGCTCATCCCAATCATGTCTCCAGATCCCGTCGGCTTCGCGGAGAATCACAGCTGAGGCTCCTTCCTCCTCAGCCAGTCCACCTTTCCTTCTCTCGTATTGTATTGACCCACTGGGTTTGCGTACGGTCAGAGTGCGGGAGATGCCTCTTCTTTGGAGCGCATGCAAGATGCACACTGCAAACAAAGAAATATCCGCTGATGCAAACATTACTCCGCTCGCACCTCCGCCGACGTTGCTGCACAAGTGATTGCCATGGACCGTGGTCGATAGTGCACAAGCCCTTAGTAGCAGCTTCCGAGAGTGGACTACATGGCTCATTAAGCCTAGTACCGGCCTGGCCACTGGTTCGTCTCGGGCTCAGACATGGACAAAGCGGTACGTTCCCGATCTCTCGTGTTAATCATCGTTCTGACCTCATACTCGTCCGCCATACGCCTCGCGCCGCTGGAGAGCTACGAAGTAACCGGGTGGTACGTGTAGAAATTCTCGGAAGGCTAAACTCACTTCGCTCCTTGGATGATTAGCTTGTGATCTCGAAATCCCTGGGCATCGTTCTAAAGTCGAATTTCGTCACTCGCTGGACGTCCGGTGCGTCTCTCTTGCGATCTTCTCTCATACTTTCCCGTGACTGTCACTGGAACAGCCATCTCGGATGCTTGCAGCAATCTTCTAGCCAAAGTGGCGACGAAGGAGAAAGCTAGACAACATCACTACTTTCCTTCCATGGCGGACTGCTCAGAAGGTTTGTTAGAGAAGGGTCACGCCGGCATTGATTTGGGCTCGATCTTCTCGACAGCGTCTTCTCCGAGGGCCAGTGCATTCTTTATTTACCGAAATGGATGTCGTCCCCACACACGGCGACAGCGTCTTGGAACACAGCGAACTTATCGACATCTCGATCACTGATCTCCAATCTCAAACAACCGTTAACGTGCGCCCACACAAGAATCGGGCGGGGCGTCCCAACAAACCAGTCAATACCTTCCTTCCTTTCTGCTCTGAGAGATTGAATAATGAGGTTTGATAAATGCGCGTAAGTGCTAGTGGTACGCGTGAGTAGATGGAGAGCACATTGAGAATTAGAGGTCACATTTGTTGGAAACACTGTCGTAAGTTTGTTTGCTTATGGAGACAGTTTGCTTGATCATGCAAGAATGTTGTAGCACCGAGTGTGCAACGAGATGACGAGTATTGCTCAGCCGGCGAACCGGAGAACACGCGTGTCTGCGTAAATCGACATTCTCGATGACGAGCTTGAGCTGAGCTTTTGTGGGCCAATGGAAGTTTGCATCTTGGCATCTGGGAACTGATCCCGACTATCTCGCTGTAAGGACATCACGAAGATGTTTGACTTTGAGAGACTGGGGTGCTGACCTTTGCTATTCGCGTGTACATGGATACCTATGGCCTCCAATATGCAGGAGAAGTCAACGCGCGGGACGATAGGACATCTCAGGCTACGGTCTCCTGTGCAGCGTGCAAGCTCGCTGCAGGGAGACATGATCGTGTGTACCTCACACGAGTATCACTCATCCACAATGCAAAACTGTAACTACCTTTCATCTGCTCCGAGTTGCCAAACTTAGCATGGATGTCACATGCGCGCTGCAGAACGAGATATTATACTATTTCTGATAGCGTGGAGCTAGCGAGGACAACGACGTATTCATCTCGTGCATTCTGTGCACAATATTGGGCCCAAAGAGGGAGGAACTTCCGAACGCGAAGAAGACTATTGGAGGACAAGCTTCCCGAGGCATGGATATCCCTCACGCGCAACGCAGAAAAAAGTGTTCGAATATCGTCCAATGTGAGGAACCCTAGAAAGAAAGATATCTCTAGCATTTCCAATATACGATCAGCGTCATCGGGGCTCGACAGAGCCAGAAATACATGAGGGGACTCCCGGACGGAGTCAGCGCAAAGAATTGGACTCGCCTTACTCAAATGGCGTCTCATTTGCAGAGCTGAACGGAACGAACCATAAATGGGGGAGTGCTGCAGGAGGGCGAGGTGGAGCTACGCAGATCGCGTATAGAGAGGCCTCAAGAGTCGAGATTCGAGTCGTGTGAAGCGCGTCCGTTCCGAAAATTGTTTGCAATGTCGAGCCAGGGTTCACGCCGCCGAACAATCGAGTGTGGGGCAACAGCCTGCTAATCTTCCACGATTGAACATTGAAATAAGGACCAAAGGGTGCGGGCGTGTGATGCGTGGAACGAACAAGCCTAAAGACGAGGCGGAGCTCAGGACGAACAGCGAGCATCCGCGTTGCGTACCTATCAAGTACGACACCATCCATATCCTCATATCTCAAGCTCTCGCCCCCACAAAAAATCGAGGTTGGGAATGGTGCTGCAGCGACGCGGCTGCAGAGTGCAAAATTGTTGCTGTAAGAGCCTGGCTGGGGACCTGTCAGGTAAGGAGCGACCGCGATGCCGACCGCGCTTCCTCCATCGTTCATCTTTAAGATATCTTGAGATTCGGACCAAACAGCGGGAGCAGAGGATGTTCGAAGCTGCCAGACACGAGACCATCCTGTCATCTCTCATATCTGTCGATCACAAATAGAAAAGATGGACTGAGACAAATTGGAATGCGGGCGCACTAAACGGAGTATGTAGTTGGTGTGCTGACGAGCACCAGAGAATCGAGAGACTCGCCCAGAGGGATACATGTGCATGAACAATATCAGACTCGTCTTTCCCGTCTCTCCTGAGAAGATTCACTGGAAATTAGTAAGAAAAGGATGCAGTAAGGGTGGAACGGGCGGAGCAAAGGAAACATAGAGGCCGCGTCGTGAAACAACACCGTCCAGAACCCAGATGAAGCCCAGTTAGCCGAAACAGGAGGAATATATGCGGGAGCTAGACAGGACAAGAGGGGACATACATAAGATCCGCGCCCAGCGAATACCTGTCGCATCTTCTGCAATCCAATCGGAAAGCAGCCCATATATTAACGTCAAAAGAAGGGAGATTGGATCTCTTGGACAGTAAAGGAATGTCTCAAGACCATCGATAGCTTTCCAGCCGGGCTGCAGTCAGTGAGAAGGGAAGACAGGAAAAAAGCAAGAAGTAGATGAGAACTCAGTACTCACCACTGAGTCTGGATCAACAGGACCGTCAGTGTACCGGAGCTGCAAATATTGTAAATATTGCGAGTGGCTAGAGCCAGGTTGAAAGATGACTAGATGAGGGTAATGGCCGAATATTTGAGTTGTGCCACCATGCACCGGTGAACCGTGACGTCACACGAAGGACGTTGACGTTGTAGGCGACAACTGAGAGTGAGGTTAGGGTCCGGATGGTCGTCGACGTCCAGCATAAGCTATCACAGAAATCAATTGAAGGGCATCGAAACTTCTTCATTTGGGCACCAACACCGAGGCTGATTGGAGGTAAGGCTTCTTCTACGGAGTGTTTAAGTTACCACTGGCTCAATTCTGGATCCCACCAAATAAGGTCTACATGTGGACGATCGCCATCCTATTACTGTCGCCGGCTTGTATCGCTGGCTGACGCTTCTCCTGAAAAAGACACATCCGTTCAACTTGCATCCCGTCAGAATATCACCAACCGACGCTATCTTCAGGTATCTACCGCAACGTACTGGGGACGCGTACCCTCGTGATTCTCAAGCGTGCCTTAAGCCGGGTGACATAAGCGTATTCCTACCTGGTATGTAACCCACTTGTGTCAGTCGTAGCCACTGCTAATCTGTCCTCGCAGGCGAAAGACAATTCAGGTTCCAATACGATGTTCGCTTCGGCGGAAAGCAAATCACCTACGCTAGAGAGGAGGTTCTAAAGCCAGAGGAAGCAAAGAGGGTGCTGTTACTCATTCCTTCATCGGACACTCGTCGCTAATGATCATTTGTGAATTTCCAGAATCGTATGGCAGAGTCATTCATAGAGGAGGTGCAATCGCGGGATGGGCGTCGATGTGTACTCACAGGTGCATCATCCGCAGATGCACCTCTCACGGTGTGCTGGATAGTCTTGCCATCGTCAATTATGCTTGTAAGTGTTTTCCACTTCCTTCTCGTGTTCACGCGCTGAGCGAAGCACGCATTTCGTAGGATGACTACTACGAAGGCCCAGAGATGCAACCGATCCTTGCCGACATAACACCATACTATGCTACATCGAATGCATGGACGCTGCGTACGGACCTTGCGGAGATGTTCATAAACAATGAGTGGGGCATCGACGTTGGTGTATGTCGTATCCTCTTAGAGTTTGCCACTAATTCGCCGGCTAACGTGCGAAATCGACAGGACAACTCCCGTGTCGTCTTCTTCGGTCTTTATGACAATTACTCGCATCTCCTACCCCAAATGTCTGCCAATCTACATCTCAGTGGGCCAATTTGTGAACGTCTTACTGAACATTTTTCCCGGTGCCTGAGCTGCAACATCCTTGGTGGCGATATTTATGACAAATACGATGGATTTGATGTGAAGGGTTACCTCGAGGACCTTGGATACACTGACCGCGATGACCTTGACCCGAATGATCCGGAATGGCAAACCGAGCTCGGGAAGGAAGTTTGGGAGCTGAAATTCAGGCTGAAGTGCGAGGAACGAGAGGATCGGTGAGAAGATTTTCTTTCTTTCTTCAAACCGATTTGGCTGTCTCCTGACGCCTTCGACTGTATAGGTTCGCACAATACGAGACCGACGGTCAAGACTCTGACAGCCAGTGAATGACCCGGGAGAGTGTCCACTGTGTACATGTGTTGTGAATTTCTCGTATGTCTCGTTCCATTTTCCTTCGTACTGGTCTTCGTGGAGATATCTATATTGGCCGAGGTTATTGCAACACCCTGCGCCAAGAACTGCTCATTCCTCCGATATTACAGAGACCGTCAGTCACATAAGTCACCGAATGCATACCATCCTTGGTCCTTATCCGTCGACTTCTTTCTCTCACGCCGACCTCGACGTTATCTTTTCGGTTATCTCTTTCGTATGCGTTCGGCGGGATGTTCTACACTGTTCCTGGCTGTTCATGCAAGGCATATATGTCTTCATTCTAGAAAAAAAAACTGCTACTCACGCCTCTCTCAACTCGCGCCTCCGCCGACATTGCTGCGCAAGCGGTGGTTCCCCGTAGACTGATTTGAGTCGGTGCGTGAGTGCCGTGGTCTATCGATAGCGCACAACGCCCTAGTAGGAACTTCCGCGGGAGACTGGACTGCATGACGCATAAGCCTAGTTCCGGCTTGGCCGCCGATTCCTCTCGGGCTCAGACATGGACAAAGTGGTGCATTCCTCTATGGTGATATCTCATGATCTCGTGTTAATCACCTATCTGACCTCATGCTTCTCCACATAGATGCCACGTCCCGTTCGAAAGCTACAAAGTAACCGAGTGGTACTTGCAGAAATCCCCCGATGGCGAAATTCACTTCGCCCCCTGCGTGATTAGCTTCTTACCTCGCAATCCCTGGGCATCGTTCTAGAGTCGAGTTTCGTTACGCGCTCAATGTTCGGTGCGTCCAGTGCTATTAATTCCTCTCGCGATCTTCTCTTCCACCTTCCCGCGACTGTGAATGGCTATCTCGGATACTTGCAGCATCCTCTGGCCAAAGAAGCAACCACGGAGAAAACTAGATGACATGGTTGCTTTCCTGCCACTTGTTAAAGAAGAGTCTTCTTCACTCATGTCGACATTGACAAAATAGTCCTGAGCGACCCGGCCGGCACATTATTTATTCGGAGCCGAAGGGTACGAAGACATCTGAGTCCCAAGGTGTATCGACCGTTCTCTCTCAACGCTGTTGTCGTCGGGGTCCGACTGGCCCTGCCAACTTGCTTCTCTTTCAGGGTGTTGTTTCGCGGGCGATCGGGGCTCCAGTTTGAGATCGAGATGTCGATGATCTTGTTGAGGTCCAAGTTGTGTAGATATTCGCTGGTGTGGAGACGTCATCGGTTCGGAGGTAGATCGAAGTTTTGTCACCGTGCGGAAGTAGGCCGATGGGGGAAACACGCGAAAGGACCAGAGGTTGCGGTTGTTGAGGGGTCAGATTTTATATTTGTTTACATACGACGGAGACAGATCCCATGTTAAGTCTCCTGCAAGAATTTTGGGACACTAGAATTGCGACGAGCTCGCAGGGGGTATATAAATATATATACGTGAGGAGAGCAACCTCGCGCGTCAGCACTCCAGTATTTCACATATCTTTATGACTACTCGTGAATACTTGCAGCCAAATAGTTGGGATCCAGGGATTACACTCCTAGATGCCAAGATGTAGACGACGAAGTCCCATAGGCTCAGCGCGTCATCGAGCATGTCGACTTGCGATACTACAGTATGGCCTCAAATGCGCCGAAGAAGTCAAAGCCCAGGATGATAGTATGTCCACGACGTCTGGCACAGCAGGTGCAGGCTCGCCGAAGGGAGATATATGAGTGTGGTAGCTTACACGAGCATCGCTCATCCACAATGTGAAAACGGTATCCATGTTTCATCCGCTCCTCCTTCAGGACCTTCGCACACTTAAAAGAGAGGTTGGGGTGGGGAGGACCAATGCGGGGATGAGCGGGCGTCGAGTAGGAACTGTGCGCTAGTACCCCCACCCGCTGCTAAAAGGCGTCTCGTGCACCGTCAGCGCCTTCGTACCATCTTGTCCCCAGTGCTGAATACGACGCTGAGTCTATTAATGCGTGTGGGCGGCTGGGACGAGGCAGGCGAGTAATGTGGAAGGGAGGACGTGCCGGGATGTTGAACTTGGCATCGGATATCTCGCATGCGCAAGGATTGCTGAAAGAGAGAATTAGACAAAGAGCAGAGCCATGACGGCCTACTCGTCTCTTGCATCCTGTGCAAAAAAGTGAGGCGAAAAGGGGGACGAACACGTAGGATACTAATTGGAGGATAAGCTTCCTGCCGAATGGACATCACGCACACATAACGCGGAAGAAAATATTCGGATATGTTCAGATATATGGAACCTGCGAGAACGATAACGTTAGCATCTCCAATTCACGATCAGAATCATCGGGGCTGGACAGAGCCGAAAATGAATAACGGGACTCGCGGACAGAGTCCCAAGAAAGAATTGAACTCACCACCTGAGGTGCAACGACGAGACCGGCTGCTCATTCGCAGAGCTGAACGGGACGACTGCAGGGGGGCGACTGAGCGACGAGGATGAATTACGCAGAGGCCTCAAGAATCGAGACGGAAGGCACGTCCGTTGCGGAAATTGCTTGCAATAGTTGAATCAGGTTCACGTCGCCAACCAATTGAGTATGAGGCCGCTCATCTTCTGCGATTGAACACCGAAAATAATTATCAAAGGATGCGAGCGTGCGGCGGGGGAGAAAACAAACCTGAAGACGAGACTGACCTCAGGACTATCAGCGAACATCTACGTTGAGTGCTTAACGACCACGTCATCGTCCTCATGAGTCTAACCATCCTTCAAATCAGTGAAAATTAACACTCGAGATAGAATAGAACCGACCGCAGCTGCAAAGTGGAGCAGTGGCGTAGACAATTGGCTTGGCACTACGCATCCACATCGCGTAACCAGCGAACGCGATACCGTCGTCACCTCCCCATCGTTTTTCTTCAAGACTGATAGCGAAAAGAAAGAGCGGCGGACGCGCAACTGCTGTGGAGATGGAGATCAGATATCATAAGATTGACATGCAGAATTACACTTAGGCACCCCGAAACCCGGGGACAGCTCTGCACGACAACGTCCCCCACCTCTCATATCAGACTCCGCCGTTCATCAATCGAGAAGATGGACCGAAAAACAATAGCAGTGCGGGTACATAGACACAGACGCGCACAGGAGAACACATGCCTTCATGGACGCAAAGCAGCGAGCGCAACACCGGCTACGTCTCTCCCATTTCTTATCGGGTGATTTATCAAGAGTTATGCGAAAGAAGAGGGAGGTAGCGGCCAAGGTAACAGGTGGAGTGAGGGAGTGTGGGAGGGAACATGGCAAGTGGTCTCGACAGGTGGTAGAGTGCGAAATCATGCTCTCAGACACAGACAAAGAGCGGTGGCTTGGAACAGCAGGTATACATATGCACGAGGCGCTGACGACCATTTATGGCGCCTCCTACGATCCAATATCTTCGAACAGAGCTCGAGCGCGGAACTTGAAATCGTGAAAGCCTGAAGCTTGAAAGAAGGGGCGCGATTGTTTCTAGAGACTCGACTTCCACATGATCGCGCCAAGTGAACCTCTGCCCAGAAGAACAAAGGTATCAAATTATAGACGCAATAGTTTCAACGGCGGGGCAGAAGGCATTGGGGATCGGACGAGAGCGATGTGCCGAGCTTGTAGCAAAGACTCTGATAGAGAGGGCTACGAGTCAGCGTACCGGCGTTGGTTTCGCGTTGGTGTCAAAAAAGAACGGCGGACCATCCGGACCGGAGCCTAACCCTATTTTCAGTCTTCGTGGACAAGTCGCCCTCGACCGTCACTCCGAGTTTCTGCGACTCGTCGACGCGTCGCGTCAGGGTGCCGCTGCAACCAGCATGCCGATATAACCTAGATGTGTGAGTGCAGGTCTATGTTGAAGGTCGCTCATCTCCATCATATTCGTCACATAAGCTCTAGTAATGGTCCAGAGATCAAATAAACGCAGGGAAGCCTCTGAACAGATGAAGTCCGGATCGTAGCCTGAAAGGTACGTAAACATTAATGATCCACCCTATCCGAAGGTGAAGAAATAATAGAAATTTCCACTACAGAACAGAACCACCCGATTCCGCCAGAAAAACTCGCCAGGCATTGCACTTGGCAGCCCTCTGTGTGGCTCTCTGTGGCGCGATACTCACCTCTGACTCTGCCTTGTTGGCTCTCGTCTCTCCCTGCGGTGTGCTTGAATACATCTTTCTTTCAATTTGTGCGTGCAATACGAAGGGACACTGAAGGTGCCACGTTGCTCCGCAGCTCACGCGTGGGTGCAAGAGCGCGATTCTGCATATCGAGCCTTACCCCGCCCTGTCTGCGCATCGCGCCCTCGGTAGGTGCACGTTTCTCCTTTGTCTTTTATCAAAAACTCAAGCTAAACTCTTGGTTGGAATGCGGTGTGTGAGACACGAGGACTGGCTGTTTCTCACCGTCAAAATCTATCTTCTGCAGCGCCGACATTTGGTACCCACCTCAGGTCCACTAGCTCGGCGCGTCTACCATTCCTCCTCGTTCGCCTACCGCCCCAGCTCTCGCACGCCTCTAGCATCACATTCAGCAATGCGAACGAGGCACTCTAGACATGCGGATAGTCCCGCATCTCTCCTACGTCATTACAGCTTCGCGCGTCCTGTGTCGCATAGCTTCGCATTCAGACCTACGAACAAGATGCTCTAAAGGTCCGGACGGTCTCGTCCTTTCCAAGGTGACACCCTTCCCGAACACATTGCAATCGCTTGTCGCCCGTCCCTCCAGATACTTGCTCTGAACACCTTCGATCGAAGTCGTGAGATTATTCCTGTCCCAACACCAAATTTCACGAGAAGTTGCATCCTATTAAATAGGCTCAGCCATGCCAGACACACACGGAGAAACAGTGGGATACATTAGTCACTACCAGCCTATCAAGAACAATGATAAGGCTAGAGGCTGGCGTAGAACAATTGTGGACCTGATTCCAGACGACCATGTCGCTAGGATGCTGAGAACATCTTCATGCACGAGCATCAAGTTGATCTAATGACAGTACGATCAGATGGGATGCAGAGTAAGAGGCTACCTACTGACGAGAGAGATACTTCGCGGTAAAAAAAAGAATATACATAGTCGTAAATCAACAAGGAGAGCCGTTGCTTCGGAACGACCCGGAAACCCGCCTTTGTGGGTCCATGTATGTCCTGAACATGCTCACTAGAAAGTTGCGACAGAACATCACCTTCAATATTTCAATGGGTGGAATGGATAGTTCTGAGAAGGTGAACTAAGGAATTGTCGAGGTGTGATTCCGTCGTCACAACCATTCCTGAGTTCGACCATCAGTTAAATTCAGGACCCCGAGAACTTGAACTGACCTATGACTCCGACCGCAGATCCGGTACTGCCATGAGAACAGGGCGTCGTGCGGCCGATCGCAGAGCATAAAACAAGTTGTTCTCTCTTGTTTGAGTCTCGTTGGACTCAAGATGTACAAGTCAGTATTCAAAGTCTATTGTTCTATCGTAGACTTACCGTGACGCTGACGCGACCGGACAGCATCTGGCCGTAGCGCTCATACAGTGTAAGTCAAATTGAGGTCTATTGTTCTGTTTCAGTCAAACTGATGTCCAAAGAGCACCTGCGAGTGACAACGGCAAACAAAAGAAGGTATAGTCTTCCGCGAGCCCTTCTCGTGTAGATATGAAGTAGCGCGGTTGTTTCCTCAGTCTCAGCAAACCCACTTGCATCCTCTCGATTCATTCCACCAGCAATGATCCACGAAACCAAGAATTACATCCCTCAACACAAGTTATCAGAGCTTTCCATACAGAGGCGCCGAAACTTCTTCATATGGGCTCCGTCAATGCGACTTGAGGGAGGTGAGTGGTTTCTGACGGAGTATATTCATGTGGCTGAATACAAATTTGCCATGATGAGGTCTCCATCTTGATGATCGCAATCCAATCACCGTGGCCAAGTTGTATCGTTGGTTCGCCCTCATAATGGAGGATTCCTCTCCATTCTGTCTCCACCCGGTTCATATTCTTCTTACCAATGCTATCTTCCGTTATCTCCCAGTGGCCGCCGGACATGCACTTGCTCGCGATTCACAGATATATATTACACCGGGTGACGTTGGGATATTCTTACCTGGTATGAAGTATTGTTGTGTCTTGATTCAGGAGTTCATACATGTCACTTACGCAGGTGAAGACCAGTCGAAGTACCAAAGCCAAATTCGCTTCAACAAAGAGTATTTGTCATACTGGGAGGAGGACAATTACTGGCCAGAAAGGCCACAGGCGGCATGTCTTAATCTCAGCATACGCAATCTCGTGTAGCTGATTCACAGTTTTGCCAGAACTACATGACTGAACCATTTGTGGAGGAGGTGCGGATACGGGACGGACGGCGCTGTGCAGTCACAGGGGCATCATCTGCAGAGGCATCTCTTACTGTGTGTTGGATTGTGCTTCCGTCAACCGCTGACAAGGTATAAGTCTTTACATTCGGTCCTCGGTTCTGTCTTGACTGATAAGTGGATCATTTGTGCTTAGGTTGAACAACTTGTGCTCCCAGACCTGACTCCAATCCGTGCTGATATGACACCGTACCTGGCGACGTCAAACGCATGGACACTACGCACTGACCTCGCCGAGATGTTCACGAATAATCAGTGGGGAGTCGATGTTGAGGTATGTGATGCCCTTCCAATATGTGCCATACCAATCACGTATCTTGACAGGACAACTGCCGTGTCGTGTTTTTTGGTCTGTATGACAGCTACGCACACCTCTTACCTCAAATCCCCTCCAATCTTCCTCTCGACACAGAATCTGGCCCAATTCGTGAACGGCTCAAGGAGCACTTTACACGGTGCTTAGCCTCGAATATTCTCGGTGGCGACATTCACGACAAGTACGACGGTTTCGACTTGAAAGGATACCTGGATGATATGGGATACTACGAGGATGGTATCGATTCGAGTGACCCCGCATGGCAAACCGAGCTTGGAAAAGAAGTTTGGGAACTGCTTATCAGACGGAGGTACGCAGAACGGCAGGTTCAGTAAGTGTTCGCATAGTCACAATTATATCTTCTAATACATTCATTTCGACAGGTCTCCTCGCTACATCAATGTTGGAGATGCTGGAGACCAGTAAATAACCGAAAATTGATTGTATTCTCCGTATAATGTATACTTAAGCCCATTAAGATAGTCATACGTGGAACATTAAGATGTCGTATCGGAAACATGCACTGTGTACCCAGAAAAGTGGGGATCGCCATTGGCAGGAAGGATTTGAAGGTGTCGTAGGACACTATCGTCGGCCAGAGTCTATCCCGCGGCTCTCTTAAGCCGTTTAATTGGCTTGCCGTTCCCTAGTACGCCGTTCGTCCGTCCGTCGTCCGTCCGTCCGTCCTCGGCGTTGCGGTGCCTTCCGTTTGTTGGGATGGATCCGGCACAGTGAGAAATCGCCTTCACTGCCGACTTGGGCCTCATCGACGAGCTATCCTGCTTGCGGATCCTGTCATCCTCCGGCAGTTGACGCCCCAAGAACTCCGTCCAGTAGTCGTTCCACCGCTCCGGCGTGTCCCACTGCGTCGCCTCATTGGGATCCCGCGGGTGATTCGAGTCCATCGAGCGCGACAGCCAATCCCTGAGATCCGCGTTGAAGTTCGCCGCGTCGATATACGTCCGATTCTCCTTGACGTCCAGCTGGCCTGTTCCCGGCTCCATCGTCTGGAACGTCGTGTGCGTTACCTCAGGTACGTCCCCCACGCGGACCTCCCGGCGGTTGTGGAGCAGGGCCTGAACGACCTGCTTCGTGTCCTTGCAGTGCGCAGGATGCTGGAGCCAGTGGAGGCCACAGTACGCGACGACATACAGGAGTGCCTCCATGTCATCCTGTAACATGTGCCTCCGCTGGCTTCGCACCTCGAGACGCTGCGACAGGAACATGCGCGTGCCCTGTCGGGATGGATTTTAGCAAGTAGCGGCGTGGGAGACGGAGGGCGCTGCGTACCACGATGTACTTGTCCGTCGCCTGCCCGTCCTCCTGTACCTTCGACGAGAGCTCCCAGTCGATCAGGTAGCCTGTCCAGTGGTCTTGGTACGGCTTCCGGTACAGCATAATGTTGCCCGCGCTGATGTCTCGATGGATCCGCCGTGCCTTTGCGTGCGCAGCAATGAGCGCTAGGTTATCAGACAAATCTGTATGAGCCGACAGAATGCCCAAAAAGTGGCGGCAGGCTTACCTTGGAACGCGTCGTGTGCCGCGTTGAGCAGCTCTTTCGTGCCTTGCAGCGTCTGAAGCGGGAAGCCAACTTCCTTAAGGATAAGACAGTGGTGGACCCGCGGGTGCACCACAATCCGCGCACCGCCGTGACATACTCAGTCGGCCTCTCGGTATAAGTGCGACTCGGTGCACTGGAAGGCTGGACGAAGACACGAGTGAGTCGGACACTCACTGAACAGTAACAAGCTGATACTCACACGGTTGTTGTTGGCCCGCCTTGCTCCGAGTCGTCCTCTCGAAATTCGCCATGGCCGAGAACCGCGTGAGCATCCCGTCGGAGTACATCACCTTCGGAACATCTCCGTCGTGTTCCACATGCGGGACGTTCTTCACCACATGTGCCTCCAGCTCCTTCAGTATCCGGCCTTCGGGCTCAAGGATGTACTGCCGCCAGGTATCCTTCAAGAAACCGACTCTGCCGTCCATCACCGCCCAGTATCCGCGCATCGCGCCCTGCCTCATCGAGAAGTTCGTAGCGATCGGCCTCGACACGAGACACCGCTTGAGCCTCCCGTCCTCCGCACAGACGGTCAGCGCCGCGACGCGCCCCGCCTCGTAATGCAGCGCCACGGTCTTCTCAAGGAGCGCACGCTGCGCCTCGTACTCCGCCCGCACCTTGTCCTTGACCTCACCCCCCGGAACGTCCACCAGCTTTAGGTCGAGCTGTTCCCGAACGTGGCACGAAACCAGCTGGCGGAACAGACGCTCCTCGCCGCCCGACGCGCGCTCCACCGTCGGGTCGTACCCGCGATCGACCGTGGACGCGTGCGAGAACCTCCACAGGAACTCGCACAGCACTTCGGGCTTCTCCCGGAGGCCGAACGACTCCGACGCGACCACGCCGCTCATGTCCCAGCGCAGCAGGCGCGCGCGCAGCCCGTCGACCGACACCGAGAAGTAGTGCGCCCGGTGTTGGTGCATCGGTGCATTGGTGGCCCAGCGGACGGTCCGCCCCATCGCCTGCCGCGCCTTCATGCGATTCGTCTTCTCTGTGTCGGGCTGCGAGAGGACGAACTTGTGCCGCGCGCGGTCGGCGGAAGGCTTCGGGTCGCGGAAGAACTCGTCGTGGTCGCTGCTCTGCACGTCGATAAAAAGTTCCCCGGCGTACTTCGCGGCTGCCTCGTTGTCCGACCCGATAGCTAGAGCTGCCCTGTGCAAGTTGGTGGGAGAATATCAGGACATAACGACGCTATGTCTGGTGGACTCGTACTTCGAGGACGTACATAAGGTATCGGAATTAACATCCATGTTTCCGTATCTGACTACCTTATTGGGACAGAGTTTGATGTCAAGTCCGGGGCATTGTGTTTGAACTCGAACCCTGGGCAACGGTCCTGGTCCCCGATGGCCGCCAACTGCGGCCACACGCGCACGTCAACTCCAACCAGCGCCACGGTAAACAGAGCGTTATCACTCACCAACCGGGAGGCCACATCAGGCTCGTCGACGGCCTGCGCGCCGCGTGCTTCGCAGGGAGAAAGTCGAGGAAGTCCTCGACGGGCACGGGCCCGAGGACGAACCCTTCCGCTTTGTCAGCGTGGAGTTCGTTGTCGTCGTCTGAACGACGCAGATTTTCCCGCTCGGCGTTCTCTTTGCCAGCCAAGGGCGTCCAGTCGGATGTGACGCTGTGTGGGGTGGGTGGCAATGAGAGGCCGGCTTCGCCAGGTAAGGTTGACGGGCTGGGAGCGCGAGATCTGGAGCTGGACATTGTTGATGTTATTGATAGACGAGTAAACGGTGGTGGTGGTGGTAGTGGTGGTGGAAGAAGCAATTAAACAGAGGCAGCCATTTGCCTGTGCTTTTAACTTTCGTGTGGCACACACCACATGATCGCGTTTCACCACAGAACGCGCAGTACGAACTATCCTGGTACACACCAGTGTGCTAGGCGTAGTTCTAGCTGAGAAATGAGAATTTCAGTGAGACGTATGTTTAGAAAACCTCAGCATACCAGACGCGATGCTCACCTCTACCGCACTACGCCACTAAAAAGTAGCCCAATTAGGTCGGCCGAGGAATCTCGCAGGTCAACTCGTCCGCCTGCTGACCAGCGTCACCGACATCCGCGAAGTCCTCATACCACGCGGTCGATGCGGACTCGCGCTTTGATACGTACTGCTACCGCGGAGGCGACTGTCAAGGAGGTGTCGCGCGAGATTCCACGGCGGGCGAAGAAATGAGACCGGTAGACGTATGCGTCTCGTGCCTCTAAGTACGGCCAGAAACGCGATGCACAACCTCAGCCGGCAGCTGCTGAGTTGGTGTTGGCCGAGAGGAAGTCGGACGAGCGAACGTCTTCGAAATGTGAGCCAATCGACAACAGCGACACTCGCATCACCGCAGTAGGCAAGAACGTCGATATTCGAGCGTCGCCAGGATCGAAAGTTTGACGCGGATCAGTGTACGGTAGCCTGGAGGCTATGATGTCATGGGCGAACCGGTTGTCGACTAGGATATTGACCGAAAACGTTTCCCGAGAAGTGCGTAGAGACAGGGTCTGCGCCGCGGTCTCGTAGATAATCCTGCAATAGTCCGCATAGCACGCGTTGTGGAGTTGGGATGAGGCCGTAGCAGATCCTCGCTGGCCGGTTCGAAGAGCGCGTTTCTTTCGCTATGCGATATCTTCACCGCGTAGATGGAGCTCGTGTTGCAGTTTGTCGAAGAGCATCGTAGACTTTATCCACGCCGGGCGCCAGCGCGATAGCGTATTCGTGCACCATCTGGACCCTTCAGGAGAAGGTGCCATTTGATGCACGGAGGCGTCATCGGACTCGCAGGCCACACCAAGGAGTCCCGCGGGCGTTACGTGACGAACCATCGGACATTGCGGCACATACTGGAACCCTGATCACAGCTAGATCTTAGCGAAAGAATGAAGCGTGTTATTCAATACATCAAACAACGTACGTGAGCGATGTCACCAAAGTAGAGTGCATATCCATGAGATCGTCTGCGAAGTAAAGTTGAGAAATATATGACAGTGTCATACTTGAGCACGAGGCAGTTGGCATAGAAAGCTCGGCGCTGCAGATGTTCCTTGAACCGGGCACCTTGTTACAAAAGAATGGTGGGGACGCAGATTAACGCGGATCTGTTATTCTATCAGACAGAGACTTCCGTAAATTACTACACCTTCTGTATAAGGCCGCAGGCTAGATCGTGGTAGAATCATCTGTTCAGAGACTTTTCTGCGTTTACTTGATCTCTCGACCAGTACTAGTGCTTAGGTGACGAATATATGTATAGAGATTAGCGACCTTCGACATAGACCGGGATTTACCAGACACTCACCCATCTAGGATGTATCGGCCATGCACGCTGGTTGCAGCGGCACCTTGACACAACACGTCGACGTCGCTGAGACTCTCAGACGACGTGTTCGCGAAGACTGAGATTAGGGTCAGGGCCTGCTCCGGTCCGGATTTATCCGCCGTAGATTTGTGCCGTTCTGCTACTCCTAGCCTGAGTATGACGTCGTCCTCTCTGCCACTGTCGGAGTCTTCGCTACGAGCTTGGCGCATCGCTGCCTTCCCCGACTGCCCTGCCGCTGAACGTATCGCGTCTACAATTTTGAACCATTTGTTTTCCTGGGAAGAGGTTCACTCGTCGTGATGTAGAGCATCGAGTATCTAGAGTCCGCAATCGTGCCCCTTCGTTCAAGCTTCAAGCTTTCACAATTTCAAGTTCCAACTCTTTTCGAAGACTTAATTGTAGAAGGCGCCATAAATGTTCATGAACGACTCTTTCTTGGTCTTGTTCTGCCTAGCTCTACTCGCTCTTCTGTTCCGAGCCACGCTCTTCGTCTGGGTCTGAGAGAGTGGTGTCGCACTCTACCGCCTGTCGATTCCGCTGGCCATATTCCCTACCACTCTCCTTCATTCCGCCTGTTACACAAGCCGCTACCTAGTCTTTCTTTCGTGTAACTCTGAGGATCACCCGTTAAGGAATGGGAGCTGCTTTGATCGTCCATGCAGGTGTTCTCCTACCTGAGTCTGCATTGATGCACCCACATTCTCAATGGTTTTCAGACCCATTTCCCGGTTGGCGAACGGCTGAGTGTGTCATGGGGGTGGTTGTCATGTAGGGCTGTCCTCGCGTTTCACAGGTATGTAAGTGTGATTCTTCGTGTCAATCTTATAATATTTGACCTCCATCTCCACAGCAGTTGCGCATCCACCACTCTTTCTTTTCGCTGTTAATCTTGAAGAAAAGCGATGCGGAGATGACGACGGTATCGCGTTCGCTGATTACACGATGTGGATGCGTAGTGCCAAGCCAGTCGTCTACGCCACTCCTCCAGGTCCTATTCTATCTCAAGTGTCAATTTTCACTGATTTGGAGGATGGTTAGACTCATGAGGACGATGACATGGTTGTTAAGCACTCAACGTGGATGTTCGCTGATCGTCCTGATGTTAGTCTCGTCTTTGGGTTTGTTCGTCTTCCCCGCCGCACGCCCGCATCCTTTGGTAATTATTTTCGGCGTTCAATCGCAGAAGATGAGCGGCCCCATACTCAATTGGTCCGCGATGTGAACCTGATTCAATCATCGCAAGCAATTCCCACAACGGACGCGCCTTCCGTCTCGATTCTTGAGGTCTCTGTGTAATCCATCCGCGTCGCTCCGCCGCGCCCTCCTGCAGCGGCCCCCCGTTTCTAGCTCGTTCTGTTCAGCCCTGCGAACGAGACGCCGTTCTCGTCGTTGGAGCTTAACCGGTGAGTTCAATTGTTGCTGGGGACTCCGTCCGCGAGTTCTGTTATTTATTTCGGCTCTGTCAAGCCCCGATGATTTTGATCGTGTATTGGAGATGCTAACGATCGTTCTCGCAGATTCCACATATTGGAATATATTGGAATATATTGTTCCTCGGTGCGCGTGTGTGATATCCATACCTTGAAGCTTGTTCCTATGCGTTACTCCCGGTTTTCGGCCCAAGTTTGTGCACGGAATGCAAGAGATGAGTACGCCGATGTCCTCGCTAGCTCCGCACTATCAGAAATTGTTTGATTCTCTTTTTCAGCAGTACTCGCGCATGCGAGATATCCCACGTCACCTCTAACATCCTGGCACATCCTCCGTTCCACCTGGCTCGCCTGCCTCGTCCCAGCCGCCCACACGCGTCGATAGACTCGACGTCGTATTGAGGACAAATGGTGCAAAGACGCTGACAGTGCACGATAGGCCATCATCGTGACTTCCGCAAGAGCGACAAAGTCCCGAATGCTAGCGTACAGTTCCTACTCGACGTCTGCTCATCCCCGCATCGGTCCTCCCCCTCCGCAACCTCTCCTTTAAGTCAGCGAAGGTCCTGAGGAGGAGCGGATGAAACATGGATACGGTTTCGCTTTGTGGATGAGCGATGCTCGCGTAAGGTACGCATGCTCACATACCCGGCGAACAAGAAGCTTTAGAGGTGCAGACGATGCTGCACTGGAGGTTCTATTCCCGGGCATGGGTAGCGCTCGAGCGCTGATATCTATCATGCTACTCGCGCTCCACTCAGCGGCACCATCCCTGTGTCAGTGCCCCTTTCCACTCTGTTTTAGGCCTTCTAGCGAGAGACGACAGGAACAGTGGTGGGCCAGGACGATTTTCATACATGTATCTCATGGTGCTCGCATGCTCACATGAGTCGACGGCCGATTGCACTCGTTGTGCCAGATGCTGAAGATGTCCTATCGTCCTCTACACTGAGTTCCTCCCCAGCAGTAAAGGCAATGTAATTCGGCATTCCCCATGACCATGGCGCGATCGGGCTGGCACTGCTCGCGAGCAGACGGCATGGACGTCTGCAGCTCAACAAGTCGCATCTTGATCCCTCTTCACGACCCTCGATTCCGTTTTCGGCCGCTACTTCGAACACCTCATCGCCTCTCGCTACGCCATCGGTATCTCGGGTGCCCTCTGCGACCTGTTACACCATGGCGTGTCATCGTATCAGCCCGTATTGATGGTGCCTCCGGCGTCCGGTGTCCATCAGGAGGAGCTTGGTGCCACGATCAACGTGGTCCCCTCCTAAGTTACATGACATCGAAGTGACGCGCGTCTCACGTGTAAATGTCAGCTAAGAAGGTCGAAGGCGGGTATCCAAATTTGTATCAGTATACCGGCCGCAATATTTCCCTGTCCATAAATTTGGCTCAGACGTCCTCTGCGGGGCATGCGTGCGTAACCCTCGACTTTCGTTTTTGTAGCCCACACACGCGTCCCTCCGTATCCTGCCTTCTGACGTAATGAAATCAACCATTTCGTTATTTACTCTGTTGAGTCGCACTGGCGTCGCGGCTATTGTGCTCGTGTTTAAAAAAATGTGCTCCATTGCATGAAGATACCCGTCATTGAACGGAAAGAAGGTTCCAACCACTGAGTCGCATCGTCTTCTACGTTGGCACGTTCAGGGGCTCTTTAGCAGAGTCGCCCATCGTTCCGGGGCAGTCAGTATCTGTGAGGTGAGGCTGTCTGAGAGTCTTCTCTTGAGCATGCCTGACGTGAACTTAAACAGTTACTGTGCCATGTTGATTGTGTTCGATGTGATTCCTCCGAGAAGACTGGTCATCTATCCAGAAACTTCCCAATTTCCTTGCTTCAGCTGCTCGCATGTGAGAGCTGTCCATCGTCCTCCGCAGACTCAACGCTGATGGTCTGAAATCCTCATTTCCTCGATTCTTATATCCAGGTCCATTGTACATTGCAGGCGTAGCGGTGTAGTGCGAGATTTTTCTTATTCTTTCTGGTTCTGACGTGCCCTTAAGTACGGCCGTGGATGCTGGATGTTTAATAGATCTAGGTTCATGGAGATCGTTCTGAGGGATACTAGGCATGAGGTACCATTTGCGAAGCCATGCGGATGGCTACTGGCCCGGTGATTCTCCTTGATTTGATTGAACTGGGTGAAGTAAAATTTTAGGTTCGAATAGAAGTCCTGACGCCTTTCCTGAACTAGACTCTGGGCTGAGCCTCTACTTTCCTCGCAACTTTATCATCATCGTTGTGACGATGCCTGCAGGACGTAATTGCGGCAGGCAGTTTCTGTCAATACGGCTGATGTAAGTACTTAATCTGCTTTTCCAAATCCTGCATTCCGCTCGTGCTCTAAAAACAAAAAGCTTGTAACAATCCTTGTTGTTGCCTCCACCTGGCAGCAAGCTGTGGTAGGTTTTCAGGCTTCTTATAGCATAACAGACTCACTTAGGAGGTGTATTCACTATCTAACTCCACAGAATACCGTCAGGTGCTGATGAATCAAATGGGATGGATTGGAGGAAACTTTCTGACGACGAGCTTGAGTAGACACAGAGAAGATCGCCGTCTCCCGTGTTGCGGCCTGTGCGACATCTGAGAAGCAAACATTGAAGATAGCATGCATGCAAATCTCAGCTCACCATGTATTCACGGTACAGTTCTCTCGTCGCAAAATTGACTCTTTGTTACTCGAAAGACTGGTGGTCCTGAACAATACCACGGGCAATATGAAGCTTGATTGTCCGAGGACGGACTGCCTTCTGATACGAATCCGTCTGTATCACAGGATGTTCCCGCTGAAAATTCTCGGACCGTACTGATACAGTACCCGCAGTTATTGCTCTGCTATTGACTGACGTGGTACGCACAGCATCAGCGTCTGCCGGCGCCCGACTGCTGCCATACTAGCATAAGTACCTTTGCTGCTGAGAGAAAGTCAGTATGTTAATTGCATCAAGATATGCAGTCACGAACCTTACGGTCTCTTCAGCCGCGGCGTGGAAGCTCATACGAAGTCTGCTCCAGGCGTCGGAGAAGTATGTCAGAAATCACAAGACGCCGCTACGAATTTTCAGTACGTCTGTCCTTCAATTTGAACCGAACTGAATCCTCAGAGCGCTCACGCAGACATGCGTTACAATCAATCTAAAGCCAACGGCACAAGCGTGCAGCGGCCGTGGCCAACATCTCCTGAGGCATCACCACTGGGATTCGACCGTTGGTGGCGTTCAAGCTGTATTTGAGCGCATGTTTCAGAGGGTCCAATGTAAAACTGAGATTATAGAACTCATGAATACATCCGGTAAATCGTCCGGGTGCAATGGCGTGTCCTCTCTCCTTCCGAGTCACGGGCACGAGACCGTGATGCGTCGCGTCTCCGCGCGTCCCCAGTACTCTTGCGCAATTAGCTGACAGTAATTGATCAAGAACGATTGCATTGCTGAGGTGAGAAGTAAATTCGGTCCTCTTTACTGGTGTCTATGCCAGTGACAACGTGAAGTTCGGTCACCACCCGACAACCTGGGAGAAAATATCCCATGCAGCATTCCATTCAGCACTCGTCTGTACGGCCAATCCACCCGAAAGGTCCCTCGTATCACCGATATACTTTCAAATGCCACGGAACTTCTCAGAAAGATATGCGAGAGCTCAAGAATTACAGGGGGGCTACCAACGTACCTTCCAAGAAAAAGCTGTCTACATGAGCGTGAACGGACTGATCGATTCTGCTGCCCAAAAAAATACCAGGGTGTAGCAGCGGTGCAGCATGGTCGCACCACTGCGCAATCCTGAGATTAATTTGTAGGTACGTCGCTGGACTCAGTGCCCGGGACGCCTCCCGCCCATCTGGACGGCGCTCCTGCGCAATGTCGCGCGGAGTCATGCCGCGACCGGTCGATTTTGTGCTTCCCAGGAAAATACCATGACACAGGTATCCTCCAGGAAGTTTCACAGTACCGCCTGCACCTCTCTAGTATTGGTGAGGAACTCGCAGACAAAAAAGAAAGGTCCTCTTTAACTGAAGTTGTGTCCGATGTACACATAGCTACAGCTCGAGCGAAAGCATACGATGCACTCACCGATATATAACTTCTATTCCTGTGTTCAGGATTTTCATGAAATATTTGCACGCCGCGACAGAGATACACACCGCTTGCACTAAGGGAAATCTTCAGCGCGTAGATAGAGCTCGTGTCGCGGGTTTGTCAAGGAGCATCGCAGATTTATCCACGCCAGACGCCAGCACGATAGCGCATTCGTGCACCATCTGGACCCTTCAGGAGAAGGTGCCATTTGATGCACGGAGGCGTCATTGCACTGGCAGTCTCGCGGGCGTTACGTGACGAAACATCGGACATCGCGGCACATACTGGAACCCTGATCACAGCTAGATATCAGCGAAAGAATGAAGCGTGTTATTCAATACATCAAACAACGTACGTGAGCGTCGTCACCAAAGCAGAGTGCGTATCCATGGGATCGTCCGCAAAACCATCACGCTGCCAGCATTGCCCGCTTACCGAACCTGCTGAGTGGAAGGCTTGCCAGTGGGAATGGGAGCATGGGGAACGGGAACATGAGAAATCCTGAGCTTGAGACCTGCATGGGACACGTAAATTAGCCCACGTGGTGAAATAAGAGCGCATTGTACTAACCAAGCTCCTCAACGATCAAGTCCGCAGCCTTCTCGCCGACGAGAAGAGCAGAGGAGTAGGTGTTGGTACCCAAGTTATCCTGCACACATGACAGTCAGTGTACAGAGACGGCTAGAAAAAACTGGTACTAAGCGGGTAGATACTGAGGTCGGCACACTTCAGGTTTTCAGTGCGATATACGCTCATGCGCTTGTCGACCGCCCCGCCCTGCTCGCGCAGCTTCATGACACAAGTACCTTCAGATGCGGGATGAGCCGATATTCTGCGCATTAGAATAACGGGCCAACATACCCATGGAGTGCCAGGTAGTCTCGACGGGGTCCGCAACACAGTTGTCGACGGCCTCATCGTGCTCCTTGGTGTAGACGATGTCCTCGTGCTCCTTGGAAGCGTCGTACGGCTCGCCGGGCTTGTGCCATGTTCCTGCAGAATTCGTTCAGCGTCATCGGCATAAATCAACTTGGCTCTAGATACTAACCCATGTGAATGCCAACAGTGAGACCGTCGGGGTAAATCTCCTTGGCAGTCCTGATGTCGATGTCCTTCGCCGCGGCGGGAGAAGCGGGGTGGAAGTGCGGGTGGTGAGACGTCAACTCTCCGCGGAATGCTGCGACGTTCATATTAGAAAATGAATCGATGAAGGGAGCACACAGACTCCAACACACGTACCGTCCATGCGGCGGGCAATCTCACGCGTCTTCTTGTAGCTCTACCGGATAAGAGCGAAGTCGGCCTTGTTGTTCATAAACCCGCTGTCGAAGAACGGCTCGACGTAAGGATTCTGCGACTTGACGTGGATCTAAACAAAAGGATATGTGAGTCGCGGTGCAAGGTGAGGGAACTTCCCTAGGGCTCTTACCTTGCCACGGCTAGCAGGGTACTCGAGGTATTGGAACCTGCAGTCCCGTTGAATGTTCAATTCCTGTGCGTACCAGAACAAAGCTATACGTACATCGTGATGGACTTGCCAGGGGGTAAGAGCGTATGGTCGGCGTAACCACCAGATACGATGGACCCAAACCTGCGAACGGCATCCATTCAATGACCTATAATATTAGCCACAACACGACACTACATGACGGGCTTGTCGGGCTTGTTCTTGAAGTACCTGTCCCAAAGTTCGTTGAACTCGGGACCCATCTTCTTGAGCTCCGCCCCCGTAGGGCGGATCTGGAATTTTACAAGACGATCAACTCATACTCAGTTGGAAATGGAAAATGACGTACCTTGAGCCCAGCGTCGATGCTGTTCGACGAGAGGCGTGCCTTCTCAGGACTAGTCTCCCACTCAGCGAAAAGCTGACTATTATGTTAGGGGGTAGATACGTAGGAGTAGAAGGTATAAATACTAACCTCCTTCTGGACCTCCTTCACACCACGGAGGAACACATCGGTGGTGACCGTCTCGTTGGAGACGCGATAAACTGGATTACGGAAATTCAGAAGCAAGAAATATCACAGCGAATGAGTAATAACTCACGAGTCAAAGTTGTGTAGTGGTCCTGATATTCCTCGCTGTAAAGTGATTTCAGTTAAAGCTGGATACAGTACGACGCGTAAGACATACCCAACGCCCGGCAAATCGCTGACAACTTTGATATCAAGCTGGCGTAGCAACTCGGCGTTACCGACACCGGACATACTTCAGTACGAGGCAGTTGGCATAGAAAGCTCGCCGCTGTAGACGTTGCTTGATCCGGACACACTGTTACAAAATAATGGTGGGGACGCAGATTAACGCGGATCTGTTACTCTATCAGACAGAGTTTTCCGCGAATTACTACACCTTCTGTATAAAGCCGCGATCTAGATCGCGGTAGAATGACTGCGAAACTGAAAGGCACAGCAAAATGCCGAAAGGTTATGAGTGAAGTGATTCTTACCATGTTATCATGCTAGACAAGCGTGTCGTATTCAATAACATATCGAGGAGATCGGACTGATCCCTGGACGATACAACCGGGTGGGACCGCCTCTGTGTACGATGCCGCTGCCTGCTGGAACATGTAAGAGATGTAACGACGAGCGACGAATGAGAATCTGATACTAGTGGACGTCATCTGCAGCGAGACTTACGAAGGCGACGGTTGAAGACCAACATCGAAATGAAGCTGGCTGCCTGGCGGAACGTTGAGCATAAGGACGAATAGAGAGAGGCAACGATATAATTTACATGGCCACCCACACAGAGACTACGGAGACGGAAACGAGAAGACGACCAGTGCAACGAAGACGACGAAGAGGCGAAGGAGGAAGAGGGGAGACGAGTCGGAGCAGAAGAACTGGAGAAGATAAGAACTCGATCGATGCCCAGCGCTAGCGCTCCAGCAGAAAAACATAGCAATGTATAAACCGTGAAAGACGTCGACCAGAACAACGCCAAGTACACACATCACCGAAGTCAGATACTCAATGCAATCAGTCTTGACTGCAGTCGGTCGCAAAAGCGAGCCGCTTTCCTTGCTTTCCCGGCACTTCAAAAGCAACGTAGTGTGGTCAAGTACAACTAGATCTAGAGTCTGTAAAACGCCCAGTGAACAATGCGCCGATGCTGTGAGTCGGGCGCGCGTCCAGTACCCAGAAACGCGGGGATCGCCATTGGCAGCAACAGTTTCAGTGTGTCGTTAGGACGCCAAGGTCTATCCCGCCGCCCTCTTCAGGCGTTTAACTGGCCTGCCGTTCCCTAGTACGCCGTTCGTCCGTCCATCCTCCGTCCGTCCTCGGCATTGCGGCCCCTTCCGCTTGTTGGGATGGATCCCGGCACGATGAGAAATCGCCTTCACTGCCGACTTGGGCCTCATCGACGAGCTATCCTGCTTGCGGATCCTGTCATCCTCCGGCAGTTGACGCCCCAAGAACTCCGTCCAGTAGTCGTTCCACGGCTCAGGCATGTCCCACTGCGTCGCCGCATTTACATCCCGCGGGTGATTCAGGTCCATCGAGCGCGACAGCCAGTCCTTGAGATCCGCGTTGAAGTTCGCCCCGTCGACGTACGTCTGGTTCTCCTTGATAGCCAGCTTGCCCTTTCCCGGCTCCATCATCTGAAATGTCATGTGCGTCACCCCAGGTACGTCCCCCGCACGGACCTCCCGGCCATTGTGGAACAGCGCCTGAACGACCAGCCTCGTGTCTCTGGAATGCGCAGGATGCTGGAGCCAGTGGAGGCCACAGTACGCGACGACATACAGGAGTGCCTCCATGTCGTCCTGCAACATGTGCCTCCGCTGGCTTCGCGCCTCGAGACGCTGCGACAGGAACATGCGCGTGCCATGTCGGGATGGATTTTATCAATCATGGACGGCGGGAAGTGAAGGGCGATGCGTACCACGATGTACTTGTCCGTCGCCTGCCCGTCCTCCTGGACCTTCGACGAGAGCTCCCAGTCGATCAGATAGCCTGTCCGATGGTCTTGGGACGGCTTCCGGTACAGCATGATGTTGCCCGCGCTGATATCTCGGTGGATCCGCCGTGCCTTGTCGTGCGCAGCGATCAGCGCTAGGTTACCAGACAAATCTGTATGAGCCGACAGAATGCCCAAAAAGTGGCGGCAGGCTTACCTTGGAACGCGTCGTGTGCCGCGTTGAGCAGCTCTTTCGTGCCTTGCAGCGTCTGAAGTGGGAAGCCAACTTCCTTAAGGATAAGACGGTGGTGGACCCGCGGGTGCACCACAATCCGCGCACCGCCGTGACATACTCAGTCGGCCTCTCGGTATAAGTGCGACTCGGTGCACTGGAAGGCTGGACGAAGACACGAGTTAGTCGGACACTCAGTGAACGTATCGAGCTGATACTCACACGGTTGTTGTTGGCCCGCCTTGCTCCGAGTCGTCCGCTCGAAGTTCGCCATGGCCGAGAACCGCCTGAGCATCCCGTCACAGCACATCACCTTCGGAACGTCTCCGACGTGTTCCACATGCGGGATGTTCTTCACCCTATGCGCCTCCAGCTCCCTCAGTATCCGGCCTTCGGGCTCAAGCACGTACTGCCGCCAGGTATCCTGCAAGAAAACGACCCTGCCGCCCACCACCGCCCAGTACCCGCGCATCGCGCCCTGCCTCATCGAGAAGTTCGTAGCGACCGGCCTCGAGACGAGACACCGTTCGAGCCTCCCGTCCTCCGCACAGATGCGCCCCGCCTCGTAATGCAGCGCCACGGTCTTCTCAAGGAGCGCACACTGCGCCTCGTACTCCGCCCGCACCTCGTCCTTGACCTCCGCCCCCCTCCGGAACGTCCATCAGCTTCAGGTCGAGCTGGTCCCGGACGTGGCACGAAACGAGCTGGCAGACAGACGCTCCTCCCCGCTCGACGCGCGCCCGACCGTGGACCCGTGCGCGAACCTCCACAGGAACCCGCACAGCACTTTGTGCTTCTCCCGGAGGCCGAACGACGCCTGCGCGATCAGCACGCTCATGTCCCAGCGCAGCAGGCGCGCGCGCAGCCCGTGGATCGACACTGAGAAGTTGTGCACCCGATGATGGTGCATCGGTGCATTAGTGACCTGGCGGAGGTTCCGCCCCATCGCCTGCCGCACCCTCGCCCGGCTCGTCTCCTCCGCGTCGGGCTGCGAGAGGACGAACTTGTGTCGCAGCGGAACGGCTTCAGGTCGCGGAAGAACTCGCCCTGATCACTGCTCTGCACGTCGACGAACAGCTCCCCTGCGTACTTCGCCGCCGCGGCGCTGTCCGACCCGACAGCTAGAGCTGCCCCGCGCAAGTTGATGGGAGAATATCAGGACATAACGACGCTACGTCTGGCGGACTCGTACTTCGAGGACGTACATAAGGTATCGGAATTAACATCCATGTTTTCGTATCTGACTACCTTATTGGGACAGAGCGGGCTTAATCGATGTCAAGTCCGGGGCAGTGTGTTCGAACCCTGGGCAACCGGCCGTGGTCCCCGATGGCCGCCAACTGCGCCCAGAGCGCACGCCAACACCAACGAGCGCCACGGCGAACGGAGCGTGATCACTCACCAACCGGGACGTCGACGGCCTGCGCGCGCCGGGAGGAAGTCGACGGGCACGGGCCCCCTCCGCTTTGTCCGCGTGGAGTTTCGTTGCGACGCGGAGTCTCGGGCTCGGCGTGCTCTTCGCGTCCAGTCGGAGGGGACGCTGTGTGGGGTGGGTGCCAGGGAGAGGTCGGCGGGTACGGTTGACGGGCTGGAGCTGGACATTGATACATGAGTATATGGTTGTAGTAGTGGTGGTGGTGGAAGAAGAAATTGAAGAGAGGCAGCCACTTGCCTGCGTGCGCTTCTAACCTCCGTGGCACACCCCACGTGATCGCGTCTCACCACAGAACGCGTACGAACTGTCGTGCGAACACGCCCAGCGCGCTCGGCGTAGCTCCAGCCTGCAAAGTAAGAATCTCGCCCTTCGCCGATACACATGGTTAGACAACCTCGGCGTACCGGACGCGACGCCCACCTCTACCACCAAAGAGCAGCCCAACTAGGTCGGCCGAGGATCGCGGGTCAACTCGTCCGCCTGCCGGCCGGCACCACCGACATCCCGCGGAGTCCTCGACCACGCGGCGAACGCGGACTCGCATCAAAGCGCTTTGATACCCACTGCTACCGCGGAGGCGAAGCTATCGAAAAAGTCTCGCGCGCGATTCGACGGCGGGCGAAGAAACGAGATCCGGCAGACGTATACGCGTTCTCCTGCCTCGAAACGCGACGCATAACCCCAGCCGGCCGCTGCTGAGGCCTGAGGGTCGATGCTGGCCGCGAGGGGAGTCGGGACGAGCGAGACGTCTACGATGGGCCGATGGACAACGGCAACACGCTCCCATCGCCGCGGTAGGCAAGAAGGTCGATATGCAAGCGTCGCCGGGATCAGAAGTCGGAGCGGATTCGGCGTACGGGAGCCTGCAGGCTATGGACCGAAAACGTATCGAAGTCGGTCGGGTGAACGCGCGGGCTTTGATACCCGCTGCTACCGCGGAGACGACTGTCGAGGAAATCTCGCTCGCGCGCGCACGATTCGACGGGATGGCGGGCGAGAAGAAACGAGATCGGGCGGACGCGTATGCCTCCCTCCCTGCCTCGAAGTAAACGGCCCGAAACGGAAACGCGACGCATAACCTCAGCCGGCCGCTGCGGAGCGCTGAGGGGTCGATGCTGGCCGAGAGGGAGTCGGAGTCGGACGAGCGACCGTCTACGATGGGCCGATGGACAACAACGACGCTCCCATCGCCGCAGCAGGCAAGAACGGTCGATATTCGAGCGTCGCCAGGATGCGAAGTCGGAGCGGGTGGGCGTACGGTAGCCTGCAGGTAATGCCGTCATGCGAACCTGTTGTCGACTGGGATATTTGACCGAAGACGTTAACCCGAGAAGAGACGGCGGGGTCCGCGCCGCGGACTCGAAGTGGCTGGAGTTGGGACGAGGCCGGCTAGATCCTCGCTCGCCGGTTCGAAGGGCGCGTTTCTGGGGCAGCGAAACGCGAGCAGGGGTGCGCGCGATTCGTCTCAGCTCACCACCCTTGTGGTGTGCAAAATCTGCGGATGAGAAGCGAGCGGTGACATTTGCGGCCAATTTGCGGTGTCCCCTGCGAGATCAGAAGCCTCTGGCGCGGTTCGGGGGGGGGGGCATAATCGCGGAAGGGGGACATGCAAAGAACGCGTGGAAAGAAGAGCGGTGCTGTTTTTGGGGAGACGTTCATGGGAAGAGGGACAATTTGCTCGCGGTCGTCAGAAATGGACGGCCTGGGATTGGCTATGGGCCAGCTGAGATTGGGATCGCTCGCATTTGCGCGGGTGCGGCGAAAGAGTTCTGGCCCACGTCCGTGGAGAGGAGGAATGGCTTGGCACGATGGAACGGCTGCACTTGTGGAAAGGATGAGATTGCGGGACTGTTGAGTGGGACCGGGTACGTACGTCTCGACTTCTCTGAAATTGGATGACGAACTCTAGCTTGCAGACGTTGTCCTGAGCGTGTTTGATCCGGACTGGGAGTGCTTGACAGCTCAGGTGCACGACAAGGGATAGGGTTAACAAAGCCGCACAGATGGCACGTCATGAACAACAAGACGACGTCCGAGTGCACGACCGACACGCTCCAGAAGCTTCATATTTGCGGGCCAATATTCGTGGGGTACTCTGAGCACAAACAATTGGACAAAAAAGCGGGCGCTTGAGCGTTGACGACATTGACTCGGGAATGGCGCTCCCGTGCAAGGACTATTTCTGGACGACCGACGACCGCGGATCCTGAGGTCAGAAGCAGCAGTGCGCAAAAAAGGAGATCTTCCGCATGGTCTGAGGCTGCGGCGGCGGCCGTGGAAGACTCTGGGGAGTGATAGTGGTTAGGCTGCTGCAGATCCTGCATCCACAGAGAACGGGCGAGACGCGAGAGAAGTGATGGAGGTGGTCGAACACGTGTCCTGTGGCGCAAAGGAAATGGCACGCCGGGGGCAGGCGCTGGACTGCGCTGGCTGGAGTCGAGCGGGGAGGCGGACGCTGGCCGGCGGGCGCCGTGCGCGTGCGTCTTGGAAGACCCGCCGCGGAGGGACGATGCTCGGATGGGGCGGGGAGGTCGGGGAGCGGGCGGCGGGGGTGGGCCGGCGGGGCTGTGCAAGTGATGGATTGATGGGTGCAGGATCTTTTTAGTTAGTCAGGCACTTTGTCCGCCGTTGATCTGCCCCCTTCTCGTTTCTCTCCGTCGTGCATGTCTACCTCGCGGTCGTAGCTCGCCCGCCACGCTGCCCTCCTCACTCGACACACACCGATGGCCAGCAAGCTGTTCTCCGCCGCGGCGGAGGCTGCGGGGGTGGCTGGGGCGAACGACGACCCGCTGGCGCGGGTGCTGGCGCCGCCGGCGGACGAGACGGCGGAGGCGCGTGCGGCGCGGCTGGAGCGTGCAGTGGAGGCGCAGCGGGTGTCGCACGAGATCGACGAGGACATCCAGGAGAGCAAGAAGGCGTTCGAGCGGAGGAAGAAGGCGATCAAGATCCTGCTTCTCGGTGAGCCCTCGTCTCGCTTCCGCCCCTCCGCGTCCCCCGGAGCTCATCCCGCCCCGCTCCCAGGCCAGGCCGAATCGGGCAAGAGCACGACCCTGAAGAGTGCGTCCCCTGCGCGTGTACTCCGAGTGCTGACGCTGACGCGACGCGCAGACTTCCAGCTCGCGTTCTCGCCGCAACACTTCCGCAGCGAGCGCGCCGCGTGGCGCACGATCATCCAGCTCAACCTCATCCGCTCCGTCAAGCGCCTCCTCGAGGTCCTCGACGAAGAGTGGGACTCCGAGCTCACCGCCCCCGTCAAGTCCGCCCTCAAGTCCGCCCCGAGCTCCCCCACCGCGTCCTCGTCCTCCCCCCGCGCAGCACGATCGCGCTCCGGCTCACGCTCCGGCTCGCCCTCGCGCACGCGCCCCCCGCAGTCCATCGCCCTCCCCCCGTCTGCCCTCGCCAACCCCGCCGCCGGCTCGTCCCGTGCACATGCAATCGCCCACCCACACGCCTCGACCTCTGCCGCCTCCTCGTCCCACCACCCCGCGCCGTCTTTCCTCCCTCCGTCGTCCGCTCCCCGCCACGCGTCGCACCCGTCCACGTCAACCTCCGTCCGGTTCTCAACCACCCCTCTCACAGACACCCATCGCCGGCTGCGTGGGCGACTGCGCGTGCTCTTACCACTCGAGGCTGCCCTCGCCCGGGCGCTGCTCCCCCCAGACGACGCCGTCACAGGGCCTGCAGGCGATGTCTGCGTCAGAGCGGGCAGCGCGTGGAAGGGCGCAGCCAGCGTGCTCGCCAGTTCCGGCCTAGCGGTGAACGGCGTCAATTTACCCAACGGCAAGGGCAAGGAGCACGTCGACGACCCGACGCGGACGCTCGCTGCGTGCAAGGACGACGTCGTCACCCTCTGGGAGGACCCCGTCGTGAGGGCGGTCCTCAAGCGGAGGGGCGTGCGCCTCCAGGACATGCCCGGCTTGTGAGTGACTGCTTGCTATCTGCCTTTAGCATCCGGTCCTTTCTCCTCGACCTCGTCTTCTGCTCGAGGCGCAATCCCTCGCTCCACTTCCTTCGTGCCCTCTTCTCATTTCCACCAGATCCTCATTTTTCTTCGCACCCAGCTTTTTGAACGACACCGCGCGCATCGCGACGCTCAATTACCAGCCGACAGACGGTGCGTCCTTCCGCCATTCGTCCCCCCTCGCAGCTTACACTCTCCCCATGGCCTCCCGCGGCGTGATAACGCGCTAACGATGCCACCGTGCAGACGACATCGTCCGCGCGCGGCTGCGCACACTCGGTGTGGAAGAACACCGCTTCACCATGGAGAGCGGTGCGTCCCGTCCCCCCCCCCCCCTATTCCATCCTGACCTCACCATTCGTCCCTTCTGCCCCCTCACGCAACGCCGTCCCTCCCGCGCAGGCGGCCTCCCCGGCTCGGAATGGTACATCTACGACGTCGGCGGGAGCCGGAGCAACGTGCGTCCTCCCCCCCTCTCATTCACACAGTAACCCCCGGCGAACGATCTGACACGGCGAGCACGCGCAGCGCCCGCACTGGATCCCGTTCTTCGACGACGTGCAGGCCATCATCTTCCTCGCGCCGCTCGCGTTCAACCTCATGCTCGAGGAGGACCCGCGTGTGAACCGGGTCGTGCGTCCCCCCCTTCCCGTTCCCCTCCCTGTTTGCGCTGACGGTCGGTTTTGGCGGCGGCGGCGGGGTGCAGGAGGACTCGATCTCGCTCTGGCGCGAGATATGCGGGAACGGCCTGCTGGCGAAGACCACGCTCATCCTCTTTCTGAACAAGGTGCGTGCAGAGCCCCTGCGCTCCTCGCGGCGCGTACGCTGACTGCGTGTGAATGGGCGCAGATGGACATCCTGCAGGCGACGCTCGCGGCGGGCATCCGCGTGGCCAAGTACGTGCCGAGCTACGGCGACCAGCCGAACGACATACAGCATGTGACGAAATGTGCGCGGGTTCCCATTCGTGGTGGGGCGTTTTTTTTTTTGCTGATCCCGCCGTGCTTTTTTTGTTGTTGTAGACTTTAGAGATAAATTCCGCGGGTATCACGTACGTGCCTCGCCTCTCCCCCTCTCGCCTCTCCGCGGTGCGCGTCGCTCACGCCTGCTGTCTGGATGTGCAGAAACGCCTGTCGCCGCATACGCGCCCGTTCTACGTCCACGAGACGTCCGTCGTCGTACGTCTCTTCCCTCCTTCGTTCGTTCCCCCGTCCGTATCGTGCTCGCCGCGACGTGTCGTCCACGGCTCCCCCCTCATCCGATATTCCACCCCGAACCCGCAGCTCCTGACCAGCATCTTTTTCAGGACACCCGCTCGACGGCCGCGATCCTCGTCGGAGGTAAGCCGAACCCCCTTCTTCACCTCGCTGGCTGCTCGCTGATCGCGTATACCGTACCATCAGTGCGAGAGGGCATCCTGCGCGCGCACCTGCAGAGCGTGAACGTGATCTGAGCTCCCGCTGGGTACCAGCGCGTTACACCCCGCCCCCCGCCTGCGCCTGCCGGGGCTCTCGCGTCTCGTACGCCGGAGCGCGGCTGTGTCGACTATTCGCGCCCCCCATGCACGCACCAGCACGTCCGTTTGATACCCCCCCCCCCCCCCCCCCCCCACGCGCGCGTCGTGTATACTACGCACTAGCACTCTACACACCGCATGAACCGTCCCGCGCGCGCCTGCTGCATATATCTGCATATCGTTATCGAGTGCGCTTACGTATTATTAGACTCGTGTCCGCCGCTCGCTTGTTGTTAACTGGCTCTCTTCGCTTGTGTTATTGATATTTTGGGGGTGTCGTACTGTGTTGTGCTGCAGCAGATAGGCTTCACGGTCGGCCGGTGGGGCACTTTGGTAGGCCGCTGCTGGTGGATGTCGTGGTGCGTGTGCGCGGGGGTTTGGAGGACGTTGTTGTGCAGTGTGATGACTTGTAGGGGATATGGCCCTCTTCTGCGCATGCGGTGGCGACGCGCTGCGACCGCGGTGCCGGGGGTTCAGCAGCTGCGCAGTTGTACGACATCCGCGAATGCTCGTACGCTAGAACGATGCGCCGCAGTTATTCAACTGCGGAGCTGAGATCGTGTGCGACGGCGGCCTGCGCTCGGCGATGAGAGCTTTTGATTTTTTTAGTATCGTGCTGGCCGTGCTTGTATGGTCTGTTCCTTGCATTTTAGCGGCCTGAAGTTAATTAGACCTGAAGGATACACTTCGGTAGTCGGCTTTTGCGCGGATGGCTGTTATTTTTGACTGCGTCGAGGAACGTTGCCGCCAACTTGAACTTAGCTGTCCATATCGGGACTGCCATTCTTGACGCTGTGGCGTCGCCGATCAGGCTTAGCGCCAGTACTGTCCGCCGGTTGGGTTGCGTCTGGTGCTTGGATTTCGCCATGGAGGCCGTCAGGTAACCTACTAGTTCACAAGATCCAGCCGTTTCAGCTCGCGTCGCGGGTCAAACCTTGCCATTGGTTCTCAATATTGATCCTCCCAGCGGCCGGTTTCGTCCCCATATCTATCTGCTCCGAGGCGTGTAGGCTACAACGCGGCGTGATCCACCACATCCAAACGAATGGACGAATGGACGAAACGAGTGATGTGGGTATGTACGCGGCCGGGCCGCCTTTACATTTAGCTCATGGTTAAACTTGGCGCTGATCTGCGACGACAGGATGAAACTCCTGTGATGGGTCCTCTTCGTCGAGACCCTCGGTGTCCTTCATCGCTCGCGGTCTGCTCAGGCCAGCACTTCCTGACCGCTCCGCGGACGACGATTTCTGGGTGGAGCCCGTATCGTTGCCAAGTCCGAAGTACGTACCTGCAGTTCTGAAGAAGACGAAGACGGCTGCGCTTGGAGAGTCGCAGACGGAAGCGTACGAGGACGACTTGGTCTTGAACCTATCTATAGGCCGCAGGCCTAACGCTACGTTAGGCCGCCCGACTTTCCGCCCCTGTATCCCTTCCTTCCTCCCTCGTTTCGGTCCCTCGGCTATCTCAAAAGATCGCCCGACATCGAATCTACCCACTACCCGAAGATACAGTTCGACGGAGATCTGGGTCGCCGTGGCCACCGGCGGCAATCGGCCGACTTTCCCACCTCGCGCGTCTTCGACTCCTTGATTTTTTCTCGTCCTCACCCTCTACCCCTGGCCTCATATTGTATATCGTCCGATAGCCTGGCCGTCTGGCTTCAAGATACTACCGATTTCGGGAGGGGTTCAGGAGTTTGGTCGACGATACAGCCGGGCGAAGTGGCGGGGTGCGCGCCGGCGCGCCCTTGGTGAGTTCTCTCCCTTCGTTTCCGACGTTGTGCTCACTCAAATCCCTCGAACGCGGTAACGTCTGGTAGGTGCAGGTCTTGCGTTCAAGGTGCCACCACGCTCGGGGAGAATGGCCTCATCGTTGTGAAGATACAGGCGAGGGAAGTGGGCGGGCGCGCACCAGCGCGAACGAGGTAAGCTCACCCACACTCAATGCTCTTCCATTCGCCCATCGAGGGGGCTCGAAGCTGCTTGCGAACCGTACAACGGGTCGTAGGCAGCTCGTTTCTGCCTGCCTGTCTCATTTCTCGTCCAACACAGCATGTCAGTGTCGCGTTTCTCGAGCGACACGACCTCTACCCCTCGCGGTCCCCTGCACCATCAAACGCGAACGTTCGACCGCGCGTTCACTATGGAGGGTTGTAGAGGGCCGAGGTAAGTGAAACAAACAGTTTTTCTGCGTTTTTCAGCCGTGCTAATATTTTGCAGCCACCTCGTTGTCGCGCCAGCCACTGCGGTGCAACAGCGGCGTGCAGCCCCCTCCTCGCGATCGTGAAGGCCTCGCGAGACCCCACCACACCTCCCCGTACCCTCCCTCGACCGTCCTCGATGCGTGCAGCCCTCCGCAGCGAACAACAGTGCTGCGGTTATCGCACCGGCCACCGCGGTGCAACGACGATGCACAGCCGCCACCCCAGGGTCCCCCAAGGCCCTGCGAAGCCCCAGCCGACCTCCCTACACCCTCCCCCGACCCTCGACGCACGCAAGCCCTCCGTGGCGAATGACGTCGCCGCGATCGTCGCTGCCATGTCTCCTTGGCGACATCTCCATCCTTCCCACCTGGCTCTTCCAGGCCGTCGAACGCAACTGTTTGGCGGCGCGTTTGTTTTCGGAGGACTGAGGGCAGTCCAGGTGAGTCAAAAAAAATTATCTGTCCCAATGCCGCCGTGCTAATACTTTGCAGCCGCGTAGTTGTCGCGCCGGCCACCGCGGTGCAACAATGATGCACAGCTGTCACCTCACAGTCGCCAAGGCCCCTCGAAGCCCCACTCCACCTCCTCGCACCCTCCCTCGACGTTCCTCGATGCGCGCAGGCCCACCACGGCGAACGATGGCGCTGCGGTCGTCTCTCTGGCAACCGCGGTGCTACGACCCCGCCAACCTCCCCCCTCGCAGTCTCCAGGCCCCGACGCTGGCCCGCGTCACCTCCCGGCACCATCCCCCGACCCTCCTCGACCTGCGGAGGCCCTCCGCAGCGAATGACCGCGCTGCGGTGATCACGCCGGCCGCCGCGGTCCAACGACCGCACCGACCTCCCTCCTCGCGGTCTCAAGGCTTTCGCAGCGGCACTGATTACTGATGTGTCGCTGTAGTAATCGACATCTTGATTGCGTAGTATATTATTACCGGTCTAGTTTATCATGTACTACAGTGGCAGTTCCTAACTAACCTAACCATGCCGGTAATACACCACCACCACCACCAGGCCCTGACGCTGGCCCGCTAATAAGCATAACGGCCCCGCGACTAAGCATAACGGCCGCCCCTCAGCGTAACGGCCCCGCGATTAAGCATAACGGGCGGCGGGGCGTGGGAAAGCCGCCGTAACAAGCGCCGGTTGGACTTAGCTTCGCGCTCCTCCTGCTTGGCTCACCGCCGCGACACCCTTCCACAACGCCGAGGAGGCTCTCCTCGGCGTTGCTCTACTTTTCTTTATTCTTCTCCTGCTTCTGTCCGTCGCCCGTTCCGGTTTGCTCTCGAACGCGGCGTGTCAGCACCGCGTTCTCTTGGCGACACCTGCACCCTCCACCTTCCACCTCGCGCTGCCCCACGCCGTCGAACGCAAACGTTCGGCGGCGCGTTCGTTCTCGGAGGTTCAAGGGCACCCGAGGTAAGTTCAAAAAATGCTTTTTATATCCATATACTGCCGTGCTAACTTTTCGCAGGCCCCTCGTCGTCGCACCGGCCACCGCGGTGGAACGGCCGCCACCTCGTGGTCCCCAAGGCCCCCATCTGTTTGCGGAGGTCGAAGAGCGCGGTCCAGGTGAGTAAACAAAAAAACTTTTGGATCTATCGCACCGTGCTAACCTTTTGCAGCTGCATCGTTGTCGCTCCGGCCACCGCGGTGCAATAGCAGCGCGCTGCACCCCCCTCGCGGTCGCAGAGACCCCTCGCAGGCCCACCGCCCCTCCCCGCCCATTCCCCGCACCCTCTCCTGACCCTCCGCGATGCGCGCAGGCCCACGGCGGCGAACGACGCCACCCGCGTCGCCACACTGGCTACCGCGGTGCGACGACGGTGCGAACCCCCCCAGCCCACGATCTGCATGGCCCCGCGAAGGCCCGGCCCACCTCTGCCCATCGTCCCTGCACCCTCCCCGACACACGCAGGCCCACGGTAGCGAACGACGCCGCCCGCATTGTCGCACCGGCCATCACGGTGCGACGACGGTGTGCAGCCCCAACCACACGGTCCCTAAGGCCTCGCGAGGCACCGCGCAGCCTCTCACCACCTCCCCGCACCATCCCTCAACCCTCTTCGACGCGCGCTGGCCCACCACAGCGAACGACGGCACAGCAGTCATCGCGCCGACCGCGGTGCCACAACGGCGCCCAGGTCCCTCCTGGCGGTCTCCAGCCACCGGCGAAAGCTGGCGTCACCTCCCAGCACCGTCACCCAACCTTCCTCGACCCGCGTTCGCCGTCTGCGGTGAAAGATCGCGCCCTGATCGTGACGCGGGCCATCACGGTGCAACGACCGCGCCGAACTTCCTCCTCACGGTCTGCAGGCCCCGACGCTGGCCCGCGTCACCTTCCAGCACCGTCACCGAATCCTCAACTCGCGTTCGCCCGCTGTGGTGAACGACCGGGCCCCGGTCGTCACGCCAACCGCCGCAGTGCAAGGACTGCACTGACCTCCCTCCTCGCGGTCTCCAATGCCCGACGCTGGCCCGCGTCACTTTCCAGCATCCTCAGCGAATCCTCCTCGACTCTCGTTCACCGTCTGCACCGAGCGACCGCGCCCCGGACCTCCCGTCGAACATCGAGCGCCGGCCGGTAGACTCGATGTCTCTGGCGCACTCAAACGCAACGCGTTTTAGCGCGCGTTCGCCCAGCAGTGTTCGGGCGATATAGGTGAGTAAAAAATATTTGTTTTCGGTTTTTTTAACGGTGCTAACGCCCTCTAGAAGATCCGACGCCGATGCAGGGAACGCGGAGCGACCACCGCCGGCGCGTAGGTCGACAGCCACAAACCTCCATCCCATTCCACTCGAAGCCCACCGTCCTCGTCCGCGCGGGCCAGCCACACGCGCGGAACGCGCAGCAACAACGGCCCGGGATAGTGTGTTGACGGGCATGCAGGTTCGCCGTCCGAGTCCCCTTCAACACCGCCATCCCAGTCCCCTCGAACGTGGCTGTCTCTGCACCATGCACCGCCGCCCTCGTCCACGCAATCCAGCCACACACGCAGAATGCGCAGCAACAGCGGCCCGAGATCGTGCGTCGACGGGCACCCACGTCGGCCGTTCCTATCGCCTCGAACGTGGCCGTCTCTGCACCATGCACTGCCGCCCTCATCCACGCGATCCAGCCACACGCGCGGAACGCGCAGCAACAACGGGCCCTCACACTAGGTCGAGAGGCACGCACGTCCGCCGTCCGAGTCCACACAACACATCGCCGTCTGCGTCCGGGCGACCCAGCCACACATGCGGAAACCGTTGCAACAGCGTGTGGGCACGCTAGGTCGACGGGCACGCAAGTCTGCCTTCCGACTCCCCTCGAACTCCGCTGTCCCAATCCCCTCGAACCCGGCCATCTCTGCACAAGCCCGCGTGCTCGCGTCGCTGACACGTCTCGCCTCCTTCTCCGCACCTGCGTTTATCGCTGCGGGCGCACTGTCCGCGTAGGAAACACCTCGAATGGCGCTAACTTTTTGCAGCCCCGTCGTTGTCGCGCTGACCACCTACGTGCAACAGCGGCACACAGTCCGCTCCTCGCGGTTTCCCAGACCCCGTGAAGCCTCACCACACCCCACCACGCCTCCCCGCACCCTTCCTCGACCTCCCTCGACACGTGCAGGCCCACCGTAGTCAACGACGACGCCGCCGTAGTCGCACCGGCCACCTCGGTGCAACAACAGCATGCAGCAGCCTCCTCGCGGTTACCCAGGCCCCGACGAAGATCCCCACACTTCCCAGCACCCTCGTCGCGTTCGCCCACTGCGGTGAGCGACCGCACCCCGGTCGTCGCGCCGGCCACCGCGGTGCCACAACGGCGCCAAGCCCCTCCTCGCGGCCTCCATCCCCCCGACGAGGGCCCTCATCGCCTCTCAGGACCCTCGCCCTACCCTCGTCGACGCGAGTTCGCCCTCTGCGGTGAACGACCGCGCCCCCGGACCTTCCGTCGAACATCGAGCGCCGGCCGGTCAGCTCGATGTCTCTGGCGAACTCAAATGCAATGCGTTTGAGCGCGCGTTTGCCCAGTAGCAGTCGGGCCATCAAGGTGAGTAATTAATTATTGTTTTTGGTTTTTTTTTAACGGTGCTAACGACCTCTAGAAGACCCGACGCTGATGCAGGGAATGCGGAGCGACGACCCGACGGCGCGTAGGCCGAGGGCCACACACCTCTGTTACATTTTACTTAAAAGCTGCTGTCTACGCGGGCCAGCCACAGATGCGAAACGCGCAGCGACAACGGCCCGGGATTGTGCGTCGATGGCCACGCACGTTCGCCGTCCCGGTCCCCTCCAACCTCGCCATCCCTATCCCCTCGAACGCTACCGTCTCTGCACCACGCACTACCACCTTCGTCCGCGTGATCCAGCCACACATGCGGAACGTGCAGCAATGACGGGCCGGCACGCACGTCCACCGTCCCTGTCCCCTCGAACCTCGCCATCCCAGTCCCCTCGAACTTCGCCGTCCCAGTCCCCATGAACGCCGCGACCTCAGTTCCCTCGAACGCCTCGTCCAACTCCCCTCGAACCCCGCCGTCCCTTTCCCCTCCAACGCCGCGATCTCCGCACAACGTACCTTGGTCCTCGTCTGCGCGACCCAGCCACACACCCGCAATGCGGAGCAACAGCGTGCGGGGACCCTAGGTCAACCGTCCGCCGTCCGAAGTCCCCTCGAACACTGCCATCCCATTCCCCTCGAACGCCGCCATCTCTGCACAAGACCGTCCTCGTCTGCAGGACCCAGCCACACATGCGGAAACCGCCACAACAGTGCACGGGCATGCTAGGTCAACAGGCATGCAAGTCCGCCGTGTGACTCCCCTCGAACGCCGCTGTCCCATTCCTCTCGAACGCCGCTCTCTCAGTCCCCTCGAACCCCGCGGACTCTGCGCAACGCTCCGCCGTCCTCATCCGCATGACCCAGCCAGATGCGTGGAATGCGTAGCGACAGCGTGCAGGCACGCTAAGTCGACGGGCAGGCAAGTCCACCGTCGCAGTCCTCGATCGTCGCTGTGTCTGCACAACGCACTGCCGTACTCATTCGCGCGATGTAAGTATATACGCAGAACATGACCACAGGGTGAGCACAAGACATTTCCACTCTCTCGCCCACGGTTCGTCCCATGTAGTACTATCCGTAGCACACAGTAGCCAAACATATATATATATCTTCATCCTACCATTAGCCTGAATGAGCGTTATCTGAACGTTATGCTGAATGAATGAGTGTTATCTGAATATTACACTGAATGTTAGGCTGACTGTGTTTCATCTGTCTCAACGTTATGAGGCCTCCTAGGCCGGCCGTAGGGTCGCCGAGGGCGGGGGACCCCAACCCTAGGATGGGGGTTCGCTGAGCCGAGGGCTAGGGGTACATGTCCGCTTTAGGAAGAAGGCCATTGCCGAACCCTATGGACAGTGCCGTAGGGCACGTGCATCATCATTAGCGCTGGTGAGGGGCCTCTTAGGTTAGGTTATGAGGCCCCCTAGGCCGGCCGTAGGGTCGCTGAGGGCGGGCAACCCCAACCCTAGGGTGGGGGTTCCCCGAGCGGACGCTAGGGGTACGCGTCCCCTTTGGGAAGGAGGCCGTTGCCGAACCCTACGGACCGTGCCGTAGGGCACGTGCGCCATCACTAGCGCTGGTGAGGGGCCTCTGACCTGCGCGGCCGTCGCGGACGACCGTGCGTGGAAAGGCACAGGTGGCTGCACAGGCGAGGTGGCGTGGGGGGGGGCGAAGCACGCTGGCCATGAGTGGCCGTCGTAGACGACCGTTCGAGTTGCATGGGGTGCCAGGTCTGAGTTGAACCTGAGGCCAGGAACAGGTGTCCGCTTTGGGAAGGGGACTGTTGCTGCACCCTACCGTAGGGCACGTGCGCCATCACTAGCGCTGGTGAGGGGCCTCTGACCTATCTATAGGCCGCAGGCCTAACGCTACGTTAGGCCGCCCGCCTTTCGGCCTCGACATCCCTTCCTTCCTCCCTCGTTTTCGGTCCCTCGGCTATCTCAAAAGAACGCCCGATATCGAATCTACCCACCACCCGAAGATGGGATTCGACCGAGCTCTCGGTCGCCGTGGCCACCGGCGGCAATCAGCCGACTTTCCCACCGCGCGCGTTTTCCACTTCTCGATTTTTTCCCATCCCCTTCGTCTACCCCTGGCCTCATATTGTATATGGTCCGACAGCCTGACCTTCTGGCTTCAAGGGGCCACCGAGTTCGAGAGGGATGTCGCACTCTGGTCAAAGATTTCGCCGGGATAAGTGGCGGGGCGCGCGCCAGCGCGCCCATCGTGAGTTCTCTCCCTTCGTTTCCGACGTTGCGCTCACTCAAATCCCTCGAACGCGATACAGTCCGGTAGACGAAGGTCGTGGCTACAAGACGACACCCCGCTCGGGAAGAATGGCCTCGTCGTTGTGAAGATGTAGGGGAGGGAAGTGGAAGGGCGCGCACTAGTGCGAACGAGGTAAGCTCACCCACAACCAAAACCCTTCCATTCGCCCATCGTGGGGGCTCGAAACTGCCTGCGAACCGTACAACGGGTCGTAGGCGGCTTGTTTCTGTCTGTCTCCGTGGTTTCTGGTCCAACGCAGCGCGTCACCATCGTGCTTCCGTGGCGACATCTCTACCTCCACCTCAGCTTGAGGCTCGCGGTCCCCTGCGCCATCGCGAAACTGCTGCGAACCGTACAACGGGTCGTAGGCAGCTTGTTTCTGTCTGTCTGCGTGGTTTCTGGTCCAACGCAGCGCGTCACCGTCGTGTTTCTGTGGCGACACCTCTACCTCCACCTCAGCCTGAGGCTCGCGGTCGCCTGCGTCATCGCTCAGAAATGTTCGAGCGCGCATTCCTTCTGGAGGGTTCGAGAGGGCCCAGGTGAGTCAAACAAACAGTTTTTGTTTGTTTTTCAGCCGTGCTAATCTTTTATAGCGCAGTCATCATCGTGCGGGCCACCGCAGTGCAACAGCGGCTCGCAGCCACCTCCTCGCAGTCGCCAGGGCATCGCGAGGCTTCGCGAAGCCCCACCCCGCCTGGCTGCACTGTTGCCCGACCCTCGTCGATGCACGCCAGCCCACCGCGGTGAAGGATGGTGCTGCGGTCGTCGCACCGGCCACTGAGGTGCAACGATGGCACGAAGCCCCCGCCACATGTTTGTCACGGCTCCGCGAACCACCAGCCTACCTCTTGGAACTCACCGCCAATGCTCCTTGACCCGCAGAGGGCCTCCGCAATGAACGACCACACCCCGGTCATCGTGTCGGCCACCGCGGTGCCACAATGGCACCCAGCTCCCTCTTCACGGTCTCCAGCTCTGTCCGAAGGCCCGCGTCACCTTCCAGCACCCCCATCCTACCCTCTTCGATGCGCGTTTGCGCTCCATGGCAAACGACTGCACCCCGGACCACCCCTGCAACATTGAGTGTCCGTCGCTCGACCAGAACCTCTCTCGCGCACTCAAACGCAACATGTTTGAACGCGCGTTTGCCCAGCACTGCTCGGGCAGTGTAGGTGAGTAAAAACAAAAACTTTCGGATTTTTTTACGGTGCTAAACCACTTCCACCCTACGTGAAGCCCGCCGTCCGCAAACGACCCATCGCCATCCCGCTCTCGTCGACGCTGCCCTCGCGTTCGCCCTCTGCGGCGAACAACTGCACGTCGGTCATCTCACCGGCCACCGCAGTGCAACAACGGCGCCCGGCTCCCTCCTCGCGGTCTCCAGCGCCCGATGAAGGTTCGCGTCACCTCCCAGCACCCTCACCCTATGCTCGTCGACGCATTTTCGCCCTGTGCGGTGAACGACCGTGCCCCGGACCTCCCCTCGAACATACAGTGCCAGTGCCCGGCGATACAGGTGAGTAAAAATATATATATTTTCGACTTTTTTTACCTGTGCTAACAACCTGTAGAAGATGCGAGCCCACGCAGGGAACACGGAACAACGACCAGCCTCCCCACTCCTCTCGAATGCCGCTGTCTCAGTCCCCTCGAACCCCGCGGACTCTGCACAACGCTCCGCCGTCCTCATCCGCGTGACCCAGCCACACGCGGGGAATGCGCAGCAATAGCGTGCGTGCACGCTAGGTCGACGGGCATGCAAGTTCACCGTCACAGTCCCCTCGAATGCCGCTGTGTCTGCACAACGCACCGTTGTTCTCGTTCGCACATTGCAAGTATATACACGGAACCTCACTACACAGCGCTCACACACCATTTCCACTCTCCCGCCCGCGGTCCATGTCATGTAGTACTATCCGTAGTACACAGCAGCCAATACATCATGTAATATCCTCGCGGCTGTGAAACGCTATCAGCCTGCTCGACGCCCGCAGGATTTGCCTAGACGGGCAGGTCAGCTGCCAAATCGGGCAATAAGTGGTAACAGGAGGACTTACCGGGAGAGCGGGCGCAGGGAATGGCATCGGGGTAGAGTAAGGGTAAAAGACTGTAGAATCATGCAAGATCTCAGCGGAATAACGAACGAGTGAACGAGGGCGGGAGCCCGAGCATTGCGCGGGCCAGCGGGGCGTGGGAAAGCCGTCGCCCAACAAGCGCCAGTGGGACTTAGAGCTTTCGTGCTCCTCCTGCTTGGCTCACCGCCGCGACACCCTTTCATAACGGCAAGGAGGCCTCTCCTCGCCGTTGCTCTCCTTTTCTTTTCGATTCTCTTGCTTGTTTGGGCCGTCTTTTCTGGTTTTTTTTCCGAGACATGGCGACACCTTCTCCCTCCACCTCGCGCTCCCCCAGGTTGTCGAACACCACCGTTCGGCGGTACGTTTACTTTCGGAGGTCGAAGGGTATTCCAGGTGAATCCGAAAAAAACTTCTTTCCCTATCCCACTGTGCTAACATTTTGCAGCCCCGTCGTTGTCGCGCCGGCCACCGCGGTGCAACAGGGGCGCGTTGCCCCCTCCTCGCGGTCGCCGAGGCCCCTCTAAGTCTCAATGCACCCAACTCCACCTCCCTGCACCCTCCATCGACCGTCTCCTTCGCGCGCAGGCCCACCACGATGAACGACGGCGCCCCGGTCGTCACACCGGCCTCCACCCTCCGCCTCGCGCTCCCCCAGGCCGTCGAACGCAAACGTTCGGCGGCACGTTTATTTTCGGAGGTCGAAGGGCATGCCAGGTAAGTAAAATAAGCTTTTTTGTCCCCATCCCACCGCGCTAACATTTTGCAGTCTCATTATTGTCGCGCCGGCCAATGCGATGCAACAGCGACGCGCTGCCCCCTCCTCGCGGTTGTCTCGGCCCCTCGAAGGCTCACCACACCCCACCCCACCTTCCCGCAGCCTCCCTCGGCCCTTGTCGACATGCTTAGGCAGACCACGGTGAACGACGGCACCGCAGTGGTCGCGTCGGCCACCGCGGAGGAACGACTGCGCCGACCTCCCTGCTGGCGTTCTCCAGCGCCCGACGCTGGCCCGCGTCACCTCCCAGTGCCGTCAGCCAACCGTCCTCGACTTTCGTTCGCCATCTGCGGTGAACGACTGCGACCCGGACCTGCCCTCGAACATCGAGCGCCGGTCGTGTCCACCTCGCTCGCACCCTGAAACGCAACGCGTTTCAGCACGCGTATATCCAGCAGTGCTCGTGCAGTAGAGGTAAGTAAAAAACATTTTTTCGGTTTTTTCTAACGGTGCTAACGACCTCCACCCCAGTCGACACGCTACATCGAGCGGGCACGCACATCCGCCGCCCCGCTCCTCTCCAACTCCGCGGACCCACTCCTCTCGCACACCCCCGTCCCACTCCTATCGAACGCCGCGGTCCCACTCCCCTCGAACGCCCCCGTCCCTTTCCCCTCGAACACCGCGATGTCCGCACAAGGTACCTCGGTCCTCGTCCGCAGCCACAGATGCAGAACGCGCAGCAACAACGGCTCGGGATCGTGCGTCGACGGGCACGCATGTCCGCCGACCCTGTCCCCTCGAACCTTGCCGTTCGAGTCCCCTCGAATCCCGCCATCCCACTCCTCTCGAACCTGCGATCCCACTCCTCTTGAACGGCGCCATCCGACTCCCCTCGAACAGCGCCTTTTACGCACAATGCACCGCAGTCCTTGTCTGCGCATCCCACTCTTCTCGAACCCCCCGGTCCGAACCCTCTCAAACCCCGCCGTCCGACTCCCCTCGAACCTCGCCTTCCCATTCCCCTCGAATGCCGCCATCCCAGTCCCTTCGAACGCCGCGATCTCCTCACAACGCACCGTGGTCATGGTCCGCGCGATCCAGCGGGAAACGCGGAACGCGGAGCAACAGCGCATGCTAGGTCGACGCGCACGCACGCCCGCCGCCAAGCTCCTCTCGACCCCCCCGGTCCCACTCCTCTCCAACGCCGCCTTCTGACTCTCCTCCAATGCCAAGATCTCCGCACAATGCACCCGGTCCTCGTCCGCGCGACCCAGCCACACACCCGCAATGCGGAGCAACAGCGTGCGGGCACCCTAGGTCAACGGGCACGCACGTCCGCTGTCCAGTCCCCTCGAACCCCGCGGACTCTACGCAATGCACCGCCGTCCTCGTCCGCGTGACCCAGCCACGCCCAGTCGCCGGCACCGATAGTGCGTGAGGGCACACAACCACGATGCCCATTCCAACAACGACAGTGATACCTATCTCGACACATATAATCAGACTCCTCACGAGCCCGACACCGGCTTTACAACAATGCACACGTTCCTTCATCTGCTCCTGCTGATCACCGCGACACACGCCTCCCAGATCCCCTTCTCCCGTCACCAGGCCTCGCTCTCTCCTGCGCAGGTTACACAACCTGCGGAGCCACGTTACGCTCGTACACATCCACTTTGACGTCAAGCCGGAACCGCTCGCGCGTTAGGTTATGAGGCCCCCTAGGCCGGCCGTAGGGTCGCAGAGGGCGAGGGACCCCAACCCTAGGATGGGGGTTCGCTGAGCCGAGGGCTAGGGGTACGTGTCCGCTTTGGGAAGGAGGCCATTGCCGAACCCTATGGACAGTGCCGTAGGGCACGTGCGCCATCATTAGCGCTGGTGAGGGACCTCTGACCTGTGTGGCCGTCGTGGACGGCCATGCACGGAGAGGCTCCACTGGCTGCATAGGCCAGGTGGCACAGGAGGTAAACCACGCTGGCCACGAGTGACCGTCCTGGACGGCCGTTCGAGGTGCATGAACTGCCAGTACTGAGTGGAACCTGAGCCAAGGCTAGGGGTACGTGTCTGCTTTGGGAAGGAGACTGTTGCCGAACACTACGAAAGGTGCTGTTGGCACGTGTACCATCACTAGCGCTGGTGAGTTGCCGCTGTCCTGCACGGCCGTCGTGGACGGCCATGCATGGTGGTGGTGGTGTATTGCCGACATGGGTCCCAGTTAGGAATGCTAGGCTGCCACTGTAGTAAGCATATGATAAACTAGACCTGTAGTAATGTACTACGCAATCATGATATGTATTATTACAGCGACACATCCATAACCAATGCCACTTCAAAAGCCTCATACTCCTCAACCATAGCTCGCGGCCAAAAGAGGCTCAGATGGCTGTATAGGCCAGGTGGCACAGTCAGCAAAGCATAGCGGCTGTGAGTGGCCGTCCTGGACGGCCATCTGCTATAGTGGCCACCAGGGGGACAGACCACAAGTGGCAGTCCAGGAAGGCCATATACAGCTTGCACAAGAAATGGCCTTCCCGGACGGCCACCTGTGGCACTGACCATGAGTGGCCTTCCTGGACGGCCACCTACTGTTGTGGCCACCAGAGGGATAAACCAAGTGGCAGTCCAGGAAGGCCATGCATGGCTTGCACAAAAAATGGCCTTCCTGGACGGCCACCTGTGGTACTGACCATGAGTGGCCATCCTGGATGGCCATCTGCTGTACTGGCCATGAGAGTGACAAACTACAAGTGGCAGTCCAGGAAGGCTATGAATAGCTTGCACAAGAAATGGCCTTCCCGGACGGCCACCTGCTGCAGTGGCCACCAGAGAGACAGACCACAAGTGGCAGTCCAGGAAGGCCATGCATGGCTTGCACAAAAAATGGCCTTCCTCGACGGCCACCTGTGGTACTGACCATGAGTGGCCGTCGCGGACGGCCATCTGCTGTAGTGGCCATGAGAGTGACAAACCACAAGTGGCAGTCCAGGCAGGCCATGTACAGCTTGTACAAGAAATGGCCTTCCCGGACGGCCACCTGCTGTAGTGGCCACCAGAGGGACAAACCACAAGTGGCAGTCCACGAAGGCCATGCATAGCTTGCACAAAAAATGGCCTTCCTCGACGGCCACCTGTGGTACTGACCATGAGTGGCCGTCGCGGACGGCCATCTGCTGTAGTGGCCATGAGAGTGACAAACCACAAGTGGCAGTCCAGGCAGGCCATGTACAGCTTGTACAAGAAATGGCCTTCCTGGACGGCCACCTGCTGTAGTGGCCACCAGAGGGACAAACCACAAGTGGCAGTCCAGGAAGGCCACGAACAGCTTGCACAAGAAATGGCCGTCCCGGACGGCCACCTGTGGTACTGACTATAGGTGGTCATCTTGGATGGCCATCTGCTTCAATGGCCTTCACAGGGATGAACAATAAGTGGTAGTACTGGAAGGCCATACATGACATACCTAATAAACGCTCATCTCAGACTGCCACTAAGGGTACCAACAAACTTACACGGCCGTCCTGGACGGCCACCTGCAGTGAGAAGCCCTGTGTGGCTGTGTCGTAGCCCACCTACGAAGTGTTGTAGGCGACATACCAACAATTGTAGATGACATACGAATATGTCTATAGACCGCATACAGAGTGTCGTAGCCCACATACGAACGTTCGTAGACCACATACGGACATTTGTAGTCCACATACGAATATTTCTAAGCGACATACAAATATTTCTAAGCGGCATACAAAAAATACTTCTAAGCGACAGACCGCTATAGACCGCATACCAACGTTTACGGAGCACTATACACCGCATACAGAGTACTATACACCGCATACGGAGTGTCGTAGCCCGCATACGAACGCTTATAGACCACATACCGACATTCGTAGACCACGTACAAACGTTCGTAGATGGCATACAAATATTTCTAAGCGGCATACAAATATTTCTAAGTGGCATACAAAAAATACCTCCAAGCGACATACCGACGCTTACCACAGGCAGCATACAGAGTACGATAAACGACGTACGGAGCATAGTAGACCACATACAGAGTGTCGTAAGCGACATACGGACATTTCTTAGGGTTAGGTTAGGTTAGGTTAGGTTAGGTTAGGTTAGGTTAGGTTAGGTTAGGTTAGGTTAGGTTAGGTTAGGTTAGGTTAGGTTAGGTTAGGTTAGGTTAGGTTAGGTTAGGTTAGGTTAGGTTAGGTTAGGTTAG